CTGGGTCAGATGTCATATAGTTGCCAAATGTGGTGGTAATCCTTGTCGGTTCATATCAAGGATCCAGAATTTAAGTGTAGATTCTTTAGTATTGCTGAGCTTGCAGCAATTTGCAGCTATATCAGCATGCACAGTTACCCCTTTGACACATCTCTTTAATGTTGTTGGAGGGACATCATATGCTGAAGCTGCCTTAGTAATCGACCTAAAAAGGCCTTTTTTATAAGCATCAAGAGCTAATTGTAAACGTCCCTCCCTAGAGACATCAGTAGTATCATGTTTGGGCAGCATTGTGGTCAAAATTGTTGGTATAAGAGGCAGTTGAGGTGGTTGAGTTGGGGGACCGGACCGCTCGGTGTCCTGGACCGCTCGGTGTCCGATTATGTTACCTATATTAGCCTCCTCAAACCTGTAGCTAAAGGCTCTTTCCTTTCCTCCCTTAATTGTGACATCTTGTGTGTAACCCTTGATAGGAGGCTTGCATACAGAAGCCATTGCAGCCTATTACAGAGTCCCTCAAATTCAATTCTTTGTTGCAGTAGCCCGAATTCTCATAGTGTTGCTACCAACACTCCCAATCTTGGACAGGGGATACATCATCACTGGGAACCTGTAACATGTTCCTCACTAGATGAGCCATGAAGCTCCTCTTCAAAAACAGGTTCTGGTTCTATGGTCTCAAACTTAGTCTTGAAATCGGCCAGTCCTTGACCACTACTGTTTGAGTGACGCCGAACATTGGTAAAATTATATTCATAATCTTGCACCTCATCACCTGAACGACCCCTAGAAATATTAATGGTCAGCACCGAGCTATTATGAGGCAAGAGCTGGTTGGAGTTCACCAATTTCCCTTGCCGCCACCATCCTTTTTTGTTTTTCTAGGGTCTGCATCGACTGGTCCGGACTTTGCAAAATACCGAGGGATATGTTCATGAGGTGTCGAAGTACCATCTGAAATGGCAACATGGTCACGGTTATTCAGTTTATGTGAGCGAGTCACTGTAAAAATAGCCAAGCATACTCAGTTGAGTTCTATGACATAAATAATAACCCCAATGTTATCTGCAAACATGGCAAAGCATTTGCAAAAAAGGGAAGGTATATTATATAACAGAGTGGTAGAATGAAAGACAGGGGGGAATACTTACTTGTGAATTCTGAGTGATACTATAGGCGAATTCCTTGCTGTGTAGATAGAAAAGTTGTAATGGCAGTCCTGTCAGACAAATGTCAGGAACAATTAATGCCCTTTACTGGGTTGACTGTATGACTATTAACATAGAAAATGAAAAAGAGTAGAGATATTAAATAGTATGTTGACACAATGAAGGATGTAATCAGGATAATATGTAAATAAAGCCAAAGTGAAATTGAGTGGATTGATACAAAATCACCTAACCACAGTATAGTTTCCAGTGGAGATAGATATTAGGACAAATATCAGGGCAATGACATAATATTTTGACTTACCTTTGTGCTTGTAGATAGTAGGTTTTTGTTTGCAATGTGACAAGTTGATTTAGTAGAAGGAGGTGAGAAAAGAGTGATAATATAAATTATCACCGGACTGCCATTGTCCAGCTAGGAGCTGCACTCGTGACCTCATACCATCATTGATGTTACCCCAGGAAATTACACACCAAAACCTGGGGCAATGGGAATCTGTAAGTGGCCAGACCTTCAATCCATTCCGATTTCAGACTAGAGTTTGATCCACTAATCTGTCAAGGCCCAAGGGCACATGCCTCTAGTGTACAGATTACATAACCACCAAACATACTTTTGCACTGTATGTACTGTTACACATGGGCGACAGTGGATGTCTATAAGCATGGCAGCACCAGGTAGGCATAGTAAATAGACATCATGGAGAACTGAGGGGCTCATATATTATATATTAATAATATAGCATTCTACCTAGCCATCTTGTCAATATCAATTTGACTCTAACAATATGATCTTTTTCTAGGTGAAAATTACATCCCACGGAGTAGATGGAGTAATGTTTATGTAATGTAAGCTCTTACTGGGCTCTCCATGATGTAAAGTAACCCAAAAAAAAGAAAAAAAAGAAAAAAAACCAAAGACCCAGATCAGGTCTAGCCTTCTGGCCTGTGTCTTCATCATGTAGTCCTGAATCTGAACCATGAACATTGGCACTGTCACTGCTTCTCTAAATATGTGTATATCTCTGCTATGTTGCATAAGCAGATAGGTTAGATGGGTTTTGTCCCCATTCAAGGCATGGCTCTCATGGATCTCTGAAAAGTGTGCCAATTCTGTTGCAGTCTGTGTTAATTAGACTCCCAGTCTCAATTTACATACGCCCAGACCTGTCATAGAAGGCAGATCCTTGGAAATGAGTCCTAGGCTTGCTGCAAGTCCAGTCAAAGACTCAGCTCGGGCTCATGAGCTAAGACTTGCGAGTCCGAGTGCTCAACCCCCAGCTCGATCTCATCTCGTGGCATCTGTAGAAAATAAATGACACCCAAAAAGCTAAAATTTGGATATTTAGTATGTCTTACAGACACACACTGTTATTATGAGTGCAAAGTTAATTATCCTCTCTGTTCATGAAAAAGAAGGATCAATACTGGTCAAAGTCACCATATGTATGTGTATGTACACAATGAACAACGGACTTTGGGTTATGTAGTTATGAAAGTCCTGTTTTATAATGTCAGTAGAAGTAAATGGTCAGGGATCCATCAATGTGTTCCAATTATTACACATACTGAACAGGGTCTGAGTGGTTTGTGCTTGATGGCTAAACTTCTAGTAGGAGTACCCAATTATATATGTCCAAGGAGCATAAGTCCTAATAGCCTGTAACCCTGCAGCAACCAAGTCAACTGACTTGCAAGTCTGTAATATGACCACACAATAATCTTAATATTATCAGTTACCATTATTACAGTATAATCATGATGTATTATTCACAGATATAGCAGATTTCTGGATTTTGCATACATTGCCGCATATATAGTGAACATTCAATATATGGTTGTGGTTGTCTCAATGCTGTTGCCGCTTTAAATTGCTTATCAATCCGATAGTCCGATAACGGCCTTTTGCCTTCATCCCACTTCTAAAACCTTTCCCCCTTCTCTTAATCATCCTCCTCTCCGAGTCTCCAAAGTCATTACTTGTTCCATAACAAATCGCAACATATACCCTGTGACTATTGATATTCCTGTTTTGTTGCTGCACCTATTACATTCTTAGAAGTCATTCCTTGGAGGATCTTCACCGGATTTAGGTGGCCTCTGCCGCATTGACAGCTCGATCTGCTGCCAACCATGTCGCCATCTGTCACACTTGATGACAATTTAGACTTTCAAATCCAAAGCATGCCGTCCAAATACATGAAAAAGTCCACCCTTCTTCTCTCGCCTCCTTCCTTATCATCACACCCTGAAAAGCTCAATGCTGTCCTTCAGTTCCACGAGCGGGACTCGACAGACCTGCAAATGCTCGACCGTCTAGCTGCTGGTCTTGTAACGCTGCCTGCCTCAGCCTATGACACGATCCTTATCCTCACTGATGCCGATGGCTCATACAACGAAAGCACTCAACTTATGAATCGTCTTGTTATCACTCATATTGTCAACGCTCTTAAACCTAATGGCCGCTTACAGAGTCAAGACGGTCTTTTCGGAGCCGACCATAATCTGCAGCAGACGGAATTTATTCTTGCGGGGCTAGTGAAAGATGGTGCCAATGGATTTGTTAAGCCGGACTATGGTGGACAACATTCAATACCCTTGCGACTATCAAGCAAGAAGAAAAATAGCGCTTCAGCGTTGCCAGATAACGGTGTAAAGCGCGACTCGGCACAAGATAATGTTCACTCCAATGATGGTATTCAGACTCGACCGGCTGGTGTTGGATTCGTCGATTTCACAGATACGTTTGAAGGCTCTGGGTCCACCAGTCATGGCGAGTCTTCTGACGAATTAATTGACGAGGACAACCTACTCAGTCAAGCTGATATTGGTCAGCCAATTATTCAACGTATGTCAAAATATGCCCCTGCCGAAATCCTCAACGTTGTCATCTGGATCTTTTCCTGTTATTATCTTGCATTATTTCTTGCAACTAACTATTCTCCGTGTAGCACCAGAGTGCCGTCCTAAGGCAGGAAAGCGCCGCCGGGCTTGCAAAGATTGCACCTGCGGCTTAGCACAGAAACTTCAGGCGGAAGATGCAACAACGCGTGCAAATGCAGACAAAACACTAAGTGACATGAAACTTGGGCGTGGTGATCTCGCAGAAGTCGATTTTACTGTTCAGGGAAAGGTGGGCAGTTGTGGAAATTGTGCTTTGGGCGATGCCTTCCGTTGTGACGGATGTCCCTATATCGGCCTTCCTCCATTTAAGCCAGGGGAAGAGGTGAGACTTTTGAATAATGATGTACAGCTTTGAGTGGTCAAATTCAATTTAGACGAGAGCTGTGGACATCGACTACCTGTGGGGATATTGTCATTGATACTATGGAATATAGAGGGCAACGCATGGCTTGCTCTACACCAATATATGACTTAGGCCAAGCTTACACCATTATAAAGTGTCACATTACTATACTGTGTTATTTATAGATAAACTTAACTATCTTTCTGGCAGCAAGTACGTGTCCTGGGAAGTTATGATGTACAGTTACAGGAAGAAAATTCACCAAGTATATAGACTATGATGGTGACAATTGGACCTAGATATCAGTGCTGATTAGTGTGGATTCTAAATCCCAATTATGCCTGAACATGACATTAAGGATTTTTGCAGAAAAAGAGAGTTCCTTACCTAATTATATTGTCAATTTTGGATTTCGTGGTCTACAGAATTATATTTACAAATTATAAGGAGGGAATGCGGCAATGAATAATACTCCTTTAGCATATGTTCATCGTTGCCCTACATACGCACAAGAACAAGTAGGTGAATGCGGGCAGATACTCTTGAATACGGAGTACGGGTTCCAGTTGAACTTGGAAATTGTAACTTTGTAAGGATGGATGACTAAGACTCTTGGCGAGGCATCCCAATAGAGCAGGGGAGCCACTTAGGATTTACATATAATAGTCACTATCATCAGCTGAACCTTGGCTCCCATTCCAGTACCATCGGTCCATTGCGAACAACAGTGATCTTCAAGGAGCTGATATTGACATCACTCCAACTTGACATCAGCAGTTTTCTTTACTATATCCAGTTCCTAAATTCAGCGTTTACATTGTGCATTGTAGTGCCGCACCACTTACCTTGGACCCTTGCTTGAGCAATCTCTTCCTTTCATTGTAAGCACCCGGTCTGTTCCCAGCCCTTCTGCATATATTCCTACATGTGATTTTGCGGAAGCTTTAACTGAATGTCCTTTGATCAGCAGCTACGGCTGTTTGGTACTCTAAGTCTATTATCAATCGAATCTCATCGAAATCATCATCGATGTCGTTCTCCACCCTAGTCTCTGATATCGCGTTCAGAGATGCCCAACCAGACGATCGCAGTTCGCAAGTCTCTCATGCTCGCTCACAGGTGACTGCTCGCTCCTATCCCAGTACTACAGCCACTAGTGTCAGCATATCTGGAGATATTTCTAGTCAATTGCATGCTGGTTATAGTCACCCACTGACTAGATCATGGCAAGCCGAACGGCAACTGACAAAGGCAAGTATATTTAATACATTCTTAACATATCTGGTCGGCCTCTCATTACGGTTCCAGGAAATGCTCATCTATCCCCTGTTCATTACCGACAATCCTGACGAAGAGACACCGATACCTTCCCTGCCGAACCAATATCGACGTGGATTGAATCGCTTGGTTCCTTTTCTTACCCCGCTTGTGCGCAAGGGTTTGCGCTCTGTAATCCTCTTTGGCGTGCTTCTGGATCCGGCTGCGAAGGACCCTCTCGGAACTGCGGCTGACGACCCAGCCGGTCCAGTCATTCAAGCTATTCGACTCCTACGATCCCAGTTTCCGGAGCTCTATATTGTGGCGGATGTATGCCTGTGTGAATATACGTCTCACGGTCACTGTGGTATTCTGCGGGATGATGGAACCCTCAATAATGCTCAATCAGTGGATCGTATCTCTGATGTGGCATTGGCGTATGCTCTTGCTGGTGCACATTGCGTCGCGCCGTCAGACATGAATGATGGCAGGGTTCGAGCTATAAAACTCAAGTTGATCGAGGCCGGTATCGCGCATAAAGTTCTGCTGATGTCCTATAGCGCGAAGTTCAGTGGTTGCTTGTACGGACCTTTCCGTGATGCTGCCGGCTCTTCGCCTTCTTTTGGAGATCGCAAATGCTATCAACTGCCTCCAGGGGGCCGTGGACTTGCTCGTCGTGCTATCCAACGTGATATAGCCGAGGGAGCCGATATTATCATGGTCAAACCAGCAAGCAGCTACTTGGACATCATCAGTGATGCAAAGGAGTTGGCAAAAGATATGCCAATTGCAGCCTATCAAGTGAGTGGAGAATATGCTATGATTCATGCTGGCGCCAAAGCTGGTGTGTTTGATTTGAAGACAATGGCTTTTGAGAGTACCGAAGGCATCTTGAGGGCTGGTGCCAGGATTGTGGTGAGCTACTTTGTCCCGGAGTTTTTGGATTGGCTGCGTCATTAACAAGCGGCATCAACCATCAAATATGAACGCCTCGATTTCCCTAGGCGGCCATGCTTATGGTCTTTGAATTATGGTGGCCTTTTTCCCCTTGCTTTTCATACTTTGTTATGAAAGGGGGGGGGCGAATTTATTATGTATTTCCCCTTGCACTTTGTAACTGATGAGTAGGACTGATAAAAGCTTGGAGACAGTTTGCTTTCCCTAGTTGGTGATAAGCATGCTTTCCTGATGTTTATCTGTGGTTGTCAGTTCCAGTATGTATATTTTAGTGTTTCCGTGTCAAATAATACCCGACTGGATATCCTGTTCATACATACTATACATACATACGATCCGGTTGGAAATGCGACACATCTTGTTGAGCTGCCCTTTGAGGTGATCTACGACTAGTTTCTTTATAAACAACCCTTTTTTTTTTAGCAGCTTCAATCCTTATGGTCGGACTGCTAAAAACCGTTCTCTACACACTGTACTTATCATGGGAGAACGTGCCGATAGAGCAACATCGTGAGTGTTGCTGTACGGAGTATCTAGGTTAGGCTATCAATTCCTTATGGTAAATCCGGCAACAGTTAAATACTTATTAAAACTGCGACTTCATCCTAGTAAAGGAACCACGAGCAATTGATGTATTGCATATGAGCAGTACAATGGGAATACGACCTTCCAGATTCTACAAAAAAAGATAATATAAATAAATAAAAGCGCATCTGCCACAATAGCTCACCACATGCTTTGCATCAGCAAATTACATGTAGCTGGGCTTGAGTCCTTGGAACCCATATGCAACAATATCCGACTTAACTACCTCACCTGGAGCCACATATGCACCCCGCCGAAGACGAACACCGGGATAAATCGTACAGTTAGCTCCAACGTAACAATCCTCCTCAATAGTAACCGGGCGACCTTGATAACGACTCTGTGAGCCTTTCCGTTCTTGCATGTTGGCGTGGGCCATAGATCCCAGTATGGTGACATTTGGCCCAATCCAGGTGTGAGCACCAATATTAATAGGACAGTCGTCAACCAGACAGCAGTTTTCTGATATCATCACATCTTCTCCAATATGGATGTTATAACCATAGTGACACCTGAAAGGTGCTTCAACAACCGCGCCTTGGCCAATTGACCCCACCGGTCGATTGGATGGAGAACCAGAAGGAGAGTTTGTGACAGGAGGTATCAGAACCTCCTTAAGCAAACGGTTCTGTTCCTTGGCACTGACTCCCGAATTAGGGTTGCACGCATTGTTGAACCTCCACAGCGCTGCTTTACAGCGATCTCTGTCCTCGACTAATTGCATATCAAAGGGTCGATAGAGCTCTCCCCGGATCATTTTATCCCTTTCTGATTCCTCGCCCGGACCTGGGCGTGTGGACAATTGATGCTCAATACTGAGTGCCATTCTGGCCTGCGCCTGTGGGCTGTTGGTATCCACATTGCTTGGATGAGGTGGTCGTTGATCTACGCCGCCTTGGAAAATCGGTATTCCAGGCTTGGGATGTGCGCCATGCTGCGAAAGCTCACGAATAGAAGGAACAACTTGGTAATCAGTCTTTGGTTGCCCTTCCCGCGACAGCTCGTGGATCGGTGGTACTTCGCGATAGTCTGACTTCGTCATGTGCTCCGAGAGGTAGGCTGGGTGACTGGCACCTGGCCAACTTCGCTTAGACCAAGATCCGCGATTAGATCCAACACCTGTTGGACTCGTCATGTACTGGGGGGCCGAACGGTCACCATCCTCAACGACAATTGGTCTAACCTTGCTCGCCTCAAGCTGCTGGGTTGCTGCGGGGGGTCTATCATGGTGCTGGGGACTCATGTCCTGGATATAGTGACTGTTGGCATCAGTGTAACCTTCTTTTGACTGCAGAGGGACCGGCCCTTTTGCATTCGACGGTTTTTGCCATGTGCTTCGTGATGAGTAGCCTTCACAGAGAAAACCTCCACGAATACAATTGTTACCTGCCACGTCAGGTTAGAGATCCTGTCGTCTTCCATAGGCCGGCAAGAAATGTCGTGATGAGATAGATTGAACTTACATGCAGGGTGCTGTTCATCACATTTCTTCTTCCTCCTTCGACACGTCATGCATCCGGTCTTGGTTCTATTACTGAAAACACGCTTCCTCTTGGGGGCCACTTGAACAGCAGCCTGCGGTTTTTCCTGGGAGTAGGTTGGAAGAGACTTTGGATCCACCTCCCCAGACGTCTCTGCCGATCGATTTACCACACCCCAAACTTTTTGTTGATCGGAATCGGTACCTTGTGCCTCGCGTTGTAGGACCTCTGCAAGTTGCGCATCGGACGCATCGAGATTTTGCGCTTTTTGCGCCTGGCTAATCAAATGTGAATCATAATCTTGCCAGGAAGCGTTTGTTGTAGGGGCTCTGGGATCTTCTGTGCCATCCATGCGAGGATGGCTCGCCGATGATGGGTTTTGAGGCTCAGGGCTCGGATGAAGAGGGTTACATCCGTTCGCGCCAGTTGATTGTATTTGTGGATCAACATTTTCTTCTAGCCGAAGACCAGGACTTCTTGGAAGGCTACGACCCTGAGATGAATTCTGAGGGGATATTTGCCGTTCAACAGATTCCGACCTCTTACGTTTGTTCCTGTTCGCACCAACTGAACCTGCTCGAGACGAGGACCGTTGAGAATTTCCGTCTTCCTGATCTTGACCGGAATTTCCGTTGTCTCGCAGGCGCTCATCCTGTCGTGATGGGGCACTGTATCCGCTCGTTCCCCAACTATTTTCGACTCCTTCACGGCGGTCATCTTTGCCATTGGGTGCACTGTTAGAAGTTGGCGCCGACCCAGTGGTGACGGCGGCATCTCTTCCGTTGACAGCCGTAAACCGGGAAGGGCTATGTTCCGTATGTTGATCTCTCTCCGAGTCATGACTGCCATTGACAACTGACGTAGGCGGCGCAACAGCGGCCATTGTTGCACTGGTGGATGAGACGAATCACTCAAATAAAAGAGTCGAGGAAAAGATGGTCACGCAATGCAAGCGCTGTACTCGTCCCTCACATCGACTCCTTAGTTGTCGTTATGCAGGAGAAAATGATGCAAAGTCCAATTGACTTTGCCCGTATACCGCAGGTGAAAAGTCCAGGGGCAACTACCGCCAGTGAAAACCAAGATATTGTAGATACCAGTCGAACAATCCGTGTTTCGAGGTCGAAATGCTCACTGTGTAGCTATAAACCCCACAAGGTAAGGATATCGATCGAAATGACTAACAATTCGGGTCACAGAATGACAGACTGCCACTGAGCGGGGCGACGAAAAGCTCCAAAGCCATTCGAAAACTCAAATTTTGTTGTTGATGCAAGCAGTCTTTCAAGCCGATGATATGGGAAAGCAGCGGGGTTACCACTCGAATCTTGGTAGGTTGAAGCCCGGTCCGTCCGAAGTGAAGTATAGTAAGTTTTGCAAGAACATATAACTAAAAAGGGTTGCTTCTCAGTTATAATCCGGTCAGCAGTCTCCGGACTGCGCTGAGGTGACCGAGCCGGCACAGGATTAGTGAAAGTATCAACAGTGGTGGAACAGTGGCAGCGCAGACAAGAACAGTATGGACGTATTTCCTGGGGTCGCAATAACCTGCCGCTTAGAGAAAAGGAAAGAGGAGGGAGATGCTGCTGTAAAAGATCGTCCTGGTGACAGAGCCAGAGCACGGAAGGAGGGTGATAGTTACCAATGTCTGGAGAAGACCGGGGAGGGGGGCAAGCAGGATCATAATAATGCCACTAGCCTACTGCTGATAATCACGGTAACGGTCCAGAAACACCCACAAGGAGGGGAAGAGACGAACTGGCAGCGCTGGGCAAGCGCGGGAGAGGGTCGGGTAACAGGGCAGCCAGGCCCCAAAGCAGCAGGCCGTGGGCAATGGGCGGGCGTAAAGGGCGCGCTGCAGCGCTGCGGGTGCCAGCTGGCTCACGTTGGCGCGCGATCGGCAGCGGCAGCGACAGAAGCCCGACATCGCGCGGTGCTGGTTGGCTGTGCGGCACCGTCCAGGACCGGAAGTGCGGCTGCCTGGTTGGCTGGGCGCGAAAGTCTGAGACAATTGGGATAAGAGAGAAATGCTGTCTCCTCGACGCTATAGAGTTTAACTTTGGCACAGCATGTCAGAAGCCGCGGGTATGCTCTGGAACGCTGCCCAGTGCCTACCTACCTGGGTAGTCCAGGCGACCTAGAATCCATGACCCCAGCCGGACCTGTAACCGGGGCCGCGCGGCTGAGCGGCATCTGCAGAAGGCAGCCGAAGCGGCACGGAGGAGGAGGAGGCGGAGGAAGAAGAGGAGGGAGGAGGATTCGTGTGGCAAAAAAAAAAGAAACGCAATCCCAACGCCAACGTTGCATGAAACGCTCAAGCAGGAGAGATGGAAAGGCGTGGTTGCTCAACACAGATGGTTTGTCGCTGCTCCATCTTCTCCCCATGCTCGCCGCATTATCCGCCTAAGTTCCAACATTCCCGGCGGCGGCGGCTGTCCCTGCTCGACTTCTTCTCGCTTACTCGCTGAGCGCTCACCCTCCTCGACCAACACCAGGTGGGGAGCGGGCAGCCTCCTCGTCAAATTATTCGCCATTGGCGCCGGCTGGGAGCAGCTGGCGCGGTTAGATAGGGACGCACCCAGAGCCCTCTGGCCGCCGGCCGCTGCACGAGAATAGCAGGCAGGGGGTGCTGCCCCGTGTGTGCACAGCAAGCTGCAGTCTTGCCCATTGTGCTCCACAACTGCCTCTCATTATTGGTGCGTCTACCATCTGTTAGCCAGAGTGGCGTTTCTGCCGCATCCCAGGTCAGTGTGGGCGTTTACTTGAGACGCCTATGGGTGTGCTTACACTTGATTGCATACTGCCCTGGAGTAATATCTACTACTACTACCTACCTGTTACTACAGTGTACCACCAAAGAGGTTTGCAACTAAAATACCTGTGCTAATTTAATACCACCCAAAATACGGAGTACATAGTAATACCATGGTTACCACATTTAGGGTGACAGAGTTTTCCCAAGGTTAACACATTTATTTAGGTCATGCTGTGATGGATATGGGAAACTTGGGGAACTGCTGGATTTAAAAAACATTCAAAGAAAAAAAATACCTGGCTTGTTTCTGTCTGCAGGCATGATGATTCAAAATATTACCCCATGTGTAGGATTGTTGGCAACACCTAATTACTGGTAAGAGTTGTGCAGGTCATCGTATCTCTAATATCACTCCATACCAAATACTACAATAATGATTAGTAATCATTCTTTATATTATTATTATCCATGAGAATGAGTACAGTTTTATTCCCTGAAGACAAGCAGGTAGGTAGCATTAACATTTCTCATTGGTCAAACGGTTTCCTCGATGGTATTTGATATCGAGGTAAGGTACGCCAATATATCCTTGCTGCCCACCATTGGTCCAGTTCCCGAGATTCAACATAAAGTGACGGATAACTTGCTGGATATCCTTTCTTTTATCGACATAGGGTTTCAGATCTGTTGCCTCACAAAGTATGATGAACGTAGGGGAAATCTGATATTGGTGTACTGTCAGATTATTGTAATGCCCAGAAGTATTAGGTTTTCTTCCGGATTCCCTATTATGGTCAACGGGTTCCGTGGTTGTCGATGCTGAAGAAAAGAACTGGTTCTAGCATTCAACTTCTGAAACATTGTCTTTGCAAATTCATTGGCCGGAAAGCCGCTGAAGCCTCTGTAAAACATTGAATCTAAAATATATTTTAGTCTGCCTAAGCTGATCAGTATGGAAGCAGCCTGTTTCTCAAATTGACAATTTCTTTCGTGGATCATTGTTTGTAACAGGGCTTCGACGCTTAGCTGGCGGTTGCACCTAGTATATTGCATAGCAAGGAAAGACTGATTGCTTTTATTGTTATCTTTATACCCCATGCTCCAACAATGCGTCTTGAGTTTACCGAACACTTGCCAGCTTTGCTAGATAGTGGTGACCTTGTTCAGTGCTTTTGAACACTAGTCAGGACTTTCCCAACAGTTAATTTGGATCTTCAGCAACAAGCAGTAGGAGTGGGAGGGAGCAAGGAAGCAAATAGTTATACAACAAACGACGATCACCTCTAATTTATCCTCCCTGGATGATCTCGCTTATTCAGCTTCAGTCTCTTGCCTTCACAAAGATAAAGGTCGCTATTCCTAAAAAAAAATTCCTCCAAAGACATTTTGCAGGAAGACTCCTGCGCATCTGAAGATTGCACTCATTCTGCAACGATGGAGAAAACTGCCACAACATCGGCACCCATATGGTTTTAAATTTGCAGCGCAAATTCTCCAAATATCGCGAGCTACGAGGTGGCCTTCTCTTGGTCATGGATTTGCATAGTCTTCACGGAGCGTAGATGGAAGTATATATGATTCCATCACTGGTTGTCAAATATTTTAATTATTATATTGCCATAGATCAGGAATGCATAGTGCGACAAACACAGGCCATTTGAAGCCAATAATGCACAAATCGTCGAGACCGAAATTCGGGATGGGAAAAAGAGATCAAAGGACGGTTCTTGTTAGTCAAATATCAGCTGTTGAGCCTATCCACTCATGCCAGGGGTGCGGGAAAATATGAAAGCAAGATTCATTCGATGTCTGGCTACAGTAAGAGGTGTATACATTCCAGTTGATTTTAAAACCCATGTTGAAATCTGACGACGGAAAACAAGGAATTTGGAAAAAATCGGCCGATTTTGGCCAAATTACATCAAGAACTGATGTTGAAAAGCAGAAAGAGGACCTCCTAAGCATTATGGACCCACCATGTTGTGTTCGGAGAATCTCAATGCGCAGAAAAGATGGCTGACTAAGCATGACGAGCGCCGCCGCCTTCGACATGCATCACGCCCACGGGATACGCCAGGCATTCGGGCTATCATCTTACAGAAGCGGCGTTTCCTCTTCAGCGCGGGCGATCACAAAAAGAGCCTCAAACCAATCACCAAAACATCAAAGAGGAGTAATTAGTCCCTTTTTATTCTTGAGTCTTAGCTGGAGTGTCTCATTGTTTGTCCAAGGATCGCATTTGACTACCTATCACAAGGATTCTGAAGGTTTCTGCCCCGCCTCCAATCTTTCGACGCAGTCTTTCTTGACACCACCACCTATTTCGCCATAACATACTGTGGATAGCAACTTCATAGGAGGCTTTACGGTTCTGAAGATTGAGTAGCAGCCAAAGCGACGTCGCCAGCTACTGGTGCGGAATGTCTGTCTCCATCCAGGAACTGGACAACACAGTCCGAGCCTTCTATGAGGGCAAAGGCGATGTGGTGAGTTTATACGAGAAACCCCCGCAGACACCGCAACATGCTGATGATATATCCACAATTTAGCAAAAACAAGCCCAGCAGACTTTGACTGAGGTATGTTGAGCGACCATGAGGGTGCCGGCAAACTGCAATTGTATTCTAACTGATTGCTCGTGATAGTTCAAACAAAATCCCGACGCGTGGTTACTGGTTGGAAACATTCTCCAAGAGTCGTCGTATTCCCAAACAAAATGTAAGTCTGCTTGTGGGAGAGAAGAATATGTGTTATATGGTTGGTTCACGACTAATCTGCAGAAGATCTTGGTCTGCAGGTCCTGGACGATGTGATTATGACAAGATGGAAGGTTCTGCCACGAGACCAATGTCAAGGTACATCCAGTTCGTTATTGCACCTGCCTCTGACCGGACTGACCATATCATAGGCATTCGTAACTTCGTCGTCAATCTTATCATCGAGCACTCAAAGTCTGAAGAAAAACTCAAAAGCGAGCGGGCCTTCTTGAATAAGTTGAATCTGGTTCTCGTCTCGATTCTGAAGCAAGAATGGCCCCACAACTGGCCTACATTCATCAACGAAATTATATCGTCTTGTCATACCAGCCTTTCCATCTGCGAAAACAACATGGCTATCCTTCGGTTGCTATCCGAGGAAGTTTTTGATTATTCTCAAGACCAAATGACATCCACCAAGGCCAAAAACCTCAAAACAACGATGACCCAAGAGTTCTCGTCCATCTTCCAGCTTTGCTCCGAGGTTTTGAATACGGCAAACTCGCCCAGTCTGATCAAGGCCACCCTAGAGACTCTTTTGCGGTTTCTAAACTGGATTCCTTTAGGATATATATTCGAAACCCCGATCATCGACACCCTTATTACCAGGTTCCTCGAGGTCCCGGATTTTCGCAACGTGACCCTGAAATGTCTCACGGAGATCGGTGGCCTGCAGATTGGGCAGCAATACTCATATGACGAGAAGCTGGTTCAAATGTTCACAGAGACGTTGACTAGAATCTCAAAAATCATTCCATTATCAATGGATTTGAAGCAAACCTACGCAAATAGCAATTCCAGAGACCAAGAATTTGTGCTCAATCTGGCCCTTTTCTTGACCAACTTCTTCAGCGTCCACCTTAATGTAAGTATCCGAACTGACTTCAGGCATCCCCCTCTTTCAGCAATCCCGTGTGAATTATGATGGCTGACTTAATTATGCAGCTCATTGAGAGATTGCCCAATCAAGACTATCTCACGCATGCTCACTTCTATCTCATCCGGATCAGCCAGATTGATGACCGAGAGATATTCAAGATCTGCCTTGAATACTGGACGAAACTCGTGCAAGAACTGTATGAGGAGATGCAACAGCTCCCGATTACAGATATGAACCCGTTGGTCGGCATGGGGGTCGGTGGTCTCTCGAATGGAGGTGCCCCTCATCCGAGTACTCTAGCCAACTATCCCCTCCGTAAACACAAGTATGCAGAGGTGCTGTCCAGTTTGCGAACTGTGATGATTGAGAAGATGGTGCGACCGGAAGAGGTGCTTATAGTCGAGAATGATGAGGGGGAGATTGTTCGAGAGTTTGTCAAGGAAAGTGACACCATTCAGCTTTACAAAACGACCCGAGAGTGCCTGGTTTATCTTACGCACCTTGATGTTGTCGATACTGAGAACATCATGGCCGAGAAGCTCGCTAAGCAAGTTGACGGAAGCGAATGGTCGTGGCACAACTGCAACACTTTGTGCTGGGCAATAGGATCTATATCGGGAGCTATGAACGAGGAGACAGAAAAGCGTTTCCTTGTCACCGTCATCAAGGACCTCCTTGGTCTTACGGAAATGAAGCGTGGAAAGGACAACAAAGCAGTCGTCGCAAGCAACATCATGTACATTGTCGGCCAGTACCCCCGGTTTTTAAAAGCTCACTGGAAATTTCTGAAGACGGTGGTCAACAAGCTTTTTGAATTTATGCATGAAACGCACGAAGGTTTGTCGAGTACAATGCTGCTGATAACATACGCGCTAACCTCCGCTAGGCGTCCAGGACATGGCTTGCGATACCTTCATCAAGATTGCAAATAAATGCAAACGCCACTTTGTCGCTCTTCAGCCTGGGGAAAGTGAACCTTTCATCGAAGAAATAGTTCGCAACCTGCGGAAAATCACCTGCGATCTTTCCCCGCAGCAGGTGCACACTTTCTACGAGGCATGTGGTTACATGATATCAGCACAAGGCCAAAAGGGACTTCAAGATCGTTTGATAGAGAACCTGATGTCATTACCGAACTCTGCATGGGATGCCATCATCGCCCAAGCCAACCAGGATCCCTCGATTCTGCAGGATGCAGAGACTATCAAAATTGTCGGCAATATTATGAAGACTAATGTTGCGGCTTGCTCTTCAATTGGAAGCTATTTCTACACTCAAATTGGCCGAATCTACCACGACATGCTCAACATGTATCGTGCTTCGAGCCAACTCATATCCGACGCCGTTGCGAGGGATGGTGAGATGCCCTTAGTCGCTTGTTCGAAGAGCTCTCGCCTGATTCTGACTTGGCACAGGAACCATTGCCACAAAGACCCCCAAAGTTCGCGGGCTTCGGACAATTAAGAAGGAGATCCTGAAACTCATCGATACCTATGTGCAAAAAGCCGATGATTTGGAGATGGTGAACGCGAACATGGTCCCACCACTCCTTGAGGCTGTATTGGTGGACTACAATCGAAATGTCCCAGATGCACGTGAGGCGGAAGTGTTAAATGTTATGACGACTATCATCCACAAGCTCCATGTACGTTGGACCCCCCGAACGTCGCGCTATTCGGTCAGATATACTGGGCATCTCACGTTGAATTGGTGCTGACTTTTCCCAGAACTTGATGGATGATAAGATCCCTGTTATCATGGAAAATGTCTTCGAATGCACACTGGATATGATAAATAAAGACTTTCACGAATATCCGGAGCATCGCGTTCAGTTCTTCAAGTTACTCCAAGCGATCAACCTGTATTGTTTCCCGGCATTGTTGAAACTCGACGCGAATCAATTCAAATTTGTGATCGACTCCTGCATGTGGGCCAGCAAGCATGACAACCGCGAGGTGGAGAACACTGGGCTCACCATGTGCCTGGAGCTTATGAATAATATGGCCGAAACCGATCCGCAGACATCAAGCATCTTTTTCCGCCAATTCTACCTTCCGATTCTTCAGGATGTGTTCTTTGTGCTGACTGACAGTGATCACAAAGCCGGTATGTTCAATCCGTCAGTTATATAACACACAAAACTAATGTAAATCCCTTTAGGTTTCAAATCCCAGGCGATGCTCTTGTCCCGCATGTTCTACTTTGTAGAATCGGGTAAAATTCAGGACCCTATCTACTCGCCGGAACAAGCGCCCCCTGGGACTTCTAATAAGGAATTCCTTCAAGAATATGTCGCCAGTCTTCTCCAGAATGCTTTCAAGAACCTCCAAGAGTAAGTGATAGTTGGGAGTCCTTCTATCTGAACATACTGCTGAATCAATCTAGGATCCAAATCAAGCAGTTCGTGATAGGTCTCTTTGCTTACAATGATGATTTCAACAAATTTAAAACCCATCTTCGTGACTTCTTGATTTCTCTGAAGGAGTTTGCGGGTGACAATACTGAACTTTACGCAGAGGAACGCGAGCAAGCTCTAAGAGAGGCCAAAGCTGCTGAGAGAGACCGCGCAATGAGAGTTGGAGGGTTGCTCAAGCCGGCTGAGATGGACCAGGACGACGACTTATGACTTGAAAGGGAACTTCGTGCCGAATTCAGAGTTTCTAATCCATCCGAGGAGACAGATCCTCTTACGACATCAAAGCTATCTGGGAATCCAGACTTGCTGGATGGCTGGGCCTTCTACGCACTCTGAAATCGGTGTCGATTCCTCTACCATGTGACGCAATTCGTCTTGGATGCGTCTCAAAGACATCTAAATACAACTTTTTGGTCGGTCACCAAGTGGCCTCGGTCGCCGACTCAAAATCTCGTCGATTCTGGTTTAAGGTGGTCTGGATTGGAGGGAATGAAGCCGTTGTTTACTAGGGGGTTGCCAACGACATGACGGACGTCTGTAGATACCCTCGTTGGTTTCTTGTGGACGGTTCATGCCCAACAGCACAGTTACTTTGCAATGGATTTGCGGCCCCGATATCCATTTAAAAAAGGACGATGTAAGTTAACAAGTCAGAGAGAAATAGATCGTCGTCGCAAATGAGGCAGACTTTGATCGATCCATGGCCATGAACTATTCAGTAGGTTAGTCGAAGATAACAGAACTGTTCTTGACCTGCGATTAAATGACTGCGCTTTTTGCCGTGATATAGCAATATTGGTAGTAGATAAAGGCTATAGTTTATATATTTTTAAACAAAAATGTTTTTATATTATACCTAGTTTTATAGCTAGCATGTTATTAATAGAGCACATTATTTGTTATTTAGATCTGGAGCTGGACCGAGTCCGTAAGGACTCCGGTGCTCAGCTTTTTTTTTTTCTGTTTGGTGCCATTGCACATCCCAGTAGTCAGTAGGTAAGAGCGACATTCCGATAGAACTTAAGTGCCGTAATATATAAATACAGCTATGATAGACCTGACAATACTATGTGGTGATCTAGCAAAAACATACCTGATGCAACAGCTTGCAAACAATTGTGATGACTATGTGCTGTACATATACACATATATATACACTTATTTCATATTTAGAGATTACTGGGAATGGTCACCTTCATTCACCTTTGTCTCGGATACCGGCTGATTCACAGATGAGATCACTACCACTACCTAGGACTCCTAGGTGCCGACGCAGTCCATATCTACACTGACAGCCAATATGATGAAAGGATAGAAAGATCCAAGATGCAGCAATCATTTCATCTTCTATATATAAAAAAGAATAACTGTAGAAGTATGATCCAATTCTGGCAGTTTGTCAGAGAATTCCTGCTTCTCACAGCTGGTAGCTCTCTCACACCTAGGTCAAGGTTCATAGCCTAGGTAGTTCTAATAAGCAAACGGTTCGTCTGCTGTATGATCAATATCTTGGCTTCCTTAATCCACACCTGCGCAGTATATGGAAGATGCGAGTGTATCATCAAATCCGTTGTTCAAATGATAGCCAATGAGATCAACTAATGGATAGTTCAGAATCCCCACCTAAGTCTCGTTTTGATTGCTTCTTTTGCGGCATTGGGCATAGTCATATTACATTACATGTATTCTACAAATATCTTGACTGTTAGATAACAACAGAGTCTGTCAAATATACCCCCAGAAGCACAGCCAGGTGTCCCGCCTTCAAGCCCCAAGTGGGAATCACGTAGATAGCATTGTAAATGACATGACTGAACTGGTATACAATAATGCATTATGTAAAGCGACAACCTGCTGTATGAAACAGAAAGTTCCCCCAGGATCTGTTGGGCTATGGAATACGATGCGCTCTTTCAGAGCTTAACTGGTATTGACGCAAGACTTCTGCAGCGCGGATATGATGATTCTTCTCGGCGGCTTTAAGGGCAGACATACCAGAGCGATCCACATGATCGAACTTGGCACCATGTTGGAGGAGAACCATGATGACGCCCTCATGGCCGGCTGCCGCTGCCGAAATAAGTGACGAAGTTCTCATCCGATGTATCGGTTGTGACTCATCACCCAAATCGTCAACGTCCGCTCCTTTGGAAAGCAAGAGGCGTACAATGTCAAGTTTGCCTTCACTAGCGGCTGCTCGAAGCGCGCCGGACCCTCTCACCCAAGCGCCGCGCTCAACGAGGAAGTTAATCCGTCTAATTGCAGTCCCTAGGTATGTTCAGTTAGACATATGAAAAAAAAAGGAAAGAAACAGTAAAGAAAATAACACATATGGTTGCTTACGATCGTTGACGGCACTTCGGACCGCAGCTCTTACAGGGCTCCGCTCAGGGAATTGGTAGTTCATGTCCGCGCCGTGAGCTAGGAGATAATCAACGTAGTCAAAGTTGTCCTGGCGGATCGCAACATCGATCTGTGTGTTTCTTACTGGCCCCCCACGGGGACTCTCTGGTTCAATTGTGTTAAAACAGCTGGGATCTCGGACGTAGAATGCTTCTGCCATGGGTATTGAGCCAAAACGCGCAGCCGCCCTGAGAGCCTCCCAAGGGATTCTGGCGCCACGAGGCCCCAGGTATTTATCCCAAAGGTATGTGAAGACTTCTATCTGTCCAGCTTCCGCGGCTGCACTTGCAAGATTGGTGACCTTGATGGAGCAAGGTACCTCGTCACATGGCTTGACTGGGTGGTTACAATACTTGACCTGTTCGTCTGTGGACATCGAGGGAAGTGTCTTCTCCAGAAAGGTCTGGAGTTTTGGAAGGTTTCCATTTGCACATAAGGACCTAAGCTCTGCTTGTGATGGTAGCATGGTTGCGGCCGGCTGGTAGTCGAGCACCTGACATTCAGTTGACGGATACTGCTGATAATAAATAACTATGTTTCAAACTGATATAGTTATAGTACATGTGTATAGATCTGAACGGTGAATTCAAATGTGAGTCACGGGTGTTTTGAAACCAGTACAACTAAGACCGATACTTTAAAGCTGATCCGGTGGTGCTCTGGTAGGTTATTCTGGCCCCCAATTCCAATGTTGGGCAATAATAAATAATAGTTAATAACAATAGAAATCTCCATGGGGACACCCACGCAGACTGTGGCGTCTCTCCCACTATTTTCCTAGTGAAACTACCTCTATAGTCTGTAAGTAGGAGGGAACGATGCCTTTTTTCGGCGACACTGGACACCGCTCTCTGCATAGCTTTCTAATATCAAAGAGTCGAATTTGAGATCCCGGCAACCAGGTCTGTATTTCTGGGTCGGTCCATACTAACCATAGTGACGTTACTGGACAGCTGCCTACTCTTCTTCCCTTTCCACATTACTCACTTTTCACTCTACTTCCATTCACTTTCATGCTTCATGTTCCCATATTTTCTTATGCAAAAATCAATGAATACTCATCTCTACAATCTTCTCCTTCAAAATGACAGATTCTACACCATCATTACACCAGCTCAGAAACAGCAGCACACTTGAAAAGCCACCTTTATCAGCACAAAAGTTATTCGATGAGATCTGTGCTGCTGTTGTTAATGCCACAAACTCCCAGGAGTTGGTCTACAAAGGCATCCACCCTTCTATTGGTTCCCTTGTGGCAGACTCTCTAGCAGCTGAGCCTAGAATTGAAAGGACATTTCCACGGTCAGTTATGCTTTAATTATTCGCAATCTTCCAAGTTAATATCTCTATTGAATATTAGCATACATTAAAACTCAGCAACAGAAGTTTTCCGTGTCCATATTATGCCCACCGAAATCCATAATGTTCATGTCCACTGGATTAAGAATGAGTTCTCTAATATGTTAAAATCTCAATTTCTGACTTTTCCTGAGTGGAAATTTCTGGATTTCAATGTTGGCACCAGTTAGTCATGGGCCCTGCTTTATATGATCCTTAAACCTTTTCTAACATTAAATAGGATTTACTGGTTTCTCTGGAATCTATACCGGCTCCAGCAAAGAACCAGACCTCTTTATCAGGCTCAACACCTACCCTCTCCCAACAGTAGTGGTTGAAAGTGGTTGGTCAGAAAGTTGGCCTCATCTTCAGAGCGACAAGAATCTTTGGTTTTCAGGTGGACCCGCCGTTACATATGTGATCCTGCTTCAATGGTCCAAAGGTGCAAATAATCGAGTCAAAGGAGTTGTTGAGGTGTATCATCGCAATGCTGTAGGGGCTGAAATCTTACTGCATCATGAGGTATTCTTTGGTCTGCTTCAATATTCATATTTAATCAGAAGCTTACAATTATAGGATATTTCCCCCATACCTGCTCTTGCTGCACAACTAATAATCCCCATCACTCTTGGTGAGATCTTTGGAGCAGGAATCTTCCAGGGGAGAAACCAAAATGCTGTACATCAAATGTCACTAGCTAACTTACGGCCACTGGCAAGGGAGCGACTTCTAGCTATGGGTCTTACTCCAGCATGAAAATTGGTTTTCATTTACTAGCAGTCAAAGATTTGAAATCAGAAAAGAAACTTTAGCAATGGGGTTCTAGCTATCAACAAAAGTACGAAAAGGGCACTTAGACAAATTGTGGATGTCATGTTAAACCTCAAATGTTAGCTCTCCGACTTACGGTATACCTAGGTAGCCTTCTCGAACGCCTAGTTGAGCTCTAGGACGGAATTCCTTACAGTTATCTTCGGCCCATGAGATATTAATATACTCTCATTTCCATTTGCATCCTGAGGACTGCTTTCTTTCCCTTCCAGCGTCACAAGATAGAGCTGGGGTCTAAAATGTGCTTATTCTGACTTCAATTTAACCTGCTAAATTTCCGAATGCAATCCGGGACATAGCATTTCAACTACAATCGAGGCCGCTGTTGTTTGTGTTTTGCGTACGAGCTACGAGCTTCAAGGTGGAAAAAGATGTCATGGCACACTGTGTTGAATAACATATATTCTAACAGGCATGAAGACAAACCCATATGACCAAATATTTAGGTACAAGGGGAAAAAAAGGCTCTCTTATCCAGATCATGCCTCAATTGACTGTCAGCTAGGGTCGCCCTTCGGACAGGTCTTGCCAAGAGGACATGTCTGCAGCCACCAGAGACCACAGACATTACGAGCTTGCCCACCGTTCCATGGGCACGCCTTAGCGATTGCCTTAAGCGGCTCGTAGCAAAGGTCTTGCTCAAGTTTTGTCGAACCCGATGTGTACAAATGGTGACACTCGGCCGGGGCATGTTCGTCCAGGGTATATCCTGAGAAGATGTAATTGTTACCAGCCGGGGTCAGGGGGTCGGAGCTGCCGACATATAACCAGTCTGATTGATTCTTGGCGCAAAACTCGGCCGGATCAAAGTTGCTAACTTGAATAAGCTTGTCAGCTTCACTGGTGCCATGTGTCGGGAAGCACTGAATTGTTCCAGTTGCATTAGGATTCAGAGTTGGCGTGGGAGTAATCGTCGATATTGTCTTCTTTAATGCCCATGATGTCGGCAGGGCGCAGCCAGCTATAACAGCATTACCAGATGTGGTAGTTTCAAAGGCTGCAATTACGTCACCACATTGACACTGAGTGGCGGTTGTGACACGGTCGGATGCACTGCTTTGAGTATAAGTCGTCCTGTGTACGATTAGTTAGTGATAAAATCCATATTTACAGGGCTTTTATAGATCACTCACGTAGTCACCACGCAACCAGTGTTCACAGAAGTGGAGTGGGAAGTTAGAGTGATTGTTTGACTTGGCAGGGTTGAGAAGTTACAGTACGACGTTGTTGCACCGGGGATAGTTGAGAATGGCCCACGTCCACCACAGAAACACCAAGATGACGGCTCATTATTCACACCCATCAGTTCATTGCTTCCCTCTGAGCAGATTGGAGCTGGCGTGATCGTCGAAGATGCTCGTGGTGTGGTCGTCGAAGATTCCCGTGATGTGGTTGTAGTCTCTCGTGTAGTCACTTGCGTAGTCGCTGGCGGAGTAGTGATAGTTGGCGTCTTAGTTGGGGTCGGTGTCAGAGAAGACGACCTGGTCCTTGACGAAGCCTGTGACCTTGTTCCTGACGAGGATTTTGTCGTTGAAGAGGGTGTTGACACTGCTGTGCCTAAGGGAGAACCAGAAGCAGAACCTGAAGGTACAGAGAATGCTGAGCAGGATCCTGCACATGAGAGGCCATAATCCCACCAGGCAGTCACAAAAGGACCTTGTATAGTCGTTGTTGCTGCACCCGATGTGAGCATGGGACATGCATCTGGGGACGTATAGGTGGTTGTTGTGGTTCCTGTGATATCGCACCCGGTAAAAGTCGAGTAACAGGTCGTGCTGCAGCTTTGACTTCGAACTCTTTCTGGAGTGGAGGTGACAGAAGGGCATATGGCACGGCAATCGCTGGCAGTTTGCATCGATGTGCAAGATGAGAATGTTGTTGTCGTGGTGGCGGTCAAGTCGCAACCAGTGATCGTTGACTTGCTTGTAGTGCAAGACTGTGCCCCTTGCCCTCTACGCCCCGGTGCTGCAGTAACAAAGCATCCCACGAAGACATCCAGGACCGTTGAAGATGCTGTGCAAGAGGATGTTTGGGAAGATGTTTGGGAGGATGTTTTTGATTCGGTTGATTGAGCTGACTCGGTGGGCTTATTCGATTCTTGTTGGTTGCTGTCAAGCGGCTTTTGGAGATTCTCCAGATTGGTCAAAGTTGACTCAACGTCGTTGACATTTTTGAAGCCGTTATTGATGCCGCCCTCAATTTCTGTCACTGCCTTATTTAAATTGTCTGTGACACAGGAGACAGCGTTGAAGAGGTCAGTAATGAGGTTGGTGTTCACACTACATGACTTCTTCGATCCGCTCGACGATCCAAGTTTCGCCATTAATTCCTGCACCAGCGTTAGTTGAACTCGGTTCCAACGAATACGGCTCAGGTGACGTGAATACCTCGGCTTCTGGCTCTACTTTTTTGATGGAGGTGATGGCATTTTCAGCATTCTGGGTCTGTGGATCATCAATGAAAGATTTAATGACCGGAATAATCGCAGCAAGCTGTGTCTGCAATTCGCGGGCACTAGAGCTCGCTTCTATACCACTAGGATCAATGGTTGTGGTTGCCTGCACGGGGATTGCACTTGTTACATCGCCTCCGGAGATAAATGGGATAACTTCAGTATGTGTACTAGATGGCCCAGATGTCACAACTGTGGTGGTGAAAATCGAGGGACCAAAATCATTTCCACCACGAGACGTGGTCGCGGCTGCAATTGAAGATCCAGGAGTGGGAGATGATAGGCGGCCAGTTGAGGTGGTGCTCCTTGGTGCAGTAGTGCTCCCTGGTGAGGTGGCAGCATTCTGTGGAGTAGAAATTGATATTGAAGAATGACGGCTGCTGGTGCCCAAGTTGACAGTCGAGGATGCTTGTTGAGGAACCGTTGAGCTGGGTGAAGATGGAGGCGAATGTGTGTGGCTAGTAGAAGGAGTCGGGTTTGAAGCACCGGGGATCTGGCTAGAAGAGCTCAATCCCAAGCTTTTCGAACGGGTGAATGCGTAGGACGTGCGAGGTGTAGTGCTGTTTTTTGATATTGATGAAGAACTGGGAAAGGGCCTCTTCGAGAATGCATCGGTGGTGGGCAGGAGGGTTATCGTATATATTGCCCACAGGACCACCCATGAGCTAACCCCAAGACGAATGTGCATGGTGGAAAGAGCACCACCCTGGAGGAAACAACCGTAAAGAATGCAAAAAAAGAACGTCTTGATGAATATCAAGATAGCTGCGAAGAGGGCCAAGGGGATCTTTTAAGAGACGGAAAACAACTTGGGGATACCACCAATGTTGCCCCCACTACTGCCACGAGCCTCAGCATTATGAGATGGCTTAACAAACTGCGCATCAAGTATTGCTTCCCTGGTTTTGCGTCTTGGCCGTGAAGGTCTCGATCATCGCAAGCATATTGTATTGTAGAGCCGCCCCCAATGTCAACGGTGGTTTAGACTTTTTAGGGCTAATCCTTCCGGCAGGGACAGTCTCTGACTGGCAGACGGATGCCAAGTCTGCCTAACGGCTCGTGGTTGGGGCCTCAGGCGTCTCTTTTGGCCCCTCTGCATGATGAGGGTCTTCAGGATAGATGAAAAGATGAAAATCAAGTCAAAGAAAAAAAGAAGGTCTCTGCGCTGTCGACCTGTCTGGACCGTCAGGCACATCGGCCGCGTCGCCCCCAACCTATGTACAGAGCAGAATCACGGACGGTTTAACATGGGGCTAGAAATGGGGATGCAGCAGCAGGGGCCCGCCACAATTGGGATGATGGGATTCATCTCTGGTATTTTTTTTCTAGTAAAATAAAATCCACGAGAAGCGCGATCTTTTGAATGCAATTACCATCTCTTCTTCTCACCTACTTTCGTTTCATTTGATCTCTTGTTTGTCGGATCCCGGAGGGCCCATCCATCACTTTTGTTAAAACTGACATTCGAATTGAGCTGGTTATCCTACATGCTCCTCTCATTCAAAACCCTCTTCGTCGCTGCTGCGGCGTGCACTCTTCCGTTCCAGGCGGCTGCCAGTGTTCTGCCTTCTCCCTTCCAGCAAAACAATACCCTTCTGCCCAGGGCTGATGCGGATGGGACCCTCTCCGGCAAAGACCCTGATGGCATTTTCTATGTGAAAGATTTCATCAATGCATACACTTCAAAGGTCCCAGACGAGGACCGTGTTGGTATTTTTTGGGCTGGCGGAGCGACAACAGCTGATGACTTTGAAAACATTTACGAGTTCATCGAAATGAGATTGGACTTCAAGGGGAAGCTCTTCAGTGATGTGTTTGATTTCAATTTCTTCCAGACCAATATGAACCTTGGTACGGAGCAAAATAATCTCTACTGGAGGGCAATGTATCGAGCTTCCAAAGGCAAGCAGACCCGCTACAACTTCAAACGAATCTGGAGCCTTAGGCTTATTGTCTTCTTCTCGACAGCTCTTGCTGCTGCTGCCACCAATGGAAAGGCCTACGTGTATATGAATAACAACAACTGCCGGACTCTCTTCTCTCCTCCGTCCCAGCATCCTCAAGATGGTTTGGCTTTCCTTAACCTCTTCCCCCTACATTTTGGCTAATTATTACTCCTCCAGTGGATCCCGATCATGGTGGTCAGGCCACAAACGGCGAGATTTTCTACTATGCAGAATTGCCAACACTCATGCGTAATCCGAACATCGACCAGATCATCACCTTTTCGAAAGTGAATAGGAAGTTTGTCGTCAATGTGGCGTGGGACGTGAACAGGGTACATCCCGCATCCCGTCTATAGACATGACTAGTCTTTAACATATATCCAGGATACCGACAAGCCCAGAGACTACCTTCCGGAAATCTCCATGGACGCAGTTCCAATCGTTCTTCCGCCAGAAGCCGGCCGGCCTCCGATGAAACGCTCTACATCTACGACAGGTAAAGCGTGGTAGACATGCTGGCAAGAGATGAACTATCAAGTCCGGAATACTGTGGCAGCACTTATGTGTTTTCAGAATATACGAGACACTAGTTGTAGTTTATATTTGGATTTGCTTGATGTTTCAAAAGCAGAGGATAAATCCAGTAAAAAAAAATCAAAAAGTGATCTTAAATATCAACCATGCGTACTCCGGAGTATTTTGCAGGCAGAACAAAGAATCCGCCATGTGTATACTTTGTACTATTAGAGGATTTCTGTGGCACCCCACCGGAACAGCCTGGCTTTCTAATAAGCTTCCCGAATAGGCAGTTGAAGCTCATTACTTAGGTAGGTAATCACGGCTGTGCTTCTTCCAGTGACGAGTCGAGTCTCCCGTGTCGCTGGAAAGAGAAAACTCCTTTTCTTTGGTTATTCTTCTGCACAATCCTTAAGTATCTACATATGGAGGTGGTACTTCTAAACCTATATCTATTTCTTAGTACTAGAGACCTCAAAAGGGTTTACTACCTCTGAAGTTATTTTTAAAGCTTATAACTTCAGCTTGAGAAGATCATCTACTAGATATATTAGATATCTTTTCTTTATACAATATTTGCCAATTCCTTGTGACGCCGGAAATTCCATCCTGTGTCGAGGGAGGTAGTGAGGGTTCCCGAGCTCACGTGTTTAGATTCCGAACCCCTGCTAATTGACCTTCGAGAGAAGGTCAGCATCAGCTACATGAATCCGAACCTAACGTGCTGCCTGTCGTACATTGTTCACGTTGTTCCATATCAATGATACCCATTATGTCGGCGCGAACGATGAAATGACTCATCAATTTTGACCGGTAATCGAGCGATCTAAGCGAGATCACCCAACGACCACACGAATCACGATGTATATTGGTAAGCTAGATTAGCCTCCTGCAGTATCGGAGCAAGGGATTCAACCACAACGACTCAGTTTTGACTACCACTTAGACCACTAGAATTTGACAACAGTGATGATTAGAAAGGAACACAAAGATGAGTTTTAAAATAGGCTGATTTCATACCCCCAAACTCCTAGGAACAATCTCCTTCCTTATATCTCAGATACCAGCTGATTCACTGCGTAGGACTCCAACACCTTAGAGACCGTATTTGCCTACTAAAGACCTTCGTACTCATCTACGGATCGAACCCTCTCACAAGGAGATGGGTAGGTAGCTGGTTTTATAAAATTTAGGAGACAAGCAGGTAGTCATTTTTACTAAAATCTACTAAGTGTGAAGATGACTTTACCTACATAGGTAGGTACCTGTGCCCCCGACTTCCCAGGTGGGCAAGTTAAACGCCATCGAACAAGCGCTGAAGCCGCTCACGTGCAATCACTTTACCCCACATTGTTTCCCAGCTGCTTTGTCAGCAATGTCAGAAACTAAGCACCGTATGCAAGTTTCGAACACTGTTCCTAACACAATCTACCTACCAACTTGATTCTCTATTTGAGAGACAGCCCATTCCCTCATTCCACGATTCTGTCGTCTTTGTGGATATGTCGCAAAACAGGCAGCGCAATCCGAACGTGACAGTTGGCTCGCAAGTGGACACGGAAACAGAATCACATCAAGGGACTTCGAGCACCGTGGTTCGGGGTACTTTGAGACTGAGAGGCGAAAGTGTTACGGATTCAACGCAAAATACCGAGAGGCCACCTACGCGACACATCAGATGGCGTGAAGATGTAGTCAATAATGAAGGAATGGGGAAGAAGAGTTCGAAAGGTAGGTAGGAGCTTGGGGCACGCTTTCAGCTGCCGTTCTTGTAAATCAGTCCTAGTGAACTTTCGTGGCGTCTGCACGTTTATTTCAGTTTCTTGACAATGCAGCAGCTGCTGACGGAACCTATAGTCTGCTGCATCTATCACAAACCTCGCCCGGTAGGCGAAAGTAGCTCTGAGTCGTCGTCGTCGTCGGATTCGAGCTCCTCGGATACGGAAAGTGATAGTGATAGCGATGTTGTCAATGGACAGGATAGAGCAATAAGAGGGCGGTGCAGCCATGCAGATGGTGGACATGTTGACGATAGCACCTCGTGTCCCTCCGGCCATCATCACAAGAGAAAGTCTAAAAAGAGAAAGCCAAGTCCCAATGCGTACGAGAGAGTACCAAAATCCGCTTCTAAAAGATATTCTGAAGAGCGCGGAACCTGATGCTCATCTGGGTTGCATATCTTCACTTTTTCTTTTGAAGGAAGCATTGCTTTGCATATATTTATTCCAGAGTTATTACCATACCCGAGAAACATGACAATCAAACACCAAACCTCTGCCAACAAACTGCAGTGTTGATGGGTATCTACCACACACCTGTTCCAAGTTCCGTCAAACCACAAAATAAGCATAAGTGAGTATATACCAGTTACAAGCTCTGTCGCGCTTCTCTGACAGATTCACAGAGAAGATATTTCATCTGCGCAGCAACGCCCTCACAACATCATACTACGTCTCCTGGCTGCACCTCGCTGACTGCGCTTGATCTGGCCCCCATCTGCAGCCGTGTTCATTGAATCTTCCGAGTTGTCTTTGGCATGCTCCGCGATTTCGTTGAAAGATATCTCTCCTCCGTCCTGTTCTTTCCTGTTGAATTGACCGACCTCATTTTCCATTTGGTGGATTGTTCCTTTAGAAGTCTGTGTGTGCCCTGATAATTTTCTATCTGATTCCAAGGACTTCTGTCGTTGATGGTCATCGAACTGACCATCTCCAAAACAGGCGTCACGATAGACACTGCCTGTATTGGAAGAATGTCGTCGGGTATGTCGAACCGTGCCAGCAGGTAGTTTGTCTGTACTTCCTGCCGCTGGCGTGATTTCTGTTTCGTTGCTTATTTCAGGATTTGACGATCTCTCAGCGCTGATTTGTGCTGTGTCCGGATTATTGTCATTGCATACTCCACGATGTTTGCGGTCAGGAGCTTTTCTTCCTCCTGGCATGACTGTATGGGCGGAGCTTCCAGACGTGACATCACAGTCTTGTGACCGGATCAAATCGTCCTTGTTTGCTGAGAGTGTTCTTCGCTTCCTTTCGGTGATTACAGTGGTTGGCAGTTCGGATAGACTGTGGAATTTCACATCCTCGGACGAGGCAGCCGTTTCGCGGGTCGCATCCTTATGGGCTGATGACGATGAAGAAATGTCACTGTCTCCTTTTGTTCCCGATGTGGTTCTCGTCTTTGCCTTTGAAACATGTATGTCTTGCTCCTCATTACCATGATTATTCTTTTCCGCTTGCGAGCTGGAGATTCGTCGAAATCGATCCGGTACCACTGCGTCAACAAGCTCGTCTGTAGGTCTGCGCATTTTGTCTCTCAAATTCGGTTCGGCGTAGCTTATCGCGGGTCGGGGTCGTCTGGTCTGCCGGGATGCAGGCCCTGTTGTAGATGGGGCCGTTTGAGTGTTCTCCCGAGTTTGCTGACGGGAAGAGTCGTTTGATTCGACTTGGGAGGACGAATCTTTCACAGACCCGGAAATGCATGTCTCCGGAGCACTGGGCGTCTCTGAGGATACGATTCTTCCTCCGTTGTTATCTGGATTTTCAGACTCAGGCTTTGAACCAGGATCGAGCTGCTGGGACGTTTGTATCAGGGCATCTTTTTGCATATTCTCCTCATGATTGTCTCTTTTGATATGCTTTTTCTGGCTTTCAACGTCTGCAGTGGGTTGCTTTCTGGGAGACATTGGGCGCATATTTGTGCTCTCTGCAAAAGTTTTGGAGTTAGTTCATATTGAGATAAGACCTGTAAAGATAAAGTATCTTACGTACTTGGCTCCAGTACTTTACGCCTAGATGTTCTGGCATTTTTTAACGGTTTTGTCAGATTATTTTGGCTGGAATCGAATGACTCTTCCGGATTATGCGGCCCAGTTTGTGAGGCCGTCTTCTGTGAGATATTGATAGCACGGCTGAATTGAAAATCGTCATCGATGATGTTCGTGTTCGACAGGAACTTGTCATCATCATCTCTGGCACTGAATTTCCGCTTTGATCCGGATTTCATAGCGGGTTTTGCGATTTCGGATTTCGAGGCTCCTGTTGTATGTTTCGCCTGGCTCACTTCTGTAAGAAACGAGCTCTCCTTTCCAGTCGATTTCGCGTCTAAGCGTGCTGGTAGTGGAGAGTCGGGCTCTTCATTATCCACAGTCTCTGGCCTAGTGAACTCCGCATCGCCCGTCAATGATTCCGGACTGAGACTTTGGTCAACGTCAAGGTGCGCAATTGGTGGTGATCCGATCTTGGGCGAATCAAAAGGATCTGTAGTTGTATTCGAGATGGCCTCTACTTCCTGGGATCTAGATACCAAATCAGTATAATGTAACAACTTCACCTTCACGGAATACCCACTCTAATGTTCTCCTTGGAAAATACTTGTCTTCCAGTATGACAGGAAGTCTTCCGTCTTCCTCACCGCCATCAGGACCAATCGCCATTCGCTTGGGAGGTAAAATACAGGATTGTCGCCGTTCAGTGCCAGAGCCCTTTCGATGCTCGCTAACTTTGCGAAATTTCTGTGGCATCATTCCCAGTTCGTCCACTAGGCTACCTAGTTCTGCAAGTTTCGACGCCAACTTGTCTTTATAGGTGCAAATTTCGTTGCTGAGAGATCTCGCAGCCTCGAACTTTTCGACATCTTGACTGAGAGAGATAACTTGCTCTCGAAGCGCTGCATTTTCCCTAAGGAGGTGGGATACTTCGGATTCGAGACTTTGAATACGGAGCGACTGAATCGAATTTGCTCTGGCAATCTCGCGATTTTGTCGAACAAAGCGTCTTTTCACTAAAACGCCCTCAGCTATTAGCTGGAAAATGGATAGACAGTTTTAAATCGAATGTTAGGGACTGAACTTACGAGCCTCAATTGATTCTGCCGGAGCAGGCAATTCGTTCAATCGCGCCATCCCTCACACCGGAATCTCGTTCTCAACCAAGTGGCCGTAAAAACCCCCTAACCTTCCAGTTCAATCTCCAAAATTCTCGCGCTATTCTGTTGATGAGATGGTGTAAAAGTACCTACCTTTTCACATTTGGTGGTGACCTCGGACGAAGTGAAAGTTATGATTACTTCCTAGTTTACCGAGAGGCTTTGGTGTTGTTGACATTTGACTAAATATGGACTAGCTTCACTGCGCGTGGCAGGACTCCCGCCAAGCTCTGGGCTAGCGTGCTGAATGGAGAACAGCCCACCACATCATCATATCCTGTTGTTTTAAACGCTTTCGCTGACTGGGAACTGATAATCTTTACCTTCGTTGAAATCGTGATAAAATAATTCATCGACATTCAATTATTAGGTGACTACCGCCTTAAAACTATGGCGCACGGGCCCCGGCCAACCTCGTTTCCAACGACTTCATCCACGAGTTCTTCATTTCGCCAGCCCAACGCCTATTCAGTGGCTTCGCAGCAAGCGTCAGTCCTTGCCGCGCGGATTGAATCAAAGAAGGCCGAGCTGGAGAATCTCAGACAACTGCGTGATCTCAGCCATGCGCTAGCGGAACGAATGCAGGCTCTGGAAGAGAAGATAGGGACATTGAAAGATGGAACGGAAGGTTTGTCGTGCTTTTTTGTCCGTGTGTGATCTTTCAAAAGACCAAGCAAAGTTGACTGGCTTTTTTTTTTGCTTTCCAGCTGTCGCTTGTGTTCTTGCAAATTGGGACAATGTCCTACAAGCCATCAATATGGCAACCAGTGAGATTTCCCTACCAGCTCTCACATGAGCCTGCGGCGAGTCTTGGTGTTTCAAGTACTAATCCGATTGATCATCCAGCGAAAGCGGCTCGACTGCAAGTTCCTGAAAGTGGAAGTCATAGGTCGTCCCTGGCAGCCGATGCTCGTGAAGTCGCACCTCTTCCAGCAACTCTTGTCCGAATTCCAGCAGACCAACCGAAAAGCCCCTGAGTATATAACGTCAAGTTACATTAAGAGGAACATAGCTCGCTAAGCGGCCTTGCGGAGTCATTTCAATTACTTTCCCATGAGCCTGGTCTTGATGGGAGACTTGCGGCATTGATCGAGACGAAGATTGCGGGCCAAGGCCTGAGACGTGAATCTCTTACGCGGGGCCTATCCAAAACCACAGAATCTTATCGTTCGGATGAGAGGAGTCCCTCCCTCTTTTCGTTGGGTGCTAATCTGTGGAATCTCTTGCGAGACGGCGATAACTACCGAGACCGTTCTCTTTGCATCCGAAAGCAGCTCAGATGTGCCACCTCGATTAATGTGCCGATTTAATTCTTCATCGACCAGGCATATAGTGATCAAGTTAAGGTTGTCAGGAGCAACAAGGACAGTGAAAGGTTAAGTCTTTGTGGAAAATTCTTTATGGCGCAAACAGATCTGCGATGTGTGTTTGAAAGGAAAGTAGCACCCGCGGCTGGCTAAGAGACACAAGGCCAAAGAATTCAGGGCTGAGTTCAGGTGGAAGAAACCACCGTGTTAACCTCGCTCAGCTGATGAGCTTTCTGGGATGGCTTCAATACGAGGATCTGCATAGCCTATACTCATATCCGTCTGAGAAAGATTACTCGGTACAAAGTGGAGTTAATTCGCCTACTTGTTTCCCGTCCGCTCAATGGAGAAGGCTGGGCAAAGGCTGTGCCGGGAGCCTCGGCAGGCCCTTTTTCAATGTTCAATCGCGCGACGGTCCCATTGACCTACCTAGGTAATTTTTATGAAACCTAAGCAAGCAAGAACAAATGAAATAACCCGGATCAGGTTAGTCTGAAAATGTCCAGTTAGCTAAGCCTCAGTCAATGCTGCCAGTCTCCCATCCTTTCCGGGTCACTTGGAGCATGAGCGTAGAGAATTGGACCTTGATATAGAACACATTGCACTAGGCCAAAGCCTAAGATTCAGAACTTTCTTCATATGTAAGTTGTGTGCCGTACTTTTACTAGTCACGCATGCACTCAGTAGATTTCATAAAGCAGACTATGATCCTAACACCTCGCTACAAGTTAATGAGCCGCCGTGGTCATCTGATTGAACCTGCGTGTATATATACGGATTATTGAAGCAGGTTTCTTCGCGTTTCCTAATCGAAGCTCTCTGTACGAAGCGTGTCCAAACCACTTCGTTCCATGACAACAGCAATAATACTTTTGTATGGAGAGCCCAAGTCCACTGTGTCTTGTATTGCGTACTTGCGTCGTTCTGCTTGTCGACGATATTCTAAGTATTATTATTTATTAACTCTTCACCTAGACAACTGTGTACTTGCAAATTTTCAAGCTCCAAAAAGTATTTTCCGCAAGGAAATCGCGTTGATATCATTGATTACGGAGATAATACCCAGAGAGCCTGTCCATTGCCATGCTGATCTCGGGCCGAGTCTTCCAGGAGTGTCTGTCCGCTGACTAGTCTAGCGGGGAGTATGCTTTCCTCTACGACTTCTACGGAGAATGCACCAAGCCTCTGCGGTAGTGTCTTGCTGCCACTAATGGGAATGGAGGACGGAGTACCCGTGCGCGCTACTGCAGGCGACTGAGGCCAGGGATGGGGGCCTCTTTTGCCACCCCCAGACCCTTGATTTAACTCGCGGTTCCCTCCTTGTCCAAACTGGTCGACCTCGCTTTCTCAGCACAGCGACAGCAACGTTAGAAGAAAGAGGTTGACGACCAACACAGGTGAGAGGCAAGAAACGATACAAACACTATGGGAGTGCTCCCCTCTCAGGCCAGGCCTGCAGGCTGCATGAAGAATTTCGAACAGATTGGGATTGGTCCCCTCTGGGTTTGGCGCCAAACGCGCTCTATCAGGCTTGACCTTGGATTCGACCCTGCTCAGTGCTGAGCAATAGTATCATGGCAAGCATCCGATCATCAGATGCATCTAGTCCATATGGAGATATGGGGCCGTCCTGCACCTCCGCGACCTCTGGTTGGTCGAAGGGAGACCCTGTGCTCTTCGACAATTGGGCCGTGGCGGGCGACTGCCGACGCAATTGGCGCTCCTTCCCGCAAGGTTCCTTTCCTTGTTTCCCAGGTTTGCTGCTGCCTTTTAAGATTTTCCCCTCTCGCGCCCGAACCACGCATTTAATGGCTGGGACACTCACGAGTCGTAGACGCCATTCCGTCGTGGTCACACCTGCCGCGCCATCTTCCACTTCCTGGCCAGTGCCGCACCTGCCGCTACTCCCTGTGCCTAATACGGAGTAGACGCTTCGTGCCTCTCGGGACGCTATGACCTCTTCGATGTACCATTCTCCTGATTGGAAGATGGGGAAGAGGGAAAAACGGAACCTTGGTGAAGAATGTCAACTGTTTGTAAGTTGGAGTTCAACTCCTGGAGATGCAAGCTCCCAAAGAATGACAGATTCCTTCACCGAAGATCGCGAGTTCATTATGACTTTGTTCTCGACACTGAAGAAGAATGGGTGCCATGATTATCACCAGGTTTCTTTTGGCGCCCTTCTCTGTACGCTAGGGTGGCTCATGCAACCCACCACCTCTTAGAGTCTTTCCTCTGCCTCTGGAAGCATCTGCATGCGCTGCGAGCGTCCTGTCGAGTCATCGTCCTAGAAACTAGTTGTTCACTTTCGCTGCTTTTGTAACCTGCAACTTGCAGCCTCCCTACCCGATTGGACAAGAGGCCAGGAGTCCGTCCTCCGAACTTTGTCTGCACAAGCTATGGAAGCCTCCACCGACCTGGATGGACCCCTACGGAGCCCTCCGTGCTGCTTGCTGTCATCCCCACTTACTAGCCAAGTCTCAATCCTTTTCTGTACTAGCCTGGTTCCCATTCCCTCGCGATGATTCAGGCTCCTAGATGACTGTTATAGTTAGTAGGACGCCCGTTTCTTCAACTCGGGTCTGCTTTATCTATCCTCCAAGGTACCATTCTTATGCCTTCAATCGTCGTCAGGAAGAAAAAAGGGTTCCAAACACCTCCAGGCGCTGAACCAGCCTGGCCCCTGCCGTCTTTCTGGACGTGCACAAAAATGAGCCCGATGTGGAGGTTATGAGGTGATATCATATCCCGTGCATGTCAAATTCCTTCTGCCGTCATCGCTTCTTTTCTGCCTGCCGGCACTCCTTTCTCAGCGATTCATAATTTCATATCGACATCCTCAGTCCCGTCATTTGACCCGCCGCCAAGGCAGCGTTGTTCCATCTCTACAGTTGATCTTCATAAACCGCCGCGAGTCGTCTTTTCCGTTCTCTTAACCCGTATATTCTGGCTGTTTCCCTAGCCGTCGTTCTGCACGCCGCGCCATATTGTATCCCGCTCCTCCTCCTCCTCCTCCTCCTCCTACGCCTCTTCAGTCGCCATCTGAGCAATATGACAGAGTGGTCACTCGACTTCTGTTTGGTCTGCGACCGACAGACTCTCGGGGGAGCCTACTGCTCCCAGGCCTGCAGACTGGCCGAACTGGATCAGTTCTTCCCAGACTCGGGGCTGCCATCTCCAACGAATTATAATAATACTCAGATAATGTTTGGTGCAAACACGTCGAGGTCACCACTGATGTCGACAGTCGACTTTCCTGTCGGGCATAAACATTTGTTGAACTCCCCTCAATCCCTAACACATGGCCTACCTCTATCTTCATCTCAAACTTCTCTGTCGTCGCTACGAAGCAATACCTCCCAGTTGTCTATATTATCGGACCATGTTCGAAACGAGTTGCGGGATTATGCTAGTTGCTTCGATCAAGTGCGTGACTGGAAGCGACGCTTAACGACCTGATGATCTTTCACTTCGACATTTTTAATGTTGGATCTTCTCTCGGGAACACCTTTCTCGGCTTAAACTTATATTGATATCCTCGACTTCATAATTCGATTGCGTGAAAACCACGTGCGGATAGTTTTTGACCTCCTTCGGGCCCAACTATTCCACATACGAGCGAACAACTCGTGTCTGGCAACGACTTAAGCCCCTTCATTCATGAGATGGGCTGTTTCAAGTCCTACATGTTTCTTTTTTGTGACACTATTTATCCACATTATACCCTTACTACCCGGCCCTGTGTCTCCAGAATTTCCCGTCGTCTTTGAGACATTCGTGAACGTCCTTTCTTCCCCCCTTCTACTCCCTTTCGTTTATGCAATTGTTTCAAAGGCTCTCAACTCTGCTATATTGATCGGTGTCCTCGGGCTTTGGGAAATACTGGGTCTTGCGAATGCGCCTGCTGAAATAGCGGTACTTTTACGTGTACGAGCAACTGCAATTGGGTTTCAAGAGGTGGGATGCATGGAGTTATTGAGGGTCGCCTTCGGAGTGTCTTTTTTTTTTCCTCTTTGGGCTAAAAGTTTTATTTCTCATGGCAATAATATGACCTTGAGGCAACAAAAGTACATTGAGAGCAGCGTTTCGGGCCTGTAAATCAAAGTGATATTGTGGGTCCAAACAGGTCGTCATGATCATCAAGATTATAGGTAGCGCAACTCCCTGCTCGAGTTTCAACTGACTCGGTATGGAAATGACATTGCCAGCTGTGGTGTGCTATATTTTCATCATGCTGATCTCATCTTTGTCTACTCCTTATGTGGGGCGTCAAATATAGGTATTCAAGCCTCGGTCTACTCCGTACTTAATAGTTGGTGGGTGGGTCATATGATGTCGGTTGTTGACGTGCCATCAGCTTCCGTGCGGCAGTATAGCATCATTATCGAAACGTTGTCGTGATATTTTGGGAAAACTCATGTGATCTCCACTGAAAAAGAAGGTAAGGGTAGCTTTCTTGCGACCGTGTTTCTTTTCAAGCTTTTTCTCTCCTCTCCTACTCCGTACACTCCATGAACAAAAAGGGTTGGGGAGCAAGCAGGGGAAAGAGAGAAAAGGAAAGCTCTACGAAACAACATACCAATTGTAGCCACCATTGTCTGATGGATTGCTCCAATTATGATTCCTTGTGTCTGCATCAAATATTTCTGCACCTCCTTGGTCATTGTCGCCATCGAGTTTTGACATTGGCTATCTAAACCGCGCTTTAGGAAATATTTGACATCAACGATGTCACCGCAACTCAGTTCATGTTTCAAGAGAAGCAGGAGCAAATGACAGGTGAAATTGCACAGAAAATGCAGAATAGTCACAGCATATTATACCAGAGATCCTGATATCTCCATTCCGGCAGAGATCAAGCTGCATTGAACTACTTCCCTAGGTAGGTCCACTTCATTTCTACCTACCTAAGCTAACACCTCACCTTCTCCGTTAGTTGCAGCTTACTCCTTGACACGGTGATTGGCAAGGGCCTCTCGTAGAATGGACTCGTTCTTGGGAATAAACCTCACGCGGTATTGTTTGGGAATGGAAACGAGACTGGTGGGATCAGAATTTCCAGTCACAGGGTGACAGTCAACCTCGTCATATTTCTCAATTCTGAAGCTGTTAAGCATCCGAAGAAAAACCAGATATAGCTCTCTATTCGCGAGCAGGGAGCCCGCACACATGCGGTACCCAATTCCATAAGTGAACAACGGCGCATCGGGCTTCTCGAGCCATCTCTCCGGTCTGAACGTTTCGGGATCATCCCAGACCTCAGGATCTAAAAAGTCGACGCAGAAAGCTATCAACACCCGCCGACAGTGAAGGTAGCTGGAGCCGATTGGTGAACTTACCCATGTTACATGCCCACGCGTTCAGGAAAAAGACGGTTCCCTTTGGGATCACTACTCCTTCGTACGTGATGTCCTTGATCGAGGTACGAGGCAATGCAAGACGAAGAACGGTATAATATCTGGAAGTTGATTGTCAGCAATGATCGACATCACGGAAGACGCTATTGGATCAAAAAAAAAAGTACCTCAGGAACTCTCGAACGAGTGCTACAATATACGCGCACTGCTGATCATCTTCAGCGTCGCAGAGTGGCTGTTTTTCATCATAGTATTCCTTGATCGCCTCGGCGGCTTTGTCCTGAATGTCGGGTCGCTGAGCAAGCAGGGCAACGCTCCAGGCCACCAGGGTCGTGATAGTATCGAGGCCTCCAGAAAGCATGGTCAAGCTGATTGACGTAAGTTCCTCCTTGTTCAACTTGGCCTCTTTATCCAGGATGACATTGGCTTGGATGCAAGGTCTGTGGATGCCTTTTGCCATCCTTTCATCAAGATCATGATTGAGAGCATTGAGGTATTTATCGCGGCGATCCCTCATTTCTCTTGCCTTTCTCGATTCCATGTTAAAGGGATTGAGGCGCAGCAGAGGAATATAGTCCTGCAGGTTGCCCGTCGTACTCCTGAACTTGCTGATCTCTTCCTCAACATGGGTGATCTCCGCAAAGAGCTCTTCCTCCTGAGATGGCATGCGAATGCCCCAGTTTAATGTCAAGGCCAAGCTCAAACTCAGACGTTGGATCATCGGCATCGGATTCACTGGTTTTTTCCCAGCTTCCCCGTATTTGACCAGCTCGGAGATGAAGTCCTTTGTCTCGAGATCTAGATGCGGCACGTACGTCTGGATTGAGGGTCTGTTCAAGGCTGACGCGGCACCTTTCCTTCGTCTCTTCAGAGACTCACTATATGGCGATGTGCCTATGGTTGTGCCGGCCGTATTTGACAGGATCTGTGGGAATGCAGAGAGTTAGGGTAAATCACGACAGCAAGGAATTAGCCACCACGCCTCTCTTACTTTGTGAAACGTATAGAATTCTGGCCTCGAACTCAATGCCTGAGAATTCTGTCCGAAGAGGACCTTCGCTGAGGCCGCTGAATTCACGACCAAGACCGGGATGTTACCCAGTTGAATTTGATAGACTGGACCATAAGTCTTTGCCCATTGGCGGTATTGCTCTGCAGCATTGACACGGATCTGTGCCAGGTTGCCGATGAGCGGCAGACCACGAGGTCCTTTGATTCCAGGGACACGAGCTGATGCCCGGATGAATTCATTGATGATCACATATCCAATCGTAATAAAGGCTGTGAATGCTGCAAGAGATTGCAAAGGATATTGCAGGGTGTGATGTTGCAAAGAAAGCAATGTCGTTCCCAACGCCATGGTGTTGATGTTGATGCTCTCTACAGTGCAACTGGGTCGGTTCACCACAACAAGATCCTGGGACTTCTTCTTAAATAAATGAATACATTCCCTTTAATTTAAATGTGTATTTGTGCTATTCATTTTGGTCGTAAAAATAACACCAAACTACGCAGGGCAGAGCTAATGGAATATTTCCGCCCACGATTGAGATTCTATCCATAGAGATGTGATCCTTCTCTCGGCAGTCAGACATGCGGAGAAGATTGAATCTCAAGAGCGGGGAGATGCAGGCAAATGATCACTCATTTACCAACCCCGGATTTCTCTCATGCGCTGTACAGGGTTAGGAACTACTCCATACTGGAGAGAACCCCGCCAAGCAGGCATCTCGTGGAGAGCCAACCGGCCAACCCCAGAACCGAACGAATTCCGCACCCGGAAAACTTCCGCAGCATGTAGGTGAGGCAGTCAAAAGTGATAATATTATTTATAGGGCAGTATGGACAGTTGCAGATGGGCATATCCACGTGGACTGTGCTTCCCCCATTGGGATGATTTTGTGTCTTGTGTCATGCTTCGCCGAGACATTCTTGAATCATACGTGTCACCTGCTTACGAGTCTTCCGGATTCCGGAGATAAGCGTTTATGTTCTTGCTACACGCGTGTGGTACCTCCTGTACCGTGTCAGACTGCAAGCTCAAGTCTGCAGTGATCGAAAAAAAAATATCGCCATTCCATCCAGATCTTTGGCCTCGTGTTCGAATTTTGTGTCTTTCGGAACTGGTTGATGATTCCTCAAGTAGTGAGGGTAATAAATATTTGCTGCAAGGACACCACATGATGTCATGGCAATGCAGTTCAGATTGGAAAGCTACAAGCCTACAACACCGAAAGCCACAACACAAGACCAGGGAATGCAGGTTTCAGAAGAGAGAAGAGCATGTAAAAAAAAATACTAAAATAACTAAAAAAAAAACTCTGTCTCGGCAAACGGACGTGCCGAATCAAGAGCCTGTTGCGCATCGGTAGGCCGTGATCTGATGACCAACACGATCTTCAGTTCAAGCAGGCAAGTTGGCCGAAATCCAGGGCTCCAGTCCACGGAGATCGACCCCCAAAGCCACCGTGGCTGGCGTATCACGATGCTGCTCTTGCTCCGTACTCCACTGGACCATCCAACTGGGCAGTGGGGTCCGGCCTGGTGCCTGGGCCTGAGGGCTGCTGTGCAAGCCACCAGGCTGGCCATATGGTTATTGAATCCCAAAAGAACAGTATGGAGATGGCTCCACTGATTCCTGTCCAACCATCCACGATCGTTCTTGCTATCAATGGATTTTTTTCGCCCTGCGAAATTTTTCCCATCACATGCAAATGCGCAGCCAAGCAGTGGGCCCGGAACAATTGTTCTTCCAGCAGGCGCCGGAGCGGCCTTCCGCCGGTCGCTCGAGGAAGGCGCATCCCACGCCTGCTGGGCCGAGCAGGCGATTGGTGGGAGAATTCTGGCCTGCCCGGTTTGCGCATTGCCGCCGTCATCGTTCCTCCACAGAAGGCCTGCCGTCACCCGCCATCCAGGTACGGCCGGAGACTATTAATCCTGACTTCACGCAGTCACCACCGATAGCACGCCGATGATACCTTGCCTGGGTTGGACAGAGTGCGATGCTCTCGTCATTATTCATTCCATCTCCGCAGTAATTCGACCCCCCCCCCCCCCAATTGGTAACCCCGACGTCGGCCCTTTTCTGCCTCTCCGTCGACGTCTTTTTCCCTTCCACCCTTCAATTTGTCTTCAATTCACTTTGCATTGCCTTTCGTGTCCTTCTATCATAGAATTTGGTTATTGTGACTACCCGTGAGTCCTGGCAGCCTCTCTCCACCGAGCATCCGGTCTCCACCAAAGCTGCATTCTTCCTCCCGCAGGAGCATCGAGCCGTCCTTGGTTTGCAAAGTGGCATTCACGTCAATTGATATATCTTCATTGGTCGCTCCCACAGCGCTTTCGACCATCTTGTGCCCACCGGTTTCTCCCCCCCCCCCCCTCCTTCCAGCTAGTTAGGGCTGGATACCTTGAGAACGGAGAGCAAGCGGCCGGCTCGTCAGAATGGTCGCTCAACATTCCCGCCGACTTGTCCGGCCTCTGCTCTACACCTCTGCGGCCCTGGCTGCCGGAGCAGGAGTTCTCTATATCTCATACCGTCCCCGCAATATTCCGGGTTCCGAGCCTGCTGTCGTCCCTCCTCCCGGTTACAGTTCTGGCAAGCTTGTACCGCCGAACTTCCCGCGCATCAAGTCTCGTGATGAACAGATCCTAGATCTTAAACGGAGCTCTGGGATTGTGGATTCTGGGTCTTCCAAAGGTGCTGCGAGCACCATGGGAGGCGTGGAACCCCCCAAGGATGAGCCGTACGATCTCCTGGTCATTGGAGGAGGAGCTACGGGCTCCGGAATCGCACTCGATGCAGCTACACGAGGTCTCAAAGTCGCGGTTATCGAAAGAGACGACTTTAGTGCTGGAACAAGCAGCAAGAGCACGAAGCTAGTTCATGGCGGTGTTCGGTATTTGGAAAAGGCCGTTTGGGAGCTGGACTACAACCAGTATGACCAGAACCTGCTATCTACTACCCTACCAAGTAGCTGAGTCCTGTTGCTGATAGCGCCTGTCCGCCCTCCCCTTCAGGTACAAGCTAGTGAAGGAAGCACTCCGTGAGCGGAAGTACTTCTTGAATACCGCTCCCCATCTTTCTATGTGGCTCCCAATCATGGTTCCCGTTCAGAAGTGGTGGCAGGCGCCATATTTCTGGGCTGGCACCAAGTTCTATGATTTCTTGGCGGGATCGGAAGGCATTGAGAGCTCCTACTTCCTGACGAAGAGCAAGGCCCTGGATGCCTTTCCGATGCTGAAGAAGGACGATCTATTCGGAGCCATGGTTTACTATGGTACGAGGTAGCTGTCCAAAAAATCTGCTGTGGGCGGCTTTCTGTCTTCCCGGCTTCGAATAGTTTGGTTAGCTAACGATCTGCATTCAGATGGGGCCCACAATGACTCTCGCATGAACGTCTCGTTGGCAATGACCGCTGCTCTGTACGGAAGCACAGTGGTCAACCACATGGAAGTGACGGGCCTGACCAAAGATGAGTCGGGTAAGATCAATGGGGCTCGCGTTAAGGATCTGATTGCAGAGAAGAATGGCCAGAAAGCCGAAGAATTCACTGTTCGGGCAAAGGGTGTCATCAATGCGACCGGTCCCTTTTCTGACTCAATCCGAAAGATGGATGACCCCAGCGTGAAGGAGATCGTGGCCCCGAGCTCCGGTGTCCACGTTGTGTTGCCGGGCTACTATAGTCCTTCCAACATGGGGCTGATCGACCCATCCACCTCCGACGGTCGAGTGATCTTTTTCCTGCCATGGCAAGGTAACACGATCGCCGGGACGACGGACCGACCCACAGAAATCACGCCTCATCCGCAACCGGATGAGCAGGACATCGAATGGATTCTGTCGGAGATCCGTGGCTACCTAGCCCCGGATATCAATGTTCGACGGGGTGATGTACTTGCTGCCTGGGCTGGTATTCGGCCTCTGGTGAAGGATCCGAAAGCGAAAAACACCGAGTCATTGGTCCGGAATCACCTCATCACAGTCTCACCGTCAGGTCTGTTGACCTGTGCCGGAGGCAAGTGGACGACTTATCGTCAGATGGCGGAAGAAGCAGTCGATGAGGCCATCAAGACCTTCGGTCTCCAGACCCGGAGGGTGGAGAAGGTCCCGGATATCAGCGGTACAGGGCTAAAGACGGACGAGGTCGACCTGGACGGTTCGTGTCACACACATCAAGTCCGTCTGGTTGGCGCCCACGGCTACTCCAAAACCCTCTTCATCAACCTGATTCAGCACTTCGGTCTTGAAACAGATGTTGCGAAGCATTTAACCGGATCCTACGGCGACCGAGCGTGGCAGGTTGCAGCTTTGTCGTCCCCAACTCACTCTCGGTGGCCGGTTCGAGGCAAGCGTCTCTCACCGTTGTACCCGTTCATTGATGGTGAGGTCCGCTATGCGGTGCGTCATGAGTATGCCCAAACCGCCGTGGATGTGATTGGTCGAAGAACTCGGCTGGCGTTCTTGAACGCCCAAGCGGCCCTGGAGGCTCTTCCTGGTGTGATCGACCTAATGGCAGAAGAACTGAACTGGGACGAGAAGAGGAAAGATCTTGAATGGAAGGAATCCCTCCAATATCTGTCCTCGATGGGTCTTCCGAAGAGCCGTCTGAACATGACCAGGAAAGATGTGGAAAGCGGTAAAGCAATTGCTTTTGACGAAGATGAACGCAAACTGTATTCTAGGACCGGTAAGCCAAGATTGGAACCCTCCAACTTCTCTTTCTTGACACTGTGGATACTGACAATTTTTGGCAGATGGGCCTGCGGACGTACTGGACAGCGACCGACCATTACTCGGAACGGCCAAACAAGACCCGGCAATGCGCCCGGAAGCCCCTGTGAGTAAATAATAATTGTTGTAAAATAATCAGGAAGTCTAGATTTATCACATTCTGGGGATCTTTGTATGCTAGAATGAGAAGCGAGCTATAGAAGCTTATAGACCATTTGGGGGGGGACCATTTTCTCAATGCATGATAATGGAGTTCTTTCTGTGTTGTCAGTTAAGTCTCTTGGCATATTTCACAAAAGTTTCGGTGATAATGGATGCCACAGATCCATGGTATACTGACCGTTGACATCGCCAATGAATGAGTTGCTTTTTTTTTAAACGGTGACACAACACATTTCTTCAACCCTCGGCACCTTGAAGCCCACATGTATCCTCACAGGATTTAATTGATGCGGCGCATGATCGTGTGAGAGTTCGACGACTCGTCCGTATGCGCACCAAACGCCAACCAGTCATGGTCTTTGCTTATCAAGAAGGACAAGCCGGTAGGAATGATCAGAATCAACCAAATGCCTCTTAGGGTTACGGGTACCACTGCCCGAGCTGATCCAAACGGCAGAGAAACGGCACTATCTGCGACTCAGTGCAGTCGGATTACAGGGTTCCCTCATCCCCTGTGGCAGGCAGAAAACGCTGGCTGGAACGGCGCGTTCTGGTCTGTCTATCGGCAAAGCCCTACTCTGTACATGGAGTCCGGAGCCAAGACGACAGGCTGACAGCACTGACAGCGGGCACACCCGCTGCTTAGCGCTGCTAACCCGGCTCACCCAAGCTCCAGGCCGAAGACGTTCTTGAAATCAATAATCACGGCGATGATGGATATCGAAAGGTTCAGCCTCACCGCCTCATCCTCCAGAAATCGCCCCACTCGCTTGCGAGCGCCGTCCTGCAGGCTGCAGGCCACCGTAAACGTGTAAGCCCCTCCTCTGCAGCCCACCCGGTCATCCGAAACCTAAAGTGATAGTCTGTGACAGCGAACACTCGTGGTCCTGCAAGAAAATCGCCGAGCTCAATTTCATGCTTCCCCATCCGGGACCGGTCCGTGCCGTCCTACGGTCCCAGCAAAGAAAATCCACTACCCGAAGTACCTCCCTCGTAGCTACGGAGTACTGACTGGCTTGCTGCCCACAGTTAAGCACCTTCCTAAGATATCGAGCTACGATCGCCGTCATCACGAGACCCTTTTTAGTCTCTGGTCACGAAATGCAACTTGACCGGAGAGACATATTCGACCATCGACGGCCAATCAATTCGTTTCTCCCTTGAAATCCGTCCATCTTGCCTCATTACTCATTGCAGGATCTAAAATAATAAGCCCATGAATCGCGACGTTCTGAATCCCGGATATTCGAGATTGGGAGTTAAGCCTAGTAGCATTGTACCTACAGGCTACAGTCTGATACAGCCTAATTCCTCCCATGCCCCACCATGCCACATGGTGTTGCATGGCCGTTTGGGATCAAAAATGGTCTAACCGTCTACATATCACCCGGTTGCTAGAGAAAGAGAGCATTACTCAAACGGGTCCTTGGGTTCCAGGCTAAGTTTTGGTTCTCTTGGATGCAGACCTGGCAGGCCGGCCTTTGAGCCTGCGCCATTGAAGATGACAAGACCGAGCTTCTTGCCTCACCGACGGACGGCGAACAATAGTTTTGGGTCTATCAACGTGCGTGTCTTCGTAGAAGCATCACTTGCGAAGCTTTGTTAGCGTAGACTCATATTTTTCCAACTCTTCTCAGTGGTCAGTGTGAAAGGAAAACTGTTCCATTCAAGAAAAGGTACGATTCGTCGGGTAAACAAACTCCCTTCCTCCCTGTGCCCTTTTTATTATTGAAAGTTTTCTCTTCTGTTTTCTTATATCGAAGATCTCAGATCTGTACATCTTCCCACCATCACCGTCATAACGAACACCCTCAATCTCGAGACGTTGAAAGGTCTCGTTATGACCAATACAACCTCAATCTCGGATGTTCGACAAGCATTGGATCGTGCGAGAAACAGTGACGACGGTCGCATCGACCCCCAGACCAGCGCTATTCTTGAAACTGCCATTGGCGAGCTCTGGAGGAAGATACAGGCGCAACCCGACAGCTACGTGCTAAGCCGGGACGAGTTTGCTCTTTTCAACTACTTTCGAGAGCGGTTCCGAGGTTCACCTATCGCTCAGAGAGCGGTGGAACGTTTTTGGAACAACTTTCAGGGTGATGCTTCAGATATTGACGGATACGCCACATGAAGCACGAGTGATTTGGAAAGGCGGAGCATGGATTCCAGAACCGGCAGATAAATACGAATGGCCCCCTTGCCCGGCCCCATCAACATCGTTTTGAGTTTCGGATGAATATACATTTATCGTCCTTCTTCCACGTACGGGGAGGCTGCCTTAACGTGCAGCAGGATGTGTTTGCATCGACTGACTGGTTAAAGCACAAGGTAAGGCTTTCCCTGTGGCGTGTCTGTCTATCTTATCATTGGAGCACGTTTAATTTTGGCCTGGCGCTGATGCTGGAGTGAGTCCTCAGTATATTATTCGGTGCGGGTGTCATCTCCGCCATTCAACGTTTCATTGAGTTCCTGTCGCCTGTTATTAAGAAGAGGAGCTTTGGTCAAACTATGTATAATCGATTTGCTGATCACCTGACATCATTTGGTTGCCATCCAATTCGATAATTCTGCTTTCGAGGGTTTCTTGAGTCTCGTTCTGTCTTTGATATAACCAACTTCGATATACACCCCACTGTTCTCATTCCCCGGGGCACTGATTCGGCGCAGTATGGAGTTTCCCGGTTTTCCACAAGAAATGGCGCATTCTTGGTTTTGACTATTCGCGGTTGTCAGATTGCAATAATAAAGCGAGTTTGGACCAGAATATACTAGTAGATTCATTAGTCTAGCTTCCCAAGAGATGAATAATTGGGCACAACCTAACGCAAATCTTAACCCGTTGCAACAGTAATCTTTTGATCAACTCCTATCACGAACGGCGCATGTGATATATTGCCCACATGGAGCCCACTTCAGGCCCTCGACTAGAAGCCGCTTCGTGACCCGTGAGGTGAGTGTGAGGGGCCGGAGAGCCCGACGATGAAATACCTCTCTCTCTGTTTTGCCTATCGCGTCCCTGAGACCCACCTTTCGAGCGATACCGTAGCGCTCTGCGGCGCTGGCACTGTGTGCTGAAGAAGAGACTGCAGCTCGTCACTTCGGTTATCTGCATGGCAGGCAATACGGAAGTCATCCAAGTGGTGTGTACGGGCGGGGGATCGATTTGATTTGCTACTTGAATCGCAAATGCAGGCAAGTTCTTTCCACAGGTTGTCCTGTTTGATTTCCCCCAATCCAATCAAGGCGTGTTAGCTCTGGAATTTCGGGTTAAATTTTGAATTGTGCTGCACATACATGAACACATGCCCTGGACGCCTGCAAAGGATCCCATTGGCCGGATACATATTGTCGTCTCTGTGGATAAGAAGAAACAGCACTAGTTATGAATGTATCGCTAATTACTGAATCAGCACACAAGTTTACATGCATGTCTATTTTAGGCTTCTCTATCTACCTATGTGGTAGGTGTAGCTAGGCACGTGTATGTACTCTGACGACCCTGAAATTTAACTAATGATCGAATATGAGATGAGATGCTCCCTGAAAGTGGGGAATGTAAGGGCATTGAGATGCGCTGCAGAAGACTACTGATGAATTACATCCTCTTTTTTCTCCCTTCTCATGGTGATCAGGTCGCAGATACGTTATACTGTGTCTCGTTACTGTAACTTCTTTTATTGGTGGGTCCCTGGCCCCGCGCTGTCACTCCCCCACATTTAGCCTTCACGGCGGTTGCCGTTTAGATTTTTGACAAACTCATGCGCGATTTGATCAGTGCTTTAGCATCAATCAGTGGGCTTTATAGAGTTTGACAGCCCTGAAAGGACTAGCGCAACATGGTTTACTATTTTACCTCGAACGTGGTGTCCCCTCCAGCAACAATTTATGTTGGAAAAGACAAGTACGAAAGTATGGATGATTTTGCAACCTCGGGTGACGGAAACAGGTGTCTGATCGATTGTCTTGACAGATGAGGAACTCATCAAGTACGGGTTGGATAAAGATGTTTGGTAATACAGTCCTGATTACAAACTTCTTTATCTGCAAGACTGCATTGCTGACATCAACAACTGGCGATGAAGGGTTTGTCTCGCGTCTATCCGCCGCTCGTTATATTATTTCAAGACCGCCACCTGACCGGATCGGCAGTTTCACGTCGATAATCTGTCCAGTGCGCATGTGTACCTACGTCTAAGAGATAACGAGTCCTGGGAAAACATCCCAAAAGAGCTTCTAGAAGACTGTGCACAGCTAACGAAAGCGAATTCTATCGAAGGTAATCATGGTACATCGTAATTCGGCTTCTGTTGTGGCTGATTCATCGGACAGGGAACAAAAAGGACAATATTACTGTGATCTATACACCGTGGTCAAATCTCATGAAGGATGGATCCATGGCAACAGGCCAGGTGTCTTTCCATAATCCTAAACTGACGAAAAGGATATTTGTTCCCACTCGCCAAAACCATATTGTCAACCGGTTGAACAAGACGCGCGTCGAGAAGTTTCCTGATCTCATGGCAGAGAAGGAAGAGTACTTGAAACAAAAGAGAAGAGAAGAAAGAAGAATCAGAGAGGAGAAGAAAGCCGCGGAGAAGAGAGAGAAGAAGGAGCGGGAGCAGTTGAAATGGCAGAAGGAGCACGCCTATGACGACTTAATGAGTGAAGAGAACATTCAGCAGAGCAGCAATCAGGATCGAGATCCAAACTTCCTCGACGACTTTATGTAATTCGGAGCCTACAATAACGGGACAGGGAAAGATGTCTACTATCAACCTCAGCGCTCCAAGCCGCGGTTCCACATCTTTTAAATGCATTGCCGAAGCGAGCACAGATGCAGAAATCCGCTCAATCGCTTCTTGCAGGGAGATATTGCCTTTATATGTCCAAGTTTGCCCTGCCGAGATCTACAGATAAGGGAGCAATCGATGGTGCCAAAAAAGGAAGAAAAGGCCAAGGGATGAGGAGCTAAGTGAAGGGGTGATAGAATGAAGGGGGCCATGAGATGAGAATGATGGGTTGTCATATTTTCTGGCTCTTTAGATGACCCAGGCCATTTCCTGTGCTGTGCCAAATGTCGGATCTTCATACTGACTCGACTTTACACAAAGACAAGAAACATGCGATCATGTTGTCTTTGGGACTCGAGGCCATCGAGTATGCTGCTTCATTACTTGGCACCCACCGAGTATTCAGAACTGCTGATGCAATATGGAGTAAAATTGAGCTATAACTCATGTGTATCACATAGGTGCCCGGTGTTATACTCGAATCGGGTTTGCGGATCCCGATGCCTGGTATTGTAAAACGTATCTCCGATGCGACGATTGTCCAGCGGTAGGAGCCAGACATCTTGTACAGTTTTTTAGGTGAAGGATTAATGAAGATCATCTCATGGAATATTAATATTGCCTAGACTTTTGGTCAGTACGTTATTCGGATTTTCAAGGAGCGTTTCGATATTGGAACGCGTAGGTAGACATCTCATGAGACGACAATGCTGAAGAATAAACAAAATGTCAGCATCTGAATAGAAGCACTTCACACCTGTTTGATTGTTTCGTGGAAGAAACACTCAGTAGTCACCATTGTTGACTACTTCCGCAATTGGTTGCACATGGCCAAACCTCACTTACCCGGTGGCACGGGAAGCTCAACTGAACGCCTCAGCCGCGCTAGTGCTGTTGACATGCGTGTCCTGTGCCAACGACCCGCTCTCTTGCGTATAGCAAAGACTATTACCAACACCGTCAATAATAAGCTGAAGTACAAAGAAAATGCCTACAGATAACCAATCTTCTGCGTCTCAAGGTCTGGATGACTCTGGGATCTTCAATTATGGATTCTGACAGATTGGATCTAGGCCCGAAGTCAAAGAAGAACAAGAAGAACAGGAACGCTGCCAAATCCAAGACAGATGGTAATGGAGGCAACGATGATGCGCATACAGAAGACGCAACCGGGGAAGCATCCGATAACAACTCTGAGGCGTCTATACCAATTGTGTGTGACTGCAACGACAATGCCTTCTAGCTTTCGGTGGCTGACCTGAATCAATAGGATCGACCTCATGATACCATAAATGGGACACCGGACGAAGACGAGGAGGAAGCGGAAGCAGAGGGTAAAAGTGATATCCGAAAACAAATATCTGAGCAAAGCAATATTCTTCCTGTCCGGGATAGAAAACGGCCTGATGAAACAGCGAACTCCGCGCCTTCTCCTATCGACGCCGAAAAGAAGCTCGCTGCGCTTGTGCGAGACCGGGACTCTCTTCGAGCAGAAGTAACCGAGATGCGAAAGTCTTTGGAGGAGATACAACTGAAACACCAGGAGGAGATGGAAGCTTTACAACGCCGGCTGGCCGAGTCAGAGTCGAAGAAGGAACACGCTGAGAATCAGTTCCAGAAATTATTAGAGAGGGTTAATACTATCAAGTCGCAACTCGGAGAGAGGATGAAGGAGGATGCTGTATGCTTGCTCTTGTCCCTGCTCCCTCGGATTTTGCTAAATGCTTGTTTAGGAAGAGTTGGCTCAGGCGAGATCTCGGATTGAAGAGCTAGAGGAACAGAATTCCAACTTGAAGACTGAGCTTGACTCGAAGGCCTCCGAGATAGCAGAGCTATCGAAGGAAGCAGAACAGAGATCAAGGGAGCTTTCCAGCTTACGAAACAGAACAAACTTATCTCAACAGAACTGGTTGAAGGAAAAGGAGGAATTACTTGAACAGGAGGCTTACCTTCGTGCGGAATTTGAGGAGGCGAAACAAGCGATGCACAATTGGGAGGTTTTAGCCATGGAGGAACGGTCTATTCGGGAGGGGCTTGGAGAAAAAGTGGTCGATTTGGAAGAACAGCTCTCCAGTCTCAAAGAAGAATACGAAAAGGTAACGGCCGAGTGCAACAGTCAATCGGTAACTGTTGACGGGCTACAACGGGCTTTACAAGAGATCCAGACAGGTACCGATTTTCTTCGGTTTTTGGTTCGAAGATGAAAAAGCTAACAATCACCGTCTCAGCTCGAAAACAAGAACTGCGTGAACTTGTACAGAGCTCTGATGCTCAGTTAGAAGAACTGAGGAAGTCTCTACGAGAAGCGGAGAAGAGGGCTTCAGATGCTGAGTCTGCACTCCAAAGTGCTCAGAAAGAGCTGGAGAGACTGCAGCCTTTCGAAAAAGAAGTAAAAGAGAAGAATCTTCTCATCGGCAAATTGAGGCATGAAGCTGTTACTCTCAACGATCATTTGACGAAAGCTTTGAGATTCCTAAAGAGAGGCAAACCAGAGGATAATGTTGATAGGTAAGATCAGTTCTGATAGGCTTTGTTTGAATCTTCTAATGTCTCTCTCTTTTTGCAGACATATTGTCACCAACCACCTCCTCCATTTCCTTGCTCTTGATCGCTCGGATCCAAAAAAGTTTGAAATATTACAGCTCATTGCAGCCCTTCTACAATGGACGGATGGTAGGTGCCTCCTCGCCAATCCTTGCCTGCCGAGAGTCTTTATTTACAAATCCTCCAGACCAACGTGAACAAGCTGGACTTGCACGTCCGGGAACCTCAAACACGTCCGGTGGCCTTAGAGCTTCAAGCTTCTCGGTTCACCGAACACCAAGCACACCGTCATTAGCAACTGAATTCCTCGAAAATGGGAGCACAGGCAAGGAGTCGCTTGCGGAGCTCTGGTCTAATTTCCTTGAACAAGAGGCTCAAGCTGGCGGCGGAAATGCGGGCAGAGGTGGAGCTTCAAACGCCGGCTTGAAATCCCCTTGAATGATTCCATGACATTTTCGAGATGATTTGGCATTACTTGATGATCACTTTAGACTCATATCATACCCCAGCATGGGCTTAGTATTGTTCCAGGGTTTGCAACCTCTCACTGTATACAATTGAGTCCTTGGAAAGGACATATGTTTAGTATAGTGATTACTACATTTAGAGTCAATGCTCTCATTTCAAGACGTGTGGAGTCTGGTCTGTCATTCTGAATTGCAACCGTTCTAACCATTGTCGTTGCAGTTTGATCAAGTAGAGGCGGGGTGGCAAGCGGGGAATCTCCGTACGTTTTTTTGGTCCCGCCGAAGGTTCACCGCCTGGCGCATGTCTAGTAGTAACAGTGTTCCCAAACAATTGTTATTTATCTGAACATATGCACAGAGCCCTGAGAATCAGTGCCAGTGCGCTCCGTTTTCGCAGTGCTTGTCCTACTTGGTACTGTGGCGTTTTCTCAACAATGGCCACTTCTTCAGGTGCACACTTTCCTCTTGGTTGAACTTTGTTGCCGTCTCGAGTTTCTCCGATCTCAGGGCTGACAAGGGAATTACGTCTGACTCTCTCTATATATAGTCCAGAAATACCGACCTGTAGTCGTATCAGGGCCTTCTGGAACTGGGAAATCGACTCTTCTGAAGAGGCTCTTTGCCGAATTCCCTGACACTTTCGGCTTCTCTGTTTCTCGTAAGGCAGCCCCAAGAGAGCCCTTCTTTTCCATTCGCCATACTTTTAAGCGCACTTGTCCTGACTTCCTCTTTTTCGCCGCGCAATAAAAAGACACGACGAGAGCTCCTCGACCGGGCGAACAAAATGGACGGGAATATTACTTCACGACAAAGGAAGAATTCCTCGACCTTGTGAGCAAAAACGGATTCATCGAAGTAAGGAGCTAGAGGAGTCAAGACTATTCTTATTGCTCCGTAGAGCAGAATCTGTTAGGAAGTCTTATACTAATAGATACTAAGCATGCGCAATTTGGAGGAAACTATTATGGCACCAGCGTTAAGGCAGTCAAGGACATCGCGGGAAAAGGGAAAATATGTATTTTGGATATCGAGATGGAGGTATGTATTATGGGAGGGAGATGGGGATTCACTCTCCACGAGATGAAGAGTAGGGAGAGGATCTTCTGACTGACGATGTCTGCTTTTGCTGCTTCTCTACAGGGTGTCAAACAAGTCAAGCGCACAGATTTGAATGCTCGGTTCTTGTTCCTGGCGCCGCCGTCGCTGGAAGAATTGGAACGAAGACTTCGTGGCCGAGGCACAGAAACGGAGGATAGCATGAACAAGAGATTAGCGCAGGCGAAGAATGAGTTGGAGTATGCCAAACAGCCTGGTGCACATGACAAGATCGTTGTCAACGACGATCTGGATCGGGCCTATGCAGAAATGCGGGATTGGATTGTGGATGGTGGGAAGTTTGGAGCGACCGCATAAATTAATCGAATATAGAGAAGAAGTGAGGGCAACCGATGACATGCGTGGATATTGTCTCAATCTACATACATACCCCTGAAAGAGGCATGAGTTTCATACTCCGCTGAGCACTTGGGAGTTGGTTTTTGGTTGAAAGGAATCCGAAGATATCGAACGAAAGCAAAGTAGACCGCTAGGTCTGCGAGTTTTGCAAGTTTCAGAAGTGCCTAAGAGAAATTGATGGGAAATGGTTATTCAGTAGAATAACTAATAACATAAATACATGAATGAAGTTTGAATCGGGGGTCGCCGTGTATTACGTATTCTCTGAGCAATAATAGCGACAAAAAAGCAGAAGCATAGTAAGGAAAATAGAGTCGCTAGTCGAGCTTAAGTCATTCTCCGGGTAGGGAGAGGGAGTAAGAGGGGTCACATATGAGAAAAATAAGATATTCGCAAAGACAACGTGGAGTTAAAAATGGATATCTGGAATGGTAAAAAAAGCTCCCACTGGCAGAAATCGGCAAGAAACGTTTTTGATAAGACTTCCTCTCTAATGCCCACACCCCTCCGAGTTTTTTCCTTTCTGCCTCTTCTTCTCCATCTCGTCTGGCATTCTCTCACATTGCCATCTTGACGACCAGCAATGTCTGAGAATATCCCCGGAAAACTTCTCTGGAAAGTACCGAAATCAGTAGCCGTTCATGGTCACTCTCTGAGAGTTACGGCTGAGTTCTCGGTCGGCAGATGGACTGATGGGCCGGTTTCCGGTATTGTGACCTCCGGTAGCGCTGCTCTCCTTCAGAGCCAGCAGCTGCTTGGCACGGAACGTCTCATAGTGGATCTGGCTGGTGGTTTCGATAAGATCCTGGAGATGGGTACGGGTGAGGAAGTTTCGAAGGTAAACAAATTCGCAGTGGTTCTCATCCTCGACATTGATCACACCCCAGCGATTCTGACGGCCCCGAACCTGCTTTCCGTTCACGACAATGTTCTTCTCGCTACCAACAACTGCAAAGGGAATGATGTCCTATCTAATTGTTAGCCGTCATCATCACGATGATCTTCCATTACAGCCTAGGTACCTTGATCTGAGCATTCATGGCGCGCTCCTCATCATCGAGCTCGTCGTTATCGTAGGGATACATCTTCAGGTTGTGGAAGGCAAATTCTTCCTTGATTCTCTCTTTGAAGGCTTGTCGTTCCTCAAGAGTCAGGGAATCAGCCTTCGCAATAACGGGAACGACATTGACAACATCAGACAGCTTCTTGAGCACGACGATGTCAATTGGTTTCAGTCTGTTCCCAACAGTCAGCATTTGGCCTGATTGCGCTGCATTTCGTGAGCCTTACGCATGGCCGGATGGCTGGATGAAAAACAAGCAGCAGTGAATCCGAGTGTCCTGGATGTAACGCTCGCGCTGTGCGGTAAGCTCCTTTCGGAGATATGCCGAATGCTGGTCTTTAATGTACTTCACAATCGGGTCCCAGCTATGTCACAAATCAGTAGTTATTCGCGCGCATCGATGGATATCCATGACATACCATCGGTCGTTGTTCACCTGGTCACCATAACCGGGGGTATCAACAATGTTCAGCCTCAGACGCACACCATTCTCCTCAATGACTTAAAATACTGATCAGCAGTGTCTTCCACATTCCCACGAGCTGGTCAACATACTGTGCGAGACGGTCTGGATCTCAGTAGTCGAACGAACTGGTTCATTAGGGGTCAGACGACCCTTGGAATCGATCAGGTGCGAGGCGAAGATGGTGTTGATCAGAGTCGACTTCCCCAGACCAGTTTGACCTGCGATTGGCATGTGGCTGTCAGAAGATTGCTAGCACGGAAAGATATAGAAGTCGGCACTAACCAACAACCATGACATTGAACTGAAAGCCACGCTTCAGGAGCTTCCGCTCAATCTGAGACGTAATGCTGTCGAAACCGACATGGCTGCGAGGAAAGACCGTGGCCGGCTGTGACGACGCGTTCGCAGCAGCGGAAGCCATGGTAAGTAAACAAGAGAGCGCAACCTAGAAGAGGCAGCAGACACGATGGCTTGGATGAGGGCGGAGGAACGGGTCGCCTGAACAGAGGAAAGACAAGACCAATGGTCAAACCAGATATTTTGAACTGGAATTCCCCAGAGATTGCTTAAGAGACGTTTGGGCCAGAGGTCGGGCGGTTACCCCCTATTGTCGCTTGCTCTCGCGGATCAGGGGGGACAGAGCGCCTAGGCCTCATTGGGACTAGCGGCCGGCTTTGTTTCTCACGGGTGGTCAGCTGTGGTGCTCGTGACCGCCCGATGAGGAAAGCGCTGAAATGCAAACTGAATTGATATCGTGCTTGCTGCTTCGATGAGATTGCTGCCCGCATCCTCCACCTTAGTTCGACAACCCCATTGAGATCTTTCTCTCTCTCTGCCTTTCCTTTCTTGGCCGTGTTTCCACTAGTCATGGCTTTGCAAGCCTTACGGCCCTCCGCCGCACGATTCTTTTCGCGCCCAGCCCTGTCCGCTTCGATCTCGCCGGTCTCGTTCGCCGTGGAGAGATGGACTCGTCATCTGCAAAATAGTGTTCATATTGCTGGTGCTACATTATTGACCGGAGCTTCAACGTGGAGCATTCCCTCGTTACTATCTGACATCTGGGACTCCGTTCTCCGCGCCGTGCCGAAGAAGAAGACCTCGCACATGAAGAAGCGCCACAGGCAGATGGCAGGGAAAGCTTTGAAGGATGTCAAAGCTCTCAACAGATGCCCCGGGTGCGGCCAGATCAAAAGGGCACACGTACTGTGCGCCCACTGTGTCAAAGGTAGGAGTGTGCTCCAAAAGTCGTAGTCTGTGCTTGCTGCTAACACATGGGCGGAAAGATATTAAGGAATCATGGCGAGAAATTCTTAAGGAGTAGAGATGACAGTGATGATGCAAAATAAGGATTAGAGGCCAATTGTACTTTTATGGGTTGTGAAAAATATGCTGCATGTACTTGGCGTCGGGTTGTCATTGAGGATTTTGTACTCTTTTCTATCTCTAAATACAAATAGTCAGTTGATCAGCTATTCAAGAGTCATGTTGTTTTTAGAGAAAAGAGAAGCTGTAACAATTCATCAGTGTCGTGCAACATGAGAGCCAGGTTGGGCTAGTCGATTGTAAGCTGGGAATAATTTCCTCCCCATTCATGATCTCACGGGTCTCTCATTTTGCCAAGAGTCCAACACCACACGACCCAAGAGCCGCTGCAAGCTGCATGTACCCCTCAAAGAGATCCCACCTGTAAAGGGGAAATTGAAAGGATGGTAAGACCCAGATTCATATCCCAAAGTAAAAGCTCTAACATGGAGATTACTGGAAGTCGAAGCAATATCTGTCCTGGAGTTCAGCGGACAATGGTGCGTTCAAAGTCAACGCCGTTTTATTGAATTAATTAGTCTCTTCACTCCAAGCACTAAAACTGATATACATGACAGCTCATCCTATCGACATTTTCTCCCTGGCTGTGACGTCGAATCAAATCTTATCTGCTTCTGGAGCCTCTTCATTAAAGGTTCATTCAACCACGGATGCGGATTTTCCCTTAGCACAATCTCTTGATGGCGCACATAAAATTGGATGCCATCACGTGGTGACATCTGGCAATGGACTGAGAGCAGCCAGTGTTGGCTTCGGGGGAGAGATACGGATCTGGTCCTGTCAAGATGGGACTTGGGTTGAAGATGGAGATATTTCAGGTCTTTCATATGTTTCCCATTAGTTGACTTGAGCCTTATTATTACTAACATACATACAGCAGGTGTTGGGAAATCAGAAGTCTGGGCAATTGCCTTGTCAGAAGACGGGCAGACTCTTGCTGGAACTACTCATGATGGCCACATCAAAGTTTGGGACTTGAGCGCCAACGGCGAGGAAATTCGAGATTTTGAGACCAAGGGCAGTTTCGGTACCTGCATTGACATGGTATGTCGCCAAAACTTTCCGCTGTCTTGAACGTTCACGCATGCTAACATACTGTCCTCTAGTCTGCCGATGGCCAATACATAGCGAGCGGTCATGAGAATGGGAGCATATACATATTCAGCAACGAGACGGGTCGAATGCCGTTCTCTCTGTCGGGTAAGTATCCATTTGCACCATTGGGGAGAATAACTGAGGAATATCGATCTGCTGATAGTTTACAGGCCTGGTAAAGCCAGTCCGTGCCATAGCGTTTTCTCCCGGGGGGAAACTTCTGGCCGCAGCGGGAGACTCGAGAGTGATTGTATTGTACGATACTTCTTCGGGGGAGCAAGTTGCTCATCTCTCTGGTCATTCAGCGTGGATATTATCCCTTGACTGGAGCCATACTGGAGAGTATCTCCTCAGTGGGTAAGTCTATCTATGAAGCTTTTATATATTATGTGAGAGAAACCCTACCTGACACTAAACCAGGTCCTTTGATGGAAAGGTGAAAGTATGGTCTGTTGAACGGAGAGCTTGTGTTGCTACTCACTCAGAAACGGATAAAGCTGTCTGGAGCGTCAAATGGTTGCCAAAGGTCGGGAAAACAGAAGGATTTGCTACCGCCGGAGCGAACCGCAGCATATCATTCTACCGAGAGGCTACTGGCGGATAAACCATACGCTTCGTACCTATTTGCTATGTTCTCTCACGATGAAAGGTTTCATGTTAGGAGCAATACTACATGGTTTCAGTGCTCCGTGACCTGCACCTCAGTATCCTCCTGGCACTAGTTCCGACACATGCCTAATTTATTCTGTCTATTGTGTTACGAAGCAACACCCGCTGCCTTGAAGATTTGCGCTCTTTCAAGTCAGTATTAGAACAAGAGAAGTCTTGCCATCGACGTATCGTCTCAATTCCAACTTTATACTGTAAAGATCATGAATCATAAGTGGTATCACTGATTAAAAAAACATTAAAAAAAGACAAAGGGGGAACAAAAAACAACCGCCTTGCCGAAGGTATCGTCACTTCATGGCCTCCACAAAGAGTTTGCGCATTCTCTTTAGGAGTGCACCAAAGTCTCGATCTTCGTTGACAATCTCCAATTCGCGGTCAATGGCGGCCCTGTCCAATTTCGGTTTCGTGTGGAATATCTCATAGTCGCGAGAAGCTGTTCCAAGTTCAAACCAAGCTTCCCTTTCCCAATCTTTCTCAAGAAGGTGGGTATAAACAAACTTCAGACGATCCTCCCTGCCAGCCCCTTCGATTCGAAGGCAAAGATAGTCTTGCCAGAATTCCAATTCGGGGACGTTGAGCCGTGCTTGAGCATCGAGATATCGCGCATGAGCTTTCTGGGCTTCCAGTTTCTGATTGATTGCCTTCTGGGTCTCGGCGATCTGTTGCTTGAGTCGATCACGCTTGGCGAGCCGAGCATCTCGTTCCATTGTAATCGAAGAGATGGCTGCGTGCATTTCAGCAGCCTCAGCAGCCTCTTTCTGTAGAGTTTGCGCATGCGATTGCGACTTCAAAGTGAGAATTTCAATGTCCCTTTGCTTCATCCGCTGGTCCTCTTTATTACTATTGTCAGAACAAGCTCACCCACTTGAGACACAACACGGAAACCTACCTTGTAGTTCTGCGAGATTGATACGAAATTGGTTCCGTTCTTCCAACACCTGCTTCCTCCCTCGTTCAATGAAGGCATCGAATTTGGCCGTGAACTGCGCCATGCGGCTGCGTAGATCTTCGAATCCAAAGTTGATACTGGGGAGAGAATCGGCCATGGATGGGGCTTCAGCGGATGCGAGCGGAGGCCGCATGCCGCTCGTGGAGAGGGACGGCTCGAAAGAGGCCATATTGTAATTCCGGAAAACTATTCAAAGAAACTGGATGAGATAGCCGTTGTGAAGAAGTGTGTTGACTATTTCAGTTGCGCGTCAAATTGATTGTCCTGCGCGGCTCCAAGGGCGCGATAACACTCGCAGTGGTGTTGAAGCTAGTGTCCCGCGCTAATAATAACAGTTGTTGCGGCGCAACCAGCAGCTGTCAGCCACATCGAACCGCAGAGCCAAGCTTTTTTTGGTTTAAAGCATCTAAACTTCTGCTCTTCTAGAGAAAAGCTTTGGCCAAGCCCGCGATAAAATCATATAGCACGCCACACCACGCGTGACAACTACTTTGATTCCTCAGCTACGCGTCCTGCGCTTTCTGTAATCCATGCTGAGGTACCTAGTCCGTCTACAGACTAGCTCTTCATCCGCGCTTTCGAAATGGTTGGTCCTCTAGATCCTGCATATAGAATACCGAGCAGAACCAGTCCAGATGGATGAACGCCGCACCGATGCTCTTCAATACGGGCATACGGGGACGGCAGTCTATCTGCCAGAAACCCAGTCCTGGCACTTTTCCCGCAACCTTGCACGCCGTAAGTCCGCCAGATATAGATGGAGCTCCCGCCACGTGGTTGCTGATGATCTCCCAGCGTCTTTCCTTTCCTACACCGGGGTGACGAAAACTACAGTGCCTCCTTCAAATTTGTCGTCGAGAAACCCAGAAAAGCAGAGACGCTGGAAAGGATCTTTCCTGAAGGCACATCCGGAGTTTACTGCAAGCCCCTCTATCGGGCGATCCGAAGAGTTGTCAGGCGTCATCACCACGATCTCAGAAACATGCGATCCCCAAGTGTCTGCTCTTCTCGATTTCGGGTATGCTGTGGATCTTGAAAACGACAGAACTGGTATTCGAACTGTGCCGATAGCAGTGGCCGCTTCCGGAGAAAACGGCAACACCCTTACCTTGATGAGGATCGAAGATGAACTGGTAGGCTGGGAACAAGACGAAGGGCGACGAGTGCGTGTTCCTTCTATCGGTAATGTAGAGACTGCAAAATGGGCTGGCAGTGCTGCGCCTATACGTCAGATACGTTTTTCACAGACCGTGGAAGAACCGGCTGGATGGATGGCTGTGCGGTTTCCGCTGTCCACAATCATATTTCGGCCCCTATTTCACAGAGATCGCGTCCCTATAAGGCATGGTGGTGCTGGTCATGCTCCCATCGTGCCTGTGCATAACTCGCGCCTCGACCCCAACCCTGTCGTGGAAATTCCGACTTCCAAGACTGGTGGATTTACTCATGTCGATGTAACTTTCAATCCATGGTATCAGAAACAGTTTGGTATCATTGATGAACGTGGAAAATGGAGTATATGGAATATATCTGGCAGAAAAAACCGTGAATTTGCAGAGTGCGCGCAATCAGGCTCCGTACCCTGCCTTGAATATGATGAGAACGAAGACATCGGTAACAAGCCGCTGTATGATGGATGGGGTGCTATCGAATGGGTTGGGAGCGTCAATAAATTTATTGTGTGCAATCGACGTTGCATGGTTCTTTACGTGATGGAAAGCGACACTGTTCTGCCTTATCCTGTCGAGCTCGGATTGAAGCGAAAGTCTGAATGGATATTGGACATCAAGAGGAGCTCTTCGCAAATGTCTCGTGTCTTTATTCTTACTAGTTCGAGAATCTTTTTCCTCGATGTCGATTCTAGCCTGGTTTCCAATGGCGACGGATATACCAAGTCATCCGTCTTTCCTCAGCTCTCATGGAGGCATTTTCGCGATCCTGAAGACATAACCTTACGCCTTGCTTCTCTTTCCGTAGGCGAAGGTGAGAAAAATGGCTCAACTTCCTAGGGACTTTGCTGACCTGTGTTTCAGATTTCTTCTTAATTCTTTACTCTCGTCTAAATGATCTGGGCCTGGGGTTTCAGGTTCCTCATCTGTCTGAGGCAGATGCCGTGCCTGTTTCTGTTCCTGATCCTTTTGTTGTGCACATCCCGAAGAGGCCACCTGATCAAGAGAAGCCGAACGGTGTCCGAAATGAATCCCATTTTCTGACTCTACTGTTCAAGGAAGTTGAACAAGCGCCCCCCGGAAACAAGACCGATTTTACCCCCTCTGCCCGGCTTGCAAAGCTTTTCATTCTAGATGCAAGCCTTGCGGTTCAAGAATCCTTGTTTTTTGCGCCTCTTGATAATGATGGTGATCTGCAAGAGATTGATATGCCGCTGAGTCGGGATGTCTTGCGTTTGAAAAGACGGAATGCGGGGGTACGGAGGAGCAGAAGAGCGGACTTCGTTGTGGATGACTTCGATGAATCCACGACTGTAGCAATTAAGCCCCATAACGTACGGGCTGCCCCGGCATTGCTTTCCTCGACTCTATCCTGGACTGTTGACTGCACCGCTGCATACTCGGCTGTAATCGGTGAGAAAATACCATCTGCGCGAAGAAGCGATGTGAAGCCTATGCATGATAAAGGTTTCAAGGATTGTCTGGAAAACCTGGCGAAATTGGTTCTCGAATCTGACAACAAAGACTCGGCTACTTCTCAGACTATGTAAGATGACCCTACTTCTATGCTTCCATCCCATATATGTCCATTTACTGACTACCCGAATGTCAGGCTTGAAATAGTTAACTGTACCCCTTTCTTGGATGACATAGATCAAAATGTTCGAGATCTTGAGCGGTTCAGGGCCGAAATTTGTCACGTCAAGGACAGACATGGCAAGAACTTAATACATTACCTGCCATTGAAAGTTGGTTGTGGAATCACCGAGAGATTTATCAGGTTAGGCGATTCATATCAGCAAGTTGACATCATGCAATTATATGATCGCCTCATCCATGATTGGTTGTCTGTTTTGCCCCATGATGTACCGGGGCGGACAAGGATATTCAAGGAGAAAATGATCAGGAACATCACCGCGGAATTATGTTTGGCAAGAATTTTCCATGTTCGGCCTCCGAATCTTGCCCCGAATGGCTCCACAGAAGATCAAGAAGCCATTTCATATGACGCGGAGCTCCCTGATCTCCCTGAGAAAAGGGCACAGACCCAAAGAACACTGAGTGATGGCGAATCAGCTCCACCAGAAATACCCGATGAGCTTGCTGTGGCTTCTGTAGATTTGAGTCCCGCCACAGGTCAACAGGAGCCAGTTACTGTTTCTGCCCTCATCCGGCTGAATTCCTTGACTACTTGCCATGACCACAGTCCCTTTCCAAAGACTGTGAATGACGTTCTCTCCCATTGGGTTCCTGGAGGCGACCCAGGTCTCTATGATTGGCAAAAGATAGTCAGAGAAGAGGAAGCAGAAAAGTCGAAAGCGGATAATAAACTGACAACCCCAAAGCACAAAATACGGGGACGATCACAACCAACTCTTGCCGGTGAGGATTCCATGCTTGCACGCTCGTCTCCAATTGTCCCCATCGTGCAACATTTCGGAAGTCAACCTCAAGGCGAACATCTGCGGACGAAGTTGCAAAGCAGTCAAGTTACCGATGAGAATCTTCCGATGACGCAAATTGAACGAGGTGTCTTCGGTGGCAGAGACTCAACTAAAAAGAGCATCTCAAAGGCACGGAAGAAAAAGAGAGCGGCAGGGTTCTGAGCCGCATCGCAAGCGGTTAATGCTGACAAGGCATTATTATGGTCTGTGATTGCATTTGTGTAGTATATATATAAATAATATTATATCGCTTATTTTCTATAAACCAAACCAACTTTTTTACTCCTTGACTATGGGCAATGTCCCTGGACATTGGAAGGCTGATAGGACATGACAGCGGTATCCAGCAGCAGACGGAAACCATCATTCTAGAACGCTGCATTAAATAAACGTAAGAATAAAAATAGCTCTCAGGCTATTTTTTTTTCTGGGGCCTTTTTTTGTTAAAACCTATAAAGAGCTCAGTGATGTGCTGTGCAGTCCGTGCTATGTCCAAAGCTGCCCGATTCAAGGCCATCCACGGAGAATAGACTGAGATGCGACAGGGCTGGCGATACACCTAAAAGCGGGCTCGAGACTGTATTCTCACGAGAGGCCATTCGGGAACACTAATTTCGTACATCTGTGCCAGGTTGACTATCCTGTCGTGTGACCATAGTAGTAAGGACTTGTGTATCATCTTTGTGTATCATCCCTTGAACAGCGACTAGCATAATAACCACCAGTCGCTCTGCAAAGTAACTCCGATTCGGAAACAGATAGCGAAACCGGAAAAGAAATAGGGGAGAGGTGGTGTCCCACCATATAAGTAATGAACTGTTTCGCATCCAACTTAGGCTGTGGTAGTTAAGTTGATTGGTTACAAGTCGTTGGAGAAGCGCATGATCATCAAGCTTGGCTCCTACGTTACCGTAGACCATCTCGAACGGGCTTGGACTTGATACCCGGTAAAGAAAGGAGGTAGACAGTGACGAGACTTGGTGTGTGTGCTACGTTGGGTGTTTTCCTTGCGTAACAACTAGCAATGAATGTGATTGTTAGGGACTCCGTTGGTGTTGGGAAGGGGAAGGAAAGCCCGGATTAGGTGATCAAGCATAGGTATGATTACAAACAATATTTACTCCGTAGAAATATCCATTAGAAATAGGCGACACCTGGCTGTAATTGCTACACAAGCCAAGGAAGAAATCTGTCATTTACTTCCAAGCTTTGATTCCCTTGTGATTGCACCTACGATTTCTTTTTCCGATTGAAGACTTGTGGCCACTGGCTTAGCTTCCTCGTGGCATCGTATCCCTCCTCCGTGACTCCGTCCGAATACCCCGCAGCCGCATCACTTCCAGATCAACGCGAGATCTTTGGGCAATAATAACGGCCACTTCCTCCAACAATATGTCTGAACATACGTACAAATTCAATGTCTCTATGAGCTGCGGCGGCTGCTCTGGCGCCGTCGAACGTGTGCTCAAGAAACTCGAGGGTAAGTTTGCAGCCCGAACAAGTCATTGCCTGCACGTACCCCTCCATCCTGTCGCATGTGTCTTTCAGAAGCAAGGTGTTGGAGCTTCTTCAACAAGAAAACACAGTCACTTCTCTCCTCTGAGTTGCAGCAAGGGATTATTCTTATTTCATTGCTTACGGACTGATCCTTTCCAATTTTTCCAGGTGTAAAATCCTACAATGTTAGTCTCGAGACACAAACAGCCACCGTTGTTGCGGACGCCTCGCTTCCCTATGACACAGTGCTGGCAACGATAAAGAAAACGGGTAAAACTGTGAACAGCGGCGAAGCAGACGGAACTCCCATGGCGGTCTAGGCAGGGCTTCCAGTCATATCGTGGGCTGTGAGAAGATACGTGCACTTAAATGGTAATGATGGTGAGGTAGTAGTGGGGGAGAATACTATCGGATGTGAACTTGGACGAGTTGTGGATAACCCCAGTCGTGCCGCAAGGTAGTGTGTTAGGTTCATTATTTCTCAATACCACCGTTGCGTTTTAGAATGCTCGTACATACATACTTGGCCATGTTTCCCTGAAGTTCTTGAAGATTAGACGAGGCTACTATCATTGCTGAGAAGAGATTTGTGCTGTAGTCCCGACTAAAGAAATACCGCAGAGGCATATACGCAATTGTGGGTTACTTTGATAATTGTTAATAATATGACTTGTCTAGGCGCCTTGGAGGTGTTGACATGTACAATACAAAAAGAACACAGAGGGGTATCATTCACCGAGCCAACCATAATAATATGCAATGCAGTAACAAAGTCCCAGTCAACAATGGCGCCAGAAAGAAAAATGCCCTTCTAGTCCCAACATATTGTTGCCCGATGAAACTAGACAGGACATGAGAATTAATCAATAACAATAGTCTCTTCCGCCGGCCAATGCCGGTAATGATGAGATTGGCCCTCCCTTTTGTGAGCCGCATGCGAGCTCTGTTCAGTTTCCTGCGGCACTCGGCGAGGTCTTGATTCGTACCTGGAGATGGCATCAGTCTGTATATAACCAAAACGAAAGGTAAACAGCACACAAATCCGGGTGCTTCCTTTCGTTCGAATGCATCTATTCATCATACCGTATAGGATCTAATGTCTTCCCCAACTGAACTTCATACCTTCTCACTGCCGACGGGGGAAGAGTCTCCTTGTTTCCGTTCACATATGAGCCATGTTGAGTGCTAGAAGTAAAACCATCAACGACGGCTGACACCTGGGATTTTGCGCGGGGTTGATGGAGAGGGGGATTTTGGTGGAACCCAGGATCTATTCTCAGGGAGCCTCCATCTCTAATGTGGTCCGTAGCCCTGGGAACATTTCTGCGAGGAGAAGAAATGACCTCAATATCCCGGTCGTGCGGGGGAGGCTGCGACGCATGCAGAGAATGGACCTCATGACTGTGCATATCAGCCGGCCATGAAGACCCCTGAGAATAAATACGCCTCCTTTCGGATTCATAGAGACTAGCCTTGCTTCGCCATGCTGGGGCATCTGTTCCTCGAGCTGGGGGATCACGTCCACTCCTAACATATAGGGGTTGGGTCTCTGGCAAATTAGGGACATTGCCAGATTCAGTTACATAGCCTTCATCTCTCACAGGGAAGCCCCTGTTATGAGAAAGCGAAGCAAAGCGAGAATGAATAGGAGATCTGCGAATGGAACCAACACTATGTTGGGAGGAATCCAAAAAGACCGGAACGTCTGAGGGGCGAGAAAAACCCTGACCCATAGGACGAGGAACGTCCGAGTCTGATTGCATTAAAGGGGGAGGGGAAGGCTCGCGAATTGGAATCCTCTCGGGCGGATGTCTCGTCATTTGCTGCCGTTCACGAGGAATTACCTCCGCCCTGTAAAATTGATGGTCATTTCGACTGGTCCCTGGCGGTGTACCATGCGCGACCATGGGAATGTGCTGCCTTTCTGGTCTTTCGAAGGACTGTGGAAACATAGGCTGTGGTCCATCCCCGGGAGAAGACTGGTGATGAGGAAGATTATACGGACGCTCATCGTATTCCAGGCGCCTCCTCTTTGAGCTTTCATTTCTGTTGTCAGCTACGTTAATCATATTAATTCTCCGAGATAGGTCTTCAACGGGTCGCCGCAAGTGCGTTTGCGAATGTCCTTGGAATTCATTCCTATGCGTCTGGCTTGTTCTGTGATCCACCCACTGCCTGGGGGAAGGTGGTGATTCAGGAACCTCGATCGATGGCAGAACTATATGACGTTGGGGGGATACGTCTACTCTATCCTGCTGGAAAGGCAAGTTCTCTGGAGGGCGCATGCGTTTGCGGGGGTTCTCGTGACCCCGAAGAGAAGAGCTAGGTCCGCTGACAAAGACGGGAGAACCCGAAGGGTTAGTCGAACGAGGCACTGCTTCTTCCCTTATGGGAGCAGGAATCTTTTCGAAAATGGAACCATCAGGAAACCGAAGGACATCAGGAGGCTGGCGTGAGGGAAAGCGGGGCTGACATGAGGCACCAAAGTTAGTCTGCAGCTCCGCGAAGAATGAAATATAGCTATCTAACACTCACAGGGTAAGTCATCTCCATGTTTCGACAGACCACTGACTCTGGAGGATTGACTGTGTGATCTGAAGGTGCTACTCGTCCTAAATTCAGACTGTCAAAAGCCGAATTTGGCACAGGTCGCTGTGGCGCGACATGACGATCACGTATTGACTCAGATGACCTGTTAACAGTGTCATAAAATGTCTGCTGTGAGATATGTGAGCCAGGGTTATGATCATCCACCCGAGAACCAGGAAAATGAGCTTGATAAGGCATGGAGATCCTTTCACGGTAACGATCCCTGGCTCGGTCCCAGGCTTGATACCGGCTGAATCCTCGACGATCAACCTGAGCCTTGCTTCTTGGGGTAACTCCAGGGACAAAGCGGAAGCCTGGTGGCGCCTCATCATCGGAAAGATCTTGGAAAGTCTCTTTCGGCAGGTTTGCATAATTCACAGGCCTGGTCTGGAGCTCACCAGCGACAGCATTGCTTGAAACAATCTCAACGCTAGAATCTCGATCAGCAGGAATTGGCTCATTTGCATGAACTGTGGCACTGTCATCGTCATCATCCTCATCCTCATCATCAGAGATGACGATGACTTCTCGAAAAACGTCTTCGAGTTCTGTCTTCCCATTCTCATCGTCTCCCCGCCACTCAACCAGCTTTTCCAGAGTAGGTTCTTCTACGAGACTTCTAGCCTCTTGGAACGATGTTACTTTCAGTAGCCGGTCATAATTTGTATATACGTGTCGAATATGGGCTACAACTGCCAACTGTGCCCTACGTGCAAGTGGCAACTCGACCGCGGTACCCACTTTTCGTTGGCCCTAATCAAAGTCAGAAACTAGAAACGTGAATATGAGTAATGTACCTTTTGAAAAGCAGTTTTGATAATCTGATTGAGGTCATTCTCCGGGATATTGGGGAAAAGATCGCGGATGACGTCTCTCGCTTCTGTATTGATTGCAGTTTGAGAAACCTCAGAGTCAGCTCGTCTGCTGGAAGGCCTGTTACCAAGATCCTCAAACGGCACCACTTTCCCAGTCGATGTGAGGTATAATCCCATCTCCATACAAACTGTTGCCACAACAGAGCTCGGGAAGTGATATCCAATTCGATGAACTTGTTGGGAAAGGTCATGCATGCGGTGGTGTGGAGTGGTCTGTTATAGTTATGAACATGTGTTAAGAAGCTTGAGATAGGCTAGAAAACTGTTTGCTTCCATCCACTTACAGTGACAGCAAACACTTTCAGCCCATCCTTTCGGCACATCTCCTTGCAGGCACTGGTAAACTGTGGGTTGCCGGCTGGTATAAAGGTATAACCAGGTGGTGCTTTTGCTTCAAATGAGATCTGCGACAGAGTCGAAAGCTAAGTTTCGTGTCTAAAGGACTGGGGAAGTTGGGCAACATACAACACTCCGAAGCTTCTTCTTCTCTTGCGTGACGCTTTCCAAGATGACCTTGTGCTTTCGAGGTTTCTTTCTAGCCGTTCTGCTTGGAGCACGAGCGGCGTTGGCTGATGCAGCCCGCCGAGATACTACTCGTGCCATGGCTGTGAGCGTGGACTCTTGAACACCAGGTGAAGTCCTTAATGTCGCTCAACATGTCCACCCAAAGCACCAGCTTGGTGGAATACAATAACCAAGAGGCTGTATTTTCAATATGTCAACAGTTTCGGACTAGTTAGTTCGTGGATCATTCCTACGCGTGAGGGGGGAAAAAAGAAAAGAAAATAATGATAAAAAAGGGAAGAAAAAGAAGGGCAGCACAGATTTGAGCTTCGGACTCAAATGGGGCTGCTCCAACAGCTCCTAGAGCAACTGTTGAGGGGCTTTAAATTTTGGCCCAAAGGAAAAGTAGAAACAGACACAGGATTTCACATGTTCACCAGGATGGCATATCATCCGGATTTTGTCAAATTTGTAGTCGATAACCACAGAGCAGAGGGCGAAGTAGGAAGTTGATGGATGCCCAGCCTAGGAATATTGGTAGGTGTTGGGCAGTTCCAGGAGGGGCGCGTCAGGGCGGTGTGTTAAACACCTTCCTCGATTGGTTGACGATGTGATCATCCACGGCACGCTATCGAGGCCCAGTCATTTCAATGATTTCCGGTCTCATACGCCGTAAGCTAAGTACTTCACCTAGCTTCTCATTCCTCGCGGGCATTGCAGCACCCGCTTCAGGAACCTTGGCTGCGGAAACTCAACAAGAAAAAACATTGGCATTTTTTGATTGGAAGACTTCGCGCCCCTCATGATCTGATTTGTGGCATAAGGTACTAGGTAGAAAAAGAGTTGCTATGACTGACTTGCGAGCAATAGTGCTCGCCTACCGCCATCTCTATCGTCGTGGCCTTCAGGCTGTCAATTATGCAACGCCTGCACGTCATGTGCTTCTCAGGATTTTGCGATCCTCATTTCGGTCCGGGTCGCGCGATGACTTTGATCCCAAGAAGATAAACAAAACTTTGGAGTTTCTCCAACGCGCTTCGGAATCCGCAGGCTTAGAGCACAAGATCATCAAAAACCTTATAATGGTCAGGTATTGGGAGCAGCCGCAGGCAAAGAAGGAGGTAAAAATGTGAGTGGCTGTACTAATTCATGGCGAAGTCTATCTCTAACACTGATCGCAGGATCAAAGAGCAAGATGTTAAGCATACCCATCTTCGGAAGAGTGCCAATGCTCACTTCAACTCGACCCTCATGCTCTTGAACGAAAGCTTGGGAATTTGCCTAAGGTGACTTTGCTCTCTCACAACTGGCTGCTGCATGAAAGAAGTAAATGCCACTGCCCACATATTTACCTGTCCGGGAGCCTGGTCTATGGCGAATATATTTCCATCCTGCGAGTCCTTTCCATGGCATAGTCAGCCGAACCTCCCTGAAAAGCTCTCCTCGGGCGATACAGATGTTATCCAGACGTCGAACCTAATATTCTGAGGTTCATGTTCGAGCCTTTCAGTCGTTCAACTCACGCGAGTAACGGGCAAGGAGGCTTATATCTGCACATGTCAAGACTCATTGAAAGCCATTATTCAGCAGCGATGGAACCTTAGGAAACAAAAGGACCAGACCGTAGATCAGTGACTTGTGAGGATGCCTCCAATGTAGTTATTCGAGTCTGTAGGGTAACTATACTACTGTAACAAAGCACGCATATTCGGATGGTTGTCTTACCAGACGAAAACTTCGCTAGATTCTGACATGAAATTTTCTCAAATTCAAGCTTGTGGTGTAGTTGGGTAAACCGAATGCAGGATAAACCGCAAGCGGTCCTGGATGCGTGACCGCCAGAGGTATGTCACATGCACTCCAACTCCGCGGAACAGTCTCGCAGCGCCGCAGGGCAATGTCAACAACGCCTCTTTGTTCCTCTAATACTTTATCGCAACGCCTTTCATACGAGGTGTTGGTACCGGGTCCCAATGAGTGGGCTAATTTCCTCTTTACTTATCGGGCCCATTATTCGGCAAGCCCGCCGCTTATCGCGTCTGACGACCACTGAGCCTGCACCGATTGTGACTGATGATGACCGAGAAGCCACATGCCTGAGTCCACCGGACGGCTTTTCGTGCTCTTCAAAACAGAACAACCACGGAAATCGTTCTAAAGCGACTGATTTTCAATACAATTCTGACTGGAGACTGGATTGCGGACCAAGAGAGCGCTCTGACAGTTCACCATCGGTGTCGACATCCCTCGATTCCCATGACCACGAGCTGCATGATCTAGGAGGGTCGACGTTTAATGATAGGACTGAGGCTAGCCAAGTGCATGTGTCGGAGAGCTTTCATGCCCATAATAATGGGATTTCACAAGAATCCGGAACAAATCAGACAACAGACACATCTCGAACGAATCTTACGCAAGAGGCGCACATTGAAATGTCAAACGAGTCGACCAATTTCCAGTCGTACGGCTTGGAGGAAAACGGAAAAGAATTGCCTGAAGATGACGGGATGGGCGTTTTGAGACGGAAGATACACGCCATACGGGATAAAGATGCACCCACAGCCGAGAAGGCACGATTGATCCATTCTCTGATGACGGAGAGTTACAATGCCTCTCGGAGCAGCTTCAGCCGTCAGTCGTCGTCAATTCCTCGTTCTCCATCTAGTGTCAGAAGCTTGGAGCGTTCATTAACACCAACTTCTCCGAAAACCCGACGGTCTTTCGATCAGCTCTCCTTGGCTCCAGTCTCCTCGACTGATACAACACAACTCAGCATATACAATCTCACTCCCCAGGATTTAGAACCGACATACGTTCCCAAAAATGACAATGACACTTCCAAGAGCAATACGGTCGCCGAATGCCTCGATGATACTGATTATTCGGAAGAGGAGGAAGAAACCCTGGGCTGTCGGCATTATAAACGGAACGTCAAGCTGCAATGTTATACCTGCAAGAGATGGTACACTTGTCGCTTTTGTCACGATGAGGTTGAAGATCATACGCTAGAGCGACGTAAGACGGAAAATATGCTCTGTATGTTGTGTGGTCTCCCTCAGCCAGCTGCACAGTGGTGTAAAGGGTGCGGTGAGCGAGCGGCAGTGTATTTCTGTGCTGTATGCAAGCTCTGGGATAATGACAGTGCCAAGAGCATCTATCACTGTTATGACTGTGGAATTTGCCGTATAGGAAAGGGTCTCGGCAAGGACTTCTTTCACTGCAAGGTAAGACGCTCTTGACTCGAAATTGTTTGCTTGCTAATTCAGCTTTAGACATGTAGCGTGTGTATGCCTATCTCTATCGAAAATGCCCATCGATGCATCGAGCGTTCTACTCAATGTGACTGTCCGATCTGCGGGGAATACATGTTCACATCTCCCGATACAGTTGTCTTCATGCGATGTGGACACAGTATACATCATAAGTGCTACGCAGAATACTCCAAAACGTCGTATCGTTGTCCGATATGCAGCAAAAGCATAACAAACATGGAGGCTCGCTTCAGAAACTTGGATCGCACTATCGAAAGCCAACCAATGCCTGCTGAGTTTCGAGACACTAAAGCATTGATTTATTGCAATGATTGCAGTGCGAAGTCTGCTGTCCCATATCATTGGCTTGGGTTAAAATGTGAACTGTAAGTTGTTCTCCACTTGTCTTTTATATGAATGCTGACAGATTTAGATGTGAATCTTATAATACGATACAAATCCGCCTCCTTCGTGGGACCGAAGTTGAGGGGACAGACAATAATAATAGTAGCGATGCGGTACCGCGGCCTAGGTCATCATCGTACGGAATTAACGAAATTAGATGTGGACCAGAAACATCATCAGAGATAACTTCTGGATTCGTGCCGCGTACAGACATGTATCTGCGGCCCACGATGAGCTCCTCTTTTGACCGGGACTATCGCTCTTTTCAGTCTCGTTCTCGAGCCGTCTCTCCGACAGTGAGTAATTATTTTGGACTATCCCGAGACTCTGCAGCGTCGCCGTCGATCTTCTCGAGGTACCGAAGTAATAGCAACGAGACTGGGACTTTCAGTTTTTGGGGGAGCACAAGCTTGAGATGCAGATATCCCTTTTTCAGGGGTGACAGTGAATCGACGGATAGTGAAAGTGAAGCAGATGATGACGAGGACGAGGAGGAGGACGAGGACGAGGAATCTGCAGAAGACCTGGATGAAGATGATGACGATGATGTCGACCCCATCGATATATTTGGGCACCGTTGAATTCTGTGTCATTGACGATGGTCAATGCTCTATACTAACCGCTGTCAAACCTTATCTTTTCCAGCAAAATGACTTCAGGGCGTGACATCTAATAATACGTCTCCCTAAAATCCGGATTCGTGATCGGATCCGCGCCCTGGCTGTCAACATCGATTCAGAACCTGGCTAAGGAAGGCAGTCAAACGACAGTTTCATTCCGTTGACGTCTATCCTTACGGTCTCCGTGAGTGATCGGTGTTATCCGGGACACCATCACGCTTCTGCCTCGGCAGTGCTTCAAGCTCCTCCCATGACTCCTTTCACTATGGGGTGCATGCGGGAATCAAGTAACACCGTGCTTACTGTCTCGCCTAATCATCCCAGCAATTCGGATACCATCCGCAAAGGAGATTGGAAATTTGTTGGATAAGTTGAAGGTCGTCGACTGCAAGGTGTTGTGCAGAAGGGATCTATATATTGGGATTCTTTGTGCAGCCAACACAACGCATTTCGGGCCTTTACGCATCGGACGAAGTAGTCTGATCTGTCCAAGTTCTCTTTGGTGAGGTTTTGCACAGCAAAATGTGTTCAGCATGAGACACGCCTCTATAGTGCTCGAGTATCTCTTCGCAGGGCTTTTTTCAGGCGCTCAATAATTCCCCTCATTTGCGTACAAATATAAAGATTTTTTTTTGTATTGATGTGAGATTTGCTTTTCTCAACCTGAGCCCTGTGGACTCTGTTCTTGTGGTGATTTTTTTGATTCTATCCTCGGGATAGCTATTTCTTCAAAAACCTGCTTGATATGTATATAAGAATAAGAAAGGGGAGATCGATCCATCTAACACGGATCTTGCAATTCTCATTTCTTCCGGTGACCGTACAGTATCTTCCTCTGTCAGTTGACCATCTATCCATGAAATCACGATCCCTGGAATGTGAAGAAATCAAATAGAGGAGAGGGAGTGAGTTACTTGATACTAGCTACAAAGTTAGAATCGACGAGATTTTGCAAATATAGGTTTTTATCTCGTTCATTTCTCGCTCTTCTCTCTTTTCTCGTACAATACAGATCCAGACATGCTGAATACTCGAATACATAATCAAACCTCGCAATAACTAATTCATTAATTAACATCAGCCTATTTCATTCAGACAGGAGATCTCTCCGGGGGAGCAGCAGCCGTTTCTTTTTCGTTGACCTGTTCCACATGTGTGGTCGTCTTTTCCTCAACCTTATGGGTGAGAACGGCTTGAGATTCGAGCTTGCTCGCACCGGGATCGCGCTCGCCTTCTTCCACAAAGTCGACACCGCCGAAGATCCTCTCCATCCGCTCGAGGGATATGTTCTTAGTTTCCGGCAGGATGAAAAAGACGGAGAGCTGCAGAATAGCAGAAGAAAGCCATGATTAGCGGGAACAAGCTTTTGGGAATTGGAATGATGACTGATAATAAAGGGCTTACTTACCCCAGCAGCTACATTAAGACCGAAAAGTAGCCAGTAGCTTTTTCCACCGACCGTGTCGTTGAACTTGGGCCATGGCTGAGTGAGAAGAATGAGCCAGGAGGTTTGGCCCAACATGGAAAGACCGAAACCCTGTATTGATCGAACGAACAAGAATTAGCATGAGGAACATGGTTATGCTCTCTAGTCTCAGCGTCCTATATCAGCATCACTTACCTTATCTCGGACATGCTGCGGGAAAATTTCCGATACTACAGCAGCTGCAATGGGGCCATTCGACCAGCAATAGGTCAACCCGACGATGAAAAGCATGGCCACCTCGACCACTGCGGCAGGCTTATTGGTGTTATCTGGGAAGGCCGTAACCAAAGAGGCTAAAATCAGCAACGCGAGAGCCTGAATCGTAAATCCCGCCAAAAGAAGCGTTCTGCGGCCGAAACGGTCCACCGTAAAAGTGTTGACTAGGACGATGAGCAGTTGAAGAACGGCTTGGATGCCATTGATGGCCAATGCCTGCGAACCAGAGTTCCATCCAAGGCTTTGGTAGATCAAAGCAGCGTACATGGTGAGCGCTGCAATGCCTCCACACTGTTCACAGATGAATTAGACTCTGCAAGGACAGAACAAAATGCAAAGTACTCCGTAGTAGGTTTGAGAACTGTAGATGTTCCTGTTTGACTAACCTGCTGAAGACCTGCCGCGTAGAATCCCAAGAGGAGTCGCTTTCGCATCGCCTTGTTCTTGAAGAGGCCAACATAACCTGGATCGTAACGACGACGGTACTCCCTCGAGGCAACAAGTTCATGGAACTCTGCTCGCACTGCCTCGTCTGTCGGAGAGGAGGATCGCAATCTGGCCAGAACCAAAAGAACTCGGTCCGGGGATTCCGGGTATTTCTCGAGCAGATGACGAGGGCTTTCTGGATAGAAGAAGGAGACCAAGATGAAAGTAAGTCCAATTGGGATCTGGATGATGTTGGATACTCTCCATGCGATGTTGTAAGGGGACTTGTGGAATGACATCCCGTAACCAGCCCAAAAAGCAATGAGAGTACCCAGTTGGTAACCAAACTGGGCCACCGTACCAACGAAGCTGCCACGAAGTCTGGTAGGTGCGCACTCTGCGACATACAGGTTCGTTGCAATGTACACACAGCCAAACCCGAGGCCACTAGCCACGAAATAGCGCGTTAGCTGCCAATGCTGATGTATACCAGAGAAAAGCAAGAAAAACATACGTCAGAAGTCTTCCAAGGATTAGGACTCCAAAGGTATTCGGAACAACCTCCACAACCCTGATTAACCTGTCAGCCACTGGATCCAGCATTCGGCAAGGACAGTCGTTCTTACACTCCAATGATCATGATAATAATGGACACGCGAAGTGCCCAGAGACGGCCCAACCAGCTGGCAAGCGAACCGCCAAGGAAGAGTTGGGCAACACCTGAAGTTTAGGATTGATCAGACGATATGCACACTAGATGTGAAGCTGCCATCCCCGGCTAACTCACCGGTCATTGCCCACGGTATTGTCGCCACAAGACCTTGTTTGTTGGAGTCAATATTGTAATATTGGGTGAACTGCTTGTCGGCCAAGATGACCGTCATGATCCCTGCATCGTATCCATTGAAACAGGTGCAAAAGACCATGCCGTACAGCAGCAGGGCCGCAAAACTTGGAAGGGATTAGTTATCCGGTCGTCTATCCAGAGAGAAGTGGATGTGGTCGTGTCTGTACATACCGGTCATTTTTCGGGAGGAAGGTCTCGAGGAAACCCATCGTGGCGATTTGGCAGTGGTAAATTCCCCAGACTGGAGAACGTCGGACAGGTCAAATTCATCACGACGGTGGACTGTAGAACCAGGGGTAGCTTGATATTTATATTCGAAATGAGTTTATGCTTTGTTCCTGTACACTGATTGTCTCCGCAAACTACAACCCCGCAATGTCCGTTGGGGAATACCAACGGGATGCCGATGCCAGTCCGGGAATTTGCTCTTCTTGTCCAGGACGGAGCTCCGTTTGGAACCACGAAGAGCAAAAAGAGCAATCGTCCCCTTTAACTCTTAGCTAGACTCCGTATAGATGTCTACCCCTAGTAAATATTGATTGAATATACGTACTATTAAAGTTCTCAACCTAATCTTCCTGTAGAGAATGATGCTATTTAGTGACAAAATAACTTGTAATAAGCATATTTAGGTTGTAGAAGTGTCTAAGGATAGAAGCTACAGCTGAAAGGAGTTCGAGACAAACTACTAATATAATGGGATAGTTAGAGCCTAGTAGATGAGGACAATATAAGCTGAGGAAGGAGGAACATACTCCGTATAGGCCTTGATGTCAGCTATTATAGTAAATGTAGGTGTATGGAGTATCATGTGCAAGCCCAAGTCGACGTCCAGCCCCGCCGGAGACTTACCCTCGGGGTTGCTCCGCCCGTACCTTCCTTCCGGAGAACTTTCCCTGGGGGTGGGGGAGTGGAGTCTGAGCACGGGGTAGTCACGACCCGCCTTCCATTCCTGGCTCCGCCGAGTATGCACGGAGATCCGCCGACATGGATTCCAGGAGGGGTATATTTAGATCTGCTGTAAGCTCTGGTGAACTATGAGAGGCTTGGCGACTCACCGATTCAATGGTTTCTAGGTGGTGGTGACTAGATACTGCTACCTAGACTACGTTTATTTACATTTATTTATCCTTGTTGTAATAGCTATACTTCTAGAAACGCTGAATATTGCATCATCTGCCTTAGCTTCACATTTCGAAGAAATCCTCGACAGAAAAAAGCAATTGATCCCGTGAATTGATTCCGAGCAGAGCAATCAGCGTCCCTGGACTCAATATGGAATACCCGCAAGAAAGCTTCACAGCAACAACTTTCGCTCCCGACTCGTTCTGGGCGAAACGCCGTTCGGTAGTCAGGTCGCAGACCCTTCGACATCAGTTGCAGATGCTGAAGAGGACGGGACGGTATGACGCTTTTAAATTGCAGTGGCATCCGAGCTACTCGAACCCGCCAACGGTATGGCCGATCCCGAATCATCTCTTCTGGGATTCCGACGTCGCCAAATGGATTGAGGGTGCTTGCTACTTCCTGATGGATGAAGAGGACGCGGAGGTGGATGCGGCCGTGAAAGAACTGGTGCAGATGATCCGCGAAGCCCAGGCCGACGATGGCTATATAAACATCCACTACACCGTCGTCGAACCGGGAAAGAGATTTACCAACCTGAAGGACATGCACGAGCTGTAAGTATAACCAGTATCACATATATCCCCATGAGGAAGAACACGAAACACTAAGCACCATACGTGGGCCGTCAGATACAACGCAGGGCATCTCATCGAAGCCGCCATTGCGCACCACAAACACTATGGGAATGATGCTTTATTATCGCCGATCCTCAAGTATGTGGATCTACTTGCAGCGACCTTTGGTGACGGTCCTGGTCAGAAGCGTGGATATCCAGGCCACCCCGAAATCGAACTGGCCCTTCTCCGGCTATACAAGGTGACAGGAGACGAGAAGCATCTCAAGTTGGCTCGCTTTTTCATTGAAGAGAGAGGAAACCCAACGGGCGGGAAAGGAGGTCGACATTACTATGACGTGGAGGCGGAAGAAAGAGGCGAGCTCAAGACCGAGACTCGATTTTACTATCCACAGCCCAGGAGCTATTGGTAAGTGCAATGGCATTTCCCTCTACCGCAAAGTCATGACTCTTCCGCCAGAATCTCTGACTATCGAGGACAGGTATCACCAGGCCCACGTTCCCATCACGGAACAAGAGACGATCGAGGGACATTCTGTGCGTGCCATGTACCTGTTGACAGCGGTAGCAGATTTGATCCGTCTGTCTACTCCTACCAGTGAATTCGGCGCTAAATATCTCCCTGCGGTTCGGCGGCTGTGGTCCAACATGATCGAGAAGAAAACATACGTAACGGGCGGCATTGGGGCAATCAAGCAATGGGAAGGATTTGGGAACGATTATTTCCTACCCCACAGCACTGATGAAGGTGGCTGTTATGCTGAGACTTGTGCGGCGATTGGGGTGATGATGCTGGCTGAACGGCTGTTGCGGGTGAGCTCCTTTCTCATGTCGTGCTGCTATGACGTTTTTTTCCCCCCCAACTGCATCTCTGCTAATTACCCCAGTAGGTCGAACTTGATAGCCAGGTTGGGGACATGTTGGAACTTTGTCTTTACAACGCGGTTCTGACAGGGATGAGCTTGGATGGAAAAGCGTTTACCTATGTCAATCAGCTCGCATCATCCGAGAAAGACCGCTCTGAGCGATTCGAATGGTTCGAATGCGCATGCTGTCCGCCTAATGTCACTCGCACGCTTGGATTCCTTGGTGGTTACGTCTGGAGTCCAGTTATCGAAGAGCGACGGGCTACAGTAAATGTGCATCTATATACGTCCGCGACCCTTCGACTTGACGTATCCGGTTCCACGGTTGAGATTTCGCAGAGCACTGATTGGCCCTGGGACGGGAACGTGGCCTTCAATGTCACCTCTCCTGACGAATCAGTCGAGGTGGATCTGCGACTCAGAATCCCCGGTTGGGCTTCTTCCTATGAGGTGAGCCGATCTCTTTCGTCCAGCCAGGAGACTAGATGGCTAAGACTTCACAATGTGTCGCAGATCACACCACAACTTAACAATGTCGACATCTGGAATGGGTATCTCTTCCTGAGCTCCTCGTGGATTAAGGAACACCTGAAATTTAGCATCAATTTTCCGATGAAGCCCAGGATTGTCAGACCAAACCCCTTGACCCTTCAGCCTGTGGCGTATGTTGTTCGAGGTCCTATCGTGTACTGTGTCGAGGACGTGGACCATCCCTGGGAAGAGAATCATTTCAAGGTGAGAGATAACCCGGTCATGATAGCCACTCATCCGTCAGAACTTCCGCGTTAGCATACTAACAAGTGACTAGAATGTGATCTTTGACCTTGGGGCTCAGCTCCGGGAAGAGAAGCGATCAGAACCGGACAAGTATGTGGCAATTATTGCGGAGAAGGGGTTCAAAGATGAGCTCGACCTCTCGCTGTGGAAAGGCAAAGTCGCCGCAGAATTGGCCCCCGGGTCCGGCCGCAGCCCGACCTCACCCGCAGGACGGGATCTGTGCTTCATTCCTTACTACCTGCGAGCAAACAGGGGAGGAAAGGGCCAGATGAGGGTTGGCCTCCGTGTACAATGAGGGCGGAAGGGTTGGATATCCATTGACGTGAGGAAGACAAGAGTTATATGAAAAAAATAGACACAATTTTGGTAAGACTTAGATAGGCTGATAGAGGGATGAGTACACTCACTTGGAGATGATTGGTGTCGTGTGTACATACATAGTTAGGTAGGCAGTACATAATGGCTCACCAAGACGCAGAGATCCTTGTATCATTCATCAATGACCTCGAATTATAATCATTATGATGCTTGAAGGATTATCAGAATTCATCGAGGCTGTCACACTACAGAGTAGACTGTACCTGCAGCGGCAGGTTGATATTGCTGGCTGTTCTCGTTCGGGATTGGTCCGGAAAGGGGTTGCGATGGAAAATGCAACATTATTAATAGTAGGAGGTAAACAGGCTAAGTAAGCTACCGAGGCAGCTTAGCTTAGCTACCTAGTTAGTACTGAGACTGATGAAGAGGAATAATGATGACGACGAGGCCTCGGCGTCAGAAGCGGCCAGAGGGGGCTGAGCTAAGCCAAGCACGCTTTCCGCCGCATGCGTGACGTTTGTCATTCGCATCCCATCCTCACATGATGCGCCCGAGGGGTCCCGCGGATTCCCTGTCTGGCGGCGGAGTCATCTCCTGCATCGCGAGCATTCCTGTGTGACTCTTCGCCGCCTGTCACCGTCCTTCTAGTTCCTTCTTTTCTTTAACGTGCTGCTTCTTCTGTATTCTTCATTTTAGTCTCTTTTGCTTGATCTCCTTGCGTCTCAAGCCTGTGCCGGATTCGTGTTTCCGCCCGCCTTATCCCTTGGTTTCAACCTCGCCACCTGAAACAAGCACGGATCTCCTAGCCCCAGTCTTCCGACCGGAAATGCCTCCCCTTTGATATCGAATTCATTCCCCTTTCCTCGACTTGTTAATTCGGATTCTGCAGCCGTGAAGCAAGGTCACTCTTCACGTTGACATCTTGTGGTGGGAGAGTGGGAAACACAGCTAGTGTCTGCCCTCGACTATCTCTGAATTCACATCCCCACCATGATCCGCCGCAATTCCGACATCGAAGTCAAGCTGCCAGATGCGGCCGCATCCCAAACAGCGGATACTCCAGACGAGCAAGATATCGAGATGCTATCTGACGACCAAGGCCAGACTCTATCATTGCCCGCACATATCGCCGCTCGTTTCTACAGGAAATCCGGCAGCGCCCGGCGCGCCTCTACCACGTCGTCCCGCCGCAGTTCCATCTCATCGTTGCACTCCCATCATTCGAATGTTTCCGCCCATGGCGGATACCACAGTGATCATGTCGCCCAGCATCTACGTCGGGCATCGATTATCGAGAGTCGTAAAGCAAGACTTGCGGACAGGGCGGCACATGCGGAGAAAGTAAGACTTCGTGCGGCCCTTGCGAAAGCGGCGAACCGGAACCTACAGAGGGAGGAGAGAGCGTTAGCGGCTCAGCAGGCCCGCGAGAGACTTCTAGCCGAAATTACTGCCAAGTGCGAAGAGGAGGTGAGAAGGGCAAAGAAGAAGGCTGAGGACAATCGGGAGATGAAGGCTGCGAAGCATGCCCGGCTGCGACTGGAGATGGCCGCGAAGTTTGCTGAAGCCGAGAAAAGGCGACTCCTGTATCAGCAGAGTCAGCGGCGGCACCGTACGAGTGGGTCGTCGAGTGCACAAGAGAAGAAGACGGCGAGATCCGCCGTCAAGTCGCTGACTCGAGAGGCGGCCGCCAGAATCATCCAGAGAGCTTGGAGGAATCATCACACGCGAGTCGTCATGAAATCCTTCCGTTCTCTCAATCTCTCTCTAGAGCGCGTTCAAGGCATGACCTTTGATGAAGTTGGTGCCCTTCTTTCGGAAGAAGTCGTCTTGAATACCATGGCCAAGGTCCTGCGACTCTGCGGGCTGCAGGACATGGAAGGCGGTAGTATGGGCGAACGAGGCGCTGTGCGGACGTTCCTGAGCAGTTTTTTGATCTCGGCGCACCCTTCTCAAGTCCTTAACACCAACGGTGAACAGGAACAGGACTTGATCGCCAAAGCGCGAGACTTGTTGACGTCTTTTGAACAAGTTACTGCTCAGCTGTCGGCTGGATACTCAACCTCTGCCATCACGAGTGAGCTCCAAGGTCTATGTGAAGCCTACAGTGTTTTCTTCTCTGCATTTCATGCGTGGAAGGCACATGACTCGACTGTGCTGATTGAAATCATGTTGGCTCAGTTTGTCGAGCTCGAATTGATCTGGCAAGCCGTCAAAGACGATCGCGATGGTGGGGTTGTGGATGATTATCAACAAGGCATCCGGCATAACCAAATCCTTCTGCTGGCGAAATTAAAGCGTCTCGCGGGCCCGGATAAGGCCATGGACATGGTCAGGCAGGCTTTAAGGAAAGCTAAGCGGGAGAGAAAACGCTCAGCATCTTCCAAGCAGGCCATTCCTCGTTCAGCTGCAGTGCCGCCCTCCCCATCAGCTGAAGCTCATCCCGAGAGCGTCCCTTCGCCCATCAGTGAGACGTTCAACAACGTTGACAGTGCCGTTCTCCATGAATTGGACAAGCAGAGGCTTTCTCCCCACGAGAGCTTCACCAAGGCGTTGACGGCCCTTCCTGAGAACCGCGTCTTGGTGCATGAACTTCTCATCAACAAAGAATACAAAATCGAACAGGCGGCGTACACAGAGCCACGGAAGCAAATCATGAAGCATATGTGTGACATGATGAGGAAAGATGTCGAGGCCGGTCATGGCACCAACTGGATAGTGGCCATGGCCACTGTTATACAGGACCGGCTCTTACGATCTCTAAGACCGGGGAATTCGCTACATGTCCTGATCAGTGAAGTCCTCGATCCAAAATTGATCGAAAATCAATGTAAAGCTGGCACATTTTCCTACGATGCCTTCTTTGACTTCATGAGCACCATTCTCCCCAAGCTTTGCGCTCCCTTCCGGGATCCCGAGGTGAAAGCTTTTGCTGAAGATAAATCTGGCGACGCGATCGATCGTCTCGCCCGGTTGATGGGCATCATTGACCTATTATCCTTAGATCACACGAATTTTATGATCCATGTAGCTGCACCTCAGCTTATCCAGGAAGCGCCAGGCTATGAGCAGAGGACGTTCGAGAGAGGTCTTCAAGATGGGTCGATAAAGTTGGACAGAACCAGAAGATTCTGGAGGACTAACAGAAACCTCCTTATCGACGAGATGAAGAGGCGAGATCCTGAGAATGGCAACGCCGATCCCCAACCTCCAGCCGCAAAGATCTACGCTCAGGGTCTTGTGGATCTTGTTCTCAGCAATGCTGCAGTTTCTGCCGATCTCATTCCAGAAACGCTCGATCTGGATCGTGAGCGCCTGGAGAGGCTGCACTTGAAGGCGTTCAAGGTCGTCGCAACCGCTTCAATTCTCCTGACCGCAAAGAATCTCCTTAAGCGAGACGTCCGGTCGCAGTGGAAAACCGAAGCTGAGCACATAATTTCCCTTAACTTCACCGACATCAAAGCAGAACGCGTACAGTCGATTATCGAATCAACCCATCCTATGCCCGCAGCGGCGAGGTCACAGCTCTCTGCGACCATTAGACGCGTTCTGGCTCCTGTTGCTACCGCGTCAGCCGCAGCTGAGGCCTCGGCGACGCCCCAGACATCTGTTGAAATCATCACCGGAACGTCACCGCCGACCTCTTCGGACAACTCCCAGGCGTCGACTTCGTCAGCTTCACAAAATGAAACCAGTGCCACTCCCTCGAGTTTCAGTGACCCTGTCGCACGGTTGATACTATCGCGTCTCCGTGCGCATGTCCTGACTCGTCTCAGCGCCTCTAGCGCGAGCGAAAGAGTGCGTGCTACCACAACGGCCAGCCAGAGTTTGGCCGCGGCAGGCATGCCGGAATTTGTGAGTGAGGTTGGAAAATTGGTTGACGAACTGGGAAAGGTCAGGGAAGTTGACTGGCTCTGTCATGGGGTGTTTTACGAGCGCATCTGGAACGAAGAAATGCCTCAAAGACAGGAATAAGGCATAGCTCATGCCTTTTCTTGATTTGCTTACATGGCTTTCTTTTTTACTTTATGCTTTTTATGAAAGGATGTTGATGTTCGTACAACTTTTCTTTTGCCGCACGTCATGTCCCTTGAGAACAGCCTATCAACGGTCACTGAATAGGAGAAATGGTGGTTCAGCGTGACGATGTCAATGGGATAGTATTGGTCGAATATCGTCTTTTCGAGGGCACATGGAAGGATGGGACTTGCTATCTGAGAGACTGGGATGAATGCCCAGCCTAAGCCTATTTCCTGCATAGTTGATGATTTGCTGGTGTTACATGAATGTTTTCATATATAAGGTGATATTTACATTTACCCAGATTGAATGCTTTTTTTTCTCCTCATTTTTTCCCTTGTCTTAGCTCTAGATCCAAGTAAATTATAAAATTTAGTAAACTCTACGAAAACTCGAGAAAGATCTCGTAGCTTACGCAGTATATCATTTCCAGCAACAGTAAGGTTGCTTATCATATCAATAGATTTTTATCTATTGGCTCCGAGATAGCTTAGTTTCCGCCCCGCACTTCTTTGCTTAACTTTCTGTCGGAAGACTGGCAACATTTTTCCACCCCATATCTAGCACTGCATTACGGTTTATGGAAGATTGCTTGTAAAATAAGCGCCTTGCTCTGTTTTTTCTTCCATAAACAAGGCTTGAGGGGGGAAATTGATCTTGTTTGTACTTCTTTTTGACCCCCTGGGAAAAAAAACTAAGCCTACCCACCCCTCTTCGGAGGGCGGATGGTTAAAAAGCAACCTCATTAGCTGGCGCAAAGAGAAGGAATTGATTGGAAATTACAAAATCACACATTTTTCGCAGAAAAATGACAGCTGCAGGTGCTCGGATTTCATACCTTTCCGATCTTACCCCTCCCTCCCTCGAGCGGACGTGGTTGACTGCTCCGCACCCAACTCTCCCCATCGTTGCGACGTGCAGCGCCGACAAGACGGTGCGGATATACTCACTCACAAACTTCAAGCTTCTCTCGACGATATCCGGAGGTCACAAACGGAGTGTGAGAACTTGCGCCTGGAAACCGTTGGTCAAAGGGGAGAGTGTGCTCGCCACAGGCAGCTTTGACGCCACTGTTGGAATCTGGAGACGGTGGGACAGTTATGGAAGGGAAGAGGGCGGCAGCCAAGCATGGGCCATAGATGACTCGAAACCGAACGGAGAAGAAAACCATGATGACGAAGGCAGAGGGTCGCTGAGACCCGAGGATGATCATGACGCTGAGGATGAAGAGGAGTGGCGATTTGCGGTGCTACTGGACGGACATGACAGCGAGGTGAAGTCCGTGTCCTGGTCACCGTCGGGGATATTACTCGCAACGTGTGCCCGCGACAAATCAATATGGATCTGGGAAGATCTCGACGATGGTGACAACAATTTCGAGACGGTCGCCGTGCTTCAGGAGCATACTGGAGACGTTAAATGCGTCTCTTGGCATCCAACAGAAGAATGTCTCGCCAGCGGTAGTTACGACGATACGATCAGGATATGGCGAGAGGATATCGATGACTGGGGCCAAGTTGCTTGTTTGAAAGGTCACGGTGGAACAGTGTGGTATATAGACTGGGAGGGAGCGGACAATGCGCCATCAACATCTCCGTCATTGACTGCAGACGAAGCCGCAGCGGTGAAAGATCGATGGAAGGAACACCATGCCCTGTCGGGGCCGAGATTGATCTCTTGCTCCGATGACCGGACAGTCCGTGTATGGCGCAGAAAGCCCAAGCAGCAGTCATCATCCGCTGGCACTGGCATGCCGAGCATCATCCGCCCTGTCGGGCTGGACGAGACCTGGTATGAGGAAGCAGTGCTACCGGCAGCACATGATCTTTCCATCTACGCTGTGACATGGAGTAAGAGAACAGGCCTTGTCGCGTCTGCAGGGGCGGACGGCAAGATTGTAGTATATGAGGAACGATTCGTGTCTGCCGATGACAATCTTTCCAACGAAGGGGATAAGATGGATGTCGAACCTGCTGTTGAAAATCAGACTGACGGGCATACGCCTCCATCACTGCGAACTGAATGGGTCATACTCGCAACGATCGACGCAGCGCACGGCATCTACGAAGTGAACCATATCAGCTGGGCGAAGCGTGCTGATCGGAAGCGTCATGAGTCCTCCTCGGCAGGAGAAGAAGAGATCCTCGTCACCACGGCAGACGACGGCAGCGTCAAAGTGTGGACAGTGGATCGGTAGGAAAAGGGTCAGGCCACCGTAATCGTCGACATATTCTGAATTGGATACAACAATCCCCCTACATTACATCCCTTGGCATGGATATCTGGATATACATTTAGAGACTTTGCTTTTTTAGTGTGTGTTTGTCATACATGCATACGGATATCTATCTACCTTATGACCATGTAAACAAAAGGTACTAAGTTAGTAGTTTAGGTAACTAAGGAAATAGAATACAGAAAAACATGCTTCTGTGGACATCACAAAATGAAGACAAACAGACAATAATCCTTGTTAGTTAGATTTATAGTCCTCATACAGACAAATAGACAGACAGACGCACTAAGATCTAATTCAATCCATCTATCAATATCTTGTACTGTACATACAATACAGCAATTCAATCGAATGATGATGCTGATTTTTAAAGTTGTATAATTAGAAAGAGAGGGGTAGAGAGGGAATAAATAAACAACTAGGTATCTACCTGGCCATTAACTATACTTCGTATATAGACAAAAAAAGATGACGGTTCCTACCGGCTGGAAGTAATAGTAATTTCCTATTTCCTCTCTCTCCTCTTACTCTTATCCTTCCCTGTTCATGAAGATGTCGATATATACCATTCTCCTTTTTTTTTCCACCTCTTTCCTCGTAACGGAGAACGATTACTAAATATTTAATTTAAAAAGAAGGGAGAATTTGTTGAGATACTTTCTTATCTTTACAAAAAAAATCCTTTCTTCCCTACTCGATAAGTAAGAAGCTGGAATATATTTAAATAGAAGCAAAAAAAAAAACGCTAGAACAAAAGCGACTTTAAGAAAAAGAAGCCGATTTGCATCATCTCTCTCCCGACGGATGACTCTCTCTTCGAGAGTCGGGATGTTGTTGCTGTGATGGTGATTCGTCGTTATCACTATCATCATCGTCACCAATCGCGTAGTGCTCTGCTTCCATGTTCCGAGAACCCTCCAGGTTGAGTCTGTCCAGCTCCGATTCATCAAAGTCGGCTGTTTCGATATCTCCGTTTGCTTCTCGCTTGTTCCGGAACCGGTCCAAGACACTGGAAGAGCCGCCGGTGGAAGCCTCGCCGTTCCGGTAGACAGAACGGTACCCGCGGTGACGACGGCGACTGCGCCAGATGAAAAATCCCCAGACACACACCAAAATTATAACGACGACCAGCATGGCTTCGCCGGACTTGGCGTATGCCTTCCATTCAGCTTGCTTCAGTCTCTGCTTCTCTTGCTCCTCAGCAGCAGTGCTGTTGGGATGGCCTCCCACGGAGGTTTGGGGCAACTTCTCGCCGTCAATACGCGACTCGGCTGGGGAGCCACCGATGCTGGCGATGTCGACGTGCATGAAACGGTCTAACATATCACGAGTCCGGCGAGGGAAGTCGAACGGCACCATGTGACTGGCGTTGTAAAAGAGGACGTACGTCAGGTTTCTCGCCTGCTGATAATAACCAGCTGGCTCGCCTTCAAAGGTCCAGTAACGTCGGGGCGCCCAAACCCCAGGAGATGTCTCAAAGCCAGTCCCGTCGTTCCATTTCATGTTATGAATCAGCTGCTCGGTACCAAGATGGTTGCAAATCAGGTCCCTGTCTCCACTGAACAGGAGAACGGGAATTCCGGATTCGATCAATTCCGGGAGGAGCCGTATCGAAGGCAGCGAGTGCTTTGCCTTGAAATTCTTGCTCACAGCACCAGCACACTCCTCCCACCCACTAGCCTTGTCACGGTTGAGGTTCAGGGCTTGCATGACATCCGGTCGCTGCAGGTATGGTCTCAGATATTCCAGATCTGGAGGCCAGGCCATCCCACAGGACTCGTCACGGAGACGCACGTCGTACATGTTGATGCACTGCTTGTTGGAATCCGTGGTTAAGGATAACATTTCTGTGAGGACCTTTTCGCACTCAGGGATATCAACTCGATCTTTTCCGCCGGAGGCCTCTAGCTGAGCAAAGCAGACGGACTGCAGTGACTCCAAATTTGAAGAGATGTCGCTGCCTTTCGCAATTAGACCCTCCTTATATGCAAATTGGAGGTAAGTCGGGTACTGGTCCGCTGGCGAGATCCAACCATTGCCGATTAAGAGCCCTTTCAGGTTCCATTGAGTGCCACCGGTGGACGCGACTTTTTGATTCCGTTCGAGGATGGCTTTGGCGATGTATGGGATGTGCTGGCCGGCATAAGATTCTCCAGCGATGTAAATCTACGACGATCAAGCGATGTCAGTTACGCACAGCCTATACCTGGCGGGACGTCGAAACGTACATCGTCACTCTCATATTCTGGGAAAATCTTGAACCACTTCTCCAAAAAGATCATAAACTCCGCGGACATCTCGAACAATTCATGCAAGTAGCTGTTTGTATTGACATAGCTGTAGCCGGTTCCCACCGGCTGATCCACAAACAGCAAGTTGGCAAATTCATCCCAAGAGCCATTGTTGTATTCCAGCGTATGATCGTCCTTTAACCTGTAGGGCCCAATCTCCATCAGGGCGCCGTCCATGGAGCTGCACCCTGGACCCCCATTCAGCCAGATGATGGTGCGCTGTCGGTTGGCAATATGCCTGTTCTGAAAGTGCCAGAAGAATAGATGTCCATTGTTTTCGGGGTCGACTTCTACATGTCTGGTAGCAGCATGGGTCAGTTAGCGTTTCAATCAGCACAGCACCATTCTCAAGAGCAAGATATCGCCAACTTACCCAGCATGCATCTTCAACAATGGACCCTCCGGCTGTCCCGGAAGTGATCTAACATAGTAATCCGCAGCCGACTGCGCAATCGCGCAGAGCGGACTGCCCAGGAGCAGCAGCAGGAGAGACTGTAGCATAATGGGATGGAAACTCCTTGGCCTCCAGTCCCTCCCGGAGGCGAAGGAAAACATCATCTCCCAGGTCGTGAGTCCACTCCGCCACAAGACAGCACAGAATGAAGCGAAGAAAGGCTCTTGAATAGCATATGTCCCGTGCGAGCACCGCGTCCAAGCTACCCTCGATTCCGCGCTATGCCCGGCCGAATGGCGGGCCGTGGACGCTGGCGGACTCTACCGCGGAGATGCTTCCGGCGAAAGGGAGAAAGGCGGAGTCGGGAAAATACCAAGGAGAGATGTCAAAAAGGAGAGACGAGAAATATCCAAAGGCGGAAGCGGGTTGCTGGTGTGAATGATCAGATAGGGAGATTGACATGCGTGGCCAGATTAGCTGTTTCGTCAGCTGTGGCTGAGTAGCCGGGTAGTTACGGAGTATGGGGCGTCTGTGACAGAACAAATACAGCAGTTGATACACTTGGTCCTGCTTATGTCATGTAACATAACCGTACCAAACACAGCATCACTTACAATACTGACATTACTCCCATCCAATTTTCACTGTTATTTAGTTGCTTACTGGTAGAGGAAATAATTATGGTCATTATTATTGTTACCATTCCTAGAAACTCTTCTCATCAGGTTACTGCCCCTAGTCGAGGAAGAGAAAGAGCACTACAATTCCAATTCGTATCCATGCCTTGAAGTCTTCCATATCTTTGCTACAACGCAGTCTCAAATCTCACGCTTATATATTCAAGACAACAATCTCAGTAGGGGTTAGCAGCCTGCTCACAAATAAACTGTCGCTAACTGAAATATGCAATATATAATCAATGTCATGGATTCCGAATCCTGTATCACCATTGCTAAGAGCTATCAATGGCATAGCTGGGACTGACTCAGGGTCATGGAGAACTCAGTTGACCAACCAGCTGTGCATTGCGGTATCTCCTGTCGTTATTGTCACAGCCGTTTGATAGTTGTTGGCATATTCATTACACAAAATTGAGCAGTGGCGGTGTTTAGTTCTCATCTCTACATGACAGACTTATGCCCACATTGTAGGATCCTTGAGAAGCCTTGAATGGTCCACCAAACGCATGAGAAGATGATTTTAAGTAACTTGCCCTGCAACTGGCACACAAGTCACAATAGATCGCTGACGCCTCTGTCAGCGTCTTTCTTTATCAACTCTTCCATTCCCTGTCAGTCGTTTTCGTAAGCTACTGTAGTTCCATAAAAAATAAATTCCTATATAGGTAATAAACGTACCTCGGGCATGATAGGATGTCCATCTTGATTCTTGACATATCGGTAAGGCAACTCGGTACTTTCGTGCGCGTTGATGCGCAGTTCAGGATTATCGATATATGGGATCTGATCCAAGGGAACTATATGGTACGAATGTGAGTGAGTAGCTGGACAGACAATTCGACAGCCTACATTCTACTAAAAAACTCTCACCTTTGTCCTGAACGACCATACGCGTGACTCTTACGGCGGTGTCCGTGGACATCTGCTTCGGGCCAAGCCTTCGCCCAATATAGCCCTTTTTCCGCAATTCAGAAGTACGGTCTGTCTCTCTGCGATCAGTAATAGATACATGTAGGAGGCCCACGGATTTAGTTGGCCAGACGCACCTCGCGGGGGATCATCACCTGCATCAAGATCATACCAAGTCAGCCTACTACGTGAACTCACTCTACGAGCTTCACGACGAATGATAATTGAAGCTGGGAGCTCTCATGGTCATGGTTTGGTCGCACCGAGTATACCACCGAATAGGAAGACCTCAAACTCATCTCCATCTGCGGGGCTCAATTCCGTCTTCGCGGCCGGGTCAAGCAAGCAAACCTTCGACTTTCGGTCCCCGAAGATCTCTTCGACACTGCGTCCCTCAACCTCGAACCCCTCCGTCTGAGCCAGATCTTCTGGCACCTGCAGGGTGGCCGGGACGGAGGTGAGCAGGAACCTGTTCCCGGCTGCTCGTGACTCTCGAGCTATGCAACCATATTCGAGAGCCGACCAGGGCCCAAGCTCCGGGTCAAGATGCTCGACCACAAAGGTCAGGGATTTCCTGGTTTTGTCGTCACTCATGTTGCCTGAACAGCAAATCAGAATAGGGATCTTCAGGACAAGCGAGTAGGTCGAGCCGGGAGGCGTGTGATTTAAGCTCCGGAAAGTAGTAGAATGGATCCGCGGGGGAACAAATAGAATTGATTTCTGGAAGCCCAAAAAAGGGTAAATAATTTTTTAGAAAATAAAAGCCTTGAAGTCAAAGACGTCACCAGAAGGAGCCCACCTCGTGATGGCGTCGAAGGACGACCACTTTAATCCAGATCTCAGCTGCGATTGGACAAGACCTATCTCCAGAGACTAAAAAGTCTAAAAAAAAAAAGAGAAAGAAACGAACACTAATTTCCCAGCCAAGCCCTGATCGCACGCATCATTGACTGACTGCATAGAGGTCGAAGGGATATCTGCAACAAAGCTAACCAGAATAATTATTGTCCATTACTGGCCTTCGGAGATGGTGATTGGGTGCCGGATTTTTGTCGCGCACAATGGGAAATAGCTGGAGAGCAGGAAGGTGCAATCCATGGAAGGCCCATCACGAGATCTTTTTAGTCTACACGCTGCAGGATCCCAGCTGGTTCCCAGTGATAATAAGAAGAATATTATTGTTGTTGTTGTTGTTGTTGTTGTTCGCAAGCACCAATAATGATCAGCTCTATGAGCTACAAGCGAGTTCAGTTACAGCCCTTACTTCGGGCATCAATAGTCGAGACAATCAGGAAACATACTGAGCATCGTGGCCAGTGAGAAAAAGAAATCATACAAGAAATATAGGATAGAGAAAGTGTCTATTATTGTTCTTCTTCGCCAGCAGCACATTAATCAGAGATAATCATCGCCATTCTTTAGTCGGAGCGGCCTTTGCCGGGCAGGCGCGGGCCAGAATGGAGGGCGGCCATTGGGCGGGCGGGCAGCTCTCTGACGTACTGGCCTCGATCCCCTCTTTCTCGTCCGTTGTGCACTCACTTATCGATACCAACTGCCTCGACCCAACCGACTCTGGTTAACCTCCCTAACCTAATCATCCAGTCTCCAGGCTTTCTCCGTCTTCCCCAAGGCAGTGGCTCTGCCCAGTCGCCCGTCGATCTGCTTCCCGCTCGTCTAGCGTCTCAACTACTCACGCCCCGCCTTCTGCAGTGTCAACCACGTACGCTGCTTGTCTCTCATCCCTGCTGGTTCGTTGTGCCCTCGATGTGAACAGCTCTCTCTCGCAGCGTGCGAATCTCGATCTCAGCGTTTCATCACTGGCCTCATTCGGACAGGGGTGGCAGACCGTGTCCAAGCTGCCCAGTGATTGATCTTTGTCCAGAGGCAAAAGTCCAGACCAGAGCCAAGGGCTTGACGCGATCAGGGCTGACCTGATCCTACACCCGCGCTGGCCATCGGCGCAGTTCAACCGGTCCGCGCATCAGTCTTCCTGTGTGCAGAGAGCAATAACCTCAGCAACCTTGCTCTTCTTCTTCCCTCATATCCCCCGCCGTTCGCCATCACAATGAATCCCCACCAGCAGAACAAAGTCGATATCAGTGTGAGCTCCCTTCCTTTCTGCCCTCATTTGATCCATCCTCTCCAATTCTCTGCTACCATAGTCGACAAGTTTAGTTGCTAAACCTGGCTACAGTCTCTAAGTCCCGATGAGCAGCGTTTGCTCCGTCTCTATGGCAAAGTGCCCACGAAGAAGGACTTGCTGCAGAACAAGCTGAAGGTTCGACTCGCCTTATTATCGCCTCGTTTTGTCCGACTCTATCTCAAATATTCTGACCCTATTTCTCATTTCAGGAACGCAAATACTTCGATTCCGGAGACTATGCGCTGAGCAAAGCCGGAAAAGCCTCAGATGTCGGGGTCACCAATATTGGATCTCGTCATCCCGTCCCAGAAAACATTCCTCACCTGACGGCCACATCTCCGGGTGCTAATAACCCTGCGGCAAATACCAATGGAGGTGTACCCGGTTCTCAGGGCCATCCGATTCCCGGCAGCATCAGCGGTCATCCTGGGTCGATAGGCTTTCAGAGTCGTAGCCCCGTCAAGGAGGCCAGCTTCTTGCACCGTGGTACCAGTGTCGATGACTCTGAAAAGGCGGACGAGCTCGAGAGCGGGCAGTCTGAGAAGGACAATACTGGCAAGGATCCCAGCCTCAGCCCACCTCCAGCAAGGGAGGGCGTCCCAATCCGGCGATGAGAAGCTCCCTTGGTGAAGAGGCAAATGTTGTTGATCAATATGCCTTCGGCGTTCCCCCCTCCTATTTTTTTCCCCCGATCTTAGATGCAATTGCAGGCGCTACAAATTGACTCGGTTCACCTTTTTTTTCCTTTCGTTTCCTTTTTTTAATTTATGTCCTTGCGTCGTGGAGAAATTAAGCATACAGACAAGGTCTTTGTGCACTGCAGTGCGGAGCAAACAAAAGCAAGGCTGCCAAAAATGGATGACCCCAAGGGAAAGCCTGAAAAAAAATAGGAGAGTCTGTGACTTTTTTTTTGCCATCTCATGCTTGTGCGCATATGTCCTTTTCAGTTTCCCTCCTGGAAGGGTTGAAGCCTGAGGTTGATCTATGCGGGATCAAAGGAGTATATTCTGGGCCTTAGCCAGAGTTATATAGCCTCTGTCTTCCATGTCATTCAACCTCAGATTTATTTTGTTTTCGAGCCCCACCTCTCATTCTTTTACATACTTTTTTTTTCTCTTGCCTTCTTCACTCTATCCATGTCAGTGTCATGTCATGTGTTCAGTTCACTGTTTGCCCCCACACATCTGTTATGTTATACCAATAGCCCTTTGGGGATCTTGCCACGAGACCTCAATCAATAGCATTGTATTGTGCATGTGAAGTCCATCCAAGGATTCATAAATCATCAATCCTGTCTGATAATGATGGCGATCTGCGGGTAGCTGCTGATAGCAATGGTGGTGTGATTAGATAATTCTATTGTACAGTACCTGCATATGTAGGCAGGTAGATAGGTAGTTCGATAGCAGCAGCACTCGGGTCACAATTCAACACCATCATCTACGTTATTTTACTCTTATCCCCCGACCCCACACAGTTGATACTGGAGCTAGCTCACTACTCAAATCATCTATGGCATGCAATTTTCTACATACATTACGGAGTAAAAGGTATCTGGTCAGGCAGGGAGGGGTGCCTGTCCAAAAAAAAAATAATAATAACAATGAGTTCCAAGGGATATTTCAATTTTTTTCTTCCATTTTATAGATTTATTTATTTAAGTTAATTACCTAATTATTGACACTACCTAGTGTAGTTTTCATTCCTTTCCCCGTCTTCCTTCCTTCTTCCTTTCCGTACTTATCTAAAGGCGGGGGGCGGATATTGTTTCAATCGATCAAGATCAAGATCAAAATCAAGACCATGATCGTGAGAAGAGAAAGGAAATAAAAATTGGACAATAAAAAAGGTGAGAAAGAGAAAAGAATGATATGACAAAATATGGGGTTGCTTTTCTGTTTTGCTTCATGGCGCATGGCAGGTGTCATATAAGTAACATTGGAAAAAGAAAAAGAGGGAAATGGCTGGAGAAGTCTCAATACATGTTATCAGAGAGAATAGGAGGTGGGGGATACATGAGGTGGTGATAGGATAGGCAAATCGGTTGTGGTTGTGATGTGATATCCATGATGATCTTCAGTGATATTTTCTTCTGAAGCTAATAATCGGTAGGGTGTGAATTCTGTCCTCCAACTATCCAAGATCGTTGTGTTGCACTCTTTGCATTCAGAGTCGTGCTCACACAAGAGTGCAACCAAGGATAACTAGTCCATTTCCAAATCACCATATATCATTCCGAGGCATTTGGCATCGGTGGATGAAATCAAGTACGAAAATAGATTCCACGTGAGAAGACTCGGCAGGAGGGTAAAACAAGGGGTGAGCTTATCATTCGGGCAGGGTCCTCTTTCAGGAGCGGAACAGAACTGGATATCTACCAGACGATTCAAGAAAAAGAGAAAAGAAGCCGGCTTTCCGTGAATGTTAGGGTTGGGGTGGGGGTATTGTGTGTGGTTGCATAGTGGGTAACTTGGGCTCAATCTCTCTGCAATAACCCACAGATAATCACACTGAATCCTCATACACCGAGTCGTGGCTGAGGAAACAAGCTCGACTATGTACGCTTGCATCATCATCATCATGGGAAAAGGACGTGCCTGGGATTCGCACGTTCCAAATCAACATCCGGTCAGTGGCTCTGGGCTCGCCGCTCTTTTGCTCTACCTCTGCTTTCCCTGTTGGACAATTAGGCCTTAAGACTGCCGAGAGGGATGCCGAAGAGGATGTGCGGACGGATTTCAACCGCACTTTGTCGTCATTGTTCAATCTGTCTTCCAATGGCCTGCAAGTCCTGCATCGATGTCATCCTGCTTTCCCAACCACAGCTCAACCGCATACAAGGCCATAGTGCAAGCAATATTGACCCATCGCCAAAAAGTGCCACCTATGTCACCTTGGTTTCTCCACCATTCGCCGTGATTCCCTGCCTGAGAAGTCGAAGCGAAATGTTGCATCAAGAGACTGGTGTACACGGCAACAAGAATCGTAGGCGAGAACCAGCTTAGAAGTCCCAGGAACTGGCCCGCAGCGTCATCATCATCCAGAGAGGCTTCTTGCGACAGAGCTCGGGCTCCAGATTCGCGAACGGCGGGAATGATGCGCGTCGAGGCGTAAAGGACGAAAAGACGATAGGCAAGAGAGATCAGAACGGACGGTGTGACAGCGCTGAATGCCGCGGTCACAACATTGAAGGTCGCATGTATGATGGACGGAAGCAGCGATAGGGCATGCATGAGAGTGGTGTAGGATGCCATAATGATGGGCGGAAGAGGAGGGAAATCAGCCGCCTGCGAAGGTGGTGGACTCGGCTCAACTGGTCGGGATGGCTGATAGTCGGTGAAGATCTGATAAATGCAAAGAACAATGTAGGCGAAGAGAAGCGAGCTCTCGACCGCATTCCCACGGCCGCTGCCAATTCCCAAGGCACACAGGATCACAGCACACGTGATGGCCACCCCAATCAGCGCAGAATCGACATTGGATATCTCGGGGAATTGAAGGACGCGCCATAGGAAATAGACTGAGCTCGAAATGATTGTCGCTGACAACACTAAGAGACAGATCTACGATAGGTTAGCCCCAGATTTCAGTTAAGTCAAGAGATATTGAGCCGAGACCAAAGGAGGGGCGGGGAGAGGGGGGAAGGACAGACGTACCATCCAAGTATCACTTCTTCCGCCTCTGTTGACCAGCCATCGGGTGATCTGTCCTGCAGCTTGGATGACGAGCAGACTGCAGAATCCTTCCACCAGCTGAAAGACCGGAGTCGACCAGCGTAACAGTTTATCCCAGTTGCCGATGGTTAGGGTCTCAATCAACCCGCCAGGACCAAAGATCCACGAGCTAATGGACGTGTCTTGCGCCCTCTTCCCATCGAAAGTCTGCTCCACCCACCCACTGCTGTTATCGGAATCGACTGAAAAGCGATTGAGAGACCAGATGAGCAACGTCGGGACGATCAGCCACTGCGTGGATCGAATGAGGATGACCAACGAGCGGCGAAACCATGACTCGTCGGGCGTGGCAAGTTTGAGCAGCGAGAAGAAGAAGTAGAAGCTGGCGAGGGACAGAGAGTAGGCCAGACCGCACGTCCTGCCACCGACATCGAAGGCTAAGGGAATGGAGAGGACGATGGCGGTCAAGAAGACTGCGGAGGAGAGAACCCGAAAAAGCCACATGGACGCTGCGGGACAACTGTCAGAGGGGAAGGCGTTCAGAACACGACGCAGGCCACAGTGACAAACAACGCGAGAGAGATTCTGCACGCAGGGAGAAGATCGTGCCTTTGCAGACAGGTTTAGACTCTCACAGTTTTTCGAAGTGGATCCTCAGAGAGAGGCCACACCGCAGCATGGGTTAAGCACGCGATCTTATCTGGGTGCGGGATCAAGTGATATCTTCACGTGCAAACAAGGGCGAACGCTCGCATGCAGTGGCAGCAGCGACGTTGACAGGCCCACAACAGGAGACAGAGAAAAACACCTCCTGTTGAAGTCCCTCGAGCCTTTTCTGCGATGGAGGACAACAAGGGGGGTGAGAGAGAAGGGGCGCGGTTTATGAGAGGCTCTGGGAAATTTGTTCTTGACTCCTGATGTGCAGGCAGACTGGTGCTTGTGATTGGACCGTGGCGCGTTTGCCTGTGGCAGGTTGCAGGGGCCTGTTGACGCCTGGCCGCAGTGGGCCTGCACGGGCCACCTTTTGTCCTCTCAGGTCTAGCAGCAATGCGTTTTAGGTATCGATACTGTGGTGGAAGTGCCATTACATGCACTGGTTGGGCTACAGAAAAGCTGGAGCAACAAATTATATGCTTTGCTCAGATGCAAGTATTGATCTGATGCTGGTGTTTGTACAGTTCATGCAGCAACACAGTGAATAACTCCAACTACAAAGTCTGGCTTTCTGTGGGCGCTACCCTAAAGGCGCTAATTGCAGTCAAGACTAGGGTGCACATTCATTTTAATTACGGATTACTCAACAGAGAGTGCAAAGGCAGGGAAAAGAGGAAAAGTAAAAAAAGGTGCATGTAGTGAAAGAGAATACGGCTTCTTGCCTCCACCTCTGGTGCGGGCAGCAGATAAGAAACGTAAGATATGATGCAATTTGCCTCTTGCTATACCTCAAAGTTACCTAAGAAGATAAGAGCTGGTAAATTGCCGGGATGACCACTGATGGCAAGTTGAACACGATGGAACCTTGGAAGCTCGCCAGATGCACTAGTCCTGGTAAAGCTTAGCGTCAACACGGCCTGCCGACTCTGGAATACTCGCATGTGCCCGAGTACTCCATGCCTTACTCCGCAATGGTCCAGTGTTCTTTGGTATTGTGAACCGACAAACAGCAGTACGCACATAGGAGAGCATGACAAACGAGAAGTTATATGGCTTGAGGAGTACACTCCTCACTCAAACCCGCTCTCAGTACGTAAATGGTATTGACAAATAATTCTTTAGGTACTGCAATGGCCTCCAATTAAGCCTTGGGCTTATTTTACCTCGTTAACTCTTTCCCTGCCAAGTCCCACTCCTGCCATGGAGTATAGACAGGAATGTCAGATATTCGCAATGTACATACATAAAAAACCCCTCCCAGTCAGAAATTCCCACAAGAAACATGTCAAGTCATGGCAACAAGCCATGGCTGACCATTGCTTCCACCTGTTTTCCCTCCCTATAGAGGTCCTAATCACTCGTTGAATGGATCTCGCTGAGATGCCCTCTCTGAGTAAGAATTCTGTCAGGGACATGACTTCCTGGGCAGACGCCATAAAACCCGATGCCATTGCATCAGTCAATTGGCAGCATTATTGCCTCTTGCCAACAAAAGCTCTGGTCGACGCGAGAAGAAAAAGGCTCGAATGACTCATACTCAGACAGGAGAATCGGAACTAACGAGAAGCCGCACTCTAAACGAGCAGAAAGGATACGCGTCTCCCAAGGCGGCAATCTGCGACAATGGCTGACTTGTAAAATGTGCAACCAAATGTCATCCCCGAATAAAGTACAGTGGTCGCGCAAAGCCAACTTGACAAGCAACTTGACTTTGATGCCTTCCTGTTGGAGTGTTGCTCGTAATTGGGGAAACACTGTAGCAAGCTTCTGCGTTGGGAGAGAAACATGAAGATGCTAAAGAACCGGTTCCGGCCTTTCGCTGTTGGAGACAAAAAAAATTCAATGCCGGATCCTCAAAGAACTAATGTCCTCAATGCTGCCGGAACCATCTCCCTGCATTTGAGCGTCTCTGCCGCTGTGCGGATTGAGATTTCCCGAGACATCATCCCGCTCTCCTAGGGCTCGTTGGATCAGTTTAGCCTTGAGAGAAGCAGTCTTAAGCCTATCCTCAATATCAGATATGGCATCTTCAGTATTTTCCAATGAGAGAGTCGCAGGGTCAAGGAGCGATAGAAGGGTTTGGATGTTCTTTGCCAGTCTGGAGCCCTCTGGAAGAGCAGGCATTACCTGACAGAGCGCAGGCTCGATCAGAAATTCATCAGAAACTCCCGACCGGTTATTGCCAAAGGTTGTTCCAGTACTATCCTCCGTGTCTCCCGTCTGATTTAGAGGTGGAATGTTGGAGTCGGCAAGTCTCTGCGCCCATACCAACGCTTTTCCATACAGCCTTCCCAATTCGAGTAATTTCTCGAAACCTTTTTCCACCGCAAACACGCTGCCCTCAGTATAGCCTGCTTGTGCGCCATCAGAGAGTCCTAAATCATAACCTTCTTTGTAGAATTTTTCCTCCAGTTCGAGGACACTATCCAACAAGTCCGGTTCCATGGTAGCAACGAAATTTCATCGATAGTCGTGCAATATGGGGGGAAAAGAAAGAGAGAGAGAAGAACGACTAGGAGCGATAAGAAATCAATCAAAGAATCAATCCAGGATAGACACGGATTGGCAGAAAGGGGAGCGACGCACCCCTGTAGTTGTGCGCTGGAAAGGAAAAGGAATGCGGAGGGATGATTTCAGCTCTACGACTTAGGCGGCGGACCTACAAAAAATGCGCCCTTCTTTTGCCCCTCCACAACCCCACCATCCTCAACATCATGGCGACTGGTGATACGATCCTGCCCAAAAAGGACCAGACAAATATTCTGATTACCAGTACTCTGCCATATGTCAATAATATGCCTCACTTGGGTAACATTGTTGGCTCGGTGCTGAGTGCAGAAAACAGCAGGAGCAACAGCAGCAGCAGCAGCAGGAAAATGAGATCTCGTCTTGATAACTTTCTTTTTCTGAATTTGTCTATCAGTGTATATGTATATATGTAGGTTGAGTCCAGAGTCGAGAGGTACGTACAGTCGATAGGTAGGCAGAAGAGAAGGATCTATTATGTTACTTTGGTGGAGCTGAATTTCACTACGTACGGAGTAGTTTAGAATGATCGATCGATCGATCGATCGACAGGGCATAGTTAGTTAGCTAGTTAGCTAGTTAGTTAGTGGAATTTTTTTTATTCTTTACCTGGGGGGTGTACTGTACCTAGACAAAGAGAAACTGACGCCGGGAAGGTAGGTACCGCACATGTAGTTACAACAGCGACGGACTTCGGTGAGCAGCTACCTACCTAGGTAACTTTTAAGGTAATCTAACTATAAGCAACGAGGTTGGTTACGTGTTGAACATCGATAAGAGACTACTGAGCACTGGATGAGAAAGGGCTATGTGATATCATATCTACTAAGTACTAACCTCTCTATGCATGCCACTTTCTATAAGAATAGGAGCTAGGGTGGGTAGGTAGCTAGCAAAGACAACGTTCGTTCGCTCTTCGTCTTTGAAAAAAAAAAGATCATGCAACATGTTCATCGTCCTTTCCGAACTGTATTTTCGACTCCCCATGGGTTTCTTAAACCAAGAGAAAAGAAGAAAGAAAACAGGCAGGGCTAATGGAAGCCGTTAAAAATAATTCCGCTCGCATGCAGTCCCAGATATCTTGTAAAACCACTATGGAAGAGAAAAGGGAAATGAGAAAGAAAAGGAAAATTAAAACCTCTTCCGATTGCCCATGACGGGATCCCCCCTTTGAGGTGAAGCTCGCCTGGCGTTGTAGGAATAGTATCACCGGTGCTTCTTCGCCGACCATATCAAGAAACGGAACGAGATATTTCGATCGCAGCTTGAAAAAAAAAATCTTGCTTTACCTCGTCTTCCTTGCTCCCGGTCTTGGTTTCACCTCCTCAGGAGTCACAGGGTGAAGCATGACCTTGTTAGGAGTCTGCGGGGTGTTTGCAGTATAACCTTTACTCCAATCGTAACTGACAGCATAGGCGAAGATGTTTCCATTTCGGTTGAAAGCGGTGCTCGAAATGGTCCCACCCACAGATGGATACCCCTTCAAACGGTGTTTTGCATCTTTGTCCCAGAAGTGGAACGTGCCATCGCTGCCGGCGGTGCTGAATGTTCCATGAACCGGGTGGAAGGAGATGGCGTTGACAGCGTAGATGTTGCTGATGTCACGGTTGTTGGGAGGGTTCTCACGATGACACTTGAAACTGAAATTCGAACTCGAATCCTTATCCTCCACGTACTGGATAGCACAGCGGCCCTCGATACTACCAACCGCGAAGCCAGTGGCGTCTGTGAAGCAGCTGACCACCCGTGTCTGCCACTTCAGCGGGGACTGCAAGGTCTTGTAGAAAGTCGTAGGGTTGTCGAGATTGATGATGTCAATGTACCGGTCCGCAGTACCAATGACGAGGAGCTTGTTCTTGACGTCCATTGTGTAGACGCGTTCCTGGCATTCCACCGTCGCAATCGGCGTTGCCTGTCGCAGATCCCAATATTTGACGGTCTTGTCCCAGGAACCCGTTACGAGGAGAGGAGACGCAGCATTTCCAGGGTTAGAAATCATATGGCAGCATCGAATAGGAGCGTCGTGTTGAGCAACCTGGACTGCAGTCGTCGTGTTCGCCGCAAGATCCAGCATGCGCGCCGCTTTGTCTGCACCGGCACCAACGACCTTGGTTCCGTCCTGAGGAGAAAAAAAGCAAGCACGGTCAGAAAAAGTTCATCCCAGCTATTTTGGCAAGTTACCCACCGGAGACCAGCAGCAATTTAACACTGGCGCCTCATGATCGAAAAATGCCTTCCCTTCACTCTGTCCTTGGTCATTGATCTCGTAGATGCGGACTTTCTTGTCCCATGATGCCACTGCAAGATGCTCGCTGACAGGGGAAAATGCGAGGTCAGAGATGCTATCCTCGGGCGGCGAGTTCAGGGCCACATCCTTGGAGATATCGCCAGTCGTGGTAGTCTGGCCCGTGGACGTCGTCGCGGAGCCGAAGAGCGACATTCAGAGGGAGGAGTCTGCTTTTGCTTTTTTCGAATCTTCGTGCGAAATGGAATTAAAGAGTAAGTCAGAGGAGTACTCGTCAATTTATTTCCTGAAGAATGATTGTTGTGAGAAAAGAAAGAAGCTGGAAGCTATGATGAAACTACCTATGACTTTTTGTGAGCGAGGCGCGCGTAATGCCGCCTTTCATTCACACACCGCCTGCAAACACTGCAAACACTGCTACTGCCTGCCCTCTGAGGCAGGAATCTCTGTTCCGCAGGCAACACCACATTCACCAGATAAGGATGTAGAATTGCAATCTGCCTCTTTTTGACCTGGAATGAAGATTAACCTATTGGAAGTGAATTCATAATTGCTGGATGATGAAAATGCCCATTGCAGTGTGAAAGCGCCCTCAAATGGCATAGATCTCATATTTGTGCTGGATATGCTAGTGAGTAATTAGACACTGCTTGCATTCTATCTGTTATTTTTGCACAGTGAGTGCCTGATCGTCTGTTGTTATCGAATTTCCTTCTGAGAATGTAAGAGGCATAATATACTCACTTGGGCCTGCGTCGGCAACAGGCCCTGAGATAATTGGTTTACTAACAAATAAAATATATATTTCTATTTACAATCGATGCTACAATGCGGTCTTGTCAAAATTGTAAACAACGAAGGGTAAGTGGGGAAATCACAAGCACCACCTTCGCTTCAATCGAGATCGGAGAAGGCCCTGAGCTTTAACTCCCCACAAAATTGGGCGATCAAGCAAACTGCAGCAAGGATTTCAGTATGGTTTCCAAGAGCTGGAAAACTCCATCGACTCTCCAATGGCATTATGCATTCCGGCGTCATGGGTTATTCAAAGCCCGGTTTTTGTTGGGGGTGATCGATTGGTTAGACCTGTCCTTCTGTTGGGTCTTTCGACCATGCGTGCGACCTTCGTCGGATGGGATTCAACACCACTTGAGTCGTTTTTCTCCCTTTTTTTTTAAACTCTCTGTTAACCAAACGGATTAGAAATTACTCGAATACGGTTGGAGATGTCGTAGCTCGATATATGGTTTACGTGGGATGTTTTCTCAGCTTATATTGCAGAGACTGGTGCGCTGAAAGAACAATGTGCAGTGAGCGCTTATTATAGTTGGGAAGCTGTTCTTTCTTCTATAGGTGACAAGTGCTTGATGGAAACGAAGTGCGATAATAATAATAGCAAACTAATCTTCATCCACAAGTCTGCATTCTGCAAGTCTGAAAATAATGGACACATACCTAGGTGGTTTTGGAGACGTCATGGTCTCACGTGGACAGGCTCCGTCGCCGAGCTGGATGACGCCAAGGACTGTGAGACGCTTGGCAGCCAGCACAGCTTAGGAATTAAAAGCATGACCATTATATTTTCCTCATAGTACTCCGTATTGTTAGCTTCGGACCGCAATACGTATTGCAAGGCATCGGCATCTGCTCCGTATGAGAGTCTGGATGCCAGCTAGTAGCTACGTACCCCACAGGTTAATCACACGCGGTCCAAGTGGAGCGGATGGAGAATGCCGGGAATGCGGGGTGCAGGGCTTAGTGGGCGCCGGCCCAGCGACTAGAGAGCAGTCATGCTATCCGTGGTAGCGTGTCAAGTGACGACGGCCGTCAATCACTCCACTCCATCCGACTCTGCCGGAGTGGCATGGTCGCATGAGGCCAGGCCAGCTGTGTCAGGCCACTCAGGTCCGAAAGTAGGCGTGGAAATAGTGTCATGCTGGAGGGAATTAGATCTGTGGATTTTAATATGGAACTGGCCAGGATAGCAGGCCACTGGGCGAGGGCCATCCATGCTGCTGGTGACAGCCAAAAAAGCGGCACGGTTGAATAGCCGGGGGCGGGGGACAGCAAGGTCCTGAGGTCATCGAGCAGCCAAATGAAGCAGGAGCAACCTGGAATCTGCGGCGCCTTGCCCGAACAAGGCAGCTTGGAGGGCGGCGAGCCATTCAGCGGCCAGCGCTGCGGCTGCTTTGCCATCCCTCGCAAGGTTGGGATGCCTTTGTCCCATCTCCGCCGGGCCTCTCGCATCATTAGCCGGCGAGGTAACTCAATTGGACAGCATTCCAAGGGTGGCCTGGATGCGAGCGCGCTTGAGATCAGCCCACGGCCTCCTGGTCGTGTTTCACGCCTCCCCGGCCCAGCATCGCTCTTCCCCTCCTTTGCCTTATCCCTCCTCCCTCCTCGTGGGCGAACCTGCCTCTTTCTTCTCCTGAATCCTGCCTCCGTAGGGTTGTTTCCTAACACATCCGATCACCACCGCTCTGTCCAAAGACCAATTTAGGTAGGTTCTCCTTCCTGCTTCACATGCTCCCGCCATCCTCAATGCTAGAGCTTGGAGGTCGTCTTCTAATCAGTCTACCTCGTAACGGCCTCCAGACGCTCCAAGTCTCCCCCATCAATCATCCAATTGCCCACTATGTCCGAAGAACTCACCAGAGTCGACTCTGCCGTCGCCGGTCTGTCAATATCTCCCAAGGATGAGAAGCTTGAGAAGCCTGAAAAGGTAGAGAAGAAGACACACAAGCGTGTTTCCTCGACGGCTGAAGGAGTCCGGAACATTAACGACCTGGGTAAAAACCTCCCTTTCCAATCTCAGAGCGCAACGCTTTTCTCGTTGAACCCAGATGCTAACAAACTACAGAAAAAGAGGGAATTCAGCTGCAAATAGCAATCGAAACGCAGAAGCTCAACTGGTGAGTTGTCCACCCTTTGGCGTCCTTCTGCGTGTGTGTCGACTAGATATACCGGCTTGCTCTTCAGTATACGACAACCAACGTACAGTATATGTTGTTGACTGATCTGCCCTCCAGGAAACTCAACACGTCGCCCTCATCAGTGGAAGACAAGGAAGCTCTCAAGAAATTCCTCACCACACCACCTGTCAAGAAGATTGACCTGCACTTCCCATTGGGCCTGGAAGTCACTGCACGGAATCTCAAGGGAGTCACGATCAAAGATGCCCTTGATGCAATATACAAGCAATTCAAGAAGAAGGTGCGTCTAAAACACTGCTCTGCTATGAGTCTGCGGCTAACTGTTCCGCCCATCAGGCTGATGACGAGCTTGACAAACCCATCCTCGCTGGCTTCGAGTGGGATCCCGAGGAGTCGTGGACGAGACTGATTGTACATCAGAAGAAGGAAGGCGCTCCACCCGCAAGCAAGAAATCGAAAAAGAAGGCCGAGGAGTAGACGACGCCTAACCACAATGCCGATGGGATCTTCCCTCTCTCAGTCTTGTGTCATCCTTGCATTCTCTTAAGACTGCTCGGACGTCCGTGATAGTTACCTGTTTGTGCTCTGCCTTTTTTTTTCCTCTCAGACTCCGATCGTATGTTTCATTCGGTCCATAGTCGGCTGTAGAAACGAAAATAGAGAGGAATGTATCCGTCTTATTGATCTTTTTTCGTGGATGGTTCTGCTCCATGCTGTGTGGTGTTAGGATTGTTGATATGATATTCTGTTTCCCTTGGAAGGGCTGATGCATTCTTTTGATGTCCTTGATGTTTGCCGTGGCACGGCCAAGCATCCACTGTCATTCTTTACCAATCGAGATTGGAACAATATGTTGACTCTATCACCGCTCATCTCTAGAGAGATCAGTACGTTATAGGTCACTCTATGAATTAATTAAGCGGAGACTGATGAACCAGTTCGGGCATGCGTCCATGGCAATCCTCAGTTTCCTCATCTGCATGGAACCTGATTAGGCGCGTAATCTATGTTGCAACGAGCAGATAGTTAAGATACTGTCAATTCAAGTACATGATCACTATATGAGATACCAAATTATGCCTTGAGTACCTTACAATGTGAACCGATGGCTTGATGTCAACTAAAAGTAGATATGGTGATCTCATTCAGGTAAGATAAACGCCCAGGCCAGAAAGCACATTGAGTCATTACATACTCCAGAGTACCCATTCCCTATTAAACCTAATAATAATACAATACACATATGTGCGTGGGGAAATCATAATATTCCAAGAATTAACACATTGAACCTTATCCAAGGAGGCAAAGTTCCATGGGTCTCCTTCTCCCAAGACCGTTCGGTATCCCTCCCTAGGGAACGTCGAGCTTGTGCTCCTCATGTTCAGCCCGGAGAGCGTCAGCATCGTTCGTCTCAAAGGCAAAGCTCCACATCCGCTCGGACATGCTGCGGTGGTATTTGGGTCGGGTGGTGAAATCGTCCCCCTTGGAGCTCTTGCTGCCAACGTGTTGGAGCAACGTCGGCGTCACCGCCCAGCGGAGCTCGCGGTTCTGGTCCGCGTATTCCTCCGTGAGCATGTCGACATAGCCGATATGCCTCGACTCGTACCACTGCACCAGGTCGGGGACCCGGGACTGCGGGAAAATGAACCCCTGCGAGCAGCAGCCGAACTTGGGCATTTCGTTCACGCCGGCCGGCATGGGTAGCATGGTCACCCGACCCGCGGCGAAAAACAGAATGATCAGGAGAGGTGTGCAGACGGCACAGAGGAGAAGGATTGTCTCGTCGGGGATGAAGCGTCTCGTCGAAGGGAAGTAGTGTCGGGTTCCGAGGAGGCTCGCTCCGACTGCAGCAACAGCGAGGACGGAGTAGAACAAGTAGATCGGCCATTCTTCGCTATTCCAGCCGAGGAATTCTTCTGTATAAAACATGCGGAGGTAAAGATCTATATCATCAAACGTGTTAGCAGAAAGCGTGATTTCCCGTTAGCTCTCAAAGGGAGCCACACTCCCTTCAAGAGAAGAAGAAACCGGACCAGACTCACAGTTCGACAAACCCATCTCCGCCGTCTGACGCGCCGCAGCACCCAATGCCGTTCGAGCCCGGTGAAGCCATCCGTCCAGGAGGACAACATCGTCCTCCAGCATGACCACATGGGAGGCGTTGACGGCATGACACGCTTTCAACAGGTAGGTGTAGTCGAACAGCCCCTTCTCCCTGCCCGAGATCTTGTTATGGTCCTGTTCGAGCTCGACAATGTGGTCCTTGTCCACCTCGTCCCAGTTGTACAGGAGCACCGTGTCCGCGACCTCGTGGAGCCATTTCTCCGAATAAGCCGGGTGTTGGTTCGGATCGCTGTGCGCTATGAAGAGGATCAGATGCAGCTGTGCTCTTTCGGTCTCGGACAGGTTCTCCAGTAGCGACCCCACCGCGGTCTTGAAGTACCGGGCGCCATTGCGCGCGATCGTCGCGACGCCTACGCAGAGCGCCGGATTCGCAGAGGCCTTGTACGGCGTGATCTGGCCGGAATCGACACGCTCGATGAAGGAGTTGGCCTGCTCAGCGCGCACGGCCGAGTAAGCGGGACGATAGCCCCTATCGGGGTCGAAGAAGACGGACGTGGGATCGCGGTAGGATCGTGTCCGGGCATACTGCACGAGCAGCAGGTACAGAAGCAGGAAGACCAAAAAGACCTTTGCGGTGTAGGAGCGGAGCAGCAGTGACGCTGCTCCGAGCGAGGGGGTCCCGCTCAGGAGCCGCATTTCTTGCCCACGTTCTTCTGGTGGCTGTCTCGCAGCCCCAGTGTCCCACGGGGGAAAAANAAAGGACAAGATCGATAACAAAGGGAAGGATTATTATCTCGAATTCATTCGATTATGGTGGGAATGCCATGGTCATGGGGTTTTGTGTTTGTGACACGAATATACCTGACAGGGATCTCGATCAGTCGATTGCTTCCCAATCACACTAAGAACCCTTAAAAAGGGTTCTTTGCTCCTGATTGCTCGGATGAAGCCTTGTGGGGATTGGTCGTCTTTTTTAATGTTTTAAGATGGTAAACAAAATACATACCTAGCCTCAATCCTTATTAAAAATCCCCCGCCAAGCTTATTACAAAGCCTACAGCCAAGCCTTATAAGGGCTTCATTGTGGGCATGATAGGGGTTTTGTAAGAGCTTTACAACGGGCTTTCTAGAGCTTTAGTGAGACCATATACTGGGCTTTAGAGGGTCTAGACCTCTAGAGGGCTTCCATCTCGCAAGTACCGTACTCCGTACTTTATTCATTTTATGTGTTCCCCTTTTACCATACGAAACAGGTGGAGAGTTGAAAACTGACCAATAATATCCACAGAGCTCGTCGGAGTAATCAGGCGTTGTCGTCTCGGTACAGAGCATTGCGTACTTTTCGGTACTTGTTTTCGAACTACCGTACGGAGTATTCCGTATGCGCAGAAGCATTCGCTGTTGAACAAGCCATGTGGGACCAGGCCATACTGCTATTATTAGGAGGTACAGATAATCTGGTAGAGATGCAATTTATCATACAAGCAAAACTGAACAGATCTATTTGCTGGGAACTTGGACTGGTTACCAAGAACCCCTCTGTCAAAACTTCTTGGAAATCCATGTCACCGGTGGATAGCAATAGCACCAGACAGCTTGTACAGGACTTCCAATGATTACTATCATAACGGGAATTAATTGATTAGGCACTATATATGTTCATATAAGCGAAGACATTCATAAATCAATGTGCCAGTTGGTACGTTCACTTTCATCCATGGTGTACAATTCCCAGCGAACTCCGAGTCTCACATCAAATAATTTAAAAAAAGGCGGGGAAACGAAAGTCGTCAGAACCTTTATCCAAACGCCATCATTCATCAATTCATAACAATGCTCATTTCGACCTCTGTGAATCTGCTGCATATCCTTGAGTGTGTTCTTCATGAATGCATGCAAACAGACTGAAGCCACCCAAGATCTATAGACTGAAATCGGAACAGCAAACCGTAAACACCTAACCAGCCATGTTTGCTCTGCCATATTAGCGGATAGACACCTATCGAACTCTTCCGGCGTCTGCACCACCAAACAGCACGAGAACGATTTCGTCTAGGATTGTAAGCACCAGGTGCATATTCAATCGCTGATTGTTGAGCGTCGCAAAGATCCTCCTTGCAGCCGCTTGCGCATTTGCTCTTCCGACGACATTCCCAGCCATATCCGGAATAAGCGCCGCAAGCATAAAGCTAGCTTCAGTCCGGCTTCTTGATTTCTGTGAAGGGGTGCGGACTACGGGGGGGCGCAAGACGCCTCCAGGCCATAGGGTATCCTTGGCAAGTGAAATGTAGCGAAGTAGCGAGTCATCCTGAACAAAAGACTTCGCACTGTCGCGCACCTTCCTTTCAATCGTACCTCCTAGGAGCTGATGAAGGACCATGACAACCGCGCGCCCGCGAAGCCAGTTGTTGCCCTTGTTCAGTTCAAAAACCTCGAGGAAGAGGTCGCAGATAGGTTTGATGAAGGGCTCCAACTCGCGATCTTCGAAGGCATTCAATTCAGCTTCGGCCTCTGCTGCAGTCACTGCATCTTCCGTCGCCAGGGCCGGTTCCGACGAGGAAAGCTGGTTGGTAGCAGCGGAAATTAAGCTCTGTCCCGCGGCAGAGAGCTGATCCAGCATGGCAATATTCCCAAGAAAATCCTCCATGCCGTCGGCAACCGAGTTATAGATACGACTAACAATGTCTTTGGCTTCCCCATCGGCCGCAGGCTCTGCCTGAGGTAATATTGCCTGTTGGGATAGAAACGCACGTAGATCTCGGCTCCGACATACCTCCGGCAACAGAAGAAGCTGTTGCAAGTATGCCTCCAAAGCAGCACGTCTCTTTTGCAGGAAGTCTTTTTGTAGCTTCATCACAACGCGTCTTCTCGGAAACTCTAGCTGACGCACAGAAGCGTACCTCATCCGTAGTTTCTGATGAAGTTCATGAAACTCGCTGTATCGGCGTGTAACTGCCCATGTTGCTGCGGGCATCTGCTCTCCTGCTTTTCTATGCACCTCGATCACGTCTGCAAGCAAAGATTAGTCAGATGATGCACAATACCTTCAAGACAAAGAATATTCGCTCTTACATAGTGCAAACTCCCGCCCATCCTCCTCTTTTCCCACCATGATCGATTTGATCTGCACTGTAGATCGACCATAAAGACTGCTGTCACTCTCTTGAATTATATACTGTTGTCTTTGCATTTCCTTGCGACGGATTTCGCGTTGAATACTCGCCTTCGACTTCCCGAGGATCCTGAGCTCTGCGGTATTGTTTGTAAGTTCGGCTTTTCGGGTAAGAGCGTCAAGCACAGATTCTTGCGCTGCCAGCTTTTCTATATCCTCTGTCAGAGCTGCGATTGCTTCGGCGAGCCCGAGGTCTCCAGGGGCTGCTTCGTGGATCTCATCGGCAGGATCTTTCTCGTCCTCTTCCTCCGGGTCGGCATATTCGTCCTCGATGAATTTCTTCTCGTCCGGGAAAAGCTCATCATCAAACACTCCTGTTCGAGAAGAAGGGTCAACCAGGCCAAGCGAGGCGATGCTTGGTTTGGGTTTTTCTGTCGACCGGGAGTCGGCCCGGGGGCCATCTAACGAGCCACGGGGCGAGTTTCGTTCCTTGTCCTCGGAAAACAAGGATACGGGGGAAGTGACGCCGTCTACTTTCCCATTTTTAGGCTCATTGGTAATAATGTCGTTCAACGCAGCCTCCATGTTCTCGATCACTTGATTGTTCTTAGCTTCGCTTTCACCATTCTGAGAATCTTTGCCTATACTGTGGGTTGACATTGCAAGAGGGTCGGTATCATAATCATCATCGAACAGTGGTGCAGAACGCTCTGAATCGAACGAATGTCTTGGAGAGTCGGCATCGTCGAACAACCTGCCTGTGTTTCTCCCATCGCTAGAAGATACAGCAGCCCTGCGTAGGTCTCTCGGCTTCATGCTGGGTTGGGACATTGTACGGGTCATGAGAGTAGGAAGAGGTCGTCTTTCGGATGTCTCCGGTGCAGGAGAGCTCGTCATGGTCCGCGGAGGACCCGGTTGAGGGGCCGACGTCGAGGTCTCATCGGATGAGAGGTACTTATAATATAGATCAGACTGCTTAAACTTGGGAAAATAAACCTCCTGCAGTTCTTCCAACACGGCGGATTGGGTTGTCAAAATAGCGGTTCGTGCCTTGCGATACTGCTCCGGGGTAGCCTTTTTGCCAGCACTCAGGAAAGCCTTCACAGCTTTGCGAGATTCCTCTGGAACATTCAGCTCTGGTTTCGAGAAGTAAGTTTCGCTGATCAATATCATATCATTAACGTCAGTTGCAGTCCACGTAGTGGAAGCAACGGAGGTCTCATCCCCAAAATCGTCTTCGAGAGGATTTCGAAACCCGTCGACGACGATCCAGAACTGGACGAGGGACATCCGACGTTGACGATCCATGAATTCCATGAAATACGAGAGTCCAGCGGCGTCGTGCATAATGTCCACCAAAGATGCTTCATGCAGCTTTGGAGCGCTGTTACGCCGCACGTCAGGTCTAGCCGCTGCAGGACGAGAGACGCTGCCAGTAGATGATAGTTTAGCCACTTTCTGGTCAAGAACTCTTTTGCCGGTTTCCAGGCGTCGGAGATAGACCTGATCCTGCCCGTCAACCATACTCTCGCGTTTCAGTTGGCTCGCGATCTGCGCCCGAAATCGCCTGGCATCGGAAAGATTATTACAGCGTCTGATCGCCCTGACAAAACGTTCAAAGGAGCGTTCGGAGTCATTAGGCCTCAGCTTCGGAAACGGTTGCACTTGTTTCGACTTCGAAACCGGTGATGCATGCTCGTCCAACGCCGCCCGAAGCTTTCGCACCGTCTTGCGATCCTGCAACGCTGTGCGCCCGTACGTTTCTATCAGTTGATTCCATGTGTCTGGATCTGAAAGCAACGTCACAAGTGGGAAAAGAACAGCGCAAGCGACGATTTCTCTTATCAAAACCGAAACCGCTCGACTATTCAGCAGGTTCTCAGGAAGGAGCTGCGGTAATAGCCCGACGACAACCTTGCGGAGATGCTCTTGTTGGAGAGACTTCTGATCGGAGAATGAAACAGCCACAGCCGGGTGTAACCTGCCGTCACGATACTTGCTCGCGATTGCGAAGTCAAGCTCTTCGGATTCAGTCACATTTCGAGTCAGGTTTCTTCCGCGCACCGCTCTCTCAGCCCGGTCAAACTCTTTAAGATGCGTTGTCAGGATTGGGAAGATACGCGAGACGACGATTGAGACCAAGTCTTCACTTAGAAGCCTGTCGCGAAGGTTGCCCAGCGCGATCCTTATCGCCTTGTCCACCTCGTGAATAAACACCGGACTGGGGCTGATGTTTTGATACCAGGAAGAGATAAAGTCGCGAGAAACCAGTCGGAGAAGGTCATCGATGCCTTCAGATACGACAAAGGATTGAGGGTATAGCGAAGTGGGTTCGTATGCCGCAATCTTTCGATAGTTGTTCACTTCCCTCCTCCAATTATCCGGGGTTAGAAAGGCTACCGTCGGAGAGACCCGCTGGTGTCTTCCATCGTTGGACTTGCTCCTGACCGTGAGCAATACCAAGCCCAACAAAGCAACCAAGACAAGTGAAGCTCCCGAGACAAACGCGTAGCCGAGATAGCGAGCGACCGGTATCCAACTCACTATCAAGCCCCAGGATATAAAGCCGCAGAGGCCTGCCAGGATGACATGTTGACGGCTGAGGGCCATTCTCCCCACGCACGATGCTGGGTCAACAGACCCATGGCGGGTTATGCAACCAGGATCATGAGATGCTCCGTATATGCTCGACAATGATTGCACCGGAATGGATGCTTTAGCGGAGTGTTCGAAGGCTGAAGGAATGACGACAGGATCACCGTCGGTAGATCGATGGCAGGGACTGCTGAAGGTACACAACGCTGGTGTTGTCTGCTGCACGATAGTTATCTCGCGCCGGCTCGTGGCTTCTGTAGTTCCGCGGCATCGTCGTCACTCCCGCACCGTATCCACCAATCCCGTGACTGCACGCCAGCCAAACAACGGTGTGGGACGTCATAACTAAACCTCCAAGTCGAACTTGCAGTCAACAAACACCTCTTGCTCCAGCGTCGATTCCTGACAGCAACCAGCCACCAAGATGTCAGCCATTACGGACTACGTGGATTTCTCGCAGAAGAGCCTGCAGTGTAAGCCATTGATTGCGCTCTAGTCTATTAGCCCTCTGTTTTGTCTGTGCGCCATATGAGGTCATACTAATGCCGTTTTCTAGTCTCTGCACTGTCCATTGCGTTCAATCCCATCTTTTGGAAGTAGGTATCCTATCTTTTCAATGGCATTTCGTTTGATTTGAATCTTGCACTAACTCTCTTTAATGAAGCGTCGTTGCTCGTTTAGGTATGTGTCCGATTCTATCGTGAGTTCGACTTGAAAGAGCGTACTGACAAGCGTCATGGGTTTGCAGAGCACAAGAAACATTACCTGACTCGCATATTCGGAAGCCCATATTACGGCTGCTATTTCCTTGCTGTTGTTATTTTCTCCCTAGGCATCTTCCGTGACCACCTCTACAATGAAGCGTTGAAAGACCAGCCCTACTATGAGCCGATCCATCAACCCTGGATTGCGTACATCCTCTTTGCCATTGGGAATGTCTTCGTCCTCTCCAGTATGTGGGCTCTTGGTATCACTGGAACGTACCTGGGCGACTACTTCGGGATTCTGATGGATGCCCCGGTAACCGGGTTCCCGTTCAACGTTTCGGATGCCCCCATGTACTGGGGCAGCACCATGAGCTTCCTGGCTGTGGCTTTGTACAGAGGCAAGGTCGCAGGGTTGCTGTTAACTCTCGAGGTCTTTATTATGTACTGGTTGGCCTTGCAATGGGAAGAGTGCGTTCATTTCTATTCCCCCATTGACGAATGTTTCTGGCTAATAAATGATATTCTTAGCCCCTTCACTGCCGAGATCTATGCGAAGCGTGAGCGTGAAAAGGCGAAAGAGAAGGGCGGCAAAAGCTCGTAAGGTCATGCCACGCTCAGAACGTTGCGGGCTTGAAAATAGGGATTTTCAACATCCTATAGCGTCACGCACATAGGAAGGAGCGAGAAAGACATCAAAGAAGCTCCAGAATTGAGGCCCACAATCTTTAAAGATTATATCTATATCAAGGACTGTCACCATGACTTGCATCTTCAACGAGCAGTCAATGACAAAACAAGTCCTTGACCGGGCAAGATGCCCTATACAAGTTGAATCGATAGCTATATTTGACCTGGAAGGATGAGCAAAGACAAAACGTTGCAATGTCTGGCATCCACTAGAGCCAAGAGTGGTCAAACAGCCAAATATGATTTATATCAACAAAACAGGAGAGACAGAGAAAGGGGAGGGGAAAGACAGGACACTTTGAAAGAAAAAATTGGCATGTATGATTTATTGTCATGAGCAGGACTAGAAATACGTTCGTTTCAAGCCTCATAAAAGAATATATCCTTGTTTCAATAAGTTAGTTTATTGTATCTTCATCGAAGAGAGTAGAACTCCACATGGCTACTACAGTACTACAGTACCTAGATAGGCATGTATTGTATGTATGTACTGTACGTATCTAAGCTACGCTAAGCTACCTAACCAACCTCTTTACCCTAATAAACAAACAAACAAATAAATAAATAGCTGCCAACCTCATTCCCAAAGGTAAGATAAGATGTGACAAGTCAAAAAAAAAGACAAGATTCCTAACCTCCCGACCTTATTTATGTATGAACATGAACATGAAAAGATGAACATGATGATCATGATCAGAGTATGCAAAAGACCAAGACCGACCAGTGATGACAGCATAGTGTAGGGGAGTTCTTCATGAATATGGAAGGGAAAAAGGAAACAAGGGAGGTACCTGCTCCGGGGGTATGCGGGAAGGAAGAAAGGGGAACCGAGAGAGAAAGGTATTCATTGTATGTACAACAAAGTATCGATGTCTCCGTCGATGTTTAAGAGTAGGAATCCTTCATTACCGCCTTCCTCTTCCCCTTTTTCCTGTTGTTCTCCCTTCGTCGACATTGTTATCGACATCATCTTCGTCCGCTCCCTTCTTGAGATCTTCGCCTTCTGCCAATCCCCATTTCTCACGGTCGTACCAGTCCTCACCGTCGCTCATTTCGCCGAGATGCGCCTCTGCCTTGCACCACTCGTACACATCATCTTTCATCCGACATGCTCGGAGCAGCGACTCCAGCATGTACTCGAACCCTCGCACAGTTTCGTCCTGCTTTTGTATGAATGACCAAAGCAAGCGCCTTGTTTCTTCTGCTTCGTTCGGGGGAGGCCAAAGTCCCTATCAGGTCGGATATTGTCAGGCACGAGAAAGATAGGATGTGCAGATGGGATTTTGTCCATGGTTTCAGCAGGTGAGGGTCGTTGATTTGCGACGCCATTTTCCTCAGTCGTCGTCGATGCATTAGCCTGCGCTCTCGTGGTCATACGTCTAAGCGGTTCAGGAGAAGAGCCATCAGGGGTCTCCTCGGTATCTTGCCCTTCGTCAGGTTGCTCGGTATTCCGCATCTCAACGTCGACTGTTGCGTCAGAAGGCTCTTCCTGGGAAACTTCCCCATTGCCGTCAGGTGCTTCAACTTCACCCCGAAGACCACCGACAGGTTGGAGTTTGTTGGTTTTTGTATCTGAGAGGCCGGCCCCGTTCGATTTCATCTCGGAATCACCACTTTCAGTGTGCTGCGGAAGATCTGCGACCACGGCATCGTCATCTTCAGTTTTCGGCTTCTTTGTATCTTGACTAAGCTCCGTTTCAGGATTAGGGGCATCGGTCATTTCAATGTCACCACCTGAACTCGGGTGGCCCTGATCTTCAGTCTGCGGCGCTATAGAGTTCTTCCGAGAAGCTCCACCTTGAACCATTTCGTGGACAGCGGCTTTGGTGTTCTTGGAGGCGCTGTCGCCCGAAGGCAAAACCTGCTCACTTTGAGTGAGCCCGTTTATACCCAATCCGGATCCCTCATTTGTGGGCCTTGGTTCGAAAATAAACCGATCCTCCGGTGTTTCGACCTTTCCGCAGGGCATCCAGACCGCATCACCTAGAAATTGCCGATGTAAATTTCTCGCACGCCATAAAAGCGCTCGTTCCTTCCGAAGCTTCTCCTCAATGGCTTGCGTCATGGTCCTGAGGGCTTTGGATTTATACGGCTGGGACATTGCAGGATGATTAGGTAATTCGGACGGGTGTTTGAGAGGGCAGAGGATTTCTATATAGATAAGAAGACAAGTTAGCTCCTCGAAAAATACCCAGATGAGACAGCGCGATGAGACTAACGTTCGATGGCAACTTCCGAAAAGGGATTCTCCTCTGCAGCAGCAGCATCGGCTTCAGAGTCTTCATCATCCTCTTCAAGTTCGTCTCCTTCAGAATCATATCGAGGTGGGTTTCGACGTAGAATGTAACGTGTGTAGCCGGCATGCTCGATTTTCTAGAGTTGGCCGCGGGGAGGGGCATTAGTCTAGCAGTCACAAGTGGCAGACCTGGGGACTGAAAGAAAGCAACAGCTAACACACCTCTTTGTAAAGTTCCTGCGGATTCGTGTAACCTAGTACACCTTCGTGTACATATTTCGCATTCGCTCTCAGTTTGTTACCCCGGTTCGTCGGTTGGGTGATGGGTTCGTCTGGACCTGAGTCTGGAGGGGGAATTAGACCTGCATCGGAAACACCGAGGGCAAATGAGAATCTTACGATCATTTTCCCGTCGCAGGGCCTTTTTCAGCCCAATGATCGTATCTGCAATCAGGGCCGCCTGTGTAGTCATGATGACGAGTGGCAGGGACGAGAATCGTTCCAGCAGAGAGCAAGACGGAAATGGGAGGACGAAGCGCGAGAACGGGGCGACTTTTGCAGAGAGGGGGAGAAAACAAGGCGCCTTCCTGAGTGACGATTGCCGCTTCCAGGCTCCAGAGACGTCAAAGGGCCATCTCGCGAGGGGTTGAATTCAGCTCTTGGATGTCTCGGGAAACGGGCCAGAATCGTTTGAGAAGACAAAGGTCATCAGCTGCTCCATGCCAGCCCGGCGACGCTTCTTCTCCGCCTGCCTGACGCAGTCGCGTACGGAGTTGAGCTCACCGCCTTCGGGAAGCGATCGCCGCGGCTACCATACTGAAAGACGCTAATCCGCATCGGGTTCCGCAGCACTGATTAGGGTTTGGCACGTGAGATGCCCTGCTGATAACAGTGACAGCGCAGATCTCTGGATGGGAAATAGGTAACTATACAATGAGAACTTGATGTAGTTTTTTTTTCTTTTCATTAGAATTTCTTTTGTACACTCGCAAAAGATATCCCCAGTAAATCATGCAAGCGTAAAAGGTATATGAGGTCCATCATTCATTTAGCTCCATGTCGTTGTCATTCACCCATAAAAAAAATATCACGTCTAAAGCAAGTCTATTTGACTTCAATCAGGGTCTACCCATACCAAAATACCCTTTTTATCGGCCCGCATTCCTTCGGTGGGAAGAACCCGGAGCGTCTTGTTGAAATACGTGTCGACCACCACGAGGTGTGGCTGAATCCACAAGCCCCGCTTAAAAGCCAGGAGGTTGTACCGCACCGTGTGTCTGCTGAAGGGGACGAGTTGGACTACTCTCGTCTTAGGTCCGCTGAACGCAAACTGCTCACTCGCTTCCATCGTGAGGTTAAATGTGAGGAAATGCATTGAGGGATTTTCGAGTGTGTAGTCCAGGTGGATCAAGCCCGGTAGCGTCTCCGACGGTAAGGCAGAGGCCAGGACGCGCGGCTCACCCATTGGGATCAGGAAACGGGGGATTGCCAGTGAGGTGGTCGTGCTAGCATCACTACCGTCGGCAGTCGGACGTCGCCACAGAATATCCAAGGCGAGGTTCAGTGTTACCGACCGTCGATCGTCCAGACTGGTCTTCTGAACATTAAGGGTAAACTCAGATTCCCTAAGTTCTTCTGGGAATATCTGTGCCGCCTCTTGGCTGAGCAAAGTCTCCTCGCTTATGTCACAGAGTGCACCGCCGTGAATGTCAAGCAGAACCAAGGAGACTTTCTCGATAATGAGCGGTTCCGAGGCGAATGACACAATCTTCGAATTGACGCACCACTTCTGCTGCAAGCCGTTCGGCCTCGAGGTCGACCCATGCTCGGCGAGGTCGTCGTCGGGAAGGAAGAAATTGGGCCAGGGCTGCGGATGGATGCGAGGGAGAAACTCATAGTTTGCTTCAAATGGTCGCACAAAGGGCAGGCTGACCACCACAGTCTTCGAGATGGGCGTTTCCATATCTGAGACCAGAGAGTATCGAACGGATATTTCGAGTTCGTAATCCGCGGCATAGTGGGTGTCAGAAAGAACAATCGATAACTCCGTACTGGCGGCTTGTTCCAGGACGCCGATCGAACGAGATATTGAATGAGGAGTATCCTCATTAGGAGAGCCCCCAGCATCATCGCCCGATTCAGCAGGATGTTCGTCGTCATTCGCCCATGACAGCTTAGCTGCCAATTCCGGTTTTCCAAACAGCCTGACCTGCAGGGTTACGTCTGCAGCCTCTTCTTCATCGTTTTTGATGGCGACACTGAGAATAACTCGCTCATTTGTATAGTATGTCTCCCTGAGGTTTGGTGTGCTTATGAGAATCTTAGGCGGTTTCGGTAGGATCTTGCACAAGGTAGTGTCGCGATCTTTGCCAATCCTCTTTCGATGAGGACCTTTGGCGCTATTCACCCACCAGTATAATGCCCCTTCTCTATGACGGGTGATGGCATACACAAGATTGAAATTCTCCCCTTCAATCAGAAGGGAGATCGATGCAACCTTGGCCTCACCAGCCTCGCGAGGTATGGACGTCAAATTGTATACTCTGGTTTGAGAAGGCCTGAAGGTCAGGTTGGCTGCGCCGACCATGGAAGCCGTTCCCTCAGTTGGGGAAAGGGGTGTTGAGGAATCAGTTGAGGCTGTAGAGTCACGTAAAGTGACGTCAGATATCTGACAAGAGGATGAGTCGCTCTCATCCACCTCATGCTCCGATTGCAATTTAATGGGCCGCAGGCTGCCTTCAAAAACGATTTTTACTTCAGAGAGAGTAATGGGAGCTGAAGAAGGCTGGGCCACAGAAGTGATGGCCAATTGAGCTTGGAGAGGCTCGCCGACATTTCCAGCTGCTTTCTCAAAAACGAGTGATGCAGACACTACAAACTATTAGCGACTGGGGCTTGACATCGGCGAACGCGATGGGAACTAACAGCACGACACGACATCCTCAGCTTTGAGGACGACGACAGGTTTAGGGCTGCCTACGGGAACATCCTTGAGACAGTTCTGAAAGTCGTAGTTCCAGCTGGACCGAGGCGAAAAGACTATGTACCACCCTATGTTAGAAGCGACGGCACGAATTCGAGCGGACGTCGAATGCAATCTCACCTCGACTGAGTAACTCCCAATTTACCCAGATTAATGTCTCACAGTCGTGGACTCGAAGACAACACTCTCTTAAGGTCCAAGCAAACTCCTCCATTAACTCCCACCACCCATCGGCCCGCCATGTCAACTGTGGCCAAAGAGGCAAAAGTGTTTTATGGGCATCCGCCCAGAGACCGGCCCGCATGTATTCTCTGGCTATTTCCAAGCTCAGACTTTCGACCTTTCTGACCTGCCGTCTTGCAGCAAAATGTTCCAAGGACGCTTTTAGCGTGTCTATGATTAGGGAAGAGTGATCAAAGCCGGGCTGACCAGGTTCAGGAGCCTCAACATGTGGTTCGGGTGCCAGATATGTGTCGTACAGATAAGATTTACCTGCAATCTGAGAAGCTGGAGATTGGCCAGGAGGTACCCGATCCTCTCCTGGAACTTGCTCGGCTAGGGCGCGTCGGTGGGCTGAATGTATGGCTGATCGCTCCAACCAGTAGCCTTCATGGTGGAGCAATTCCCAGGGGGCCAACTTTTCACCCACGGGCAAAGTCTTTTCAGGCTGGTGAAAAAGGGATTCGTGTAGCCTACTAGGGTCATTGAGAATGTCTTCTGAGAATGCGGGTAGCTCCGCTCGAGAAATGAGCTGTGCCATTACTGTTGACCATCTCGCATCCCAAGCTTCCCACCCATAATTCTTTGTTCCCTTTCCTTTGCGGCTGACGATATCCTCAGTACGGGCCCTGTGTTCGAGCCACGCACGCACCGCGGCGGTAGTTTGACCACTCCAGAGCAAGCATCGGATGATCCTGATCGCTAGTACATCGGCCAAAAGACGGGCATCGTTGAATCTTGGGTTCCATCCCGCGATGGATTCGAACACTTCCTCGCCAAACAGGGCCTCATATGCACTCTCATAGTTGCGATGGGCTGCATCCATCTCCTGGCGAAATTCCGCGAAAATGCCAAGCTTGAACTCATAGCGAACGTTCCATCCCTGCGAAGACAAAGTTTGAGACGTTCCACTTATCGGGGGTGCCGTTGGCGGTGGTATGGAACCCCGATTGCGCTTTCGTCTCGCATGCTTGGACAGATCGCGGTAGTACTCCGCGATTGATGACTGCAACGAGGCCAGTAATGACCGGACGAAATCCTTCACTTCAACTGCTGATAAATCTGGTGGAAGAAGGAAAAGAGATCTCGGGTCCAAATTTGTGGCTCTCCGTATGCTCGCCATTCGATCATCAATATCCTGCATGTTGAGGCCATCTTCAGCGACCAACACAACCACGAAGCGCGTTTTGTAACCGGACGAAGCCCACGAATCCTTCAGACCATTGATCTCGATTTTAAGCTGATTGTCTCGTAGTGTACTCATATTGGGATCGGAGGTGATCGGGAATACATTGATAGCTGCAGCAGGAATAAGATCCTGGTGCTTCGTGACCCATAATGGCGTAAGCACCCCATCCGGGAAGGTTGGCGAGCCAGGCGTCAACGGTGAGATTGGAGAATGAAGAATTGGTCCGACCGAAGAATTGACGGGAGAGATTTGAGGAGGATCAGCTTTTCTGGGAGGAAGTCTGTAAGACTATACGAATCCGAATTAGCGGCTTATATCATGAGAAAAAAAAATGCAAGTCCATCATGCTCGTTCAATGCGCAAAAGTGTTGCGAATTGCCCAGCGCACTATGCAGTCTAACGCAAGCAGAAGTCCATATAGTGCCAAATCGAACAGCTCTCTGACCTACCCGCCCAATGATCTTTATTCTCAGCCCAATCCCAATTGACCGCCCAGTATGGCTCCGTGAATTCCATGGTGCGTCTGACGCATCTTGTTGGAGGAACGCGGTCCGCAGGTCCTCCACAAGCCGCCCACTGAGGAGCGGGAAATCTGACTCTATCGGCGTTCCTTTCTCCTGTAGCAGAGGGTACCGGACCTCCGGTTTGTTGGCAACATGATCAGGCGCCGGTTCTATGCCGGAGAGCAGGATGAGGGGGAGATTGTGAGCAACGTAATCCTCGGGGTAGGCGTCCATCGCGGACAGTATGTGGTGCTTCGGATTGCGCAGGTCATGGCATGACTAAGATCCGACACAGATCCCTCCAGGATCTAGAGCGAGGGATTTGGGGATCCCCGCAGAAAGAAATACCGTATAGAGCCCTGTGGAAGCGAATAAGATCAATCTTCGGAGGCCATCACACTCGCTCTAGCTACCACGTCAGTCCGCGGATAGGTTTGACTTTGCGGAGGGGATCCGATGCCAAGCCTGTGGCCAGCGCTCAACACGACCCTGTCATCTTGCAGGCCGAGATATAGAAGCATGTCAGCTTATCAACCAAATTCTCAGTTGCGTTGTTCTTCATTCGCTCATTCACAGTTTATGGACAATGTATTCCAACAAGAAGCAAGACAGTGATTCTGAGGGAATTTAGAGCGATCTGAAGGAAGTATATAAGTGCCCTTTGGCCATGGTATCTACAAAAACCAAATAAAAAAATACCCTAGTTGGCATTGCTGAGTGGCTGTTATTTATTATAGTCAATCTGGCTTCCTGGATCACTTTTCGGAACCCTGGAGCTCAATGATCTCTCCTTTGGTTTCGTCCATACCTAGGTGCCCTAGGTAGGGACTATGACCTGCTAGAGCACAATATCATATATTTTGCGCAGGTAATGAAACTATATACTTCGGTTGCACAGGAAGTAGCAAATCGTCATTTAATTGCTAGTGTTTCAACAAGAGCACCTCACTTGTTCTCTAGAGCGACTCTTAAATGATATCTAATAGATACGTAGGCAATAATGCTATCCATGTAGCTGTTAATAAATTTGGAGAATGTTTTTCCCACATAGCGCAGCTGCTGGCTTATTGCTTAGATGATGAAGATCGCCACACATCATGCTTATCTGATAGAGATCAAACAATAATTGTTTGATATATCGAAGTAAGGGAAATATTATCTCTGCGGTGGTCTTCTCCATGAATTATACAGAAGGTCCTTGCTTGCTGCTCCTCCGCGTGACCTTGGCTGGGCAACGTGCAGAATACCTAAGCGGCAGTATGAAGAAGCAAGAAAAAGTTGGCTGTTCTAAAGGGGAAAAGCTGCTACATTGGCTGTGGATCTGCAGTACTAATGGATTTGGGCAGGAGTAGCATCGCATGCCTGCATGCACGCAACCTAATGAGCTTAATAGGGCTGCGAGCCTGTGTGGATAGAGTATGGGGATCCTTGATCATTTGATTACTCTACAGAGTAGGCACGACCTCAGTCCTGACTTCCTGCCTGATAGGTACGGAGTATGGACCTGGTGCCTTCTCAGTCTGCTGTGTGCTGCCAGGGGGAGGAGCCCCTCCGGGATGGGCCTACCTAATCTAGGTGAACCCGGTTAACGGCTGACTAACCACACAATGGAGACTTTCTAATCGCCTCGAACGATTCAAGTCTATCATAGGAAAGCCCTTGGCAGGCAGTTAGGCTGATTCCGGTCCATCCACACCGCTAGCCAGCCCGCTGTCGACAGAACTCCCACTGATAGACATCCCGCGGCAGCTGCCAACCTTGCGTCGCGCGCCAGGGATGGGCTGCCTGCATCCCCGATCTCTGATGCATGTCGAGTGACCAACCCAATGGACCGCGGCTAGTGACATACTCTGTAAAGTGGTCAAGGCCAACTGCCCCTCTCCTTTTCCTCCGGCAGACTGGGCCGGTGGATCGAGCTCGGACGCGCGCCAGGCAATGCGCGTTGCTGACTGGGCGCCGGCTCGTCCGTCGTCCTCCCGGCGGGCGCGATCATGCAATCATCGAACCCTCGTTCCTCAATGGAATAGGCAGTTAATTTCCTAGCGACGGAGACTGTGCTTGGGCCCGTCCCGCGCTTCCTTGGGCGTTTGGATCATCTCCGATTCTCCATATGCATATGCAGTCTTCTGACATTACCAGTATTGCCTTTCGTTCCTTTGGTTTCACGCCTGGGTAGTGGTCCTTCGAGGACCTGGGACCCCTTTCTTCACGGATCATCGCCATCACTCCTTCAGCTTTCTTTGTTCGCTTGAATCAATAATTCCTCTCTTCTGCATCCCCTTTCCGTTTTCCGTATCCCTGCGGTACCCCCCTGATGACCCGCGGCCGGCAAGCACGCCAGTGAAATCACAAAGAACTGCAAAAAGGGGGCTCGAAGAAGCGGCACTCGAGGCGAAACGATTGAACTGCGTCTTCCAGCCGAGTCATGTCATGGAGATCATGCGTTTGCACAGTCGTCAATTCTAACTTAGATCCATCTACCTTTCTTTGTCTTGCCCCTATCAGGAGGCGCAAATAGTTTCTGCTGCCGACAGACACCATGGACCAACCTGAGCGTTCCTCCCGTTCAGATTCCCGTCGCGCTCCTGCTGCGCAGGATGCCAATACCTCTCGACGGCGTCGCAAATCGCTTCCGTCTCGCTCGACTAGTGTACCGCGTCAGCGATCTGCAAACCCTCCGCCTCTGCCTCCCGCGTCTCCCGAAGTCATATCTTCTTTGATCTCGTCTCTCTCGAGCATCTCAACCCCCGCCCAGACCCATTTTGACAATATTCCCCATATCGGATCCCACACGGCGCCGCCCTCTCCAAATCCTCAATCCGAATTTGGAGGCCGATTGGATGGCAAGTCCTCCACTGAGCATGGGTTTGGTATGGATTATGGCGCTTATAAGACCCCTGCAGAGTCCATCAACAGTTCATTCTTGCACCCGGATGATGCCGCTATTGCCCCTGTCGTTCGCATGGCTCCGGCGCCTGCTCCTTCTTCTCCGCGAGCCAAGTCTAGCTTCGGGCGGGATTCCTCATCGTTAAGACCCACCTCGAGGGGTTCCTATGCTTCATCGCGAGCGCCGTACGATGAATACTCTGGATTTGGGGTCATCTCGGCGGAACCTGGTCCTCGACCCTCGCGGACGGCCAGTATCGCGTCTTCCAGCTCTGGAGGTCGAAAGAGTCTCAAGGGCCAGCTAGGACTGCTCAGGAAAGCATCGCGTGAATTCGTCCAAGACAAAGAAACTGACCGGACACGGAAGACTCCCACCCAAGATGATGGCGTGAAGTCGGGGGTGGCTCGAAGCCGAACTAGTCTGCGTTCTCGACATTCTATGGCAGACGTGGCCGAAGAGGGCGGTAATTCGGACACTGTGGAGGAATCTCCAAGCAAAGGAGAGGCTACATCTCCAACTACGCCGCTCCCTAGTCCGGGGGGCATTGGTAGCGGTCGGTTTATTCCTGCACGGGACTCGTCCTTACGGCATAGTTACAGTAGCAATTCGAACAAGAAACGCCGGTCGGCGCGTCATGGCCGATACTCTTCGACAGGCAGCAAGGACCTCAAGGTTGATGCCGATATTGCCGAGGCGAAGAACGAGACGGAGCAGACGACAAAGCGGATTCAAGAGGTCAAGGAGCAGCAGCAAAGGATTAAGACGGGAATGGAGAACGGCCAAGACACTTCTGCCATGCCAAAGCAAGCCACGTCTGAATCCCAGCAACGGATTTCTCGATCCTCGACTGAACCGCCGCCTCGTCGCAGGTCCCGGGGTGGTGAAGCTTTTTCTAAGGACATCGATCCGTCCAGCGGTGATCTGCAGGAGGAGAGCGCGCCTTCTCCGGCCGTCCAGACACGCAGAACAAGAGAAAAGGAAAAAGAAAAGAAGCGACAGTCGCTTGATAAAGCAGATCCTCCTCTCAGTCCTCTTGGTTCAAAGCATCATAAACGTTCTCCGTCCGGTCCCTTGTCTCCAGTCCGCCACTCGACTGTCGAGGAGCGACCGTCCAGCGCCGATTCCATCGATCTAGCCGTAGAAGCGTACGTATCCTCGCCCAGACTGACCCAGAAGGTGCCCCACCCGCGTTCAGGTCGCATGATAGCGTTCTCTGAAGTGGGGGATCCAAAAGGGCATGTCGTCTTCTGTTGCCTGGGCATGGGTCTGACGAGATATCTTATGGCCTTCTACGATGAACTGGCTCGCAGTCTCAAATTGCGGCTGGTCACACTTGACCGTCCTGGAGTCGGGGAGAGTGATCCCTGCGAAGACGGGACCTGCACCCCTCTCACTTGGCCTGGTAAGCATCCTTTTTTTTTTCTTTTCTTTTTAACTCTTTTTGTTTTTTAGGCTTCTGAGGGATAAGCCGCATGCTGTGCTAGGTTTCTAACCCCGCGGTAGATGACGTTGCCATCGTCTGTAACCACCTCAAAATCACCAAGTTTTCAATCCTAGCTCATTCCGCTGGAGCTATATATGCTTTAGCGACAGCGCTTCGAATCCCACAACATATTCGAGGCCGCATCCATCTATTGGCTCCTTGGATCCCACCCTCCCAGATGTCGAGTCTTGGGACACACAAGGAGCCTCTTCCGAACAACGCTGTTCCTTATTCACAGAGAATCCTCCGCGCGCTTCCGACACCAATTCTGAAGGTCGCGAACTCGAGCTTTATGAACGCCACCAGCAGCAGTCTGACGACTAGTCTACCTAAGTCTCCTCGAAGGAGTAAACGGAAGAGCATTGGCAGGGAGACCCCAGCTACCACAGTCGCAGAAACATCGTCTGGTGATAATCAACAAGGGCAGGACCGGGGAGCCGCGCAAGATGCGACTGGTTCGAACAGTAACCAGTCGACCACTCCAGGTTCCGGTAATAACGCGGCTGCCCTGGCTGCGCAAAATCGAGAACGCCAGTCTGAATATGACACCAGACTGACGTACCGGATCTGGGAGCTGGCAACAACAAATGCCAACCCAGCTGTGGACCTGCTGGTCTGCCTTGAGCGCCGACAAACGATTGGTTTCCGTTACGTTGATATTAACCGAGAAGTCGTTATCCACCATGGGAGCCGAGACACGCGCGTTCCGGTGGACAATGTCCGGTGGCTAGGCAGGACGATGCGGAGGTGTGAAGTTCGCGTCCTCGAGGGTGAAGGCCATGGCTTAATGGCATCGGCCGTTGTCATGAGCAATGTGCTGAGCGAAATCGCCCAGGAATGGGTGGACTGGACGACAGTGGTCCAGGGGAGACGAGGTCGCCGCGCGACCATCACGCATCATGCATCGCGCTCGGGTCTCGCATCACGCTCTGGTATCATGGTATAACTTTCACCCTGTTATCCTTGATTTCAGCCATGACATACGACTCGTTTACTGGCACGAAAACGCTATGGCCTGTACAATGCCATGAACAATCATTGATTATCGGAACCGGAATTTGGTGTGCGAGGCGTTGACTGGATTTTCCATCGAGGACACGACAAAATGGGATTGTTTCATTTTCATCCGGCCGTTCGTTCCTTATTTCGTATGTTTTTATTGTCTTTCCTCTTTCACAGCGTTCTTATATATTCCTTGTTGACTAATTGCTTCAATTCTGACGAGGTTTCTTTTGGATACGTGGTTCTAGCCAGCCGCCAAAGTCGGTTGGATCAGGATTTCCTTTTTATTTTTTTTATTACTATAGTCTACTTTAATGTTTCTGAACATAATGGATGTATATGCATAAACTCTGGTTGTCTTGCTGGAATTCTGAGACCCACTATTATTATTCATCTACTTTTTCAACCTTTTTGCATGTATGTACTGTACATAGTGTATAGTGTATATCCATTGAAGCTTGCCCGGCATAGAGAATGCAAGGCTCCAAGACATGTTTTGTATACGCCCTGAGAATGCTGAATCTCATGTAGAACTTGTTTAATCATGTAGACCGCTGATTGCGTAAGTGTCAGGGGCTTTCATAGCTTTGCATGCGTGCATCTTTCTTGTTTCAAAGACGTTTCAAGCCAAGATGCATGCGGCGCAGCTTACCCAAGGTGTATCACCATTTGAACGTCCTGCAGACGTCCACATGGGCAAAGGCGCATTAATCCCCTCGTCTGATCAGACAATTGGACGTGTGGGATAGTCGTAGTCCAGAACTCGGCAGCGGGAGGGGAGTTCTGTATGGAGTTCCCTCTCCGAACCCGATTTTTTAGAAGACAATTTTAATTCATAACTGGAATAACCTGCTACCTGTCAACTATCATCCCACGTGTGACGTACGCTACACCAGGACTCGTCAGTGGTGTCGCCCAGCGCGGCGGGATCATGATTGATGGATCGCCGCCCGCAAACCCACTCTAGAACCCTGTTTTGGATGGGTGGCAGCTGCATCGTTCCTCTTTTCTGGGGATCCTCCCCTTTTTCATAACCAGAACCAGCTCTTCGCAGCGTCATCTCTCCAGGCCAGTACTACATTGTATTCACCAAGCCAAATATATACCAATGCGTTCGGCATATTGCTTTCTGGCAGACGAATAATAAATGCCGCCGAGCTACGTGCAGTAGTTAGTGGCCTGAGTTACCCCGGATTTTTCATCGGCGCGCCAGGAGACTACAAAACATACTGCAGAACCAGCCAGCCCAGTTCGCTCTCTCCACATCGTCGCGGCTGCTGTTTTCTCCGCGATCTACCCCTATTTCGCAACTTGTTAATGACTTCCTCTCCATTGGAAATATACTGCCGACTTGAGAGCTTCAACAGAGGAGTCGCAATGCGGTCGCAACGTCGCATGAGGCTATACTTGATGGCCGCCTTGGCGGTCTTCTTTGTGATTCTCTATCTCACGGTGAGTTTATGAGAAAACCGCCAGGGGACGGTCAATCGATCGCTAACACAGAGCGTGCTACGTACAGACCGATGCAGGAGGGATTCAGAATCACAAGTTCTACAAATCCACAGTGGCTGCCATGGACAGAGCCCGAGCGGCGAAGAATGCTCCGACAAATGAGAATGCGCATATCCAGAAGCTGGACTCTCCAGTCGCCGCAGACGAGAAGGTGTTACGAGTGAACAAAGACAATCCCGACACCGCATCCAACGACAAGTCGGAGGAGATGGAAGAGATCGCCGTCGCAGGAAGAACAAAGATGCAGGTTCCAAAGCAGAGGGAGGACCAAAAGCCTGCAGCAGAGACGAAGAGGCCGCAGGGAGCCGACACTGAGAGCAAGGAGGACGTCGAGGCCAAGACAGAGCTGAATGATATCTTGAAGCGATCACCAAGTATGTTGTTCCTCCTAGGCTGGCTATCTTTAGGAGCGCAAGCTGAATGTTTTGTTTTTTCTAGTAATTATCTTCTCAAAGTCCTACTGCCCCTACAGCGCTAGAGCCAAGTCGATACTCATGGACAAATACTCCATTGTGCCTGCACCCTTCGTTGTCGAGCTCGATCAACATCCATTGGGGCCACGGCTTCAGCAGCTCCTGGCCGAGAGTACGGGGCGTCGCACAGTCCCTAATATTATGGTGAATGGACAAAGCATCGGTGGTGGAGACGATATCGCTGCACTAGACAGGGATGATGAATTGGCGTCCAAAATCAAATCTCTAGGTGGTAAGCGGATCATGGAGGTATCCAGGAAATCAGAGGCAGGAGACAAAGAGTAGTATATGACTAGCGAGGAAGTTATCCTTTTGTAATTAGCCATGTCCGTTGCGCTTAGCAGCTTTGGTATATCGGGGATCCAGAGGGGCTATTGGCCGTATAGATGATGCATGGTACAGGCGTTTGGGTTGGGTTTATTCTTGGATAGGGTCTCGGGGTTTGAGTCTTCTCAGTGGGAAGATATCTCCATTGTTATAGTTACTTGTATGAGTTTTTGTGTCCAGACTTTCATACTGCTCTAAGAACCTTAGTAGGACCGATCGATCGAAGAGGAGGATACGCTGGAGTCTTTGAAGAAAAATAAATAATACGGCATAGGATTGGAGAATGTCTCACAATTCTGAACATCAACTTGTCAGTACGAGCGAATTGTATGTCTCGCAGCCTTAGGCATCAGATCTGGTCTCTTATCACGTGACTTGAGGGAAGATTGCGCTAAACCGTAACGGTGCGCTAAGCGACGCACAACCCGTGCGCACCTCGAATTTCGCTCCACCAAAGGCTTCTGCTCGTCGAATTTCCATCGACGACCGACCGCACCGCACGTCGACGACAAACGACGATCCTCCTCCTCTCCTCCTCCTCGGTCATAATTTCACGCCACTCAGAGAGGCAAGATGCGGTACATTCACTCCGAGGAGACGCTGCCAATCCCCGAGAATGGTGAGCAAACACCACATTTCCTGACGGCCAATTCCCTGGTTCCGTTCCCTCCCCGGATATGTGAGCGCGCAAGGAGAATTATGGCAGAAAGAGTCAGAGAGGGCGTCAGAGGAAAAAAGAAAAAAGAAAAAAATTCTCTTAAAAATTTAAGGGAACAGAGATATATGCTCAGTTTCATGTTGCGCCGGGTGGGACGGAGACCAATGAATGGAAAGAGGCCGATGGGCATTTTAGGAAGATGATTGCTTTGGAAAATGCGTTCAATTGCGACGAGGAGCTGACCAGTGTCTTTTTTCCTATAGTGAAAATTCACATTCGTTCGCGGGTTGTCACCGTTGAGGGTCCTCGAGGTATGCGACCTCCAAAGAGATGGGTCAATCATTGATCCATCTGCTCTCGGCTGGATTGGAGGCTGACCGGGTGTCTTTTCGTCATCTTCCAGGCAAGCTGACCAAGGACCTCTCCCACATTGCCGTGACATTCGGTCGCCCATCCAAGAATGTCATCTCCATTCAGATGCACCACGGCTCCCGCAAGAGTGTTGCTGCCCTCCGCACTGTCCGCACCATCATCAACAACCTGATCATCGGTGTCACCAAGGGCTTCCTCTACAAGATGCGCTACGTCTACGCCCACTTCCCCATCAACGTCAACATTGAGAAGAACAAGGAGACCGGTCTGTATGAGGTTGAGATCAGGTACGGATAACCTCGCGTTTGATGTCACCCTGGAACTGGATGGTCGTTGGGGATGTGGACTGTTGGAATAAAGAAGGAAATCCATCATTCATATTTGTGGATCCGACGATTCTGTCACCCGAGACACGGGGGCTTTGAAGAGAACTTGCGCTGACAGAATCCTGCACCTCACAGAAACTTCCTTGGTGAGAAGATCGTGCGCCGCGTGACTGCCCAGCCTGGTGTCGAGGTGTCCATCTCTCCCAACGTCAAGGATGAGCTCCAGCTCTCTGGAAACTCCCTTGAGGGTGTGTCGCAGAGTGCTGCCGACATCCAGCAGATCTGCCGAGTCCGCAACAAGGATATCCGGAAGGTGAGCAGAATGGCACATCCTGGGTGGATTTGAACCATATACTGATTTGCTTCACTCACTAGTTCCTGGACGGTCTGTACGTGTCGGAGCGGACCAACGTTGTTCAGGACTAAAGGAGAATATTGACGACAAACGGTGTATGTTTTGCTTGGGTGGTAGACTGAAGGGAGAAAATGGGAATACCGGGAAATACCATTTTCCTTTTCTATTCTGATTTCGCACACTTAGCATTTGATTCGGGAGTCGATGCGAAATAAAAATATAAATGAGCCACGGAACCTTTCATATTATGCCCTTTTTTACATGTTTCTGTGACGGAATGGCTTGCTGGAAAGCAAACATGGCATGTAAAAAGAGCCGGGACCAACCTGCCTAAAACTTCATCGGAATCTTCCAGACAGGTTAGTCGTGGAAAGGTAACCGATTGAATGCTGGAAACGCTAAAGCGAATGTTTCCAAACCCAGCCTGTGCAAAAACTGTATCTGCCCCATCCCACAGATATCCTACAGATTCAAAGCTAGCATTGTCTCTCCTGAGGTTATGACATGTCTCTTGGTCTGATTTGTGTCATCGGCCCTAAGCCCTAAGTCCTAAGCCCTATCTAGGTTGCCCTGCCGGATTGCGGGGAAGGCCGACGGATCTCCGGCTGTCGTCACTTAGCTGTAGCAAGCTACCTGCTCCATGGGGTCTAGCTGGCCAAAGTGTTGACAGCTCATCCCCTCAAAGAAGGGGGTAATTTATCATTAATTATCCATTGACACCTAATCGGAAATTATCTTCATCTTTTTTTGATTCGTATATTCAACACTACTCTTAAGGACTGCTTACCTAACTTCTCAGCGACCCCATCCGGCGAAAAAGGAGTAAGCATGCATGTGAAAGCGACTTAGACAAGCTAACCATAAACCTGTTCCCCTTTCACCAACGCTGCCTCTCACACTCATGACTACACATGTTGGAGCAGATCAAATGGCCTCCCTTAATTAGGTACATGTCAATTCTTTGTATTCATTTTATTTGTCTCAAGGAATCCCTGCACGTGACTAGAGAAACGCAACAATGGCGTTCTGGGCTAGGCTCTGGGGAGTTCTGGCTGCTTTTATGAGTATGTTGCTTGATGTTGCGCAGTTCTGGAAAGAGGTGAGTAGGTTCTGTATATCTGTACATACAGTACATTCATTATTATACACAAGGGCCCTTGCTTACTCAGACTTATAAGAGATGGCTCTTGTGGTGGAGATCCAGGTCTCCCAAAGACCGTCTGCTGCACTGCTTGGCTACAGCAGAGACCTTTGAAGAATGGGAAGATGCTGCCTTCCAGCTCGATGAGCTGCTCGGCACGGATGTCTGGTATCTATCCTATCCATTTATCCCCCTTTTGTCTTGCTGTGGTATAGTACGTACAGTACAACAGTACTAACTGCTCTCCAGGCGCCAAAATCCGACCAGCAAGGACTACGACTATCGGCTCATCCTCCAAAGACTGGAGTCTATTATCAGCGCCAGGGAAAACGAAGATATCCTCCCGCTGGTGAACCTCCTACGGTCCGGCCTGATCCGGAACCTTGGCAATATAACTTCCCCGAAACTCTTCAACCACGCATACGCCGGCACCAAGCTGCTGATTGACGACTACATCACGCAAGTGACACGGTCGATCGAATACGTGACCTCCCTGCAGACGACACCGATCCACGAGAGCGGCTTCACTTCGCAGGCGAAGCTGGAGCTTCTGCACGATACACGGCAAGCCTTCGGCAGAACATCTCTGGTGTTACAGGGAGGATCTATTTTCGGTCTGTGCCACTTGGGTGTCGTCAAGGCGTTGCATCTTCGGGGTCTGTTGCCACGCATCATCACCGGAACAGCGACAGGTGCTTTGGTAGCAGCGCTTGTTGGCGTACACACGGATGATGAGCTCTTAGACTTTCTCAACGGTGACGCCATTGATCTCACTGCCTTTGACCGACAGCGGTTCGCAGATCCTTTATATAAAGATTCAGGAGATAGCTGGTTCCAGACCATAGTTAGACGGTTGAAAAGATTCATTCGAGAGGGAAACTTTCTCGATGTCAGGGTGCTCGAGGAATGCGTGCGAGCCAATGTGGGCGATTTGACGTTTGAAGAGGCGTATGAGAAGTCAAAAAGAATCCTGAACATCACTGTAGCAGCATCGGGAAAGGGAGGGTTTCCCAACCTGCTCAATTACCTGACCGCGCCCAATGTTGTGAGTATTGACCCACCCTTTACGTTGTAAGTATCTATGCTCAAGGATGATTCCAGTTGATATGGTCTGCTGCGCTTGCTTCCAACACATCGTCAAGAGCACTTTATTCTCCCGTAACGATCTACTGCAAGGACGAGACCGGTGCAATTGTCCCCTGGCCACACTCGCAGGATGTAACATTCCGGTCGTGGCGGCAAGTCAACTACAATGGCCGTGAATCACCGCTTGCACGCCTCGCTGAGCTGTTTAATGTCAACCACTTTATAGTCTCGCAGACTCGACCATACCTAATTCCATTCCTCCACTCCGATTCTCACCCAGATCAGCGACAGGCTGGCCAGAGGAGTCTCACACGTCCACTGATGCGCTTTATTGTTCTGGAGATCCGTCATCGATTAAAACAGCTTGATTATCTTGGTCTGCTCCCTGCAAGCTTGCGCCAATTGCTTATAGACGAAAGCATACCGGGGCCTAGCCTGACACTTATACCGGATTTGTCTGCCAAAGATCTGGCGAAACTCTTTCAGAATCCCACGAAAGAGGGTCTGGAATACTGGATTCTTAGAGGCGAGAGGGGTGTCTGGCCTGCGATTAGTGCCTTGAAAGTCCGTTGTGCGATCGAGATTGAGCTGGACAGATGCTATCAGATTGTGCATCGGCGACGACCTAGCGACGTCCAACAGAGTGGAAGTGTCAACGTCCAGCATTATAGTGCCAATGAAGGTGTCCCTAGAAAACGTACTGTTAGCGATACTATAGAATAGGGTGCAATCAGATAGTAATAGAGAAAATTCTGTAGCAGTGGCAATGCCAAACACGTGTTTCCGAGCAAGTTCTAAATCTATTTCAGTGTGCCCATAGATGTGTAAACAAGGTCAGATTGACATGTCGACGTTAGTATTGTATATGCCCTCTGAGTGATACACAGAGACCTTCATTGCAGAGGGTCCATCAGACAGATCACCTTATCTGATTTTGCTGTAGATGTCATAAGAGTGAGTAAGCATGAAGGATCCCTCTGGGTAGTCTCTCACAGGGCGGTGTCCTAGCGTTGTGGCATGCAGCAGCAGCAGCAGCATCACGTCTTCTCACCACACATCACACCTGAAATCCTCACCGAGATCAGTCACCCTTAGGACATCATGAAATGATGATGTCGACGCCAAGATACTGTCACTGGAACCAATGGCTATAGGCTTGTTGATAATTATTTATAGATACGCTCCCCTGTTATTGTTGACGCTTCACGTCTTCCAAATTAGGAAATTCTAAGGAACCTGATGTAATTCACTGCTCTTTTCACAGATAGGCCGGCTCAGTGCCTTGTAGGACTCTAGTACCATGCTATAAGTGTCTTTTTAAGAGGAAAAATACTGAGGGGAACAGAGAGCAGAAGGATTTGTTCTAAAAAGTGCTTAAAACTTTTCTCTGGGACCTGCAGAGCTGGAATTTCAGCGCTAAAAGCCAGACCCCCTCCCAAGAGCTAAGGCTAGGCAGTTAGGCACTCTCTTTGTTCTCACACAAATTCACCTCTCTCTCTCCTCACCTTCACCTTCACATCCTTCACATCCTTCCTTTAGTCCCATCTCTCACCAGCCTTTCTTTCATCATTTCATCCTTCTCAGTGGAAGTTGTGTACGCGTTTCATCGAGTACACGGCTGCTGACCTCCTCTCTGAGGAAAAAAAGACCCAAATAGCCGGTCGAAGAACGAGAGATCCTCGACGGTGAGTGAGGCTAATCGAAGCTGAGCTTAGACAAGCACTTTGCTGACCGAATCGCACCTGAAGTTGGCTTTCTAAGCTACTTCTCTCTCAAAAATAATACTATCGAAGCCCATCCCTGCTGTCTTCAAGTTGAAGAAAGGCAGAAAAGTTGGCAAGATGTCTCTGCTGGACGACGTCTCCGAAGACCTGTCGTTTGACCAACTGTTTACTGAGACCTCCTCAGACAAGGAAAATTTCACCATAAAAGACTTTGTTGAAGGAGACGGAGACGTGACTCCTAGAGTCAGACGCTTCCGAAGCTTCGAACAGCCAGAGTTTGAAAATGATGATTCTGGATCTGAGGGAGAAGGAGACCTGACTCCTAGACTCCAACGTTTTCATTATGCCGGATCTGAGCAGGATGACGGCGAAGCTGACGACATTTTCGGCGTCGAGAACATCGACGACATCGATTTAAGCCACCCGTTTAGGCTGATCGATTACAACCTGTACCTTGGCTGGATCCAGAAAGGCAAGGATCAGAAGTACCGTCGCAACTGTATGTACCTGTTCGATGGGTATGACTGCTTCCCATTCACGTATCAAGATTTTGTCAAGAGCAAGACAAACGATGGATGGCAGCTTCCGACTACAGGACCTCAGCAAAAGCTGTTGTTTGGTATTCTTCCTGTTGCAGAATACGGTCCTAGATTTAACGGTGTGCACTATGTCATCGGCTTCGATCTGGACTGTGAAGAATTTTTTGTTCGTTCATTTAACTGGCTGCCTGAAGTCAGTGACATATGGAGTGTTTGGCATGAAGGGGTTCCTCTGTACTACTTTTCCATCTGGGTTCTGTATTCCATGATGAAAAAGAGCCTCAACAACAAGGACGGGATCGTGGACATCTTGTCTCTCAGCGTCACTACTTACTGTGAAATCGAGATGAACAATGACGATCCTGGACTCGAGATTGTCATCGTCATCCAGTGCTGCCAGTGGATTCTCGATTTTGCGGATCTTATCCTCCCTCAGGATCCTTGGTTCAATGCTGAAGTATTCAAGGACAAGATCACCGAGTACATGAGCGAGTGGCGCCAGATTCTCGAGCGCGCATCCTATCAAGCCTGGAAGGCGGTTCGTGACATGCCGCCGAAGGAGGTTTACTGTAGAAGGAAGTGGTGCGATCAGGTGACTCTCGACCTGTACAGCTTTGGTGATTCCAAAAAGACAGACAGCCTGCGTGGTCAGACCTGGCACGCCCCCAGCCAGGCTTATTGTGATAGGATCCGCAGGGAGAGCTGGGAACGGTACCAGAAAGAAACCCAGGACTATTTCCAGCAGGCATTCACTGAGCCGGACAGTGAGGCCTCCGTATACACTGCAGAGATGCTGCGGAGGCACAAGAAGGAGCATGGCTGTGTGATTTGCTCTCCCCCTGTCACCATATCTCCCCAGAAAGCTCTCGTGCAGGCTTCAAGCTCTAGTTCTTCTGCCGGCCCTGGTATTGCTTGCAACGGAGAGGAGCAGGACGACGAGATTCACTTTTCTACTAGGTTCACCCGCTTGGTCAATTCTATCGAAGAGCAGCATCCCAAGAACGACACTGTTCCCAACTATGGAGCTGCGCAGGCAGCTACCAGAGCCTTGCAGCGGGCATTTGGCGATCCTGATGAAGAGGTACCCGTATTCAAGCCACGCCGGATCCGCCGTCGAGATTCTGGCTACACCACTCTTTGAGCGAGAAACATCATCTCGTTGACAGCCTGTCCAGTAGCCAAGGACACACTTCTAAGCTTGTCAAGGCCTTGTGCTGTCTATGTCGACAGCTCTTTCCCGTCAATGCCTTCACTGCCAGCGATGTTCTCAGCAATTTCTTGTCTCTGTGAGGGATCTCCAAAAGTTGTCCTTTTTTTTTTCACCTTCATTTCAATTTCGCTTTCATGACCAAAAAAAAGTTTGCATGTCATTTTTCCAGGTTTCAGGCTTCTCTTGTTTTTCTTCCATAATTCAGTCAAGTATCATTACTGTCTGTCTGCGTATAGTTATCAGATCTGTCTTTCTATCTCAGTATTTTTTTTTCTTTCATCCTTTCACAATGAAGTATGGCTAGGCGTTGATGAAATGGGCTTGTGTCAGTAATATCAATCTTTCTGTGAGATGAGTTGTCCTAACAACCGCTCAGATTTTTTCTTCTACCTTCTTTGTACCAGACACATAGCCAGATAAATAAAAAATATATGCTTATGGAATCCCTCTCTTCTTAGTAAATATCTATCTTATTATCAATCCAGATTTGTCACCGCCAAAAAAAAAGCAGCAGCAGTTGCCACGTAGCATAGACACTATTTTGATACCAGTCAGAAACTCTGTATCATTAAATTTTATATCTGCTTTTTTTTTTCTTATTTGTGTCCCTTGCTATAACTGTTTCAACTAACTTTGGGAGATACCCACAACCCCCACTTGTTCGCATCCACGGCCCAAACTTACCTACGGCCCTACCCAGGTACAGACTGGAGTACTGGGCGATGATCATGCAAACTTAGAAGCAGGATCTCAGTTACAGGTGATACTGTTTGTTATTGGAACTTTAAAGGGGAAATTATAATGCTGAATTACTAGAAGGACAACAGCTACAGGCACTGACACAAAAAATAATAACCACCTGATATTCAGGAGTGAGTGGGTCATGTGATGTTCATATTAGTTGTAAGTAGGAGTACTGTAATAATTAATAAGTCGATTGTTATTGGCTTATTGCAATCATCTGTTACTGTGGCTAGAGGCTCAACAGCAGGGAAACAGTTCAACTTACAAGCAGAAAGACTCCTGATCGTCCCAATTCCAATTCTCAATTATTGGGAGTACTGATTGATTAACTTCAAGACCTCTGATCAATCTCCCCCGATTCGGAATGGAGCCACAAAGCTCATTTTCTGGGGGGCCTAAATCTGGGGGACCTTCGGAGGAGTACTCTGTAAAGTTAGCTAAGTTAGTCTGGGTGGAGCCTAGGTGGCCGTGTCCGATCAGATGACGAGCTGGAGTGAAGCGACAATTATGTAAGTAAAATTATCACCAACAACTGCTCCGTATAATCAGATCGCATCGTCACATGGCGCCACGAATACCTTGCGCCTTGCAGGCAGGCATCTTTCTGAGGCCGGACGATGCGCTGCACCGCCACTCACTGCGCGGCGGGTGGGGCTGGGATCAGCAACGGCGCTTGGCGGTGTGGCTGGACTGTGTGGCTTTGATAAGCTGACTGGAGTTCGCCGGCGCTGAGGTTTCTGCATGCCGAACAGCCTGCCTCCTGATTGGACTGCGACGCCCCTCCATTTGCAGACACCATTTGGCGCGCGTCTTGGCCTTCGCGATAGGCCTGAGCTAAGGCTGTTCGTTGCGTGATGGTGTCAGCTCGGCCTTGGCTGGCAAGCTGCGAGCTGCGATCGATCTGTCATTCTTTCGCCCCTTCGTTCTTGCTTGTCGCCGCATCTTACATACGCCCAACTTTCGTTTTTGTCCTTCCTTGCCTGTCTTTTTTTGGTGCGGCCCCCTTCTTTCTGTCTAATACACTCCCTGCGGGCCTTTTATAGATTCTCTTCCCAGTCTCTCTCTAACACCTTTGTATTTGACTTCAATTCTCTTGCCTTCCGGGGACTTCCGGCGCTTGTTTCATACCAGACCAGCCTCTTCGAATTTGCTGTCGCGAATTACGGACTGGAGCGTTTAATTAGAGGATATCCATCTAACAAGTACTGAGTATGGCGGATTTGTACCCGCAAGAAGGTCCCGGTCAGAGTGTTGGCGCTGGGGACGGTGTTCTCGAAAATGGTACGTTGATAGCCCCCCGGAAAGCGGTGACCATGGCTCCCTCTGATACCCGTTCTTGGATCAAATGCAGGGGGCTTCGCGCTTTCCACTCCAGCTCAACCCTCGACCGTGGATTCCCATTTGGAGGTTATCTGTGGTCCTCTGCTCAACTACCGGCGCATGAATCTGAGCTCGGATTCCGCGACCTGGTATGGCAGCGTCTTGATTGTTACACGACCTGGTCAGAAGCAGCCACAGCTCCACTTGCGTCAGGCTGGCCCTGTATCGCACGACAGCAATGGCGAACAGATCAATGGATTCGAATCGAGCGGCCGGAACTTTACCGTCCTCGGCACTAAGCTCTATGAAGACCCGGATAAATGTTTTTGGAGGTTTTCCATTTCAGTGCCCCTCGAGGCGTACGAGGCACGTTGGGAGTATATGATTCCCACTTTCCAGTACGTCGCGGGCGACGAAGCACACTCACCATGGGACTTCGTGGTGCCTGCCGCACACCAGTCCATGCGCATCATGTTTCATTCCTGCAACGGCTTCTCCGTCGGCACGGACACAGAGAGCTGGGCGGGACCAGCACTGTGGAATGATGTCCTACGGGTTCATGCCCGGCGGCCTTTCCATGTTATGATCGGCGGAGGCGACCAGATTTACAATGACAGCGTTCGAGTTGATGGGCCTCTCAGAGAGTGGACCGAAATCACCAATCCGATTAAGAGGCAGGCACATGACTTCAACGGTGAACTGAGAGCTGCATGTGATGACTATTATTACAAGAACTATGTCCGCTGGTATGGGCAGGAACCGTTCAAGAGCGCCAACGGCCGGATTCCTCAGATCAACATCTGGGATGACCATGATATTATTGATGGCTTCGGCTCCTACGTCGACAGTTTCATGAAGTGTTCTGTTTTCCGTGGCATTGGAGGCGTGGCCTACAAGTATTACTGTCTGTTCCAACATCACATTGCGCCTCCGAAATCGACTTACACTACGGATGCGCCACAGACGATGGAATCAGTGAATGGGACAGCAGGGATTGATCCTCGGCAATTGGTGAATACCTTTGTCCTTGAGGAAGAGGAAGAAGACCCCAGATGGATACTGGGCAAGCGTCCCGGTCCGTACGTCGAGGAACGAAGTCGAAGCCTGTACATGCGTCTCGGCCGGCGCATTGCCTTTGTTGGAATTGATGCCCGCACAGAGCGCACTCGTCACCAGATTAATTACCCAGATACGTATGACGCGATTTTCGATCGCCTCGAGCGCGAGGTTGCCGCTGCCAATGGGGAGATCAAGCATCTCATTCTGTTGTTGGGGGTTCCGATTGCCTACCCGCGTCTGGCGTGGCTGGAGAATTTCATTACCTCTCCTTTCATGGCTCCGATCCGGTTGTTGAACAAGCGGTTTGGATTCGCCGGCAGTCTATTCAACAAGTTTGACGGCCAGGTCGACTTGCTCGACGATCTCGACGACCACTACACCGCCCGCCACCACAAGCGGGAGCGGAGGGAGTTGATTCAGCGTCTCCAGGAATTCTCGAAGCAGCACTCCGTCCGAGTTACGATCCTGGGAGGTGACGTCCACCTGGCCGCGCTGGGCCGATTTTATTCCAACTTGGATCTGCAGATTCCTATTGAGAACGACTACCGGTACATGGTCAACGTCATCAGCAGTGCCATCACCAATAAGCCGCCTCCAAAGGTGGTCGCGAATATCCTGGCGCGCAGGAATAAGATCCATCACCTGGACTCGGCGACCGACGAGACGCTCATGGATCTCTTCGACAAGCAGCCCGGAGGCGTCGAAAAATCTGCCTCGTGGAACAAAGTCACCATGCCTTCGCGAAATTATGCTTGCATCACGGAGATTGACCCGTTCCCGGCGAACGGCTCCGTGGAGCCGCCCAATGATTCTGCCCAGGGCACCGACGAAAACGCTCCAGCTCAGCGGCCCAAAGATGGACACTCGCCTCTTCACCCAGGCGAGGAAAATGCGGGCACGACACACAAGGCAGCAGATGGTGTCAGCAGCACTAGTAGTCTGCGTGGTGGCTTGGATGTCGCGATCCGAGTCGAGATTGAACAAGGCAACAAAGACGGCATCACAGAAGGATATGGGTTGAGCAGTAAGTACACAGCCTTTCATATATCGAGGGGATCGCAACTAACGACCGTGCCTTCCTTAGTTCCGCTTCTGACTGTCGCCTCTCCCGAGACTGGTCATTGAGTGTATCTTGGCCATTCATTAATGTTTATTATGATTTCTCTGTCTATCTTTTGTTCTTTTCTCTTCTTCTTTTCTTTTTCTTTTTTTTCCCTTTTTTTTTTGTATTTCTATCANACCCAGGACGTCGATCCTGACCAGCTGTATGTTTACTAGAATTGGTAATTCCTCTGCGCTCTTATGCGCTGTGTGCAACTGACTGCAGAGCAGTGGTTATAATTTGGTCTCTTAACCAGCTTCTTTGATCTCTCCGTGTTCATAGCTTTTTTCCTCCGCGAATTGACTGAACATTAATCTCAGAAACTCTGCAATGATGTCTAGGCATGTTTCGGGGGAATCGACCAGTCTATATATAGCGGTTGGTCGTCAACCTCAACACCGATACCCTATTTTTAAGGGACAAGGTCGTTCTGCAGTATTCGTTACGGCTCAGCTTGTTAAGTTTAGGTTGGCCAATAGGCCATAACTGTCATTGACACCGCAGCTAGATCAATGATTCTGCCTGGTGAGCACACGGTCTGCATCAGGATTCTTCCATCTAGGGAAACATATAGACGTTTCATCGATTCAAACAATCACACACGGGAAATACGCGTCTATTTGCACAAGGATAGAGCCCCTAGCATCCACAATGTGGTGAAATGTTGCCTGAATTGCAAAGATGAGTTGATACTGTTATAAGAGATAGTGTGTCGGATTGGACACTGTCTCATTCTACGTCTTCGCGATGACCATTATTGCACCAAGTCGAGTCCATTCGATGATGGTGAAAATGACTAAAAAGAAGTGGAGCGACTGCAGTACGGCAAGTTGGGAACGTGGGATAGTGACACCAATCTCCATCGATTGGGGTTTCGGTGTGCGGGGGACCTGGAGGGAGTTATCCGTTTACCGTTATCAGTCGATTTCTATTAACGGAACACAGCCTGTCGATTCCCCCTGATCCGCGTGTCATCTCTGTCTTGTCGAGTGAACACTTCATTCTCTATGTAACTGCCATCCAATACATTCTTTCGTGTTACCAGTTTGTGTTACCGCGTACTCTGTGCTCTACCATCCGCACCAGCTGCCGTGCAGTTACCAACCGGACTGTCGGAATCGTCGGCTTGTCTACCCCTTTCTATTCTCCGCATTCTACATTAAGGCCGTTTCTTGGATCTCCATACAGAGCACTCTTTCTGTCCCCACAACGATCTTTCCCCACGCCGGATCTGCCAGCTCTTTGACTTTGGCCTCTCGCCTAATGTGCCAAGCGGCTGCAGGTCGTATGCGATAGGCCTTGCAGGGTCTCATGTCATCGTCTCAAAATTGTCGTTCATGCCTCCCAAGCGCGTGAGAACTGTCGAGGGCTCGTGCTGGCCGTGTAAGGACTGTCGCGTCCTATGTGATCTGCAGTGTCCTCGCTGTTCTCGCTGCACCACCGAAGGTCGATCTTGCGGCTATGGCAAAGACTCCGCCTGCGCTGGTGCAATGGGGTCGCCGCACGAGGCCGGTTTGCGGGACATAATCTTCCAATTCTCGATGTCAACGATCGTAAAGGAGAAGGGGAGGACAAAGAAAGACAAGAGCTGGCAATTGGGCGAAGGAGAGGGGAGGATAGGAAAGGCAGCTTCTCCTCCGCTCTGCCGTCGCTCCGCCCCGGCAATAGTCTGGTGTCCGCCTCCCCGATGACAGCGGAGGAGTTGATGCTCTATTTTGAACACGAGGTTGTGGATGGCTTCAATATCTCCCCCGATCGCATTCGGGTGGACCTGCTGTCCGTCTATAAGGATCCCGCTCTGCGCCAGTCGGTCACCGCTGTCGCCAACGCTCACCACTTTCTCTACCTGCAGCAGAGTCCCCGCGATGCTGCCCTGGCGAAGAAGAAAGCCCGTCTGGAGGCCATCCAGGTTTTCCGGAAACAATTGCTAAACCCTGACCTTCACCGGACATGTCCGTCCACCTTCGATCTCTTCGTTACCAACGTGCTCTTGTGCATCCTGGACGGCGTGATCGATCCGAATGACGAAGGCACGGACACCTACTGGCACTTCCACGGTGGACGGGCAATTCTGAGCCAGTGGAAGCTGCAGGAGCAATTATTTCAGCAGAAAAAGGGTCTACCAGCATTAATGCTCTCCGTTTTTGCTACGATGGATCTGACATATGCGCTGTTAAGCGGACAAGACCCCTACTTTCATCATTCTACGTGGGCCAGCTTTGCCCGCTCCGAGGGCTGGTGGGGAACGCTGCCCGCGGGCGATCCTTTCCTGGAGCTCATGGCCATCCTGTCGCGGTTGGCGCATCTGGGCCATGTCATATATGGAACGGGGCAGCTTCCGTCTAGGAGTGAGGTACAGGCTCTTCTGGCGACGTTGCGAGGGCACAACATTGTTGTTGAGCAGCAGGAGGAAGAGTATAACTTCTCTCCTATTGGGGAGCGTCACTCTGCCCTATCATCTTCTCCCCTTCTGTCACCATCTTTGATGAAGGCCATGGAGACAGCAGAACCTGTAGATCGGGATCAATCGTGGGCCATCTTCTGCAACGCGTATCGTCTCGCCGGCCTAGTTTACATTTACCGTGTCCTCCACGGGCTCGACGTTATACATCCGCTCGTTCAGCAGGCGACTGCTTTGGGCGTTCAGGCCATCTGTGGAGTGCGCCTGACGGGAAAATTGTCGCATTGTCTGCTCTTCCCGATGGTGGTGATTGGAAGCCACTGCCGGACGGCAGAGCAGCAGATGGCGATCCGTGCGACGTTGGGGTCGACAGCTTCCTTTCTTCACTTTGGATCTCTGCGCATCATGCAGAATTTTCTCCAAGGCAGTGGGAACGAGGAGCGGCAGCGGTGGATTGGTGGGAATGTTTCGATGACATCTCGCGGAAAACCTTTTTGTTTTGAGGTTCTACCCATGCCTCCAACCCGTAACAGCTCCGTCATTGGCCCTGCGGGGCACAAACCTGGGGAAGCAGGTGAAGACAACCCTATCGCGCTAGAACCGTGATATTGAGGTGTTTGTCCGATGTCACGAATTCGAATGCCATGAGACAGACGGGCAGGGCGTTTGGGACTTTCTTTGATCTTTTATCTTGGAGCTCTGGGAATCTCTACGGAGTATTCTTCGAGGGTCTAGATGATGACCTGCATTGGACGTTCCAACACACCACTGTCGCGTGGTCTTGTCTTGCGTCATTATACTTGACTGTTGGATGGATGCGGCCAATATCGGCTATCTGTGGCGCAAAGGTTCCCAGTTCGGCGTACTCCGACGCAGCAAAAAAGGTTTCAGTGGTTAGACATGGAACTTTCAACTGGCGCCACCCAACTAAAACTCGTGCCAATACATTGGCCACAGCTGTGGTTTCTTGGCAAATGGCTGTTTTAGTTGGGTTGCGCTAATTTTTTAACCGCCCGGAAAATTCGTCCGACCCTCGTACTCCGTATTCCGTACGCGGAGCCGAAAGCCCTATCCGCAGTCCTATCCTGACTTCATGATTTTATTCCCTGATATGTCTCTAGTTTGAGTGGGCAGATGATCTACCTAGGGATAGGCAACTGGCAAGAATCGCCTGTCTGGGCAAGCATTTTCCGAGGTGAGGCGACTTATCGGATAATTGGGTCCATGACTTCATCTTCCCTTACCTAGTTAAGTCTTGATCACGGCCTTGGCCCTCTAATACTCCGTAGTCCGTACGACGGAGTATTACATGCCTAAGGATAGCGGGATTTCTTCGCCGCATGCAGCGATGGATAGGTAGGTGGCTATGCAACCTGTTATCATCCAATCAAATTCCATTGCTAATGCACAATGACAGTGGCCAAGCCCATATCCAACCGAGTCCGTTGTATAACCTGTAACTGCTGCGCTTGGCATCCTGGATGATTGGCGATGGTGCAGGTCTGGTGGCCAGTGTAGCAGCCCGATGCATGTTGGAGTGGACCCTCGCCATCTCGCTCCCACGTCGCTCCCACAGCCCGGGCGCTTATCAGCTGCGCCTATCTCTTAGATGCTCCACAAGATTCCAACAGTCGCTTCTCAGACTCTCAGCCCTTATGCAGCCATTTATTTCGCCCAGACGCCACCACCTCATCCCCATACGGAGTACTTTTTCCGCTGGCTAGTCCAACATGCTTTTGCTGATTGGCGAGTTGACGTCGTTAGGGCCAAGCTAATATAAATCCCTGTCTAATCTGTCTAGAACAGATTTGATTGATTCCTGAGGCAGGAAAGAGTTGTTATAGAGGCTGACAGGTCAATATAATTCACGAGAGAGAAATTCACGTGATTTCAAAGCAGCAACAAGAATGGTGAGTGGTGGGTCAGTAAAGTGAAAACTGTACAGAGTCGTACCTAGGTACGGAGTACTCCGTATGGAGTACTGTTGCAATAGCTCCCACAGTCGCTACGGAGTAATTGTTAAGGGCGGATTGAGAGTTTTTCTCTCTCTCGCTCCCTCTGCAAACGGTGTTCCTTGTACAGTACAGAGAAATACGAGGCACCGATGGATTGAGATGCAGACAGCCCTATACCTACTTCGTTGCCGATGTGCAGATGTCTTATCAAGCATAGCTGATCTACCAATTGAATAGATTCCGTCAAATTTCAATCCTGGCTTGCTGCATCTGCGTCATTTTGTCTGTCAGGTCTTGCTGTCCTGGGCGGCCTCAGCGCAGCCCTCATGAAATGAGCGTCAACATTGGTAGGAACATTATTAATCGCTTATCTACCGCATGCATAGGGAGTACTCCGTAAGTACTCTCTCCGTACCCACCAACCGGGGACCCGCCGACGGGTTAGGCGCGCACAGTGGGGGAATCGATACGATTACGGACATCCCGTTTTTGTCCCTAACCCCACAAGGGCCAATCGCCCCCCACTAAATCGTTTAGGGTTAAGTTTCCTGAAACTGTTTTCCGACGGAAATTTACTAGCGGAATTTTATTCAGGACTCTTTCGTGTTTGAAACAATTCAGATACCACTCTTCCTTCCCCCGCATGGGCTGGCATGGCCGTTTCTGGTGATCCCCAAATAATGACCCAAATAACCCAAGTTATGATGCCCAAGTTGCCTGGTAAAATACCATCTAAAGGGTCAAACTGCTAGTGAGCTTTTTTATAGGAAGGATATATATATAGTGTATACTCTGTATTTGCTGTCTAGTTCTTAACTCCATAGTGAGTAGGTGTTTAGTACCAGTTTGTATCATAAACCTGTTTCGAACGCGAAAGATTTCGTGATCGTGTTTTAGCGGTATTTTTCAATGGAAAAACAATTTCCGGGGTTTAAGCCAAAACAGGTCTAGAGAGGGGATGCCGTGGGGGCGTCCATCGGCTAGGTCAACACCTTCCCTTTTTTTGGCTTCCCTGCTACCTTCCGAGCTCCACCATGCGCTCTGTCTCGTGTCTCGTTGCCTTCCTGCTGATCGTCGCCAGAATGCGGCCCATGATGGCGCATCACACATACGGAGTATGCGTCGAAGTCGTTAAGGGTATTGAAATCCGATCCCTTCCAAGTGCGTCCAAGTCAGGTGGTTGTCATCTAATTCAGGGCTTATCTCTACTAAGAGTGACCGTTATCTATCAGCAGTCTCGTCATGGTCTTTTTGTATGATTTTGGCTAGCCCGGCATGCCCCTTTTGCGCACTAGCAAGATGGGCATTGTTAGCGCTATGCTAATATGAATCCCTCTTACCTAGGAGGTAAGGTTTGATGGCCAGCCAACAGTTATTATTAACCTAGGCTAACTGTACTCCGTAACAGTTGACGTCAAATAACTCCGTATAGCTACAGCCAAACTCACGTGATTTTAAGATGGCAACGTGAAGCGGCTTGGGGGCCACTCGAGCAAAAATTTTGCATGAGAAACTGTAGGAAACTTAGCGACCTGGTTGGCTGGGTTGCTCCTATCGCCATATCCGGCATACTATATATCGGCCTTAACCTCGACAGGCAGGTACGCTTCCTAGGTTATATACTCTTTGACAAGGAATTGAGGGTACGCCAGGTGAAAAGGCCTTCTTCGAGAGGCACGGGACGAGAATCAGCTTGACAGGTGGTACTTACATACTAACCTGTAGGCTGCAACACATCTTTTTTTCTTTCTTTGTTTTTTGGAGTATTCTGGAAATAATAACGAAGATAGGCTGGAATAACCCTCAGATACCATCATTCTATTTATTGTTTCTTTTTTTAATTGTACATACATTCATACGTACATACATACATACTACAGTCACTATATCGGTTTCCTTCTCGTCTCTTCGTCCCTCTATTCTCCTTGCTGATCTGTTCTGAATTTTTTTGCTTCCTCCCCTCCTTCGAGGTCAGGAGATGGATATCGAGAAAAAGCCGTCGACGCCCACAGCAGGGCCTACAGAAGCAAGGCATTCAGAGGAAGGCATCGAGAAACTGGGCTATACACAGGAGCTAAAGCGCAATCGCTCCCTCCTCACCCTCCTCTTCCAGACCCTCGCCATTGTCGCCATCCCCTACGGTGAAGGAGCGCCCCTGATCAGTGCCATCTATGGTGGTGGTCCTCTCTCCATCTTTGTCGGCTGGATCGTCGTTTGCGTCGTAGCAGAATGTGTCGCCCTCTCACTCGCCGAGCTGGCCTCGCGATATCCCACCTCCGCAGGCCCCTACTACTGGTCCTTCCAGCTCGCACCGCAAAAAGCCAAAACGATCGTGTCGTTCATTAATGGCTGGATCTGGTTGATTGGGAATTGGACCATCACGCTGTCCGTCAACTTTGGCTTTGCGTCCATGATGTCCGGCACCATCTCCATGTACCACCCGGATTGGTCCGCCAATGCCTGGCAGCTGTTGCTTATCTTCTACGGAATCTGTCTGGCGTCCCTGCTCATCTGCACCTTTGCCAATCGTTTCCTGCCCATGGTCGACACCATCTGCGCGGGCTGGCTGGCCGTCAGCATCTTGATCATTATGATTGCGCTGTCCGTGAAGGCGGATGCGGGCCGACACAGTGCCGCATACGCACTTGGCCATTACGATACCAGCCTGTCCGGATGGGCGGGTTCACCTTCTTCATCGGTTTGCTCCCGGCAGCCTACTCTTTCTCGGCCGTGGGGATGATCTCGTCCATGGCAGAGGAGTGCGCGAACGCCACGCTGAAGGTGCCGCAGGCGATAAGTCTCTGCGTCCCTGTGGCTGGCTTCGCCGGCCTGTTCTTCATTCTGCCCATCTGCTTCACGCTGCCCCCTCTCCAGGATGACATCCAGGCTCCGGCAGGTCAGGTGGTGCCGTACATCTTCCACAGGGTCATGGGCAGCCCAGAAGGCGGACTGGGGCTGATGTTTCTGGTTCTGGTCGTCTGCTTGTTCTGCTCAATCAGCATCTCGGTGGCATCTTCCCGGGCGACATGGGCCTTTGCCCGGGACGACGCAATGCCGCTGGCGAAGGTCTGGGCGCGCATCGACCCCCGGCTCGGAGTCCCCGTGTGGTCGCTGGTCCTGCAGACGGTCGTCCAGATGCTGCTAGGACTAATCAATCTGGGCAGCTCGAGCGCCTTCACGGCGTTCGCGTCCGTCGGCGTCGTCGGGCTGGCCGTCAGCTATGCGATCCCGATCGGCGCGAGTCTGGTGCGTCGGCGGGAAGAGGTCAACAAGGCAGTTTTCAACTGCGGTCCGGTGCTAGGTGCCATCATCAATGTCGTCGCGCTGGCATGGATCTCATTTGAGCTGGTGCTCTTCTGCATGCCGACGGCGCTGCCCGTCACGGCGACGTCGATGAACTACGCCTCAGTGGTGTTTGTCGGGTTCTTGATGATCTCGGCGGTGTGGTACGTCGTTCACGCGAGGAAATGTGAGTATTCCCTTCTTTCTATCCCTGTTTACGTTCGTCTGGCTGACTGGGGAAAAGCATACAAAGGACCCCCCGAATCCGCCGGATTATAACCATACCGTGCCGTCCCACGTACGTATCCCCCTTCCCCCTGCAAGTGGAATAATAATTTACACCGGAGGATGCGCATAGGTACCTAAAGGTATGTGTATACCTTGGCCTTTTTGCGGACCGGTAGATAAGTCAGATCTGGTCCTGGTCCCATCGGGTCGAGTCAAGTGACACACAGCGTATGCGTATACGTATGCGTATGTGTATGCGTACATGCGTGGCATGACCATCGTGTCCCGGACAGAGTATCTGCATAGGGATTTACCTGCCCGGACGCCCTCGGACGCCCACAGACGCCCTCGGATGCCCACGGACACCCACGCCCTCGGCTACTTGGGACACCCCGGCCTTCCCGCCCAGGTCTGCCCAGGTTTATCCCGCCCGGATCGATTTGTGCAGGGAGTGATTTGTCGCTGTCGCCCTCTCGGCCCAGGTCACCAGCCCAGGTTATCGGCCCGGTTCGATTTTGTGTCCCTTTGTCCCGCCCAAGGTTAATTTGTTGCCCTTTGTTGCCCTTTGTTGCCCTTTTTTTGCCCTTTGCGCCCATGGTTTGTTGATTTATGTAAAGTCGCCGAGATACTCCGTATAGTTTTGAAATTGAGCGAGATTTTTTGTTTTCGTACTTGAAATCCGTTACATTCCAAGACTCCGGATCCTTGCCTTGCCCTCCGCTGCGACCCTGCCTACTATTATACCTCCCGGACCTCTCTCCTCCCCTCTCCCACTTAAGAGGGGGCTTAGAGTAGTATCGCCGAAGTTGTCCTGCCTTGTAATGTTGGGGGGGGGGAAAGGCCAAAAGGCTTATATACGTAATTGTAGGCAGGACGGGGAGTAGTTGAAAACTTCTGCTCCGTACCTAGGTAGGTAGTGATAGACAAGCTGCTGTGCTGAACTGCAATAAATAGCAAGTAAGCAAGCAAGCAAGCAGCCTTATTAGATTAGATTAGATTAGGCATGGGATGCGCACTTCGGAAGGACTATGAATAGATATATAGTGAGTGATCTCTTTGTATTATTCTTTCTATTGTTGAGTGACTGCTTTTTTCTCTTTTTGGAAACTTTGGTCATTTTAGGGGGACGGGGGACGGGGGGAGGAGTATCTATCTATTATCTATCTTATTCGGCAGGTAGCATGTATGCACAGTACATTTACATACCGTTTACTGGGGTGTCCAGATATTTGCATACTCTGTTCTATTTTATATACAGGGTAATGATGCACACCCATCTAGGCAAGCAGGTAGGCAGGTAGGTATTGAAGTTAAGCTATTAGAAAGGTAAACTAGGAGAAGAGCAAGAATGTAATAATTTGTCGTGATTCGTGAATGGATTTATTGAAGTAATATATAGTACAGTACAGCTTGCTTTGCTTTTTACCGTAACTACCCACCTAGGGTAGTTCGGACAGAGTAGAATGGAATAGAATAGAATACAGCAGTATAATAGTGTACACGGAATGGGATGGGTAAGAAAGAATCTAAATCCGAATCCCCGATGAGCAGTGGACGATGGGACGATAATCTAAACGAAAAGCTTTTTTTTTTAGACGAAGAGCAAGGCAAAGGAAGATAAGATACCACAAATTCATCGGGAAGACCACAGAATCAGTCGATCCAACCAACTCATTTCTTCCTGTCGTTTGCGGGCTTCTTTTTCCTTCTTCGATTTCCACCAGAGCGCCCAGATCGCGCCGGAGAAGTACCCGCCCAGATGGGCCCAGTGGTCGAGGGCAGCGACCTTGAAGGGGGACACCAGGCTGAATGCTTCGAAGAGGACGATGCCCGTCAGGAAGACGTATCCCCTCGCGGAGAAGGTGTCTTGCCATTCTCTGGGTAGGAACCAGAGGGTGAGTTTATCGCTGTGCGAGGATTAGCAAGTCAGCGATTCTTTCTAAGGGAAAAAGAGGGGGAGGGGCATACTTTGCATGCAGTGTACACCATGCTGCTACCAGACCGGCAATCGCACCGCTGGCACCGAGCGACGTGACCGTCAGCTTGCGGGTCAAGACATGCGCTGCCAAAGAAGTCATCGATCCAAACACGCCCGTGGCAAGGTAGAGGGCAAGGAAATTGCCCCGGCCGATTTCATCGTGGACTAGGAGCATTATTAGTCAAGACAGGAGAAAAAAAAAGTATGTGATGACAACTCACGTCTGACCCCGATGAACCATAAGATGATCATGTTTGTGGCCAAGTGCCGAAGCTGCTGATGACTGAAGACGCTCCCCACCACACTCAGCGCATGCGGGTACAATGGCACGCTGATGAAGTATCGGTTCAGCATCCGCCAGGCCGGCGGCCAGAACCTCCACAAGGTAAAGACGGCAAAGTTGGCGCCCAGCAACGCGATCGCCGTCGCCGCAGCGGGAGGAACATCAGGCCACATTCGATCCTTTCGAGCGGGCGGCTGGTACGTCTCCGCAAAGAGGTAACAGAGGCCGATGGTGAGGATGGTTACACCAAGAGAGGGAAAGATACGACGGGACTGCCGGAAGAAATCAGCCGTTCTGCCCAGAATTATACGAAACTGAACGGGACGGAAATAACGTACAGTAGTCATCGTAGAGGTGTCTACATCCGTGTTCGTAGCCCGCAGATGATGCTTCTGAATCCACGCCAAAACTGGCCGTTCCTGCGGATCGGCACGCGGACGAGCTGCATATCATGAGCAGTCAGCAAGAACGAATAATGGAAAAGGTCTTGTTGCACTTACCCTCGATAACGGCAGCCTCGTCGAATTTCTGCAGCTCCGTGTTCTTCTTCAGCTGCATGCGTATCTTCTCCTGCTCCTTCGCCTCGCCCTCCAGCCACTCTTTCCGCTTCTTTTCCTCTTCCGCCAGTAGCCTGGCCTCGTTCTTCTCCCGAAATTCCTTCAAGACACTCTTGCCGTAGATATCGTTAGCCTCGCCGAGCGGGGCGCCCCAGTGTCCGCTCTGAGGCCTGTACAGTTCCTCCGCCTGTCGACGGATCCGTTCCTCCTCCTCTCGCTCCTCGCGCTCGATCCGTGCCATAATCGCCGCATCTTCGTCGACCGGATAGTTCTTCCGTAGCCACTTTAAACCGTTTTCAATCGTACGAGGACGGACAGCACGGGTGATGTCAGCTGGGAGATCGAGATCGAGCGTGCCTTGCAAGCGACGGCCTTGTAGGACATTGAGAATCCGGTTCCCCATGGCAGGAGTCACCTTTGAAGAGCCAAAAATCGACTTGATCTCTGCGGCAGAGAGGGGTTGAGAGCGGATGGGGACGCCATGTTCGACCGGCGCTTGATCGGGCTTGGAATCGGGCGGGGGGGGAGAATTCTGCGTTTGGGCGGATCTGGAGAAGACAGTGTTCGTAGGTCCCGTTAATTGAAAGCGCCGCAATCTGGCTGAGAATCCCCATCCCTGGGGAGAAACCGGGCGTCCGTTATCGGAGCTATATGGACGCTGTAACCGGCAGAGAGGGCGGAGCGTCGGTTTCGCTGGAGCTGCCGACAGGGGCAGCAAACAGCTCGAGGGTGAGGCACGCAGCCCCGAAGGGCACGAAATGCGCCATGCTATGGAGAAAACATTGCTCATCTCCAGCGACTCGGGGGATACAGTCCTGGCGAACAGACAGTGTTGGCAGAACCGTCGACGGAAGCTGAGCGGAGGGACGGTGGAGGATCTTTCTTTAGCTCGTAGTTTCCCGAATCGCGCATGGACATTGGCGGTGGCTCCGGGCGGAGCGGAGGTCGCCACAATCCGACAAAGAGCTAAAAGAGTGGACATGGTCTTGATACAGCGATACTGCGTCCGATTCTTCATCTTTCCACTAGATCGCTCAGCTACGTGGGAGTACTAGATTCCATGTTATTAGCGTATACGCTGTACAGTACATGTATAGTTCCACCTACGCCAGCAGAACTCATTCAAAAGAGCTGTAAGATAGAGTACGTAAATTATACCTGAATGATAATATATTCCGAATTATTACCGCCAGTCCAATAACAATACACCCATTATTATCAATCTCATCTTGACCTGTCCAGCCTCATCACGTGATGATAAGGGCGATAACCACTGGCGGCATTCAACGGTCCGTGACGTCTCCGCGCAGAGGAAGCTCAGAGCTGATCTTGATTAAAATTATATACTACACACACAACATTCAAGGAAGGCCAACTACATGCTATTTATTGTATTTGGCATTCACTTCTTTTTGTTTATTTCATCTCCCTCGTTCTTACCATTGAGCTCGTCTGGACAGCCAACCTAATACCCCGCTATACGAAACAAATCAATGTCTGCCGAATCCCAACCCATCACCCCCGAAGCCTTCGCTGAGGCCATCAAGGCCCTGCCTCTCTCCGCCGTCTATGCCAAAGTCTTCGAACTGCGCAACTCAATAGCGCACCTGAAGCGCTCCAACGCGGAGCTGAGGCTTTATATCTTGGAGTCGGAAGGCGGGCCCGAAGCTGCGGACAACAAGGAACTGGAGAGCTACATCCGGGAGAATGAGGGTGTTATTGAGGCGATGACGGAGAGAATTGCTCTCTGCAAGGCGGAGGTTGAGAACAGAGGGCAGCAATGGATCGAAGAAGGACTGTTTGAAGGAGGGGATGAGGCTGCTGCCGATGTCGCAGATCGTGTGGCGGATGGCGTGCCAGAAGGTGATGGAGCTTCTCCGGTCATTAACGGAACCGATAGAGCGCATGATGATACTATAGACAGAGGGCATGATGAGACGAGAGACGGGACCTCTGCAACAGAAGAAGAAGCGGCACATCATAGCGGTCTAGTCAATGGTGTCCCCACGTCGAACTCAGACTCCACAGCTACTGTGGCACCATCAAACGCTCCCGATCGACACGAGGAACCAGAGGCGGAAGGAGAGGGCATTTATTTGTGATCTGGCTTCTCATCATCCATTCCATAATGGTGCTATTCTGTGACAGTGACCGCTCTCTGTGGTCAAATTTATCAATACTGGCATTGCCACAATACCAAAACCTACGGCCGTCTGGATCCCTCCGTGAAGTCGGCGTTACGACAAAATGAATGATACGAAAATGTCGTCTGTCGGGGGAAACAGCACCATCGCTGCATGACGATAATAAACCTGGCCTCGGATGAACATGTCCTCGGTCAATAGCATTTGTGAGCTCGCCCATCCATTGAAGTAATTTTGAATAGTGGAGTTAGCCCATGACTGACGGAGAGGTCGAAACGGAGGCATACATAAACGTAGGATGGTTAACGATGATTCTTCGACCGGAAGCTTTACTTTAGCATGAGTTTTGTGATACGGGAAAATCATATTTGATCGATACCCGGAGCTCCTACAAGAGTTGGACTCCACCAGCAGTTATGATTACCATATGTGAACATAATAGGAAATAAAAAAAGACCTGTCTCAAATGTCCTTATTCTTCCCTAGCTTTATTCTCTAATTTACCCCATAAGCCTAACTACACTCCTCTCCGACCCAACCTGCAAATATTTATCAAACTTCTTCACTTTTGGGGATCTCCACGTATCTGCAAAACCGCGAACTGCGACTAAGAAAAAAGAAGAAGCTGCAATGCAAGCCCTGTCTGTCCATCCCGGGGAACATATTTAGGGTACCGTGCGTAAACTGCGCTCACACACCAACGAAATTGGAAAGATATGCCGATAAGAAACCTTGAAGAAGCATCCACATTTGCCATGCATGCATGCAAAAAAGAAAGAAAATTCGCAAGAACAGGATATCTTCGTTCGTTTCACCCATTAAAAAAAAAATGTTCGTTCCTTGTTGCAATAATCACAATCGCAATGCGGGGAAATGTAGAGGCAGAAGATGTATCATCCTTCTCGCTACCCGTTGGAGTCCACTCATCAGAGCAGTGCTTTCCGGCCCCAGGACTGGCCCGAGATGCCAGCTGCTCATGCAGAAGTGGTAGCGGGAGCGGAAGCCGGAGCAGGAGCCGGAGCAGAAGCCTCTTGAGACGCCCAGTGGCCAGCGAGAGCCTCGGGAGGAATCTTCTCCTGCTTCACAAACAGGTCGATGAGAGGCTGCATCGGCTCCATCTCCTTGTCGGCGACGAGCCGATAGTACTTGGCGACAGTAACGAAGTGAACAAAGCACATGTTGAGCATCTCATGACGGTTGATGTTCCAGAACGGGTCGAGCCAATGCCCGTGGTAGAGGTGGGCATAGCAGCGGAACATCTGCTTCATGATCCCCTGGCAGTCTTTGTAGAAGGTCGGGGGGAAACCGCTCGACTTGCCAATCCAGTCCTGGGTAACTGCATTTGATTCCGCGTTATTCTTGTTCGTATCAGGGGGTGTGGAGCCATCCTCAGATGGGAGGGACTGCAACGTAAAGGTCTGCGGTGCCGTCTGGGGAGGGTCTGTAGGAAACATGACAGGGTCATGAATCTTGCTGACAATCCACTTCTCCACGCGATTGATGAATTTGGGTGCTGAGATCTTGGCCGCACGTCCATCCACAAGCCAGGTGTATGTAAGACTATCAAAACAACCAGTTATTAGATACGATCATAATACATCCACAAGGGACATCTGACATACCGGCCAGCAGACATGGTAGGACAGGTATTCTCATTGCAAATAGGTAACCCAGTGACAGTGTTCACCTCCTGTATAACCTGCAGCATACCGTGAAGTAGGCGATACTGCTCAACAACTATAAAGGAGAGGCAGTGTCAGTTCATCGACACCAGGTTATCTTCAGAGATTGCAACACATACTTTGGTGGGCCAGCCATTCTCCTAGCTCAACATTCTTGGGGCAAGCACAGAGGGTCAAGAAGTTTCCCTTAACATTCAACGGCGCGTATCTCTCCTGGAAGAAGTACTTGGGAGTATCTTCATTATTGGATGGACCATCGATAGACAGATTGGACATATTAGATGTGACTGATGGAGAAGGAGGGATGCCAGGTGTGCCAGGGGCCCCAGATGCCTGTTGGGGATATGCCACAGCGCTAGACTGCTGATTCTGGTTGCCGTTGTTCATCTTGGGTGAGGAGTTATTATTGTTATTATTGTTGTTATTGTTATTGTTGTTCTTGTTGTTACCACCACGGCCAAACCCCTGGCGACTTGACAGCAAACTGGTCAGCTCAAGGCGGAATATTTGTAGCGGCAGGAAAGGATCATGGCGAGCATGGGTTACAGCACAGTCCAACAGTCCAGCATATTCACCACCGCCAGCACGGGGTTAGGGGGGACCGCCAACTATGGCTGCGGGGAAGCACTTACACGCTCTGGAAGAAGGTCGCCATTTTGGAAGACACTGTGCTGCAGCAGCCCCAAGAAGTCAGACAAATAGTTCTGGTGATCTCCGACTGCACATGACAACCACAGCAAGCAACAGCTGGACAGGGAGGAGAGAGGTCTGTCCACCCTGAGGTGAGTACAGGCTCGCTCCCTCTCCTGTCAGTTGTCGCTGTTTCAGCGGTGGAGCAACAGTCCACAGCGCTAATGCCCTCGCCCCCCAAATCGGGCATAGCGCGGTTCGGAGCAAAGGTCGGGTCTGCGTCCACTCCGACAGCAGTGAATGCGAAGATACCTAGCTACAACTGACTGTCTGCGAGTGGATGAAGCAACAATAAAAACTTATTGAGGTGGCTGGTCCATTGGGAGACGCTGCGCTCCCAGCGACCTTTATATAGCCAGTTTTTCTGAAAATTTTTTGACCTGCATCAACTTCTTCCATCTTCCTACAAGCTCTGTCAGCGCAAACCATCATACGAATCTCATCCACATCTGCTAGTTAGATTCGAGCATACAGCATGTCCTCTTCAGAAGACGAAGATATCCGGCGTCCGGGATGCAGCACCGATGCTAGTCGAGTCCACACCGCGTCTGCCAGCGAACAGGCCGACACCCCAGATGCTCCAAACGGAGGCGCAGAGAGCCCTCTAGGGTCCGATGCAGACAAACTGAACGGCGCCAATGACGACGACGATGACGATCTCTTTGGCTCCGGGTCAGATGGAGGGCTGGATGAGTATGGTTTCTTTGTTCGTCGGCTTGACTGAAACCTTGACTAACTAGTTCACCAGACGTCCCCGTCGAACCCTGGACGACGAAGAGCTTGACTCCGGAGATGATGAGGATCGCTTTGACCGAGCTGGCCAGCGCATGGATATTGATGAAGGAGAAGATGCCATTTACGGAGAAACTCTCAAAGTTATGGACATAAGCTTAGGCCGGGCGCCTGAGCCCAAGTCCAGCAACGAAGAGGTGCGTATTTTCTGTAAAAGAGGTTGCTTGTCGCACCTGCTTACTGTGACATTTAGATCTACACCATGGCGATTCCCAACTTCCTTTCCCTCGAAACGGAAGAATTCAGACCAGATACCTACGTCGCGCCACCCTTTGCCACTGCGTCCACCTCTCTTTGTTGGCGATATGATCCCAATGACCCGTCACGTCTGCAGTCCAATGCCCGGATCATCCGCTGGGAGGATGGTTCCATGACTCTGCAGCTGGCATCCAACCCGCGGGAGCAGTATAGAATTGCCACTAAGCCTTTGGCGCCTCTCAGCAAGTCGGGTAACTATGAGCCTGAACTGGACACTCACACCTACTTGGCAGCTGCTGCCGAAACTTCATCAGTGTTCCGAATCACATCCCACCTCACGCATTCCTTGACGGTGCTCCCAACGGACATGGATACCGACGATGCTGTTCAGCGTCTTCGGGAGTCGCTCGCGGCAGCTTCGCGTGCTGGCAAGAAGGGAGACAAAGGCGTCACCATCATTGAAGTCAAAGAAGATCCGGAGCTGGCGAGTAAACGGGCGGAATTGGCCGAGAAAGAGAAGCTCAAAGCCGATCGCAGACGCCAGGCGCTTGCCGAGAGGGAACAGAATCGCACAAGTCGTCGTGGTGGATATCGATATCCTGCTGGTGGTCTCACTGTGGGTGGCCTGGAGGATGAAGACGGCATGGCGACAACCAGGGCACGCCCCGCGAAGAAGCCGCGTGCTAACCGCCGGGGGGAGATCTACACGGACGAAGAGGAGGAGTACGATCGGCGGGGCCGCGGCAGACGAGACGAATACGACGAGGACGACGGATTCCTCGTTGGAAGCGACGAAGAGCCGGAAGTCGTGGAGGATGATGAGGAGGAGGAAGAAGAGCTGCCGGATGAGGACATGGACGCGGAGGGTGAGGAGGACGGGGACGTCCGTCCTGCTACCGCACGGCAAGAGAGGGAGTCGGCGTCGCCCAAGAGAAAGAGCCCCGGTGAAGCCGGTGGTGCTGGGTCGCCGCCTGCCAGAAAGAAGCATCGTTACGTGGTGGAATCTGATGAGGACGAGTAGGTATTTTTTTCTTCGCCTCATGGACCTTTGGATCTATGGACCTATGGATCTTATGGACCTTATGGACCTCATGTATTTTCTCTTCATTCATGTTATGTGTGTGCAATAGTTATCTGGGATAGGTTAAGGATTGGGGAAGACAGTTCTCATATGGAAATAATGTGATAGATATTCAAAATGATGTGCTTAATAAATTAAAAAGAAAAGACGCAACTTTCTCATTTCAGATTGCTCTCAGAAATCTTTCTTAACTCTCGTAATCTAATCGAGGTAATATGTACCAATGTATGGTAAGTACTATCGCCAAGGCCCAAAGTTAAGGTATCTGGATATCTTTTTCTTTTTCATCCTAAAGAAACGCGGAAAGAAATCATTCGTTCATAACCTTTCATAATAAGAATAATGCAACGTCATCGTCAGGTCATGACAGGAAGAGAGAGAGGGAGGGAGGGAGAGAAAGAAACCAAGATTATATACATATACGTATACAGTCATATAATATACCATTATAATGATAATGAAACACCTTCCGGGTACTCGTGCGGTTCAAATCCAAACCTGGAAATGGCCGTCTTGGCCATTCCAACGACTTTCAGACAGAACATTTCCTGCTGGCCGGTGTCGAGTTTCTCGTCGTCTTCCCGGTGGTTCTCATTGGGGTTATTACCTTTTGCTGGTTGCGATTCGTTGCAGGATTTTTCGGGATTCTTATCGCAGTCGGTATGCTTCTTGAACATGAACCTCCCGATACCTTCGGCATGCCATCGTCGTTGCCGCTCTTCCATCTCCGTCACCAGGGAAAGGAGATCGGGAGTCTGGTCGCACAAGGGTGACGGTGCAAAGATACTGGGGTCCACTGGACCCCCGATGACCGCGCGGCGAACAACCTGGCGGAGCCATTGCTTCCACCTCGCCTTAGCACCTTCTGGGTCTTGTGTGATGGAAGCCTCGAAGGCAGGAGGAGCGGTTTGCTTCCCCAGATCCTGCGCATCCGCTTGAGAGACACGGAGCCAGGCATCCGCAAGGACGCTCAGAAGCGTTCCTAGCATCATGATGTTCTGACACGACGTGGCAAAGGATCGCGGACACACCTCGCACCGGATGACAGTACGGGCTGTTCGAGCCGCGGTATAGAGTGAGTTCAGAGTGTGCACGGTAACGGGAAATGAATTCAGGGTGGAAAGGGTGCTCAGACAAAGATAGAGATAAGACAGACACGGACATGGAGGTGTATCTGGTGAGCCCATTGTCGTCATCAATTCGGACGGCAAGTCTGAAAGTCGAGTGTCCATAGAGAGCATGGACGATGCGGCAGAGGTTGTTGAGAAATCGGGCCAGGGCGTCGCTGTCGCTGATATTGGTTGCAGATGATCAAATGTGCCCGCCTGTAAGGCCTGATTGTTACTGTTCTGAGTACCAGAGATGGCTGGGTGGTTGAGGTAAACCGGCGGACATATATTAAAAGTCTCGGATGGAATGACAGAAGGGGACCATTCCTTGTCCAAATCTGCGATTGCACCAGAACTAGCTGGATCCATTGAACTGACACTATCGTTTTCTCTCATACGCTTCTTCGGAGGACGACCCATCTGTTTTTGTATCGAGTAGTGACAAAAGAGGGACTGCTTCAAACACCGTCGGCAACCCGTTGGCTCGCCGGAGCATTTCAGTTTCCGTTTTCCTGCGACCAGAACGCCGGGTCAGCCTTGTGGAATGCTGCTGACATCATGAAGACTCACTGCATTCGTCACATGCCGCATGTCTCTTGGGCACTGTATCGGCCGTTGGGAAGTTGGCGTCAAGAGACATGGCCACGCTGAATTCAGCCCCAGAGCTTGCTGCGACTGCCATCGTCGGGGAGTTGCCTCGAAAAGATCGTCAAGACGACAATTCGGTTCGCAATACTGGGATTTTCCACTCCCAGGAAATTTATAGAGGACCTTGGGGGTCTTGAGCAACTAGACGACAACCATCGAGTCAACTGACGCTGGTGAGGGGCAGCCCGCCCTTTGTGGCTGGCGACTTTGGACTGTAATATGCGCTTTATGCTGTGAGCTGCACAAAGAAATTTGCGGGATCTGAGGGCGCCTTCTGGGGCCTGAGCTGGAAGAAATCAAGGCACGCTGGAGTGCAGGGATACCTGTATATTTCTGGAGACAGCAGTGAGTACTGACCTGGTGCTGGATGGACTAGATGAGCCTCTGCCGTTCTAGGCATCGTCATTGGCCTCGATCTCCCGCGACTAACTTAACCTTGAGACTTAGTGGATGCGGCCGAACCGCCCAGAACGGCAGGCGGTCTTCTATCCATGGATTAGTTCAATTATTGTTCTTTATCTACTCCAATCTCCCGAACGACCAAGGATACTAGCGCTCACCCTTGTTTGGAGCTTTTGTATCCCAGACAATATGCAGACGAAATGATTTCGTCACTCAGACGAGCATGCACTTTCGCGGTCGCTCGTCCTCTGGCCATTCCGGGAGCGCATCGAGCGGCCGTGAGATCCTTCGCATCGAGGCGCGCAGCAGCCCTGAATGCGGAAGAACATGAGGAAGAGGAGCTAAGGGAGGCCAGAGAATGGCTGGCGAAGCTCAATTCCAAGTCAATTCCGCGCCATATTTGCGAGGTGTCGTTTAGTCGGTCCAGCGGCCCAGGAGGGCAGAACGTGAACAAGTCCGTTCCAGAACCCATTATCAATAAAGGCGTCTCACAATTGAGCAAAACAACTGACTGTATGCATTGGAATCTATAGAGTCAACTCGAAGGCTACTCTGAGAGTACCGTTTAGTTCCTTATTGCCGCTGGTGCCGCGCATCCTCCATCAAGAACTGCGATCATCTCGTTATGCTACCGAGAGGACAGACTGTCTCGTCATCCAGTCCGACGAATCCCGCAAGCAGTCCAGCAACGTGGAATCGTGTTTCGAGAAGCTTCACAACCTGCTCGAAACGACGGCTAAGGCTGTAATTCCGGGAGAAACGTCGGAGGAACAAAAAGAGCGAGTGAAGAAGCTGTACGTGCATGCCCCTTTAATGTCTTATATAGTATGGTGTTGAGAGAATGTATCTGACAACCTCTAAGTCAAAAAGCAGAAAAAGAAGCCAGACTCAGACTTAAAAAGCTGCACAGCAGCAAGAAGAGCAGCCGACGGAGTAGTAGCTATGATGAATAATCTACTACATAGATAAAACAAATCACCATGATCAGGAAATACGCTCATTCTTTTTGACCCAAAAACGCCGTGGAAATTGCTGTCCATAATGCCAACACCCATTCTACTTCTCCGAGCCTGCTTCTGCCTGAAGAACACGTTCCGAACGTTGCAGCGTGGCAACAACTACCGTGCGCAAGGCTGGATCCAACTCCTTGATCTCTGACACCGGCTGCAGCCATTTGACTATCTCTTGAGCAAGATGGCGATCCAGAGGGTATTGCTTGAGACGACTCAGAGATGTACCGAATGCTCGAGGGAAGTCTGGCGATGTAACCTTGATCCCGGCGACGGGGGCCTTCACATTACATATCCGTGTGTGGTAGCTCTCCGGTGAAGTGGTGACCTGTTTCTCAACAACATGCTCCACAATCTTTCGCAAACAAGGAACCTCTTCGAATTCGAGAATCATATCGAAGAACCCACGTCCAAAAGCCGCATCGTCCCCGAATTGTTTCATTGCGGCGTCAAATATTGCAATAGGAATGGCTCCGCTGAGGGCTGGTGTCGAGTCGAGATTCTGAAGCGCACCCTGATCGACGTCGGCATCCTTGTCGAGACTAGGATTGATGTCTTCAGCGGTGACCTTGGGAAGGGTAATCATATCCGCATTTGGATCATCAATTGAATCTTCTGGCGCAGATGTCTCTGTTTTGCGTTGATCAAGCCCCAGGATCCGCCGTCGAGCGGCGATCTTTGCGATGTAGATCATCTCCAGCCTTCCATATTGAATCCAGAGATTCTTGGAATTCTTGCAGAATCTGAGACCCCGTTGCATGTAGCTTCTTGCCAGTGTCATGTCGGCGTGATCGTCCAGTGCATATTTGGCGGCATATATCCACAGGTCTGCGTTGGTAGGATGTAGTCGAAGAGCGTCGGTGAAGATCTGGGAGAGCTTTTTATACGCCTTTTGCTGCCGGGCATATTCGATGTACTGAATCCACAGCCCAAGATCCCCGTGGAACTTTCTGGTCGCGCGATCAAGGATGAAAAAGATCCGTCGCTGTCCGGTGTAGGCAGGACTTCTGATGCCCAGTCTCTTCACTCTCTTCCGCCGTAAAAGATCCAGATTCATCTCATATTCGGCATATCGTGCAAAATCTGCAGGTTGCGCACCTCGAGCATTCAGTTTGTGTTCGAAATCGGATCGTTTCCGGGCGATCGATGCGATTTCCTCCTATATAAAGCCCAGTTAGCTGTCTGCGAAGAGATTTCGTGATCGGAAGAATGCGCTCGATTTACCTTGCTAAAGATCTTTTTCCTCTCATACTCTTTTAGCTCCGGGACCGACTTTTCGAGGTAAAAGCGGGCCTTGTCCGTGACACTCGCCATGGTGTCTAGTTACCCTGTCGAAGGGAATTGGATCTTGTGCAGTTCGATCACGGGCATACAAAAAAAAAGTTGTCCCGCATAAGCTAAGTCGGGGCGCCGCGGCAGCATGTCCGAGTTGGGGTTAGGGCCGTTGTCCCAGACGCGAAGTCGGTCCATCGCGGAAGCAGCGCAGCTGTCCTTATTTTTAATTAGCAACGGACACTCAGGGGCCTTCGCTGTGCCTCTTTCTGTTCATGCTTCGCAGCTTTTATTTCTGTTCTCGACACTCTTTTGTTGACCTTTTTAATTAATTGATTGCTTAATTGCGCGTCGCGGCTCCTTCGTTCTCTCCCCGCCCCCATGGCTCCCAAATTAAGGACGGGGATGCCGTCGTGGCTGTAAGTCGATTGCGCCTCCTGCGCCTGGACGGAAATCATGCTGATTGTCTCCAAGTTCAATGGGAAATGGGTGTCATGGGCCCATACCCTCTTCGCCGCCATCGCGTTTCTCGGTGCTCTTATTGTGGGCATGAAGCTGCATTTCCACAAAATTGTGCAAAACGAGTACTACGGCTACCCGGAGGAATGGTTCCCTTCGGTCTCTGCGACGATCGGTGATCGGTATCCTGAACGATCGGTGTTCCAAATCTTCATCGCGATTACTTCTGGTCCTCGATTTGCTCTGGTTTTCCTCTGGTATGTTTTGACGGCGCGACCGAACTCGACGCTGCCGAAGATCGTTGCGGGAACGGGCCTCTTCAGAACTTTGACATGCGGAGGTTGGACCTATGTCACTTCAACCGATGATCATGACTGGCATGACATCTTCATGATCTCCTATCTTGTGGCCACTCTACCGTGGACGCTAGGGTGCCTGGCGCTGAGCCCCAATAACCGCCGTGCGGTTAAGTACCGAAAGGTGTTTGCTGGTCTTTTCTTCGGCACTTTGGTGCCATTGATATATTACTTCATCCAGCATAAAGTGCACAAGGTTCCCGGTGGTGAGTGGTCCGCAGTGTCAATGCTGTCGCTGGAGGTTCACTGACGCTGTGTGGTCATAGCTTATACCAAGTACGCTTTCTTCGAGTGGTCTCTCATCGTTTTCGATGTCGGTTTTGACGCGGTCACCGCACTTGACTTTGAAGCCTTCGAACTTGTGGTGAGGGATGTCAAAGGAGTCAGCAGAGGGTATGTGCAGTGGCTCCCAAAGTAGACAAATGTACAGTGCACAGTGATTTTTCGATCGCTTGGATGTAAAAAGGCTCCTTTTAACCAGGAATGAGCAGGCAATTGAAGACTACAGCAGACACCGTGCTTGAGAAGGAGTATGTATATTCGGTCTAATGAAAGGGGAAAACGAGAATAACAGTTCCTTTAGGAAAGACAAACCAGTGGGAACGACATTTGGCGACGGTTTCGTCTGGTCTGAGGCAATCGATGCAGCAGCCGACGTTTACAATGGGGTAATGCTCGAAATGAAAGTAGATCTGATCTCGTTGCTGACGCAGTTTAGTTTGTTTTCTGGTCAATTTTTACTTCCCTTCCTCTCCTCGTATGGTGTACGTACATTGCTCTACATCAGTATCGGTCCTGTCAGTTGTGTCTAATGTTTCTTTAGTCTTCCCTCTCTGGCACATGGGTATTTCCGGATACGAAGTCATGATTCTGGCCACAACATCTCCGTTTATCTTAGCGGTTCCGTCAGTACGGGCTTTCGCGACACGAAATGCACATGTGTTTCATTTCCTGTCGCTGACCGGTCTGCTGGCGTACTTGGTTCGCGACCCGGTCTATCGCTTGTTCACAGTTGGCTTCGCAGTCGCTATGGGCTGCCTTGCATGGTCTGCCACCTTCTACGGTGAACGCTCTCAAGTTACGCGGTTGGAGTCTCGTATCAGTGCCTTCGCTATCGGTTTGATCGCTTCCAGTGTCGCCAAATTCGCGTGCAAATCTAACAATCCGATCTGGCCGACCATGCACTCTGAAAATGGAGGGTGGAATAAATTAGGATTACTCCTTGCCATCCTGGCCACCCTGCGATCCACGAGAAGACCGACCGTCAGTGGAGGGGACTATTTCCCTTCCTCTGGCAAACAGGGTTCCGCGATCCTTGCTGGCATTGGTCTTGGGGGACTATTCTTCAGCTTGCATTCGCTTCTGTCTGATTCAAGTACTATGATCAGCTGGGTATGGGAAGGCTTCCCTATCCGAGGTCCCATTGCAGTGCCTCATGGCACTTGGACCCTATTCGCAATGGGTGCTGGTCTCGTGTTCGGCTTATTTTATCCACGTCTAGCTGGGTCCTGGACCGCCTTTGGAATCGGATCGCTGGGTGCTGCGGTGCTTACCTGCTACAGCCATTGGTTTGGTTTCTATGGTGGTCTCGTTCTCGCCTTTTACTTGATGGCTATCACTCCTGTCTTGATTCCATCTGCTGTGCGCCATTCTCCCGCCTCCACATTCGGCTTAGGATTCCTCGTCTGGGTCTTTTTGGCTCTATTCCACGTTTGGGTAGTTGCCTATGCGTTCGTTCCCGGCGGTCCTCTTGTGAGAGAACACACGGATTGGTTGATGACTGTTTCGATGTTGTCCATCGGTGCTGGCATCTTCTCCGCTGCTGTGACGAATTCTGGCCCTACCAAGAAACAATTTATCAATCCGCACGGCCGGAAACAGCGCTCATATTACATCTACGTCCTTGCAGTTCTGCAGCTTCTTTCAGTTGCCGTCGCATATCTGCGCTTCCCTACAAACGATTATACTCCCTATCACAAGGACGATAAAGTCGTCACTGCAGGCATCTGGACGATACATTTCGCCCTCGACAATGATATGTGGTCCTCTGAACGCCGCATGTTTAATCTTATCAAGGAGGCTGAAGTGGATGTTTTGGGGCTTTTGGAGTCAGATACTCAGCGTATAATCATGGGTAACCGCGACTCAACTATGTGGCTCGCTGAAGAACTCGGGATGTACGTGGATTACGGTCCCGGTCCTAATAAGCACACCTGGGGTGCCGCTCTCCTTTCCAAATTCCCGATTTTGAACTCCACTCATCACCTTCTACCTTCTCCTGTGGGTGAGTTGGCACCTGCAATCCATGCCACCCTTGACATGTACGGCGAGATGGTAGATGTGGTGGTTTTCCACTCCGGTCAGGAGGAAGACCCGGAAGACCGCCGCTTGCAGACTGAGTACCTGTCCAAGCTGATGGGCGAATCACCTCGTCCATTGATCTTGCTCAGTTATCTCGTCACGAAGCCGCTTGAGGGTAACTACAACACCTACGTGAGCGAGCTGAGTGGGATGAAGGATATCGATCCTTCAGACTGGGATCGTTGGTGCGAATACATTCTATACAAGAAATTGAAGCGCACGGGTTACGCAAGAATTTCCCGCAGCACCATCACAGATACCGAACTTCAGGTAGGTCCCTTTCAGCTTACATCTTCTAGTAGCCGCGCCTTCTTATGAGCACTTAACTAACCATCTTGACAGGTTGGAAAATTTGTGATTGGTACATCTGAACCTGAGCACGACATCCGGGTGCCTGAGGAGATGGTCCCAGAAGGGTTGCGTTTCCCGGCCCTGTTCCGCGGCGAAGGAGTCCGCGGCCATCGGTATCATGTATTTGATGAACCAAGATATTGGCAGTGATCGAATATCCAGCAGTGTGTCCAGGCTTAGTGGATAGAGTGCTGGACGATGTAAAGAGGATATACAAGTGGAGTTATTTCAATTTAAAAATAATGTATTTCTATCAGTTTAGGTTGCAGAACGACGGCGAGCAGTTATCATACCCTGATTACTATCTCGTTATACCAGAAACTATCAGCACTGCGAAGAATGAACGGTTCAATGTATAGAACCATATTGGTCTGTCACATTCCACCAGGAGTGCACCTAACACAATGAACAACGCCAGTTGCCTACCTAAGTAATTACCTAGTACTAGTCATTTCTAATTGGCTGGCATATGCAGACAAAATAATTAGTAACGATCTTCCAAATGCAGCATTTGTGTGACATGCGAGTTTATCGCTGCAGCTATCACTGACAGTGTCTTGCCTATGAATGTGTATGAAGTTATCTTTAGACATTTCAGCCAAATTTTTTTTGTCCTTGTTCTTTGCGTGTTATATCCCTATCCCCCTTGATTACTTTCTCATCAGTATGTGGCGCGGGGAGTAACCCAACCTCCTTTGTTCGTTCTTTCCTGGGATCCCTTGTTGAGGATTGAGCCTTCTGCCCAAAAATAGTCACAGCAGATATTCTTGCAACCTTTTTTTCCCCTATTCTGTTCTACCTTCGCTGAATCAACTCGAGTTCTTTCAAGTTTTTCTTTGTTCTTGTCCTATAGAGTTGACTACCTACTAGTGGCAGGTAGCAAGTCGATCCCTTCATTCCAGAACTGTGGAAGGGGTGCTTTCAGTTTGGTTGTCTAACGTAGTGCGTGATTGCGTCCCTTGAGTCATCTACTATCTATCATGACCGCTGTCATTCTGAATCAAGGATCAAGAAATGTGCGATTTCCTCAGGAATGCAATACACGTCAGTGACGCCCTGAGCACTCGGTACTCGGTACTTTAATTGTTGTCGGACCACCAAGCCATCCAACATGTTCTATATGACGAATCTCATTCCTTTCATTCAAGGAGTGGAGGAGAAGTTGATGAAAGAGAAAACTGTGTCTGATCTGTCGCTAATTTTGATTAGATGTGTAGGGTTTGGTGGAGAATGGATCTAATAAAAGCCGACCTACGCAATGTCCTGATGTCATGCAGGGAGCTTAGGCGGATACCTAGCCAGCTAGACGCGTGTGTCTAGAATAGCTGGGTACTGCTCAGGCAGGTAGCTCTGCCTTCCTTCCCAGCTTATCTGTTTTACTTCACTAGCTATCAGCAGCAGTTGGTCTCTGACGAGACATTGTGTGAGAGTGTGAAGACACAGCTGAAGAAGGACAAATGCAGAGGGTAAGTGCATTACATGTCTTGTTGTCGTGTCAATTGTCTATTGAAGCTGTCTATTGTATGATCATATCGCGTGGAAGAAAGATCCAGAACAAAGAAAGAAATTCCATAAATTATCCAACATCGCCAAAGTTCTTTGTACTCCTATGGGAGCGTCGCTGCAATTCTCTCAAACTCAAAAAGACATCTCTTCCTGTTTGTGTCTGAAAGCCCGCAAACTATCCTGGTTTGATCTTCTGCAGAGAGAGAACTCTTCTTTTCTGCTCTGTTTCAGATGGATCAGTGCCTACAAGTGGTGATCAGCTAAAGGTTCTGATCAATTTCCATCGTTGTGCTATTTCGGTTTCCCGGGCTATATTTCTACGAATTAGAGGAACTGTGAGTTGAACAGACAATAGAAGGGAGACGATTGCTGACAATATCAGTAACAGAATCTCTCGACGAGACGGAATGGCGGACCAGAACTCGTCAGGCCGACCGCAAAAGCGCCTCAAAACTGACCACCAAGCTTACGATCCTCATCCCCTGGGGTCAGCGGCCGTCGATGACATGGACTCGGCAAACCGCGTTTCAGGCACCTCTGGCTCTTCTGGAGACACCGAACCGCTCAGCCCTAGGCGTTTCGCGGAATATCAGGGTCAGGACAAACTGCCTGTTGGGGCTTCAGGTGCATCTGGCTCCAGACATGTCTCTTCCAGAGGCCCTGGGCTGTTCGGTCCTACCAGTCCTACCTTTCCTCCTCCAGCTGATCGGGGCATTCCTCGTTTTTTATCTTCACTAGACACTTCACAACAACATCGCGTCCAAAACGTTGAAGACCCCTTCATCTCTCCACAGGGATCTGAAGGCCCTGGCTCGCCTATTCGTGAGTCGATCGAGAAAGAAAACACAAACCAGCGCCGAGTTATGTGGGCGGAGCAGAGTTCACAATCCCAACGGGAAGGCCAGCTGTTGACTGCTCCAGCACCTCCGTTCGGTCCATTGGAGCGCAGGGACTACGAGCGGCGACAAAATTCGCTTCCCTTGGCGCAGGTTACGCAGGGACGTCCATATAGTATGGAGCCTCCATCGGTCCCTATTCTACCGCAGCCAAGCCCTCTCAAGAGAGCTTTTGTTCGAGGAGGCAGTGTGCCACAGGAAATCCCAAACGTACCAGATGCAGGTGTGGGATACGACCACTCCGGTTTCACGAACCGCTCCCCAGGGACGCAGCCCAACAGAAGTACCTATGCCGGGATTCAGACAGAATCGTTTGAACGGCGTCGCATGTTAGAGAGCATAAATGTTGCCCGGAACGCCCTTTCTAACCTTGCGGCGTCCATGACTGGAAAGACTGGAGAAGAGGCCAGAAGTCCTGATGATAGCGACAGTGAAGTGCGGCTCCTACCGAAGGAGGCACGACGGCGACGGCCGAGTTTGGGGTTCAATTTCGACCCGGAAAGCGAACGCCAGCGCGAGCTCGAAGAACGAACTGAGGCCGAAGGACCCGGTCCCATGGCAGTAATTGGTGAGTGCAAATATCTTTGGTTCGGAGTGATTTTTATTTTTGTGGGGATGTTCCTCTGTCTCTTCCTGTATTCGTTTGGGGTCATCAAATGAGGTCAAGCAAAGGAAAATGATGTAATTTGAAAGAAATTCCAAGAACCAGTTCCACCAGTAATCGCTTTGACATGCATACGATAGGATTGGTTACCGTTTACATGTTCTCGGGGTGATGATCGGCGTGTGGCGCTTCCTGCTGGCCCCTTGCATGATGCATATTTATGCTAGTATACCATGCACATACACATACATATATACCCGATACAGCACAATCGTTCTTTAAGGAATGGTTAATTGACATACAGGACAATTAGACCCACTTCCTGGCATTTCACGGAATGATCCGCGGCCACTGACAGGCGGGGGATCGGCAGTATCTCGAGCAGTCCTTGAAGGACCTATGAGTTGGTTGGGTAATTATTATCAGAACTCGGCGAGTGAGTGAAAACAGCGCAATGTACTGTATATGTTCTGACGCTAATCATCCACAGACTACCTCCGGGTTGACTCGAGGCAATTCAGGGACGTGACCTCAGAATCGTCAGAAGCACACCAACGAGGATCATTCAAGTCATCAAGTGGAAGTACCGACAGGGCAGAGGAAGAAAGCGATAACGAGAACGATAGCAAAGGGAATAAAGAAAATGAACCGCCGAAGAAGGGGCACGGGAAAGAAGCAAGGGTGGAGGAAGAAGGAAATAATAATCACAACAATCCACCGTCGGAGAGCAGAGAGAACGAAAACAAAGAGAATGAACCACCGCGGAAAGGAGCTAGCAAACCCAGGGCAAAGCCGCCGTATAGTAAGGGTAAGGTAGGAAAGCATACCCTGAAGAGACACTTTCCACGTCGAGCTTCATTCCGGCGTATGAAGACCTGGGCAGGGGGACGGATCGACCCGGATGTGATCAGGCTGGATGAGCTAGTACAGTTAGAGACTCATCCATCTCTCGAAAGGCCGATGAGGAGGAACATTATAGTCAGAACGAGTATTCCTCCCACGACGAATACAACAACGGAGCCGACAACGACAGCAACATCACGGAGCCAAAAGTCAAAGCAACAAACGCAGAGCAAGAGGAAGACAAGGGCAGCGGCACAGGAACGGGCAGATCAACACTCTCGCCAGGACTCATCCGCAGCGAAGCCAGCGAGAAGGAACCCAACACGAGCAGCAAGGTCGAAAAAGTAAGTTGGAGGTACTATTATTTTTGTCGACAATATGGAGTGATGTTTCACGCTGGCAGTGAGGGCATCTATGTCGGGAGCAAGGCAGGTCAAAAAAAAGGCGTACAGGGTTTGAGGGACATGCGCAATTCATTACACTCGTCTTTTTGAATTATCTTTTTTGAATACATGTGATGTTTTATCATTGTCAATCGGTTGGGTTTTGCTTTGGGTTATGTAGATTCACCTATGTTTAGAACAGTGTATGAGAATGAGTAGTTCATAGAACATCGGCGAGCTCTGAGAACTGTTTATTCTCGTAGTCCAGAAATAATCATCGTATCCTTTATGTGGAATTGTCGACTGTATTTAAGTCAGTGTTGAGTCTGCTGACAGTATTCGTCCGATGTTAGCGATGCAAATAATGCAAACAACACAAACAAAGGAGACGAGCTCCAACGCCGCAAGAAGAGAGAGCTTCATGTGAATTCAGAACATTGCTCTCATCACTCACTGCCTGCGCTGATCTACCGATCGAGGAGAATAGAAATATGACGAGGTGACATTCGACCTACAGAATCGGGTGCGAAGTCCTGCTCGACTCGATTACTTAAAAGTCTGCTAGCAGGCTGAGTCCGAGACCGGACGGCGGATCGCTTAGGTCGCCAGGATGTTCACCTTTACGCCTCTTCTCGGGGCCCAGTCCTCGTCCTCGAAGGCCTCGCAGTCGATCCTGGAACTGGATGGTGGGATCAAGATTCTCGTCGATGTCGGCTGGGATGAGACGTTTGATACTTTGGCGTTGGCAGAGTTGGAAAAGTAAGCTAAGCTACACACCTGTCAAGACATCTTGTGGAATTCTGGTCTAAATGAGAATTTGATTTCTAGGCATATTCCTACTCTGTCGCTCATCCTTCTGACACACGCGACTCCGGCGCATATCGGCGCTTTTGTCCACTGCTGCAAGGCATTCCCTCTCTTCACCCAGATCCCGGTCTACGCGACGGGCCCGGTTATTTCTCTTGGACGGACTCTTCTCCAGGATATCTACGCTTCTGCGCCGCTAGCCGCGACGTTTCTGCCCAAAGCATCCATCACGGAACCCGGTGCGTCGACGTCGGCCGCGTCTGCGGGGGCGTCGGTGCCGGGAAACGAAGGGAGCAGCAACAATGAGCATGGCACCGCGGGCGGCATTTTGCTTCAGCCTCCTACTCCGGAGGAGATAGCGCGATATTTCTCCCTCATTCATCCGTTAAAATATTCGCAGCCTCATCAGCCGCTTCCCTCGCCGTTTTCGCCACCCCTCGATGGGCTCACTCTGACCGCCTACAGCGCCGGACATACCGTGGGAGGAACGATATGGCATATACAACATGGAATGGAGTCTATCGTCTACGCGGTGGATTGGAATCAAGCGAGAGAGAATGTCATCGCTGGTGCTGCGTGGTTCGGAGGCGCTGGTGCTAGTGGGACAGAGGTCATTGAGCAGCTACGCAAGCCGACTGCGCTGATCTGTAGTAGCAAAGGCGGAGACAAATTTGCGCCGACTGGCGGTCGGCAGAAGAGAGATACTCTGCTTCTGGATATGATCCGGAGCAGCGTTGCCAAAGGAGGCACCGTACTTATCCCCACGGACACCAGTGCTCGAGTCCTGGAACTTGCCTACACGCTCGAACACGCCTGGCGTGATGCGGCGGAGTCTACGGATAGCGACAATGCGCTTAAAGGCGCAGAGATTTACCTGGCAGGGAAGAAGGCCCACACCACCATGCGGCTGGCAAGGAGCATGCTGGAGTGGATGGATGAGAGCATTGTCCGGGAATTCGAAGCTGCAGAGGGTGCTGAGGCGGCTGGCCGGACACAGAGGACCGACGGCGAGGCTAAACATGGGCAGAGCCAGCAAGATAAGAAGACAAGAGCTGGGCCCTTTACTTTGAAGCATCTCAAAATCGTTGAACGCAAGAAGAAGCTTGAGAAAATTCTCACAAACGGGGCACCAAAGGTCATTCTCGCCTCCGATTCCTCTCTGGATTGGGGTTATTCGAAAGAGACGCTCCGCTACATAGCCGAGGGCTCACAGAACCTGATCATTCTAACAGAGTCATTTCCTTACCGGCGTCCGACTGACGATCCTAAAGAGCCGGAGAGGATGACTCTGGGTCATTTGATATGGCAGTGGTATGAAGAGCGGAAGGATGGTGTGGCGATGGAAAAAACTCCTGATGGAGAGCTGCTCGAGCAAGTCCACTCTGGGGGGAGGGAACTACCAGTGACGGAGGTTCAGCGAGCGCCGCTCGATGAAAACGAGCAGCTGCTGTATCAGCAATATCTCGCCACGCAGAGGCAGCTGAAGAATACGGCACAGGGAAGAGGTGATACCACCCTCGACACTACTGCCGACGGGCTTGATGACGGCGCGAGTTCGACATCATCAGAGGATTCCGAGTCGGAGCAACAAGGCCGAGTCCTCAACTTTTCGACGTCTCTGGCCCATTCCAATCGGAACAAACTCGGATTGAGTGATGAAGACCTTGGCGTCAATATCCTTCTGCGACGAAAGAACGTCTTCGACTACGACGTCCGTGGCAAGAAGGGACGCGAACGAATGTTCCCATATGTCGTCCCCAGGAAGCGGGGAGACGAATACGGGGAGTTTATCCGCCCTGAGGAATACTTACGAGCCGAGGAGCGCGAAGAGGATGAGGTACAGCAGCAGCGGAAGGCTGATGCTCGCAGCGAGACGAAGCTTGGACAAAAACGTCGCTGGGACGAGACGGGGCCGAATGGCAGACGGCCGTCGGGAGGTGCGAGCAAACGCCAGGCGCTGGCACGAGACGGGCAGAGTGCAGGCAATCTTGAAGACGAACTGAGCTTGCCAGACGACATTCCTGTGGACGGCGAGGACGCAGCGTCGTCTGAGGATGAAGTGGAGGAAGAAACATTCCAAGGGCCAGGGAAAGCGGTGTACAACCGATTCACGATTACCATCAATGCACGCATTGCCTTTGTGGACTTTATGGGGTTGCATGACAAGCGCAGTTTGGAGATGCTCATTCCCCTGATCCAGCCACGGAAGTTGATCCTCGTTGGTGGCATGAAAGACGAAACGACGAGTCTTGCCGCGGAATGTCGGAATCTGCTGGCCGGCAAGGATGGCGTTGACTCGTCTGCAGTGGACATCTTCACCCCGGTCAACGGGGAGACGGTTGACGCCAGCGTGGATACGAATGCGTGGGTCGTCAAGCTGAGCAACAACCTTGTCAGGCGTCTGAAGTGGCAGCATGTCCGGAGCTTGGGGGTTGTTGCTCTGACGGCGCAGTTAAAGCCGCCGGAGGTTCCACCATCCAGCGAAGAGTCTCCGGAATCGGCGAACAAGAAACAGAAGCTGCTAAAGGAAGGGTCAGACACGGTTTCGACCCCTGCCGACAGCGCGTTGAAGCCTGAGGGCACCAAGGTTGAGACTTACCCGGTGCTGGACGTGCTACCACCGAACATCGCGGCTGGGACACGGTCCATGACGCGGCCGCTGCACGTGGGCGATCTCCGGCTGGCGGATCTGCGCAAACTGATGCAGGCAGCCGGGCATACGGCCGAGTTCCGGGGCGAAGGCACTCTGCTGATTGACGGGCTGGTGGCAGTTCGGAAGTCGAGCACGGGGGCGATCGAGGTCGAAGCGTCGGCTCAGTCGTCGCTAACGACGGGCAAAGAAGAGGGAAGCTTCCTGGCTGTGAAGCGGAAGATCTATGAAGGTCTTGCTGTGGTAGCGGGAGGATAGCATTTCACTTTTGTATGTACTATAGACAAGATCTCGATGACAAGTAACTGCATGATGAATTCTATGAGGCGTGCTTTCATTCACCAATACCAGCGAGGAAGCAATATCCTCTGCTTAATTCCTGTCGAGCGTTATGACTACACTACGGCTATGACTCTTAGCCCTGAGTGAAGCTGCACTCTGTTAGTAATACCATAACGGCAGAAGTACGATGTGTCAGTTAATGTCAGTTAATAATACACTTTATCATCGATACAGTCATAGCCATATTCATAGTATCTTCAACCTTATCCTCACATAGTCGTATAGTAATATAATACTCTACAGAAATAACCCCTAATTCCCCTTTTTCCCCCTTTATTCCGCCGTTTTATGCTTGCTCTCCTTCAATCATTCTACAAAGCAGTCCTGAAGGAGAAAATAACACTATCTTGGATCCATCCCCTTTTTCTACAGACTCATACCGATACACGAAGGGGAAGGGGGAAAACAATGCCCCGTGCCATCAAATACAAGTACGTGACCACCGACGGACTCCCTCCGCTGGATGGCCTCCCGCCGGAATTGGCTTTTGCAGGGGAACAGGGACTGGCATTAGCACTGGCACTGGGACGGGGACAACGACATGAAGAATATGGATATGGTGTCAGGACTGCTAGTGCTATAGGCAATGGCAATGACAATAGTAATGGCAATGGAGATGGCCATCAATCTGGTTGTCCTCTTTCTTCACCACCACCTCCTCCTTACTGTCCTGCTGATCCTCCACCCCCCTATATGCCGACGCAGGAGCAACAGCCAAGACAACCGCAGCGAGGAACGACGAGAACAGCTGATAGAGGCCGTTGTACAGGGGATATTCAGGATCCAGTGGTGATCAACTTGAATATGGGGACAAACCACCATCATCATTATCATTGTCATTGTTATTGTCATTCCTCTGTTCCTCTGAATAACGCTCCCACTGAAACTGATACTGATACCATACTGTTTCAGCCTCATACTCATATCTGTACTTATCCTCCTACATATTCTCACTATCCTCCTCCTTCCTCACTCTCCTCCATCTCTGGTAATTCTCATACCCAGCAGGGTGGTGGCTTTAGCTGCTCATTATGTCAATCCCATCAGATACCCACAGCAGGGAGGAACAGTCCTACTGCAGCACTACCAATTGGCTCCATCATGAGGGAGATTCCTCTGATGATTCCATTCCCATTCTCATCATCGGGAACACAGGGAGATCCGGTAATGAAACCAAACCTGGACCTAGGCCTAGGCCTAGGATTTGGATACATCTTCCCTGAACACCACACAACCATCCACCTGATCGAGCCCGAATACCTGCCTTTCAACCACCATCAGGATCATCAGTCACGACCATTCCGCTTCTGCGCGTACAACGTTGCTACTTCTCTGACTGTCGCGGAGTTTATGAGAAGGGCGTGCTTCTACCACCACCACCACAGGAGCGGAAAGCATACCGGGATAATGGATCCAGGTGCTGCTGGCGACAGGGTATACGCCTACTGCATAACGGAATGTATCGAACTCGGCGACGGACGATGGGGTCGAGGCCAGGAATTTTGCATTGCTGCTGGTGGTGGTGACAGGTGTCTCCAGGCGGAGGTCCAGTCTTTGACGCTGGCGGATGTCGGGTGGGATGAAACCAGGGCCACGAAACCGGTGTGGATCGCGACGACGGTGGTGTGGCAATGATCTGTCAAAAGTACTGTATGTACATGCACTTGCCGTGGATATAACTGGAATCTGTTGTGCAGAGTACATATGTAGATAAATCTGATAAGAGTCTGGCGAAATTACCTAACCCAACTTCTTTCCTTTGCGCTAAGTTCAACATGTGGTGTTCATTCCGTTCTCATGCTCGAACAAAACAACCATTTGGTCCATTTTGAGACCGACGAAGTGTTACAGCTCTCTGGTTGACTGCTAAATTTTGTTTTTTTTTTTTAGAGACTACATAATTCTAGGGTGCTTCTAGGGTGCTATGGCGTTGATGTTTCCAAATCGGGAAACTTCCAAGTGCATACACCATAGATCATAACATGTTGCTGACTCTTCCTCAGAGAAATATTGGGCAGCAAACTTTAATAGTAGAGCAATTGAAGTAACTGCAATGAGTGTAAATAATGGGTCCTCTGTGAGTTGATCTTCCCTTCTTCAGCGACGCTATACCTAGTCAATTAAAGGCATGTATCACCACCATGTTGTTCTCGTTTCATTCATATCACTCATATATATATTCTTGCTTCTTCTTTCACCTCAGATATGACGGGCTACTGTCACATATGCTTACTTCCTTCATGCTCATGTTCCGCCCGTTCCATCAATGGCACCTCCTCAATATCGTCATCGACACCCACATCAAAAATCTCCTCGTCATCTTCGTCTTTTTGGATTGGTTTTCCTTGTTCCTGCCGTCTCCGTCGTTGATGCAGGTACACCACGTAGCTGTAGCCTGCCACTTCTGCCGCCGCGACGACTAACCACGCGATGAGGCCTAGGGTCGACCAGCCTCGGTAGTACAGCCCCGTGCCGACGTTGAAGATACCCAGACACAATACAGTGCGGCCCAGCCACCGGTGCAGCGTAGTGTAAAGCGACTGGCGACGCAGCTTGACGAAGACAGCATGATGCTTGTACCCTAACGCCCCCTGCACGATCAGGGCTGAGATCACAATCAGGCCGATGATCTTGTGCGGACCAAGATGTTTAGCCCGCAACAGCATGTAGAGCGCACTGCCAACGGCCAGAATCGACGCCGTCAGCTGCACGATCCAGTGATAGCGGAAACTCTGCGCCAAGGGCAGTCTGATGATCGCGCCGCCTGCTCCAAAGAGACCCATGAGACTGATCGTCATGATGATACCGTGGAGCTGGACAGCTGATGGCCAGGCTTCTTGCTTGTCATGGTCCCTTTCAGAGGATTCTTTGACCAGCGACACGCCAAAGGACAGCGCGCCAGGCTGAATTGCCGGGATCGGATCCCCGTCTGCAATCAAAGTCGACGACATGTCGACCGTCAGAACACCGTACGAGTCATGGATCATCAGATTGGCGTCGTTCTCCGCCGTGTAAAAGATCTGTTTCGTGTTGCTAGCGTAGATCCACGGCTGCGATGTCGACGTCATGTCAATCTTGTCCGGCCACCACTGATCGCACGAGTAGCAGACAAATTGCGCGTAATAGTCCTTTGACTCTGTCATTTCGGCATGGAGCACGCCCACTTTGGTCGTGTTGGCTGTCAACACCGTGGGCATGACATGTCCGCTGGCGGTGCGGATGCTGGCCGTGACTGATGCCTTGCTAGAGTCAGAATAGACCAGAAGCATCAGCGCCCCGGCCATGACCTGGCCGATCCCCACGGCGGTCCAGCCGCCGTTCTCAGAAGGCCGGGCCGAGAGACTGACGAAGACATCCCGGCCGTGAGTCGTGGCATTCGCCTTGGTCGCTACAGCCATGCAGAACTGCAGTTTGTCATGGCAGTACTGGGCACCCGCCGCGACGGCCGGAGCCGGCCATAGGAATGCGGCTGAGATAAGAGTTAGAAGTAGCCAACTTCCTCTTCGACATGTCGGCCACATGTTTCTGAACATGCGAGCAGAGAAAACACAGATGCTCAAGCTGAATTAGTCATGTAATCTTCCAGATGAGACGGCCCTTGACGGTCAGCCCAAAAGGTCATCTGTTGCTGACAGACTGGCAGGTAGAAATTTATCAATCAACTGAGTAAACAACACCTCTACCTCAGTGTTTGATGAATTCTTACCAACTCGGTCGACATGTTGGCTGTGGACTATAAATAACTTGGTCCGTGGGTTGCCTAACTAAACAAACTGCTTAGTCAGCAGATATCCCCATTCGACCAACCAATCACAACCCGTTTCTTATTAATCTTATCTTCCAATCAGATAAGCTTCAGAATCAGCTGAACGATGGCTACGAGAGTGTTGCCATGACTGGAAGCATGTTAGATGACGTTCATAGGTCATTATATAAATTAAAAGTGGGCGGATTGACAGAGTAATCTGTGAAGGGAATTAAGCCTTTGTATGACGGGGAGTTACTACAAAAAGAATGGAACTGAGTCATCATCCACGTGATGTCATGCGAATCAAGGTCCCAAGTCTCTACTTTCCTACCAGGCTGTACCACCTAACATACCTGAACGTCACCTCGCGGGCATGTAAGGTTGAACAACATCTCTTTATCAACAGGTAAGATGTCTGTCTGCACAAATCTGAAGTGGTGAAGAATCGAAAATTGCATTTCATTAAATCCTTGACTGGACTTGCACACAGTACATGCTCTGACACGCATGCATCTCTACATAGCACGAGCCGATCGAATCCATCGTCACAGTGAGAGTTAGCTAGCTTCTACGACGCTCGCTCTCGCTGGACTCTGCTGGAAGCCAACAACAACAACAATACAGTATCTGTACTGTACTGTCCTGCAGCAAAAGAGCCCACTTCCTTCGACTCTCCTCAGTTTAACCATGTCATCGTACTCGTACCCCCCGCTTTCGCTCGAAGAGCAACTCCGAATCGCCGAGTTAAAGGAGAACGGGCGAAACTGGTTCCCCCCGGAAAAATGGGAAGCGTACCATCGAGACGGCTGCCCTCCGGGGCCGGAGCCTCAAACGGTTTTTCCCTACGTGCTGGGTGGATTGCAAATATAACATTTATCCCAAGCCTAATGTCTTTTTTTAACTAATATTTTTAAAAATTCTAATGTTTTCTAATATGTAACTGTTAGATAACTGTTTAATAATTATTTTCTACGTTTATGATGGAAAAACAGTTGAAAAACCTGCATAACCGTTGATAAACAGTTTTTTCAAAACCCCGGTGCTCCCGTATGGATACATAGAAACGTCTCCTAAAGGAAAGGTTGCACGCATAATTTTTAATTATAACATGGAAAAGGTACCTAGACATATACTTAAAATATACGGTAGATCATGTCTATATCCAGGACGACGTTTAAAAAAATTACACTACTGCAGACAAGCCTTTAACGACTCGCTCCGCTCGTCTAGGCTTGAAGGGGAGACTACCTAGGCTTACTAACGCCTATACTTGCTCCGGACCTTCGGCCCTCCACATGCCTGTAATGTGGGCCTATATAAAGCCTATAGGCGCGCCACTGCGAAGCTTATAGGGGAGGCACTGTAAAGCCAAGGTCTACCTGCGTACGGTCTGTAGAGTGGCCAAACCGGATTAGGAAGAAAATATGTACGGGTGCTGAGTAATCGAAATTAACCAATGAAATCACGTATATTGTTCTGACTAAGCAGAAGCAACCAATCATGTAGGGTTTCAGTATTTTTTGACGAAAAACTATTATTTCCTTTACAATATAGAAGATACACCATGGATCCACGCTATTCCAAAATTGGCAAATTCCCGTATGGTAGTAAACAGCGCTAGTCCAGATAAGGAAATTTGCATGTGGCTGCCACGTGCATGTAAATACGGTACCTTCAGCAGTCGGCAATCGACATCATTCCCGGGCCCATATTCCAGTTGATCTGCGCTGCGCTGTCAGACTAAGTTGTGAAGAGAATGAGATTGTTATACACGTACTGAGCTTGGACAAGGGTGGGGATATGTACTGTATGTACATACATGTATCCTTATCATGTACCTAAGTACTAAGTACTGTACTCTCTCTAACTAGGTGGAGACAGTTTAATGTCCTCTCATTCGCAGGATTGGATATGGGTATTGAGCTTTTATATGTACTATACGTATGTACATACATACAGATAAATAATAAATAAATACACATGTGCATCTGAGATCGTTTCACCAAACATATTTCCTCACTAGAAACTAAAAAGGCACGCGCCAAAATACCATCCCACCGGCATTCCTCCCCATCCGACAGCTCATCTCCATCGAAGCAACCACCATAGAACAGTCCCGGCGCAATCTCGATCTCGTCAAGCAAAGCGCGCCTCGATCGATATCGCGGAAACGCGTTTGGCCAGGCCTGACGATGCACCCAGCGGATGTCATAATCACTGAGGTTGGATCCCTCGTGCCACTGTCGACCGACCATCCGGACGAGATCACCATCTTCCATGACATGGCGGGAGACAACACGGTAGATCTTTTCCCAAACGTACTGGCCACACTCATCCCCTGGCTCGCAATCTATTCTATAGCGGAGATCGACTCTGCTTAGGCTGAGAAGATCGGGATCGTGTGAGGCGGTGGTTGCAGTAAGGAGATCCTCAGGGATGCTGGCATTTAAGAAGGGGTCAAAGAATTTCGGATCGATGTCCGCCGGAGTGATGAAGTGGGTGACGTGTGTCTCGACGTAGGGAGGCAGCCGTGAAGCAATCGAGGCTAGGCCAAGATCGCCGAGATCCACCTGGCTGCTCTGGAGCGGCGCCGCAAGAGCCACCGCGTCGAATTCCGCATCTGCCGACTGGTTGCCAGCGATGGAAAGCCGGTAGCGTCGATGACGGCCGGGGCTGATCTTGGTCACTCGAGAATTCAAGCGGAGCTCTGCGTTGGACAACTTGAAAGTGAACATTGCCTCCATACACCGAAGTTGCCTTGGACGCCCCAGCTGCCATCAGAGAGACAAAGCCACGTACATCAGCCGGATTCTGCGAGAAGTCAGCTCGCGTACATGGCTCGACAAAGTCGGACTGGAAGCGCGGCGTGACACTGATGTTCCGAAAATAAGAGTCGGCAGAGTCCAAAACGACACCGTCGAGACCAGCGTACTCCAATTCCATCACGACACCGATGAACGGGCCTCCAGAGCGGGCGAATTTCTTCCACTTCTCGAGATTCGAGCGCACTGCTTGACGGAGTCTCCACGGCGAGAGACCGTATTTCCAGACGGAGCGGGCCAGATCCCACCACGACGGAGATTCCACGTCGCACGGGGGTGCCGGTCGAAGCTGTTCGCCATCCCACACGCCCGCAGAGCGGGGATAAGGACTCGATCCTTTTTCCTCTAGTCCAACATGTTCCATGCATTGACGACGCACCAGTCGTCGGCGAAGAAATGGGTCGCACCGGCTTCCAGCACTGCATGGTCGTGTAGAGAAGGGGAGATGGGTTTGACGCGACCGCCGATACTGGACTCGCGCTCGAAGATGGTGACAGAATAGAGCGAATATGGGTATGTGATCTCCTGCAGACGGAAAGCGGTGGACGCGCCCGTGATGCCCGCCCCGACAATGGCGACACGTGGTGGGTCGCGTGGAGACGAATCGCCGAGGGGGATCTGCTCGTCCGCAACGACGAGCAGAGTGAGCAGCGCAACAGTATTTACAATAACACGTAAGAGGGGCATGCTGGCGCTCAGCTGGATGATGATGATGATTGTATTGTCGAGTACAGCGTACATTGAGAATGCAGGCAGCAGTGACCGTTTAGGTCACGTGACATGCCACTGTCAAAACTTAACATTGGCATACACAGGAGTAACAGTACTTTCGTTGCCAAGGAGTCTACCTATGTTATGTAATGCAAGCAATAGAATCGCATTGCTATCAGAGTCTGGGTTGTATTAACAATCTAGAACTGAGACTTGATTATCAACAACAGGACGGGGCCTGAGAATTCAGTGAAATCAGTTAACCCGACGGTACACAGTAGTACTAGTAGTATATACCAGGGACAGTAAGGACTACTCTACTACGTAAGGTACTCAAGTGAGCAGAGAGGCATTCTAACAGATAATTTCTAATAATACATGCACATGTATGTACCTATGCCTACAGCAGAGGTTTATAAAAATGCAGAACACACACTGAATCTCCCTCGCGTACTCTACTCCGTATACTTGGCCACGTACCTAACTACTGCAGTTAGGATATACTATAGAGTACGGAGTAGGTTAGGTACATACTCTGCAGAGTAGGTAAAGACCGTCGCCATCAGACTCCACAATCCGCAACGAACAACAAATCAAAACAAATCAAAAACAAGAAAACACAGCCCACTGCCGCGCCACGGGGTAATATACGTACTCCGTATACCTGAAACTAGCTAGGTACCTAGGTACCTACCTAACTATAGATAGTATCACCCTAAACTCAGTCCATCCTAGTATAGGAGATAGTTTCAGGGATGTTCTAGAACCAGAGCTTGCTTGCTTGGCAGCTGGCTACGTACTCGAAGTAGGCCCTGTCCCTGACTTGAAATAAAAAAAATTGCAAGGTGTTCATGTCGGTCGTATTTAGAAAATTCAATCCGGAACTCCGACGGTGATGGGTGATGGGGGGGATGGAGGATGGGGGCTGAAGTAACAAAAAGGATTCTGTCGAATCAGTAGGTTAGATAACGTTTTTTTTTGTACTGTATGTATGGACCAGGGTTAGTGAAGGATCAGGGATCAGGGATCAGGGTACGGAGTACAGTACCTGAGCGACGGTAGGTAGGTATGTAAGTACGGAGTACTCCCGTACTCTTCCGTACCTAAGTACCTAAGGTACGCGTACTATTACGCTACCTAGCTACGGCGCAATACTTTAATTTAAACACCAACACTAATAGTCTAGTGTGAATGCTAATAATAACCATACATCATCCATAATCATCACCTTAGTTTACCTAGGTATCTGCGTAATTGTATAAACCAACAAAGGATTGAATCCTAGCGGTCTGGGCAGCCTGGCTAAGTAGGTACCGAGGAGGTATGTATGTACAATACGGAGTACGGAGTACTCCGTAAATATACTGTTCCTGCGTCCTGCGCTACCCCAACTCTCAACAAACTAATACTCTCTGTACGGAGTAAAATAAAGTAAACAATTAGTGCTAATTTTATTTGATTTTTATTTCATTTTCTTTCTTTATTATTCAACTCTAATGTAACCTCAAGAGTGTTAAAAAAAATCCCCCCAGATGCGTATCGTATTGCGGTCACATGACGCGTACCTAGGGTCTACCCTATGTAGATCATCCTAGGCTAGGTAGGTAGGCAACCTAGGTGCATATCTCTATGCAGGGATCCTGCTGGTAACATGACTCGCATGAAGAGGCTGAAGAGGCTGGGAATTAACTAACGACAAGGTAGACAGAATATGACGGGATGGACGATGGGGGCGGGAAACGTCTAAAATACGCAGAGCATTGCATTGCAGCACATCGTAACCAGGACAAGTCCTCATCCCTGAACCTTTTGTCTGCGAAGTCTTTGCCCCCCTTGTCCCCTATTGAAGACATTGCGGTGTGTCTGAAAAATTAGAAACGGGGGAGACTATACGGAGACTATACGGACTATGGGGTAGGTGGCTGGACTCGGCATGGCCCTAATCCCCTTTTTTTGTTTAGGCTATCCCCAACTTGTTACCTAAGGTGAAGGTTGGTAACCTAACAATAGGCCTTTAGGTACGCACTGACTGGTACGGAGTACCAGGGTATGTGCTGTACCTAAGGGTTTGTCTACGAATGAGTCGTCGAGGAATAATAGTATAGCGTTGGTGGTGAATGTTGTCAACTTGTCAAGCGAGTGGCTTCAATTCAAATCGAAAGCGAATGTATAAGAAAGAAAGAAAGAGTAAAAAAAAAGTTATGTCCAAAAAATGGTATATCGAAGAAGAAGAAGAAGAAGAAGAATAAAACAAGAAGTGAAGCGAAAGTAAAGAAGAAGTAGAAGAAGAAGACAAATCTATCCGTCCCTTTTTAAAACCTGCCTATCCAAAAAAAACACCATGCTCCTCGTCATCCCAACGTTCTGTCCAGGCGACCTGGCCTTGACTTGAAAAAAACCCCCTCCCGGCCATCAGACAAGTCGACCGTGTCTAATGCCGGGTGGAAGGCGCAGGACATCAAGTCCGTGAATGAAAGGATAAGACGAAGACAACGACGACGAAACAAAGCCCAGCTCAAGCCCGTGAGCTGTTGTTGTTGTTGTTGCCCCCAAAAAAAGCATGATGATCTTTGGATTCGATTCGCCAGGAATCACGAATAGCACAGACAGTCATTGGTCAGCGTCAGCAGCAGTAGTAGTAGTTGCTGTTATTGTCGTTGCTACCGCTACTGCTGATTTTAAGAGCTGGAGCTGCCAATGTTCAGAGTCAAGTGGGTGTCAGCATCACAGCCGCGAGTGGCCTGGTTGTCGTCCGGAACGAGGTAGGCATCCGCGCAGGCCGTGTCGCCAGGAGCGCAGGTGGCGGACTCGCACTGGGGGTTGTTGGAGGTGACAGCGAAGCCGACCTTGGTGAACAAGGAGTTGGTGCCCATGTTGATGCAAGACAGGTCCCAGAAGATGGTGGGGTTGGCCAGGGTGTACTCGAACTGCAGGACGTCGGCCTGGCTGGGGGTGGTGGCCATCTTGATCGAGATGCCACCGCCGTTGGGGTTGATGCGCCAGTTCTCGGAGTAGCTCTGACCCTTGGGGACGGTCACCATCGGGGCGTTGAAGTCATCAGACACGGACCACAGATAGATGGTCTGGTCCATGTTGTTGTTGATGGTCACACCACCACCCGTAGAAGAAGAGGAAGTGCTGTTGGTGGAGCGAACCAAAGGGAGCGCAGAGGCCGCAGAGGCCAAAAGAGCGGCAATACCGAAGACCTGAGTGAACTTCATTTTGACGGAAGGAGCGTGTGGGCGGTGATTATATTCACAAATAATAAACAAAGGAGTGTCTTGAGTGGGAGCTCTGTCGTCAAGTCGAAAGGAACTGTAAGGAGTGACTGTAGAATCGAAGTGACTGTGGTAGAGTATATTAAAAGGGAGGGAGCCCGGTGGAGGGGGATCCCACAGCCTTATATAACTTGAAAGGAGTGTCCGACAGCCTCCCAAAGTGGAGCGACAGTAATAAAATCCTCTTCAGACAAAGGCTGACTGGACAAACGAATCGCATGGCTGTTCCTGGGACCGGCCCATGGGACAGGGGGGTTTGGAGGGGACATGGCACCGGGGTCTGGAACACGGGATGGCGCCGATGGCACCTTGAACAGATGGATCCGGTGAGAGCTGAGGGACCATAGCGGTGGAGCGTTGTCTCTGGCAGGCAAAAACAGCAAGTACGGAGTACCGGGGAGGCGAACCATGCGGATAGCTGGAGTCTGCTGGACGGTGGAGGCGCGGACAGCAGTTTCAGGCGTTCAGCCGTTGCGTCGAGGCGTCTCGTCCCAGGAACCGGGTGGCAGATGGCGCCTGATTGGCGGGTGCCTTGCGTCTGCCACGTTGAGCCCGCGCGTACCCAAAGGCCAGGCGGCGGGCTGCGTGGCCTGCAGCGACAGCAGCCGTCACTCGTCACGCCGGTGGATCGCCGCGATAGAGTTATTCGGCGACCTATCGATAAGCTCGGCCGCCCCACCGGGCGTAAGCCCTATGGAGATGCCCGAGTCTGCCGGTGGACAATGCGCCAATCGCAGCGACAGAGCACACGCCACATGGGCCTCTGCGTGTCGGCAGCTCCCCCGGCCAGGTGCGTGGCAACAAGCCAGCCCGCCGCGGATGCCCCGAGAATCCACTGCCAGCGACGCCCAATCGCAGTGGCAATAGCGGCAGGCAAAAACCGGCAGTTGGCCCAAGTCCTCTTGACGCCCTCCGGGCCCGTCTCCACGGTTCACCTCGACGTGGATGCCCCAGCCCTGGCCTTGGATCAGCAATCATACGCAGTACAACGCATATCCGACAATTAGCCAGCAAATGGTTCTTCGTCTCCGTCCTCGCCCTGAATATGATTCGCATTTCGCATGCCAGCGATTCGCCGAAAGAGCCTATGACCTGCCTGCCTCGTCAGGCCCGTCCCATTGGACCGAACAATCGCCCAACTTGGACAATGGCAAAGGCCACGTTTTTGCCTGGTGCCGTGGTTCTGAAGAAATCATTCAGGAACGTCTGCCATCTCTCATTTTGCCGGTGAGTTTGTACATAGACTAAGAACAGTAAGAAAGAACACTAAGGCAGAAGAAATTCGGAGCCACTGAAAGAAAGGCTAAAAAAACAAAAAAAAAAAGAAGAAAGAAGGTTAAAAAAAAAGAAAAAAAAAGAATGACTTGTCTACAACGTAAAGCTCGAGTGAGATGTAACTGTAGCCACTAGCCACCGGTTCATCTCCGGCATGGATCAAAGAACTAACTAACTGTCCAGTCGGAGGACAGTCGAGTCCAGTCAAAGCGGGTCATGAAAGAAAGAGAGCTTGTCCTGAGCTGCAACGATCGTTGATCACATTAGTCAAATTGACCTTTTTTTTAAAGAAAAATTTTGTTTGTGCGTTTTTACTTCCTTGAGTGTCGAGGGCGAGGTTGTGCTGGTAGTGGTAGTGTACAAGTCTGATGAGAGGTTGAAGGAATGACCGGGGATTTTTCTGTTTTAGTCATCATAGGGCACACACACGTACGCACACACAACAGCCATCGCCGGAAAAAAAAACAATAACAATATGACACATCACACAGTTACAAATTAGTTTAATTAATTTAATCAAATTAAATTACCATCCCATCCAGATACACTCCATAGGTATATGATATCCTGCAGTCACAATAAGCTGTCCTCTAGCCTCACATTAATTTAGCGTCCTGACCAAGCGGCTTCATGATTCATCCCTCGTCGGGAATCCGTGTCCCGCCTAGCAGCCCTACGTAAGGTACCTAGCTAAGGGACTTTTAGCGCCCGATCGACTCCGATCGACACACGCCGGCGCGAAAACAAGCATTTTTTAATTTCGGGCAGCAGATCCGTTCGAATCTTAAGCCAGCCTTATCTTGTGAGATGAGATGAGATCATTTCTAAGTTTTCTAAGTTTCTGACAAGGGCGGGGCAAAAAAAAAAAGAGAGAGACAGAGAGACACTGTGTGTGTCTTGTGTCTGCCTGGTATGTATGTTGTACCTGCGTCGATCTGTATATACCTCTAGGTAATTAATTAATCTCCTTCCTGGAATACCTACCTATAAGATTGTCGATCGCTCTTTCTTCTTACTTGCGTTGTTGGCGTCGTGCCATTGGTGTGTACCTAACTACCTTACCTACCTGCCTAAGCGCACTGTAATTTAATTTAATTTAACTTTAGGGCTGTAGACCTGATGAGGTGTCAAATATGACGTCTCTCTCTCTTCCTCCCTCCCTTCCTCTCTCTCTCTTGTGGTTTGTGTGCCTGGCTAAATGAAAAAAAAAATTCCGTAGCGAGGATGTTTGCCTACCCGCAGATCGTCATTAGATATCACCCCCACACGGTGTCATCACCTATGTAATCTTACGTATGTCCTGTACGGCCTACGCTGACAATGCACGGTTCTAGTTAAGCCTGCGACTTCTTGATGATGATGATGGTAGGTTAGGTTCAGAGGTATCAAAGTCTGTACTACTACTGTATGTAGTGTAGAACTGGTATATGCTTATGCTATGCCATCAAGTAGAAAAAAAAATTATGGTAGTGCTTCTCGTATTATCACATTACATTTCCCCTCTGCCCCCGTCTTTCGTCTTTCGTCTTTCGCAGCTAGGCAGGCTTTCTTCTACCAGTATGGCGGTCGGAGGCCCGTCAGACTCGATAACGCTCCCTCTCCCGAGCTCCCGCCGTCCTCGCGCTTGCGGTGTCCCGCCAGCTCGAGGTTGATCTGCCGGTGAATGTGCACCAGCCAGTCGACGTAGCTCTGCGCCTCGTTGTTCCGGTCTTCCACCAGCAATCGCGCAAACTCGTATTCGGCGCCGTCCAGTCCTTGTCGCGCCAGTTGGATCGTGACCGCCTTGGATCCTCGCACCGTGGACAGGTACTGCAAGAGGTTGCGCACTTGGGCGTTGAGATGCGTCTCCAACACTGGAAGGGACGACATGGCCGGATTCAGCGACTGCAGCGATGTCTTTCCCGGCCCGAACAGGTCTTCCAGCAAGTTGGGTGACACCTGCGCGTGCAGCCACAGGAGACAGATCTGACCGTTATCAACCAGATAGGCCCCGCCTTCTTCGATCTTGGAGAAACTAGCACGCAACGTAGGCGGAACCTGTAGCTGGCCTTGCTCGTTGGCAAATCCCTCTTCTGGTCTCAAATTATGAATCGGGATAATGCGCGGGTAGAGGTACAGCGACAACTCGGTGACACCAATCGAACGTAGCATCCGCAGTTCGTGAACACGGCGGTCTACCGTCTCAACGCCTCCTGATAAACGATTAATGCTTGAACCATACGTCGTGCCATTAACGAAGGGACTTACCCTTGAAGGCTCTCGACTTGATCAAGCCGAGCATGTACATCGAGAATTCCTTGAGGTTCTCAGGCAACACAAGCTGACCAGGAGGATGTGAGCCCGAGAAGTTCTTGCGGTAGCCAGCGAAAATATCGATCGTCTTTTCGGTGATACCGGCACGAATGTCCTTCAGGGGCTTGTCTGCCGCCTTCGATGCCGCTGGATTGAATGTGAGCATGCGTGCACAGAAAAGGAACTTGCTCAACTCACCTTCCTTGGCAATAATGGCCACGACGGCATCTTGGTCGATGAACTTCATCGTCTCCAGCCCGCCCTCGTTGACGGCTGCTACAACATTGATACATCTAACTCGTCGCTGGCCGCTTGCAGTAGTGTAAAGGAGAGCCGCTTGGAAGTGAGCGTCGAGTTTAGGATCCAGCTTTCCATCGTAGGTGAAGAGAACTCCCAGAGCTTTGTCGGCGTCAATGGTTCCGATTTCTAGGTCAGCACCAAATGTGTGCTGAAGGAAATTGCCGTGATATGAAGAGACCTGAAGTCCATTCGAGCAGCGGACTTTCATTAGAGCTTGGTATCCCGTTTCCCGATTGACGGTGTGGGCGATTTCTTTGGAGAGCTTCAGGATATCCCGAGGAGCGTGGAAGTTGGGGTAAAAGAACGTCTCCCCGCCAGAGACAGCAGCCGTATGGCCTGATGGATCAGTCTTAGCAAAAAAAGGACCCAATATGGAGATCAACATGTTCACAACTTACCAATCGTCGCCACGTCCATAGAGGCACCACCAGGCGAGGCAATGAAAAAGTCGATGCCCACCCCGCTCTCGGCCAGTTTGTTGGCCGTCTTCTTCCATTCGGGGTTTTCAGAAGTAAATAGCTTCTTTTCGCCGTCCGCTCCAAGCCCTTTCCCGTTGTCCCTCATGACGAGCCTGCCGGGGCCCCAGGTGGGTAGGCTTGCCAACGAGCACACTATCTTTCCACCGGTGGATTGTAGTGCTGACAGAGCTGCGTTGATGGCAGGGAACAACGCAGGCTCCGGGTTCTTAATTTGAGAGAAAATGGTGGGTAATTGCGTTAAAAGGGACGTGATCACCGCCCTAAAATCGGTTAGTTTTGAAAACATATTTCCTCACAATGCACCTACTTCGATTCATAGGGGTCCACGAAGAGACCCTCGCTGAGCGGAACAAATGGTTCCTCCAAATCGGTCATCACAATCATCTGAGCGCGCTCGAGTCGGGACTATACAACCCCTAAGTTGGCACCTTCACACGAAGACGAGGAGGGATCTGGGGAATTGGACGTACGCTAAGATTATAGAAATGTACTTCTTTATCAAAAGTAATAATGCCAACTTTTGAGCCTTCAGGGATCCTCCTGGATGTCGTCTCGCCATCATTTTCCTGGGGTGTGCCACCCTCACTGCCGTAAAGCGCGCGCATAATGCCCTCACATACCCCTTCAAGGAACCCTCGCTTCACGGCTTCTTGACTGACATCGATCAAGAAGAGCCACCGCAGGCCAACAGGCTCTTTCGCCCAGTATTCCTTTGGCACCAGGAACTCAACGGTCCCCATCAACAGCTCCGGCCGTTGCATACGATCAACGCGGGCGCCGGACGGATCGAGCGGTGCGTAGTATTCCGGAGGCACCTCGTTCGGAAACGTGCACATGTTGCAGACGAACTTGTTCCCCCCAGCCCGGAACACCATAAACGGATTTATATAGGTCCTACATCTGCGGCATCTCGGCGGCCCGCTCTCGCCAAAATCTATAACCGGGATGGGTTGTTCCCCAGGATCCAATCGCGCCAGGGGCTGTAGAACCAACCCCAATGGCAGACCGGTTGAGCTGAGGAAGTCGGACGTCGAGGGAATATTGTTCAGGGTCAGGCGAGCGTATTTGGGAGACGAATTTCCTTGGTCATGGGCCACGAAGGGAATCGCCGCCGGAGGCGGAACGTGTCGTTCCATAGTCGGGTAGACATGATTATAGTAGTACTGCGCAGGGATGTCGCGAGACCTGGGAACACTGGGGATCTGCTCGGGATCAACCTTTCCTTGAGTAGAAACCTGGCCTGTACCAGCTCCATGGAAGCCTGGCTGAGGAGTGGCGCCCGTTGCTTGGTTCGATGCCTGAGGGCCAGGAGCGGCGGCAGCGGCAGGAGAGACTGGTCGCGACGCTGGTTGATTTAGACCAGTATTCAGAAATTGGGACGAACCTGGTGCACCGCTCTGCTGAGGAAATCCCTGTGGGGCAGCAGCACCAGCAGCAGCACCTCCGATATCATGATGCGCGTGTCGGTGTTTCTTCTTGTGACCGCGAGCTCCAGCGTCCGACGTTATTCCTAATCCTCCCATCTGAGCAGTCAAACCTGCCATAGTATTTCCTTCTGCAGCTTCTGGGGGCGCTGGGCCAGTCCCAGCACCATGTCCGGCATCAGACTGAGGGCCAAAATTCGATGGTTGGGGCGCTCCATAAGGGGACGGTGCGTTCGGGGGAGCACCTCCGTATGGTGCTCCGGGCTGTTGATAACCAGGTGGAGGAGGTGCGGAAGGACTGGACTGCGCAGGAGGCTGCGTTGCTGACTGCTGTCTCAATGCGTTTTCATCAGGAGCACCAGGCTGGCCTAGGGCGTGATACGTCGAGTAGTCCGCCATCGCGGTTCATCGGCTGCGGGAGTCCACTGTGCGGGCAGGGCTTCGGAGAAGCACAACGGTGCGGGGGTCAGGGAAAGGCTCGAATATCGTGCTCAGAATAGTTCCATAGCCTCTGAGAATGGGGTTGGAACAGGGAATGGAACTATCCCACAGCAGTGGGGTCCCTTGTAGAATTGCTCCGTCGGCGAACTGAATTGACCACCTAATCGTATCTGGTGTTCCGTGTCTGGAACAAACAACCCACGCTGGCGGATTTACTTGGCGCCGAGGGATGCGGCACGTGCACGTCCACGGAGTACCTATCAAATCTTCATCTCTAATGAAGACACTAACTTATAATGACTGGATTTTCTCTTTCTCTTTTATATTTGAGCTAACTGAGCCACAATACTGAGCGATGAAAAATACTGATTATTTAGGAATAAAGCGACTACAAAGCATTGCCCATTTATTGGTTCAGTATAAGAAACTGCTACAACCAAAATTCATTGCTGGCCAAGAAAATTCGAGATTTGTGTTCTGTTGTATTTAATGACAGTACTGACATTATGGACTCGATGCGCCCTTCAAGGCTAAAGAGAAACGTGATGGAATGGTGTTAGGTATACCCTTGCCCAGCTTCATGACAAACAGACAGGAAGATGCCATTGTTTCAAATAACGAGCCGAATATGCATGCCTGCAATCAGACCAGTTGGACAGAAAAATGACGGGTGTATAATCAACGTTGACTATTCTGCGAAGTTTGTCAATTCTCGAAGCTATGCTAAACTATGATGCAGAAAGAAAAGGAAGGAAAGAGAAAACAAGTTTGTACGCATCTATTGATGATCTTAGCTCTGAGGCCCATGGGACATACGCATGCTTCATCAACCAATGCTTCGATAACTTCTTGGAGTCGAAGGTCAGAGCAGGACTGCTCAGTCAGGCGTTCGAGGTGAAGAGTCACAGCAAAGAATCATCCAGGAAGGCTTCAGCATGGGCTATCGGCCAGAGTATTAGTCTCCTGGGCGATGGACTTGATACTGATTCCTGAAAGGCTCCTGGAGCCGTTTTCTTGATGATAAAGTGGATGGTCGCCTTTGAGGCACAGTCTGGTGAGGCTCTCCGACAACACAGAAGAACAGAGATACGTTGTCGATAAAACGCGAAGCAAGATGCGCCATCTCAACTTGGATTCACAGTTTCACAGCCAGGGTCGAAGTGGAAATCAAACAGCATTCCCAGCAACGGCAGTGATAGGAAACCAAGGCAACGGCATCTTTGAGGGCAGTGAGGATGACGAAGATAGTGCTGCTGTTTGCGATCCATTTTATGGCGCTATCAGCAACCAGAAAGATGCTATTCCACAACCATCGAAGCTCTCGATCGCTCGGGGTATATCGCTGTCTTTCGACGGACTTCATTTCTGATAATGATTTGTCTCCTCCTCCTGCTTTATTAGCAATCAATTCCCACCACTTACATCTTTGAACCCCCGTCTCCCTTAGTCATGGCTCTGCAGACGCCACGGTGTTAGTCCAGCTTGGAGAGGGCATGACTAAACCGCTTCCCACCATGGCGCGACTTGGCGTGAACACTGGTATAAACGTTTCGACGAGCACAATTGATGGCATTCTCTTCGACTTGAAGGTTGACGTCGGCCGGGAGGCCTCCTGAAGACCTTGGAGAGCTGCAGCGCCTGATGTCGATGGAGGAAGTAGTGGATCTGGAACTTCAGAATCATTGGAATGACAGCCAGGATTGATGGAGCAATCTTTGCACATATTTTGAGATCTCTCAAGCCAAGATTCTCGACGCTCGGTCACTGACCGAATGAACGTTGCACAGAAAGAGGTCCTGGCCGGAAAATCGGATGGAGAGCTACATTCCGCGGGGCTGGTCTTGTCCAGCATCCACCTACTAGTACTGTAGATAAATGCTGTGACCCCTACCTTATTTATCTATCTAACGGGCGAAATTGGCCCCTTAGAAGTCGGCTTCGGCTCTACCCTAATCTACCTAGCCTGGAGTCAGATAGAAGCGCCAAGTGGTCTGTGCACACACTCTTTAATATATTGCTCATCTCACCGATCTTTCTTGTCGCAGCAGAACCGCTGTGCACGACCTAGGGAACTGACACCCAAGGCGATTTGATTTCGAGATATCGCGTCATCGCTATCTAGACTGCGGTGGGCAGGCAGGGATGTGGGGAACAGGCGCGGCGAGGGGCGATCGATCCGGGAAAACGATGTTCCCAGAGCCCCGCACTGGCAGCAGGAGAGCAGCAGCCCGAGATAGCTGCCGTTATCGTCGTATCTCTGGTTCATCGAGAGCCAATCAAAGGAGCAAGTGGTGGATTGCATGCCTGTGATACCTCGACGTCGGCTGCATGGATGATGGAGGGGCCAGGCTGGAAGGGCCCAGGACAAGGCAGGTATCATCGTGTACAGTACAGGAAAGAGCTTTCGGCACGTCTGGGTCACTGGGTGTGCGGCCCGTGCCTTCCCACACCGCCAGGCGCGCACCTTCCGACCCACCGATTGCCTTCCTAGGGAGGTACCGACGAGTAGACTGCCGACCGCAGGAAGGAGCGTTCGAGGGCTGCTGCTGAGGTGCCTGGGCGGGCAGGAGCTACCCACCAGGCATCGGGCGTTGCGAATTAATAAATAAACTAACCGTCCGGAATTCGGGCTGCCTGCACACAATGCTGTCTAGTCGCAACTGCCACCATCCGTCCCCTCGACGCATCGAGTCCCTGCACCTAACATGTGCATGCCTTCTCCCTGCCTTCTGCACTGCTTGGTCGCAATCCTGATCCCGCTCCGTTCCCTCCCGATCGCTGAGCGGCACCCAGGGCGCTTGGTGTGACCTGCTTGAACTCGCGCTCGTCCTCCCCACCACCGAAGCCATCGAGAAATCACGGCAACGCGTTCCTTTGCAAGATCGTTCTTCAGCCTCATCGGGCCAGTTGGAAGCGGCCCTGTACGTGCCCGAGAACGGAACTCGACGTGCATTGCATGGAAGCAATCCATCGCCCAACAAAGTGGGTCTCCTCGAACGTTAACAAACCGCAGGCGCTGACCAGAGCATTGGGAACACATTAAGGCATATCACCGTCTGTCAACCTCATCGCTCTGCCCTGCTCCCAATTGGTGGCCTTTGGTCCGTTACCCCGTCGTGGCGGCCCTGGGATCCGCTATCTGCCAGAAAACCCAATTGCTCATGGTTTTAGGCTTTGCTGAAGCTAGCCAGAGAGAAATTTGTTTTCGAGCACTCGCACTCCCGCCTGCTCCTTCGCCTATCTCACCAATGGCCTGAGAAGTCCCTGTTGAGTGACACAATCGGCCTTGTTGTTCAGCGGGGCTAGCTCCACCGCTTGTGCTTAGATGTAATTCCGGAACGTTGACCGGTTGCTCGGCCTGCTGCAGATCTGTCCAACCATCCCTCCTCCCTGACGATGTAGGTGGGCATTTTTAGTATTTCTTCCGGGGACCTCCCAAGGTCCCCTCTTCGTGTCAATAGATTTCTTTCCCGCGATATCGACACCGTGCGCTCGTTGTACGGTCTTCAGCTGTGCCCTGATGTGGTGAGCGACCATGGATCTAACGTCAACATCGCAGTCCACCACGAAGGACAAGCCTGCCAAGAAGAAGGAAGAAGACCCCAAGGCCCCTGTCAAGGGCGCATCGCGTTCGAGCTCTGCGCCTGCCATGGCGACGATTCAGGATGATGACGAACGGTTGTTGGCCCGCATCGGCTATAAACAAGTATGCCCGGTACATGCGCTCAACCTTTCGAGGGACAATTTGACTGAGATGATATATGATTTCAGGAATTGAGACGCGAATTTTCCAAGTGGTCTACAGTTTCGTATGCGATATCCATCCTGGGCGTACTCGGGTCCGTCCCGGCGACTTTCGCGTCTCCGTTGGCGGCTGGGGGGCCTGCCACCGCAGTGTGGTGCTGGTTCATCGGGTCGTGTATGGCCATGTGCATTGGCAGTTCCGTGGCAGAGCTAGTGTCTGCTTATCCTACCGCTGGAGGCATGTACTTCGTCACTAAACATGTCGTGCCCGAGGACCAAGTGGCAATCTTCGCTTGGGTTCAGGGTTGGTGCAACCTCCTGGGCCAGACAGCTGGAGTATCAAGTGTCGCGTACACGGTCAGCCAGATGCTACTGGCGTGCGTCAGTATGAATTCAACCTTCAAGGATGGACAGTATTCGTACTCGCCGTAAGTTCTGAACGCCTTCCATTTGATATGTGGTTATGATGCTCATTCGGACAGGACTGCGCTGGAGACGGTTCTTGTGTCGATCGGATTGCTGTGCGTCATGGGCGTCATCTGTTCCCTCACGACGAAGAGTCTGCACAGAATCGTTCTGTGGTTTGCACCCATCAACAGTATGATTTATCTATATGGTTTGCGGGAAGCAGACTAACATTCCTAAATAGTTCTGGCCTCGATAGGCATTTGTGCGGCGATTTTGCTATTGACGCCAGAGAAGCAATCCGCGAAGTGGGTTTTCACCAATGTGACCGACGGATCTGGCTGGGGCTCCAAGGTCTTTTCTTTTCTCCTTGGCTTCCTCTCGGTGGCTTGGACGATGACCGATTATGATGGAACGACACAGTACGTTTTCTTCCGAACCGGGGCAGACTCGAACTAATCCTTCGAACAAAGCATGTCAGAAGAAACCCACGATGCGGCCATCCGAGGGCCGGTGGCGATCCGGGTTGCGGTCCTTGTCTCCGGCATCTTTGGCTGGATGCTCACTGTGTCGATGTGTTTTTGTATCAATGACCTGGATGCGATCTTGAATAGCCCGACCGGTATGCCAGCGGCACAGATCTTTCTCAATGCCGGTGGCCGAAAAGGAGGAACCATCATGTGGTTCTTTGTCATTCTCGTTCAGTTCTTTACCGGTTGCTCTGCCATGTTGGCAGACACGAGAATGGCCTATGCCTTTGCCCGTGATGAGGCACTCCCGTTTTCCAAGTAATTAGGACCTTCCATATGACGTGTTCTGAGAAAGTCGCTGATCTTTCGAAGCGTCCTTGCCAAAGTGAACCAATACACGCATACCCCGGTCAACGCCGTGTGGTTCGTGGTGTTCTTCAGTATCTGTCTAAATTGCATCGCCATCGGATCGACCGAGACGGCCACAGCGATTTTCAACATCACAGCGCCGGCGCTTGATGTGTCGTACATCTCGGTGATTCTGGCCCATCAGCTCTACAAGCACCGCGTGAGATTCATCGAGGGGCCATTCACGCTGGGGAGATGGGGGACGCCGATCAACATTATTTCTATTACCTGGGTCATCTTCATCAGCGTCGTTCTCTTCTTCCCTCCAACACAACCGGTGACACCGGCGAACATGTGAGTTGAATGGATGATGTATGTGGATGGGATTCGCTGACACAGTCAGGAACTACGCTGTTTGTGTGGCCGCGTTTATTGCCATCTTTTCGCTGTCGTGGTGGTGGCTGTCAGCTCGAAGGTAAGGTCATTGACATTTGTAGAGGCTATCCATCTGATTGGGACACAGGAAGTATACTGGTCCTCGCACGAAGGATCTCATCGAAGCGATCAGGACGGAAGACTACGAGGAAATCTACGACCCACCCAACAATTTCGAAGTGTGATCGATATTGACTCGATGACGGCCGTCTCGATGTGATTGCTGATGGATACCCTTCCATTTAGATTTTTTTTTCAGTGGGATTTATTATAGACGGTATGGCGTTGAGTAAGGGAAACGTCTGGCTCTAAATAAAGCAAATGTAATAGATAATCGATTAATTGGTATACGATAGAGACAAATCAGTTAGAATTGAAGGAATTTAGCAAGAAAACTAATAATCGAGTAATTTACGACCACAGGAATACGCTCGTGCAACTAACCAGCCGATGTTGATACCGCAAGATCAATTGCTAGAACTTTTCCATAATATAATTCCCAACCCACGTCCGGACGACTTAAAGTTAGTGGACCTCCCAGGAACCTGGATCAGGAACAAGCATTTATTTATTTAACACTTTATCATTTATTTATTTATATTTTGCAGTCAGATAGATGCCAATGCTTAATGCGGTATTGCATTGCTATGAAGGATGAGCCATGAGATGATGGAGGATGGATCCTCCGAAATACGTACGTACTGTATGTATACAGTACAGTACAGGGGAAAATGGAATATCCATACCCAAAAAGTCACGGGCATCCCATGTGACTGGAGATGGAACCTCCATGCTTTCCATCATCAAAGGTCCTTCCATCGTGGATGCCGCATCATACCGCGACAATAGATAAGTAAATTGCTTAAGTAGTAGTGTTGTCCTGCATACATAGGGCTTAACTGAGGGTAACAAGTATGGAACAAGGTTAAACTACCTACCTACCTAGGTTGTTTTTTTTTTTGGCCGCTTTCCTAAAATTTACGGAGTATCAGATTCAGGTGGTCTTCAATTGAAGTAGGTCCTTGAATTTAGGTAATGTCCATAGGACCTAGTCAGACTGTCAGTCAGTGAGTGGCCCACCAGCACCAGCAGAGTTTCGGCAAAACAGTGAGCTGTTATTATTAAGTGGATGGATGTCGAGTACTACTGTACTGTACAGTACATTAGGTATGTGGTACATGCACTGCATTGGATACTCTGCTGATAAAAGAATATATTCTAATATAAATGCAACCCAATTAAATACTAAGAAATATGTAAATAGATCAACAACTGCATATATATATCCACACTCATCAGGACAATGTTCAATCCATAGAAGTCTTACATTTCTATTTATTTATCGCCTCAGCCATCGGCGCAAAGTCTTGACGCGATCCCAGACGCCGTGACAGCGCACCGCTTTGACCAGCCCATACGCCACCAGCCGATACGCGACCGTCGTAACCCCCAGCGCCAGCACGTTCAGCGCCGCGTTCTTGTCCAGATTGTACAGCTGCAGCACCTGCTGCCCCGTCTCGATCGGGCAGTGCCCGTCCGGCAGCCGCTCCGCCGCCGTGCACGTGAAGTGCTGGTTGCGCATCGAGTACGGCGCCAGGTTGGCGACCGAGTACTTGATGGGCGACAGGTGGTTCAGCGCCTGCAGCACGCCGTTCACGTTCAGGCTCATGATGCCGCCCAGGATCGTCGAGATGGACAGCAGCACCGACGTCACGTTCACCGAAAACCCCACGTGGTCGAAGAGCGTGCAGAACATGATCCCTACCGACTCGCCGCTGTTGATGATGCAGAAGCAGTTGAACGCGCTGACGAACAGCATCAGCGGCGTCCGCTCCATGTTCACCGCGTACGCCGCTATCACCCCAAACACGAGCGACGACGCGATCTCGAACGGTACTTCGAGTGTCGTGTACTGCAGGATGAACGTCTCCGCCGAATAGCAGTTGTCGGCCTCTTCCCGGTAGAACACATCCCGCTCGGGAGGATAAACGGCAATGTTTTGAAGCATGCCTAATCAATCAACTTAGTAAACATCAACAGGTCGATCTACTACTAGATCTATACTCACCAATAAAGTAGAGGGCCGCGAATTCTTGGATGAACCCCATCCGCGACTGCACCGCAGGATAGTCGTTCTTGAGCGGCGCAAAAAACAGCGCCATGATGATCGATATCCCAATGATCTGCGACGTCCGCGCCATGATCAGCGGCGGCTGCCGGAAGAAATTGATCGCGGACCGGTGCAGCACCAGCGGAAACGTCACCCGGAACGGGTGCATCTGCTTCTTCAGACTCCCCAGCTCCGCCGGCGTCGCGATGTGGGACGTCTGCCGACTCAGCTCCATCGGCACCTTTTCCCAACTGGAGATCAGATGCTGCACCTTCTTCCGCGTTACCGCCTCCCGATCTGCCTGCTGGAGATCGACCGTGATCAGGTCCAGGGCAAAATCCGCCGGATTCGTCTGCCTCGGGCACTCGTATCCCAACGACCCAAAGTACTTGATCATGTCCGCCCCCTTCCCCGCATACACCGGATAGCCTCCCCGGGCAAGCAGCAGCAGGTTCGAAAAATGATGGAAGATGTCGGACCGTGACTGATGGATCGTCATGATCAGCGTCCGGCCCTCCGCAGCCAGTCCCTTCAGAACATCCATAATCGACGTCGCCGTAAACGCATCCAGACCCGAAGTCGGCTCGTCCAGGAGCAGGATCTTGGGGTCCGTCAAGATCTGGATTGCGATGGTGACCCGCCGCTTCTCGCCGCCGCTGATGCCTTTGATCAGGTCGCTTCCGATCAGGTTGTCCGCGCAATCCTTGAGACCCATCTTCAGCAGGATTTCCTCCGCCCGTCGATTCTTCTCCTCCTGCGACATCCACCTCGGAAGCCGCAGTCCCGCCGCGAATCGCAGGCTCTCGCGCACCGTCAGCGACGGCATCAGCGCATCGTCGTCCTGCGTGACGAACGACGTGACCGATCGAATGACGCTTTCCGACGGAATGGCCCCGTTGTACGTCATGGTCCCGCTGAGTCGGTACTGGGTGCTCGCTGATCCGTGCAGCCTCCGGGCGATCGAGTTCAGAAGCGACGTCTTGCCGCACCCCGAAGGACCCATGATCACGTTCAGCTCTCCCGGGTGGAACTGTGTGGTGATCGGTCTCAAGATCGGAATCGTGCGAGATGGCCGCCCTGGCAGAGCCCTTTTCTTGATCTCCAGGGCATAGTTGTCGAGAGAGATGGTCACTCGGCGGACGTCCTGTGTGGGATGTGCCGTGATCTTTTCCTTACCGGCCTTGACATCGCCCTCCGACTTGCGAGCCTGCGCAATCCCCATGGCAAACCGGTTATACTGCAACAGGAGGCCTGCCAGCAAATAGAACCCAATGACATAGCCAACCAGGATGACGCATGGCCTCCATATCCAGTTCGACGGGAAGCCGAGACTTTCCATGATAAAGATGCCCGTGTACTCCTTGCATGCCGGGTCCAATGGGTTCGTCGAATACGGACAGTCGTAGAACTGCCCATATGGCGGGCCATTAACGCCGATGAATTCGTTCGCACAGAGAGCACCGAAGATGTAAAACGTGTAAGCCGTCCATTTCAGCCACCTGACGTAGACGGGGATCTGATTCGTCTGGACAAAGTAGCCGCAGGCAAAGCTTTGGAGGGTGAAGGACAGATTGGCGACAAGACCGGCTCCCGGGAAGCTTCTCGAGACCCCGACTCCCACCGCGGCAAACGTGACGGCGATGTAGTGCGTCAGCAGATTCAGGCCCAAGAAGACGAAGAACGTGGAGGCTTCCAGTCGAAAGCCCACCATGAAATAGAAAATCACCGCAAAGAGGATCGGAACGGGGAGATCCTCCAGCAGCAGGCGAGCGGCTCGCCGGCTGAGGAGGAAGCCGGGAACACTGACCACGCCCTCTGATCGCTCCCGATCGAACAGCTGGATGTCGATGGTCAGACGGAAGGTTTCGTAGGTAAGAACCAGGTAGCCGTTGAGACTGCTTGCGGTGTACAGGCTTCCTTCACGAGAGCGGATTCCTGCCAAACTCTTATCGAGCTGCAGGAAGATCCATCCGTTGATAACAGCCATGCCAATGGCCTCGAGAAGACTGCCTGCAACGCCCATGGGGTCACGGAGGGTCGTTTTGAAAGTTCGCGACGTCAGGACCTGGAATTCTCGACTGAAAGGAACCTTCTTCAACACCGTCTCATCCGTATTCTGACGATTTTCGCTTGTGTCGGCGGTGTTCTGCGTCTTTTCCTCGTCACCTAGCGCTTCCTCCGACCGGGCCTTCCAGGATTGCTTCAGGAAGTCGACCCGGGCGAGAGACGCGTTCTCGAGGTCCACCGAACGGTTGTCGATGGCGGCCAGATCGATCAAGAATTCGGCGGGATTGACAAAGGGCGGCAGCACGTAGCCGCACTGTTCAAAATAGGGCAACGACTCCGACACCGGTCCGCTGTAGAGAGCCGATCCGCGCGACAGCAGAATGACGTTGTCGAAGAGATTCCAGATCTCGGAGCGAGGCGCGTGGATCGACACAATTACAGTGCGACCCTTCTGAGCAAGTCCTTTCAAGGTTCTGATAATCTGATAGGCACTCGTGGCATCCAATCCTGTCTCACGTCAATAATGACGTCCTTGACCTGGCGACCGCCCCAATTTCCATCAGCAGAATCATACCTGTCGTCGGTTCATCACAAAATAAGACGGACGGATTAGCCAACATCTGCACGCCGATGCTGGTGCGTCTCTTCTCCCCACCGCTGCAGCCCTTGTGGGCACTGCTCCCGATTCGCGTGTCGGCGCATTCTTTCAGTCCCAGTTCCATGATGACCTGCTCGACGATGGCCCGGCGTTCAGCGCGGGTCATGGGCGGGGGCAGACGCAGATCGGCCGAATATTGCAGGGTTTCCCTCACTGTCAGGGTCGGGATGAGGACGTCCTGCTGCATGACATAGGCGCTGCGGACATGCGACATGTTGGGATCGCCGTTGAAGGTGGTGGAACCGGAGACCTTCAGTCTGGCAGATTCCATCCTGCCGGCCATCATGTTCAGCAACGAGGTCTTGCCCGAACCGCTGCTTCCAATGATCGCTGTCAGAGTGCCGGGGCGCATGCTGGCGCTGACGCCGTCCAAGATGGTCTTGAAGGCCTGGTCCTCCGGCTCTTTTCGTCCCCGGAGACGATTCCATATCTGCACCGGAGAGGCCTGCCACCACGGCGGCGTGGTGTCGATCTGCACGGTCAAGTTCCTGACCTGGACATGGACGGGGTTGACGGCGCGAAAGGACAGGCCGGCGGAAGCCTTGTCATCGCCATTCTGGACTGGATCCGGCGTGGCCAACGCCAGATCCTGTTTATCCACGACCTCGGACAGCTTGTCTTCGTCCATGAGGGAGCGAAGTCAACGTTCGATGAAGAACCCCATAGCCATGATGGATGGATGAAGTCAGAAATGGGCCTGGGCGGGCCGAGATGGGGGGAGGGACCGTCCATGGGTTTTAATCTAATTGACTAGGCTGTTTAGTTAGTTTCGTTCTTGCACTGGGGCAGCGATCTACCTGTACTCCGTAACTACTCCGGACTGGCAGCCAAGTGGTTCGGAAATCGGAGACTGCGAGCCGACGCTGCAGGATATTATTATTAGCGACCCTGGTCGATAACACAGCTCGTTTTCCTCGGAAAGGCCGGTGATTCGTGGCCACGCAGGATGACATGATTCCTGAGGCTTCAGAGACTGCACCACGCGTGGCCATGTGGGGATGGTGGCCCGTCGGTTGCATCTTCGCTTATTTAGCGATGGCGTCGGCCGGCAGTCGGGACCACGACAGCCCTGTCTAGTTTCCAATCATCCAGAATAAATAATTGCTGGATGGTTATTGTCTCGATCCATTCTAGTTGCGGCGATGTCTTCTAGAAAAAAAAAGAAAGAAACTTGCCGATCGTTGACCAAGAATCGCGGAGGAAATTAATTCCCTTGCGTTGGTCCGGTCCGCCACGTGACAGTCCCTGGTTCCAGCATTGACCAAATCGGGCAGTCCTTGGAGTGCGGGCAAACTTTAAAGCATTAATTATGACAAGCATAACATTGTACAATCAGCATATCTAATACTTCTATGTATCGGACTGTGCAGGATATATTCCAATATCAACGTTACACTCGGCAAGCTGGTTGTTGCACAGATTGTGGGCGGTGAACTGTACATGTCGAATCCCATTGTCTACCGATGGATCTAATCAATCAGTATTAATATGGCTACAAAGACTGCCAAGCGAGTGCATATGCATTTCATTGTTCCCTTTCACTCCTCCAGCTTTGTGACTCATCATCGCTGGCTTACTCCGTACGCAGTCTGTCTGTCTGCTTACTTGCCTGCCTTATACGACTGGCACAATGTCATTAATCACATCTGATATAGCACAGTACAGCACAGTATGTACACTACACGCAGTACATACAGTACATACAATACATACATCGCTGCATTTGACTTCATCGAGCCTGCCTAAAGAACATCGTCTGGTGGATGAGGTTGGAAGGAGCAACCGGCCCTGGACCAATCAACTGACAGGCCCAATCCACCCAGCCAACCGGATGAAACTGGTCTGACTGCTCCGCAAGTTGCGCCTCTCTCAGTGAGACCAGGCAGTATCACAATGGAAGTTACCTAACATTACATGGCAACCAACGCTTAACTGCCCCCATGCATGGATGAAAAATACAAGGAAAATGAAAAAGGAAACAAAGGAAACAAAGGAAAGGGGGGGAAAGAGAGAAGGTACAGGAAAGAAATGCAAAGCAGAACTGATCCCACAAAGGATCTCCTGCATGGGATGATGCAACAGCAAGAACAAAGAAACAGGCATTCCCGCCAAAGATCGTCTTGGCCAGGTGCCCTTTCGAGTGCCGTTTCTTTTTCCCTTTTTTTTTTCTTTTTTGGATTCTGCATTTTTGAAGCTTTCCTCCAACCCCTGATGGAAAAACGAAAAATTCGCCATGCAGACGCCCCTCCCTTGCCAACTTGGTATTTAACACACCCACTCAAAACCCAGACAATCCCTTTCCAATGCTTTTTTGAACCCTCGAAGCATCACCTTTTGCATGCCACACATCAATACCCAAAAAAAACGCCCCGACCGATATCTCCAAAAGGGTGATATAATGATATATAATGAACAAGTGACAAAGAAGTGATAATCCAACCATATATCCATCCCCATCACGTTCACGTGATCAGGAAGTCCATGTTCATGTCGCTGATGATCTTCTCCCAGTCCCAGCTGTCTTCCATCTTCGTATCCATCACCTCCCAGACCCGCTCCACCACTCTCAGGGCCGGCTCGATGTTGCGCAGATTGGAGTATGCCTGGAGATCGTCGAATCCTTTCCTGATCCGTTCCCGCTGGCGAAGCTCAAAGGCGGAGCACCCCAGCAGGAACAGAGGCATCAGCATGACGCTGTAGGCTCCCGCGTCGAGTGGCAGCATGTCCAGATACTTCAGCGCATCATCCACCACCTGAGCAATCTTCTCGCTGGGCCGGGATGGCCGAATGGTCCGATACAGATACACCCACGTCGACTGCCGGTAAAGTTGAGCCGCGAACCAATTGGGGGTCTCGGGCGGATAGGACGGCTTCCAGGCTCGCAGGGCCGAGTCGATCGCGACCGCCTCGCTCAAGGTCTGGTAATCGACGGCCGGCTCATAGCCTTCATTGTAGCGCTGTCGGATCCGATCCCGCAATTTCGTGATGCCCGAGATATAGCTGAAAAGGCCGTCAAAGATCCCCAGCAAGGCCCCGGCTTGCGCGTGGGGCACAAAGTCCGGCAGGCGCAGGTCCCCGGTCAGGTCGAGAGGCCGGCGATCGAGCGAGGTGATCGAGTTGGACACATCGTGATACTGGAAGAATTCGATAATGAACTGGCGGAATTTCTCATTCCGCGGCCGTTGCGTGACGAGGAGGTACCGAGCGGCATCCATGTGGGACCGATATTCCCCGCTGGTCTCTCCCTCACAGATCGTGTTGAGGCACAGAGCTAGCGTCGACGCGATGATCGGATCGTCAATCAGCAGCTGCTCTTCGGAACTCTCCATCTTGGCCGATGCAGCGTTGATGCTCTCTCGCAGATCGGTGATCGCACGATCGAAATGATAGTGCTTTCGTTCTTTGAGCCGGGGTTCCGGGTCGCGGGCAGACAGATGAGACCCCGACAGGCACATCAGCGAGTGCATCAGGCCGCGGTGCTGGGTCGCCATCGGAAGAAGGATCTCCTTGAACGGATTGGAGTCGTCGTTGATCAGCGTCAAGACGCGACTGAAGTCGTAGACGAAATGGTCGAGGAACCGGCGATCGATGTCGGTTTCGATCCCATCGATCAGGAATGGGAGCCCCCGGGGTAGAGCCGTCAACGAGTTTCTCCGGGCCGCTGAGAGACATGACCGTTAATAAATGGAAAAAGGTCTTCAAATAGGCCAGGATGCCATACCATCTTCCATCTTCTGCTTGCCGCTCTTCCAGATCTCCTTGGGCGGATATCCTTCGCAGACGACAGCATTCTTCTGGCAATTCAGACAGGAGGGCTTGGTCTCGTCGCATTTCTTCTTCCTCCGTCGACAGGTGATGCACCCGGTCTTGGAGCGACCCTTGGCCACCTTGACCTGGCCTTCCGGAGCTGGCAGCGGGTGTTTTCGTGGTCGTCCTCGTTTCCGAGGAAGGTTGACGGGAATTCCCGCCGCGGTCGTCGTGGTCGTTGTCGCGGGGTTCTCCTCTTCCACCGCCTTGGACGGCACTAACCCCCCCGCCTCCTCCTCGATCTCCTCAATCTTGGGGATCACTGTCTCTGGGGATGCCGGGTCAGCCGAATCGTTGGCGGTGACCAGGGTAAAGCTGAATGTCGCGCTTGCGGAAGAGGCGGCGGTGGGTTCGGATTGCCGTCGCATTCTGTCGGCAACTTTGGTGGTCGTGAGAGAGATGGTTGACCGGGACTGCGGTTCCTGGGACCAGAGCGGCAGGTCCTCGGGGGCATCGTCTGTGGTGACACTGGCAACGTGAGACTGGCTGTCGTCGGAGGACGAGGGCGATTCAACGGCGATGGAGTTGAAAGCCGGCGAGTTCAGACGAAACGGACCGAGCCCATGGCTACCAGAGTCCAGCGCGGATGGCGGCGTGGGCACCGAGGCGGGCTGGTTCTGCATGGACAACATCGATATGGCCCAGCATCCGGCAGGATGAGCGAGGCAGGCTCGAGGAAGCGATAGTGAGGACTTTAGAGGGATGGGGGAAAAAAGAAGAAAAGCGAGCGCAGTTGGGGGTTGCCGGTGCCTGCAGCAGCAGCAGTACGGCGTGTCGGGCGGGGAAGCCTAAGTCAGCAAGCAAGCAACAGATGACTAGCGTCCGCGACGGAGACGGCCGGCCGGGGGGCAGATGAACAGTTTTGTAGTGTCGTCCTAGACTCTGAAATGGGTATCGCAGAGGGCCAATCTCGAGCGTAGATCGCGCCGGTTAGGCTCGACGCACGAGCCGGGCGGACGCAGGCCTCTGAGACTCAGGGCCAGACGTGCCAATCCTCGCGAGGCAAGGTGGTTGAGCAAAGTTAACGCTCCTCCATGTCGCCCACTGTCACTGTCAGTGGTGCAGGGTCGCACAGCGTCGTGTCGCTGCTTGGACGCTAAATTGGCATGCGGGGGAGCCGAGCACGGCACCGTCGCGCGGCCAGCCCGCTGATTCGCCGGGCCGCAGACGAGGAGATCGGCCTGCAGAGCAGCAGAGCAGCAGCAGAGCATGGGCCATCGCCAAGTCGCCGCCCAAGAGGGGCCAATCTGGCTGCTAGAAAGCGAGCCAGGCTGGCCAGCTCGAAGTCGTAAGAAGTCGTAAGTAGTACGCCGACGGAACAAGCAGAGGAAATTCTCCCAGTGGCTCCTGCCTGTTCTGACAGCCTCGCGTGGGCAGCCTGCCGGGGAGGAATGTATGGGGAAGGCACGGTCGGAGGTCGCCGCCCAAGACACACGAGGCAGGAGCGCATAACCGGCAAACGGCAAGAGCAGCCGGCCGTATTCAGTACTCCGTATAATTTGTCGTGTGGTCATGCCATGCATGCTGTGCAGCAAGCGGGTCGCCAACCAACCCCCTCATGCGCCCCAGACGCCCCCCGAGCTGCCATTCCTCCTGGACCAGGCCCGAATCCCGATCCTGCTGACGACTTGCCAAGTTGCCGCCTTTCCGGCTGCGTTTTTCCCTTCCTTTTTTTTCTTTTCTCCTTCTTTTTGACTTTGGCGTGACCCACTGTTCCTGCCAGGCTGCCTCTCAGGTAGTCTCACTGTCTCAGCCCTTCAGAGTTTTCGTATTCTGATCTCCCTTCACGCGACACACCAGTCCCACCCAGGATGATGGATGACCTCGGGAACGTCTGGCAGACTCGAACACGATAAATCCTTCACGAACCCCAGCTGATCGACAGACCCTGATCCGCAGGACATCGTCAGCCTTCAATTCATCTTCTCCAAAAGATGTAATCCCTCAGTATCCACTCACGCGATCCATGGTACTCTGCCGCGCCGTGCCGCCCTTTCAAACCGTGGAACAGGATGGACCTGTGGATGCACTGGACGAGATCCTCCAGCCAAGAAGTCACGAGTACGCGCGTACGGCGTACCCAACGCAGTAAAATTCCAGTCATAGTAGTCATCCTGATTCTACGTCAGGCTCTTGTTGGGGCAGGGCATATCCTGCCAGAATCAGAATACTTGAGACGGGCGCTGATCCTCCACAGCTCGAGTGCAAGTTCGCAAGTCAACTACTCCGTAAGCGAGCCTTCATTCTTCCCCACACGGAGGGAACCAGGTGGCAGACATAATCCAGACGAAGTATTGCTACAGCACCAATAGGTAGAGGTTTTTAGGATCTTCCCCAGGTATGCTGCCACTGAATCCACCGTGGAATGTGCAGGCAGATGAGGCGTCATCGCTGACGTGCTCGACAGAATATCGTGGGCTGTCGTACGTGTCGACACATGACAGCAGAAGCAGAACTAATAATAAGAATAAATAATACGAAAGACGAGTCTAGAGTAAAGGCTGACCAAGGACTAACCAACTACTCCGTATGGTAAAAACCTCCCCCTCTTCTACCTCTTTTCTTCTTCTTAATAAATAACCTCCTAGCTCCTTTCAGGAAGTCTTCGAAAAAAAAAGCAACCATGCTCCCCACACTCCACCATTCCTCCTTTTGTCGCACCTAGTCATGCACTCCGCATCTTACCCCCCATATAGACTATACTCCATCCTGGAGAGCCTATCAGTATTGCCGCATCGCGATAGTCACGCGAAATGCAATGCTGCACGGAGAAAAGTCTGGAGTAAGTCTGGAGTAAGTAATAGCGCGTATGGAGTAGGTATAGTGTAGTTCGTACAGAGTAACTCCGTCCAGTTAACAGGACTGGACTGGCCGCCGCCCTGTGCTGTGTGAGGTCAGCCTGTGTGACCCCCACACCAAAACGGAGTACGAAGTAATTAATGGACCCTGGTGGCTGCACTGGCTGCGCTCCAGTCTCCAGCCAGCCTCTACGGAGTAGACTAGTCGAGCAGCACTCGAGCAGCACTCGAGCTAGCATCTCGAGTATTAGTTTTTGTTTAAGTCGAATGTCACGCCCAGTTCGGCGGGACCCGTCACCCGTCAGACTCAGCCTAGAGTACCAGGTAGGGTCCGTACTCCGTACTCTGTCTAAGAACAGGCCAGTGGCAATGTAACGAGACGAGACGAGATCCCTCATCCCTCATCCCTGGCAAGGGGCTCAGCTCAACAGCCTCAGCTCAGCTGAGAAGTGCGTACAGTACGTATGTACGTACACCTATGGAAAACTCTGGAAAAGGAAGTTGTAGCATAGTCCCGTCTTGGACCTGACAACACTCAGACTCAGACGCAGTCAAGACTGTCAAAACTCTCAGGGCACTGCTAATAATACTGTTGGACTCGTACAGTACAGGTGGCGTGACCAACCAGATCGAATAGAATACCTACCTAGTGTTGCCGGATAACCCAATGGGGAAAGCCGGCTGGAATTGGGTAGGTGAAGTCACGCCACCAGTTTGCTTGTACTGTTCCTTGCCTTTTATTTAATTATGAAGTTGATTCTAGCATCCTTAAAGGCATAGTGCTCCGTATAGTATAGTCCAGCAGGGCAGGACTCGTGCTACTGCACTGCCTCTCAGTCCTATTTTATTTTATTCTATTTTCCTCTTCTGATGAGATTATTTATTTAATAGCTAGCTAGCTACCTAGGTAGCTGCTGATGACAGCGCCGTACCTGGTCCAGGACTCCAGCACTGTTATATTATTACTGTGGCCCTGTGGGAATAATCCACAAGCGAACGATTCAAATCCTACGGACAAGCCCGGATCCGTGCCACTGTGCCACTGTGCCAGTGCCCAGTGCCCACTGCCGGGCTGCCCAGGCTGGGACCGCTGGGTCCTGGCAGCGGCAGCGCCGCAGTGGGCAGGTCGCACTAATCTCAGCTCCAGTCCGTGCCGGCCCGTCCGTCCGTCCGCGTCCGCGATCACTGGATCCTGCCGCCAAGGGTCCAGACGGGTCTTCCCGAGCGAGGAGCGAGCATGACCTCATAGAGTACCTACAGAGTATTCTTATTGTTAACCAGTACTCTGTACGGAGTATAGAGTAATAAAGTATTCTCAAGTGCGTGATGAAGATGATGCTTTCTCACATGACCGGCTGACCTGGTCTTAATTAATCGTACCTACCTTAGATACTTTATCTGCCCAGGGTAACTATCTCAAACTCTAGATCTTTCTCTCCAATGGAATAACATTCGCCTGTAGTAGAAATAAATATTACTAGCCTGTGGAAGGTAATAATAACCTTCCAAGGCTCATGCTGCGTCGCGTTGTGTTGGGTTGGGTTGGGTTGGAAAGTTGAGAATTGGACGGATGGGATGGGAGTCGGGACTCAGGGAGGGTCCAGTCTGTATCCCTGATCCTGGTCCTGGTCCTGGTCCACACTCACGTCTACTCCGTACGGTCTGCCATGGGCCATCTTTTAAATCTAGTGGACCTGCGACCGCGTGGTGTCGACTGGAGCTGGTTATGCATTATTGCCGACACGATCGGGCTAAATAAGAGCCCGACGATGGCAGTGCATGACATCCGTCTCTCTACGTACGGAGTACGGACTAGGTATCTATCTCTCGGCTTGCCTCAGCCCGAGGACGAGGAGGGGATAGTGAGAAAGAAAGAAGAATTTTTTAATACATATCGGCTATTGATATTTGCCCAGAGCGCAGACTCAGATAGAGTTAATAGTTAGGTACCTATAGGTGTATCTTGGATTTTTTTTTCTGTTTCAAGAGCTGCACGCATTGACGTACCCTTCATTATTATTGCCTAGGAGTAATACTCTGTACGGAGGAGTGCCTAGTTTGCAGCTTTGCTTAATTACAGTGATTAAATTAAATTAATGAGGATCTATAACCATGCATACTATAGACTATCATAGTTCAAGAAGATAGTACAGTAATACACGAAAAGGCTCGCTGGACGACTTGCTAGCTGGTGCCAGCACCTCATCCATTAGGATAGTTCCATCGACGCCAGGATGGCCGCTAGTTGCATATACTCTACATGTACTGTATGTGCATACACATCTGGGCAGCAATCAGCCATTGACACGGCGCTGGGGTTCGATGGTGCCTGACGAGTTGGTTTCCTAATTATTCATTTATTTATGTAATGTACTGTATGTTTGCATGTACTGTGCATAGATAATTATAATCTCATTTTATGCACGTCTGCAGTTAAGGTATATATCTTCGTCTACTAGCAGTCATCTCTGTAAGCCTCCATTCGCCTACACGTGATAGACAGGTGTAACACTTTGCAAGGAATATATTGGAAGAACGATGGAGAGCCATATTAATAAGGAATACTGTCCATAAATGTCAGTAATAAGCCCACCAGGAAAAGGATGGAATTAGATATCTGGATAGGAGGTAAGATAGGTACTCCTTCATCCATCTAGACAGACTCTCGTGGATCAGTAGTACCTCGATTATCATAGACTAAATTAATGCAGATGAAACGTAAGAATGGCGCTCGATGTTAAGTGTAAAAGCCTCAACGGATATGTAACACATTACCTATAGTCTCTGCCTATATCTGCCTATATCTACCTTGGGTATGTAGTACAAGGTACAGCCTAGCCAGGCGGTGACGTAACTCCTCCGCATTGTTGTTAGGTACCTAGATAGTTAGGCATCAGGTCCATGACATACAACGTCGTGTAACCATCTACCATTGAGAGGTGGTTACACAGGCAAGATATAAATAACTTTAGGTGTCTAGATGATCTCCCTGACATATTTTGTCCTGACTGAATTGACTGCTAACAAATCAGCTCAATTATTGTATTGAGGTACGCAAATGTCTATGTAATGGATATATAAATCGAATCAATGGATAAATCGTAGATAACTCGCATATGAATGTTGCTCGCTGCGGTATTTCTTTGCCAAGCAATCCTCTGGTTGGTTCCGCTGTCTTGGCTTGCACATCCCCCGCATTCTATTCGCCCGGAATGTACCCCCAGCTGAACCAGCTCAGCTGTCCAGCTGGGCTGCCTGGGCATACCTCATCGCTTGTCATCGCTTGTCATCCCTTGGCAGAGCAAATCCGACAATGCTGACCTGAGACCTCATGTGTGACCAAATGTCCTCGCCAAAGCAAAGCTGAATGCTCGCCATGATCCTCTCCGCCAGGGAGATTGCTCCGTTCGAGCTGGGACACAATGACACCGACGTCATCATCAACGGGGTCCACTTCAACCGCACCGCCCTCGGCGCCTTCAACTACACCCTCTACTCCAATGGCACCCTGTCCAATGGAAGCCACTGCTGGCTGGCGTTCGATATCTTCCAGCCGCGCATGGACCTGAACGGCACCTTTCTCAATGCCACCTCCTGCTACACCCCCATCATCGATCTGCAGGACCATGGCAAGGTCGGCATTGCGTTCGCGGCCATGTTCGCCGTCTCCATTCTCTTCACGCTGCTGAACCTGCGCAAGCACGGCAAGACTTTCTTGCCTCCGGAGAAGAGATGGAAGGCCGTCAGTCGTCGGTGGGTGTGGTACTGGCTGTTGGTTGTCGCCGTCTGCGGTGTCATAAGCGGCTTTATGAGTGTCGATGTTGATCGCGACTATCTGCAGAGTTTGCCACTTATCCTGCAGAGCTTGTTCTACTATTTGATGCTGCCTTCGGTGATGGCCGCTGTATGGGAAGGAGTCCGACATTGGTAATTTACTCCTCCCTCCCTCCCTCCCTCTCTCTCTCTGTTTGCTTCTCTCTGTTTACTCTGTTCTGACCCATGTAGGGGCTCGTGGCAAGAACGCCAGATCTTTGACCGGAATCCCGCCTTATTGCCTGCAGAAACTACCCGCGAAGCCCAGGAATTCTGGGTGCCGCTCGTGTTCTACACCTTTGCGTGGATCAATTTCTTCCTGGCAATTCCTCGAAGCTGGACGCCCATCGAGCTGCAAAGAAGCCCGGAGCAGCAAGACGCCCACGCCAAACCAACAGCCACTGACGCTCGATTCAAGGCGGCCGGTTTCATGGCTCTCGGAGGGTGGCTCGTCATCTGTTACAGTCTGGCACACAGCCTCTATCGCTACCGTCGACCTCCCGCTGGCTTCCGTTGCGGATTGTTTTACTTATGTGCAGCTCCGGCCAAGTTCAAGCTCGTCATCGGCATCCTGGCCGTCAAGATTGCATATGCCATTGCATCCGCCTTTGAGTGGTCCATTTCCCCGTTCAAGTACAACGCCAACTCTGGCTGGATCTACGGGCTGGGTTACACGCCCGCGTTGCTCATCATCATCATCTTTAATATCTTTGGTCACGAGGAGCCGAACGAAGACCAGGCCTTGATGGCGCAACGGGAGGAACGGAGCCGTCTTCAGGATATGCAGCTTGAGCTGGAGTCCCAGCAGCCTAGCTGGTGGAGGAAGATGCGTTCGAGCGGAAGACTCAAGGCATTTGCGGCGGAGATGGGAATGAGTCGCCCGCAGCGCAACGATCTGGAAATGAGCGACATGGGCCCGCGCTACACAGACGAGGATCGCAAGGACGGTAAAGAGATGGAGGTGACTGCTATAGGAAGCGGTGCGTCCTCGACGGTTGGGATTTCGAGCAACAGTGGCCAGGCGAGTACATCATCGACACAAAAGTGAAGATCACGTATAACAATATCCACCTTTTAATTTAATCTTGGTCTAATGAGGGGGAGGCGCTATTTTGATGTTGTTTTGGTTTGAATTGACAAGAAATAATAGCTGTAGGGCAGAGCAATTAATGTTCTAGAAGTCAATAGCGACAGAGAGTACATTTTATATATAAGATACCCAGTGTACGCAATCTCCAGTAGTACTACTACGTAGAAAAGCGGTCAAAGATACCTGAGATTAATTGAAGATAAGCCATTACCTAGGTAGGCAACTATGTAAGAATGTACCTGATCGTCACGTGATGTCATTGAACCATGTCTCACTCTCGGATCGGACTGTTCCAAATCCATGTTGCATCGCTGCAGGTACCGAGGTTCCAGAGTTTAATTATCCTTCACAAACCATACAAGTCGAAGAACAAAGCGGACAGCATGTCTTTCCAGCTGATATTAGCAGGCATTGATCAGGTATTATCCTGTGTATGGGCGGTATCAGGACTCTTAGCAGGCATACATACGGAGTACTCTGTATACTATGAAGACGGCAGGCAGGGCCAGGTCAGGTCAGGTCGTGAGTGACTTTTTTTCTTTTTTCTTTTCTTTTCTTTTCTTCAGCCCCTCAGGCACTGATCATCACCGGGCGGAGTACTCCGTTTAAGTATAGTTTACAGAACCATGATCATCGCTGCCGTTACATCAACTGAGATGGTCTGCCGATCCCGCCAATCATCACCTGACAAAGTCATTTCGCCCCGAAGCCTAACTAACGCCATGACTCTTGAGACGTGAACCACGGTCGTTGACTTTCATTGTTCTGATCGATGGCATTGGCATTGATGGTGGAAGTAAGATATGAACTCGACGTGCGGCTAGTTTTGCTCACTTGTCTTTAATATCCTCACATCTCCTTGCTGGAATTTGGTACAGTATTTATTCTGTACTGTACTATGATGCATTTCTTTAATCTGTTCTTAGGACTGGCCCTGCCAGCCCTGGCCCAACTGCACACCTCGTCCCGATGGATTCTCGACTCCAACAACCAGCGCGTCAAGCTCCGCTGCGTCAACTGGGCCGGCCACATGGAGGTCAACATCCCCGAGGGGCTGCACCACCAGTCCATCGACACGATCAGCAGCTGGATCGCCAGCAACGGGTTCAACTGCGTGCGCCTGACGTACTCGATCGACATGGCGCTGAACCCGTCTGTCAAGGTGGCCGACTCGTTCGTCGCGGCGGCCGGTGCGGCAGGCGTGAATGAGTCGGCCATGACGACGCTCTACCACCAGGCTCTGGCAAAGAACCCGTTCCTGGCGGACGCGACGAGACTGGACGTCTTCGCCTCGGTCATCGACACCCTCCACAGCAAGGGCGTGAGCACGATCCTCGATAACCACGTTTCGCACGCGAGCTGGTGCTGCAACCTCACCGACGGCAACGGCTGGTGGGACACCGCGCAGGGGTACAACGACTGGAACAGCCGGTACTTCAACACGACGCTCTGGCTCGACGGGCTGCAGGCCATGGCCACCTTTGCCAGGTCGCACGCGGGGGTGGTTGGCATGTCGATCCGGAACGAGCTGCGCGCGTTCCCGCTGTTGCAGGACCTGAACAACCACGACGACTGGTACGAATACGTGGTGCAGGGCGCCGAGACGGTGCACGCCGCGAATCCGGACGTGCTGGTCATCATCGGCGGTGTGAGTTCGGCAACGGACCTGTCGTACATCGCGGACCGGCCGCTGGACGTGTCGGCGTGGGCCGGCAAGCACGTGTGGGAGTTCCACGCGTACTCGTTCACGGTCACGTATCCGAACCCGACGGGGTCGTGCGAGGTGGCATCGGCGCTGTACGGGCACTTTATCGGGTATCTGCTGACGCAGAACGAGACGTACACAGCGCCGGTGCTGCTGTCCGAGTTCGGGGTCGGGATGACAGGCGGGCCGGCGAACAACTGGGGCTTGTCGGACGGCGACCACGCGTACCTGCAGTGTCTGGTGCAGTACATGGAGTCCAACGACGCCGAGTGGGCGGTGTGGGCGGTGCAGGGCAGCTACTACGTGCGGGATTCCATCGTGGACTACGACGAGGACTACGGGCTGCTGACGCACGACTGGAGCGAGTGGCGGAATCCGGCGTTTCCGGGGATGTTGGGCAAGATGTGGAATGTGACGCAGGGGCCGTAAACATATATATAGGTATATAGTGTAGTATATAGGTAGATTCGTACGTTCGATGATGAGATAGGGATGTATCGAAGTCTCTTCATGAAATCAATTTCGCAAGCCATATCTAGATAGGTAATTTCTATAAGCTGCTGCTTCAGTCAAGACTACAACTTAATCACCTAGATAAATATATGTACTGTGCAAAGGAGTCTCCACGCTCACCAGACCAATACTGTATAATAGTATTAAAAGTAAAGAAAAAAAAAGCAAGAAAAAAAACTGATTTCTACAAGAAGGGGTCTATATCGACTCGACTCACTCAGAGTATATATAGCTGGCTACATATTCCATATTTTTAATGATAGATATATCTTAGGTATCAGCGTAGAAACTTGGTCTTTACAGACTAAATTATTTTGCCTTTTAGGTATCACGACCTGTCAGTCAGATTACTATCCATCCTCTCTGTCTGGGTCTTCATTATTCAGTACTACTTCCTGAACAATACTATTAATATTCCTACAGAGTATTCTTGTACTCCGTAATATTGTCATTGCCTGAACAGGTAAGTACGGAGTAAGTTATCCGTGAAACTCCACTAATCCAAAAAAGGAAATATAGATCGGCATCCTTTCCGAGATTACTCCGTATTTTGCGGGGAAAGAAAACTGAAAGAAAGATTAGCCAACCTGCCGTCGAGTAACTAGTTAACTATTATTAATTACCTAATTACTGGTCATGATAAGCGGTGTGCGAAAGGAAGGAATACGGAATAAATCCAGCACCGGGCATACATACGGACGGAATATTTCATACAGAGTAAACATGGATTGAGTGGTTGAATGACAGGGTAGGTATTCTTTGCGAGAAGAGAATAATAAAATAAAAAATAAGATGTGATTGATAAGACGAGGGAGGGATGTGTCTTTCTTCTTTACCTGTGTCCGTTTAACCTAGTATGTACAGTACATATAGTACATACATACTGTTAAAGTACATACATATTGTTAAAGTACATACATACTGTTAAAGTACATACATACGTACAGTACAGACCTGGGAGTACGTACTGTAGGATCACTCGAAATCAACCACCCCCCCTCGGGAGGGGCACATCTCCTCGAAACAAGCCAACCTCGGCTAAGGACGACGTTCTCGAGAATGCACCGTTTAGCCGCGGGCTGCATTTCCGAGAGGACTCCCCTCTTCCATCTTTACGTACGTGCTCTGTCCAGCATGCTGTTGCACACCAGCTGACATGCCTCTTGCAATGCGCTCTTTCGTACGGATCAGCGCAAAGAATATACGATTCTTCTCCTCGCGATATCCGCCTGCTTCCACGAGACGATGGTTCGCGACGAGGAGGCTGTCTGATATCCCGATTTTTGACCATCGCTATGAGTAGGATATCTCTGACCACGCGGACAGTCATCCCGTGCTAATGCTTCTTTCAGTGCCATCGTCGTCGGAGCAGGAGGCGCCGGCCTGCGCGCGGCAGTTGGTCTGGCAGAAACAGGACTGGAGACGGCGTGCATCACGAAGCTGGTATCTAGTAGACTCCTACGCTATCTGTCTATGTCTACTTATACTGATTGCTACAGTTCCCCACCAGATCGCACACGGTCGCCGCACAAGGCGGCATCAACGCCGCCCTGGGCAACATGACGCGCGACGACTACCGCTGGCACATGTACGACACGGTCAAAGGCTCCGACTGGCTGGGCGACCAGGATGCCATCCACTACATGACGCGCGAGGCGCCCCGGGCCGTGTACGAGCTCGAGCAGTACGGCATGGCCTTTTCGCGCACGGCGGACGGCAAGATCTACCAGAGGGCGCTTGGAGGACAGAGCCTGGACTATGGCAGAGGAGGCCAGGCGTATCGCACGGCTTGTGCGGCGGATCGTACGGGACATGCTATGCTGCATACGCTGTATGGGCAGGCTTTGAAAGTATCCTTCCTAGAATTCCTTCCTAGAATTCCTCCGGAAAGGCATATTGCTAACGCAGCTAGAATAACACGCAATTCTTCATCGAGTACTTTGCCCTCGACCTCCTCATGGTCGACGGCGCCTGCGTCGGCGTCATCTGCCTGTCCCTGGAGGACGGCACGCTGCACCGCTTCTTCGCGCGCAACACGATCCTGGCCACAGGGGGCTATGGACGCGCGTACTTCTCGTGCACGTCCGCGCACACGTCGACCGGCGACGGCAATGCCATGGTCGCGCGGGCCGGCCTCCCGAACCAGGACATGGAGTTCGTGCAATTCCACCCCTCGGGCATCTATGGCGCCGGCGTCCTGATCACCGAGGGCGCGCGCGGAGAGGGTGGTTTCCTCGTCAACGCCCACGGCGAGCGCTTCATGGAGCGCTACGCCCCCACGGCCAAAGACCTGGCCAGCCGTGACGTGGTCTCGCGGGCGATGAACCTCGAGATCCGCGAGGGACGCGGCTGTGGACCGGACAAAGACCACGTCTACCTCCAGCTGTCGCATCTGCCGCGCGAGCTGATCCTGGAGCGGCTGCCGGGCATCGTGGAGACGGCGTCCATCTTCGCAGGGATTGACATCACGCGCGACCCGATCCCAGTGCTCCCGACGGTGCACTACTGCATGGGCGGCATCCCGACGAACTACAAGGGCCAGGTGCTGACCGTCTCGCCGGCCACAGGCGAGGAGCGGACGGTGCCCGGTCTGTATGCCGCCGGAGAAGCAGCCTGCGTCAGCGTCCACGGCGCCAACCGCCTGGGGGCGAACTCGCTGCTCGACATCGTCGTGTTCGGCCGCGCCTGCGCCAGCCACATCGCAGAGAACAACGAGCGAGGCATGCCGCTGCACGGCTCTTCGCCGCCGCCGGCGGAAATCGGCCACGAGTCGATCGCGGAGATGGAGCGCATCCGGACGGCGGACGGCGACGTGCTGACGGCACAGCTGAGGCAGGACCTGCAGCGGACGATGCAGAACGACGTCGCCGTGTTCCGGACAGCGAGCAGCCTCGAGGCCGGCAAGGCCAAGCTGCGGGAGGTGGATGAGCAGTTCGTCACCCGTCTGGCGACGCGCGACCGCAGCCTGATCTGGAACTCGGATCTGGTCGAAACGCTGGAGCTGCGCAATCTGCTGACGTGCGCGGCGCAGACGGCCTGCAGCGCGGCCGCCCGCACAGAGAGCCGCGGCAGCCATGCGCGCGAGGACTTTCCTGAGCGTGACGATGTGCACTGGTTGAAGCACAGCCTGACATGGCAGCGAGGAGCGACGGAGAAGGTCGAGATCGGGTATCGGCCGGTCATCATGACGACGCTGGACGACGAGTGTCCGCCTGTGGCGCCGATGAAGAGGAGTTACTAGGCAGGTAGGCAGGCAGACTATGCAGATGTCAAACAAACTGGGGCACAATAGAAAAACCTAGGTTATCTAGTGAACCCCTGGTATGAATGATAGCTGCCAGGTTGACAGCAGATTGTCTGGAAGAAGATCAAAAAACGATATATACCTCAACTCTTGCACTATTAATCCAGCAGAGTTGTATACAACAGACTCCAAAAAAAAAAAGAAAAAAAGAAAGAAAAAGAAATCACCATAATAACCAAAAACTCCTCTTTACTATATTGTCGTTCCCATCCATCCTGAAGAAAGAAGAACACCAAAATCAGCACCTACAAAAAACACGTCTTTTTAACGCGTCATTCAACTCAGAGAGGCCCCTAGGCCCCGAGAAACCACCATGGAACCCCCCGATCTCCATGGTGGTGGTGTTATTCACGCGTCACCCCCGGCAAACGGCCACGCGGCAAGCCAGCTCACGGAGATCCTGGAGGTACCAGACACCCCAACCCCAAGCCGATGGAATATTCCAGGGCCCCTAGGGCTGGTTATGAATGAGACCGAGC